GGGGCGCTGGGCTGAAATGGTTCTAACTTCTTAAACCGTCTACTAGCGGGCGTGGAATTGGACATCGAGCGCACGACACAGCTGCCCGCACAAACTATGGGAGAAAAAGCAGGGACGCGTCCCGAGCCAGTGACGCGTCAGATAGGCGCCGCGGGCGGGGCACCGAGTGATCCGCGGGAGGCTGCAGGGGCGAAATGAGCATGGCAGAAGCAGCAGGTCGCATCGTGCATGGCTATAGCAAGACGGACTAAGGCGAGGGAAGTGCCGCGGGGTCGCGACTGCCTCGAGGATTTAGCCGAGCCGGCAAGACAGGGGGGTAGGGGAGGGGGGGTAGGGGAGGGCAGGCGCGACAGATCGGATGGCAGGAGCGAGCGTACTGTACCGTAGAAGGAGCAACAAATAGACAGGTAGGAGCGAGCCACGGGGCGAGCAGGCGCGCGTGCGCGCCGTACGGGTTCATTGAGCACGGTGGTGGCACGCGCGAGTGAGAGAAGCAGCAGCAGCGGCGATGACGGCAGCGACGACTGACGACACATGACGGCTCTTTTCTCTGGCGCGTCACCTATCCTTCACTGACGCCTGACTGACTGACTGACCGCCGGCAACCCTCACATACTACACTCCAATCTAGTACAGTTCCAGTGTACTCTGCTGCTTCCCTCGTCACGTGCTCCACCGGACGCGTGCTGCCAGGCTGCGACCGCCTGCGCGACACCACAACACACAAAGCTCGATCCGAGCAAGCCCCTCGCACCAGGCCCGACGACTTACATCCACAGCACCGCCGGCGATCCCTGATCCCGGCCCTCTCGCATCCGCGGCTTGGGCGCTCGAAACAGGTCCTCCGTCCGAGCGTGCTGCGAGCAGGGAGGTGGCTGGCCCCGCAAAGCCCTGCTAGCGGTTCCAAGTTGATTTAACGACCGTCTCCACCGCGGCCATCCCACCGCCTTTGCACTCTCTCACACGCTGCCTGCCACCTGGGCCTCGCTCCCCTTCCCTAGCCCTCGCTAGCGCCGCCTGCTCTGCGCCTGAAATTGCGCAGGCCACGCTACTGCATCTCGTCCCCAACCCTCGTCCATCGACCTGCGCCCGGACCCAAGCTTGCTCGGATCCTTCGACCTCTACCACCGCGCAATAATAACAATGTCGCAGCCAAAAATCCCAGATAGGGCCCGCAACTATAAGGAAGACCCGGCGCCTGTAGCGTCGCAAAAGATGGTGAGTTGCCTCTGCTTCCTTGTCCACCCCTTACCGCCCCCTCGCGCCCGCATCCCATCGCTCGCTACGCTTCGCACTGGCACAAGATCGGCCCTTCTGCATCCTCGACCGTTGGAGTTTCGAGCAGCGCGTCCCAACCTGCATCCCTAAAACCGTCACCGCCGCTGGCAGCTTCATCCTCGCGCTTTTTGCATGCTGCAGCAGCCACTGCAAGTCGCGACCACACACTACGAGTTACCCCAGCTCCGCCGCATCGACGCCTACATGGTATGCCCTCCCCGCCAAGCAGCCCTGCTACCCAAACCCGCCTCCCCTGTCGCACTCGTTAGCTTTCCTTGTCTCCAACGAAGCCAGTCCGCCGCCTGTTGTCACGCAAACTCCAGCAGCGGAACCCCTGCGACAGAGCACCTTTCCGCTCCCACCGCTGGTCCGCTCTGTGCTGTCAACGTTGCCAAATCGCGCCCTGCCTTCTTTAGTCTGCCCTTCCCATCCTATAAACTATACCCTACCGTCCTGCCTCTTTCCAGACCCTGCCCCTCGCCTACGCGCTGTTGCAGTCCACCAGAGCCTTATTCCCTAACCGAGCAGCCAACCACAGCTGCCCCCCACCCCCACCACGCTTCTTTCATTGCACTCCCTGCCCCGATCACCACTACCTTTGCTGCTGCAGTCAACACTTGCTTTTTTTACTCCATTTGTTTGCGCATGCAGCCTTGCTGACAGGCCGTGCCTTTTAGCATCATCCCCACTCGGCGCAGGGCTTGCCACCGCCAAATCATCTTCCCGTCCACCATCCAAGGCCGGGTGTAGTCCATCAGCAGCATCAACATCAACATCATCCCGACTCTCCCCACCAGTCGGTCCCCTCACAGAGCCCTGCTCAAGGTCACTACCCATCGCCTCAGCACCCTAACCCTCAGGGTCCGCCACAGCATCATTCGCCCTACGTTCAGCAAATTCAAGGCCCTCCACCACCCCAGCAGCAGCAAGAGGTTCCCTACTATTCGCAGCACCACCAGAGCCCGTATAGCGCCAACAGTGCACCGAGTAACTACTCGTCTTCAGGTATGTTTTGTTTTTACGTGGGCTCAAGCCACGGCTGTCAGTGCGCGTGCGCGCACTCATGACGCTTAGACTTGGGTGCCCCCGTTATTTATCTCATGAAGCAAAACATATCAATCTGACTTTTTTTTTGTAGAAACCCCAGAGCTCATGGCGGCCGCAACGATGAATCGGGGTGGATACCCACCGATCTCGTATCACACTCCTCAGTCAAACTCACCAGCATCTGTCCAATCACCTCAGCATGACCAGCACGGCAGGCCGATTTACGGGCAACCACCAAGCCAGATGCCTCAGTCCATGTACTACACGCCTTACGGCTCGGCCCCAGTAACCCAACAGTCACCTTACCAACAGCACCCATCAAGTGCTCCACAGCAGCCAATGGCGACTCAATCGTTGCTCATGTCCCATCAACAAAACCAGCAGATGCAACACCAACATCAGCAGCACCACCCCCAGACTCCAGGCATGACCGGAAGCCCCAAGTCGCGAATGTCACAGACACCGCTTCAGAGGCCTCCATCGGGCCTCGGTCCCCCCCAAGCCCCGCCTCAAGGTCCTCCCGTTGGTACTCCCAACATGCACTCGGGACCTCCAGGAGGACCCAACGTCAACCCCAATGCTGCGCCTGGTCCCATTCCCGCAACGACCCCGCTTGTAGTACGACAAGACCAGAACGGCGTACAGTGGATTGCGTTTGAGTATTCCCGTGACAGGGTCAAGATGGAGTACACGATCCGCTGCGACGTCGAGTCTGTCAATGTTGATGAGCTTCCCCAAGACTTCAAGACTGAGAACTGCGTTTACCCACGCGCCTGCTGCGCCAAGGACCAGTACAAGGGTAACCGCCTGCACTACGAGACTGAGTGCAACACTGTCGGTTGGGCATTGGCCCAACTAAACCCTTGCCTTCGCGGCAAACGTGGTCTCATTCAACGAGCCGTCGACAGCTGGCGCAACAGCAACCAGGATCCTCGATTGAGGAGCCGACGTGTGCGTAGAATGGCCAAGATGACCACGAGAAAAGCCCAGTCGGGTTCGCATGGCAACCACATGGCTGGACCAGGTGGCCCAGGTGCTCCCGGTGTGCCCAATTCAGCGGGATTAGCCGCACCACCACGACAACCCAACATGGGCATGGGCGGTCCTCAGATGCACCATCACCACGATGGTCCTGGAGGACCCCACGGAGGACCGGATGATGTTAGCGGTATGTTTCACCAGATGTGATGTGATAAAGCGCAGTTGTTGGTTGTTAGAGATACCTTTTGTCATTCTTTCGCTTGCATGTACATTACACACTCCTTGATGTAATACCCCTTTCGATACCACTACCCCATGCATGCATGCATATATACCCGCATTCGATGGTTACACACATGTCTTTTGTTGAGCGCAGGATGGAAAGTACACAGCAATATGTTTGAACGTGCAAGCTAACTTTCTTTGTGTACAGCCAATGAGTATGGTGAATCGCACACTCATCATCACCAAGCACCAAACGGCCAACAGTCACCAACCGACGGGCGCCAGGCGCAGAGCTTCTACCCCAACTTTCCATCGGGCGACTCGGTAGCAACCGCAAACGGCATGCCGCCTATCCACGACGGCTTAAGCCATCCTCCGCCTCCGTCTCACGCCGCGGGTGTTGCAGTCTCCAAGCAGCAAGAGCAAGATGAAGAAGAGCGAAAGCTAGCCATGTTCGGTGACTTACCTGACTCGAAGCGTCGCAAGTTCATCCTCGTGGACGATGCGCAACGAGGAACTAGAGTGCGCGTGCGAGTTACGCTTGACACTGTCAAGATGGAAGAAATGCCCGACTCGTACCGCAAATCTAACTCGGTCTTTCCTCGCAGCTACTTCGCCATGCAAATGACCTCTCCACCTGCCAGTCCTCGCGGCAGCAAAGTCTTTTCTGACGAGCCTGACGTTGAGGGCGACCCAAGCTTCCCACTAGCCGGCTCTACCATTGTACCTGTGCCTACTCTCGACGGCGAGACACGTGTTCCCAAGCCGCGTCTGACGCGTGCGAAGCGTTCCAAGGAGATTACGCTAAATGATCTCGGTTACCGCATGAGTTGGAGTCAGAGCCGTGTCTTCGCAGGTAGAACATTGTTCCTACAAAAGTCCCGTAAGTAAAGACTCGATAGCGTCTTATAACGGCGAACTAACCTGAATAACAGTGGATGCTTATCGCAACAAGATGCGAAGCAGCATGATGGGTCAAGGTCAAGATGTTACCCAGGTGGCGCCACACTTTGAGACGCGCGTCGGAAAACGGCGGTGGAACGAAAGAATTGAGAGAAGCAAGAAGCCCAGGCGCGAGGGCTCTCCTTAAGAAGTCTCAGGCCACATCATCCAGATTGATGCCCTGGTTGCAGGCAGCCGCTCCGCTGACCCGCTTTTTCGGCACTTGCAGGGAGCCCCTACGAACGACCGGGGTTGACACCCTTTATCGACGAGGTACCAAATCCTTCGCCGTAAGCCCGGCTATTGCTTACAACCTGGTTTCATAACGGCTCTTCCGGGTTTCAGGGTATCATCATATCTGCCGATGTCTGATTTGCAACTTTCGCGAGCATGTTGATCATGCATCCAGAGCACTTCTGCGGTGCCTTTGATACCCCTTCGCAAGTTATGATCTCTTGCACGATCTCGGTCTGTCTTTTTCTGTCTGATTTTACCTTGTCTTGTTAGCGGTACGGTGTTACTACTGTACAAATGAAATTCGGGGCGCTTGCGGTATGAGGAAGAGTGGGAAAGGGTTCAAAAAGCATGACTCGGAAATGTGCTTTTGGCTTCAGCGTGGAGTCTTGCCGGTTTATGATTGTGCATCTTCGGATAGGTTTAGAGTGCGATTTGTTTTTTGTCGGATTTTGACAGCAGGCCCTGTAAGCTGGTGGCTTCCCCCCAGCTTCAACATACGCATAATAGAACTACATTCCAAAAGCATTCACTTGAATCATATTGTTGTATCGCCCAGCGCAAAGCTGGACCTCCATGCCAACCGTACCTGGTGTACATACCACGGCCGGGGGGGGGGGCACGCGACCTACCAGTCCAAGTTCACACAACCCCTCTTTCAGCCTAGTCTGCGTCCAGCAGCCACTCACAACTCAGGACGCCAAAAACCTGTCTCCATCCTTTCATTTCCTTTCTCATCTGACACGAGGCACACAATCGCCGCCGGACGCCCCAAGCAAAGATCCTGATGTAACTAACCAATGGGGGTAAAAACGAAGGAACATCACATTTTGCATAGCAAAAAAACGTTCGCCTTAGTTGCCTCTAGTGGACCACGGTGTGGCTTTGTGCCTAGGGAATCCCGACCCCAGACGTTCGTGTAAGCGGGCGCAACCACACCCGAGCAACGTGACGTGCTAGGATGGCCTTGTCTCGCGTGGATAATGTGATTTTAATTTCTACGGTCAAGTTGGGGAAGCCCGTCTGCGGGTGTACCGGTAGGTTGTGGGAAAAAGTGGTATGATGTTTGGCACCGGTGTGGAACGCGTAGTGTGAGAGATAAGAGAATGAGGGATGGGGGATGCCATTCCTTCTGCTGTTTCTCGTATACTTGGGATGAGGGGGGTTTGGGTATGAGATGGGGTATGCTTGTTGTGATGGGAGAAGTGGTGATTCCATTGGGGCATGCCACGCGTGTTGGGGGAAGGAGCGGTGCGCTGGTTGGTAGTGTTTCTCGTATGTGTGTGATGATCCTTTTCGGAGGGTGTTGCGTTGCGTGTCGAGACTGCCCAGGTGATCTAGATACGCGGCTGCTTTGCTGCTTTGCTGCTTTGCATGTGTGCAGGAAGTCCGAGTGATTAGGATCGTCTTGCTCTTTTTGCCCGCCTATCATGAACGTGAAATATACCGGTACAGCACGTTATTTGCTAATAGCAGATGCAGTGTTGTTCTCTAAGCGCACCTACAAGCAATACCCGCGCCCCTCCTAGAAAAACTCCCGAAGTTCATGCGAAGGATGCAACACGGGCACTAGGGAAATGACAGGCCGGGGTCTGTCTTGTGGTGGTGGTGTGCGGTAGCGAGATCGTAGGAGATCCGAAGCATACCTGCTGCTGTCTAATACCGTGTTTCCTTGCATCTTAGCTGCCAATCTTCATCGCTTCTCACTGCTGTGCTGTATCTCTCTGTTCCGCATTCTGCCTATTATATTTGTTGGTGATAAAGGACGATGCAAAGGCCCCTCAACAGCCACTCATCACTCTGCGGACCCTGAAACCGCTCACGTCTACCTCATTTGTTGAGAACATACGCACCCCATCCATTTTCCATCTACCTATGCCCGCGATCCCCCGTCCCATCGCATGTCCGTATCCGGCACTTACCACGTCCGTCCGCGATGCGGCCCTTCGCCGAAGAATACAGCCGACAACGGCGCGGTGCCGCGTAACAGTCTGGCACACACCATCACACACGCCAGAAAAAAAACGGTTTCGTCCGGCACGGCCAAGACTCAAGTTATGGTCATATTGCCCCACACACCACTATTGTAAATCCCCTAGTTTTCGCGCTGGTTTTGAGTTTTTTTCCACGCGACCGTCGCGTCTATGAGGTGGGACTAGTGGATGCGTGGTGTATGTATTTTTCTTGGTGCCGCCTCGCAAATTTGATCTTTATGCAGCGTTAGGATGGGAGTCAGCTTTGCGCGCGTATTTGCCGTATTATCAATACAGGTAAACGCGTTTTCCGAGCCACGGTACTAGAAATAGTCCCGTTCAAAAATGGATGCTGCATGCATGCACGCGACCGATTGACGACCAACATCGAGACAAAGCGGAGCAAGCGCCGTATCCCTGCTATGACGAGTTGGAAAAATGGGGCGGACTTTTTTTCTTTCATTAGGTTTCAGACTGGAGCGAAAGCGAAGTGAATGAACCGTTGCCGACCGAGGAGGATTAGTCGGTTAGTCGTTGAATTAGTTCAGGTTAGTCGGGTTGTCTAGACAAGTTGCGACCTTGGAACTAACGTCGGAATCTCTCTCAAATAAACTTTTTCCGACAAGACATGGAAACGCTGTCATGTATTCAAGCCACTCAAACTCGTCGGAGAGAGAGAGAGAGGGCAAAGCAAATAAGATGAGATGAGATGCGTAATGCGCTCTAGGCTTACGTTACTTCCCTCACTTGTCCTGCTCAGTAACTTTGGGCCCGGTCCTGCGCCGGTGGTTCCCGCGGTCAAGGCTCGAGGGAGCATCAGGCCAGTCTCCGTGTACGGAACGGAGCTCGACGGATGCCGGTAGTGATAAAAGGGCCGATTGTTTAGTACCTAGTGCAATTGTTCCTGAATGACGCCAGGCGCAGTGCCTGCTGCTGTGCTAGGCGGCCTTACGGTGCTGCTGCCGACATATGCATGATAATCTTAATCTTTTCGGGCGCCTGCCGCTGCATGCTTGGTTATGCGAACGTGTGGGCAGACGGGCGTGACTAGCTGGCTACTGTAGTTTTAGCTGGCTTAGGGGCTTGCGCTTGCTGCTGTTGGGGCGCGTATGCAGGAATTGAGTCCGGCTAGGGCGCCAGGCATGCGAAGGAATTTCTTTCTTTAGGTTGTGACTATAGAGATGTTTGGGATAGAGGGGTTGATGTTCGGAGTAAATCAAGCGGTCATTCACCCCTCGTACTAAGCTTGCCACCCACCATAGAACAACTAACAGAAGAATAATCTACACGGATTATACCCCGTAAGTGCCTCGCGAGACAATGCTAATAGTTAGCATCGTTTGGCTCTAGACTATGAAATTCATTGCAAACAAGACCGGTGGTTTTAAGTACTAGAAATTAATCTCACGATGTGAATATTGTTCCTTATACGTCATCCGGTACTATATCCGACAAGCCAACTATGATAGTCCAGTAGGACTACTGCGCAACCACGTTGGTAAATCACAGTACTGTAGTCGCAGACGAGGAAATCAAGAAACACATGTAATTTACCTGACACCTTGGGGATCCTCCAGTATATCAGCCTGGAACTTTGTATCTAGGATACTGACGATGGTGTGGATGAAGTCGGTATGAACTAACACCCTCGTCTTTAAGTGGCCAAGAATCAGGCGCAAGATCTTTAGCTTCTCGTGAGGTCCATGGCCCAAGTGTTCATGGGGCAGTGCTATTACCAGTTCTAGCAAAGTTTTCTAAGGCCTGCATGGTATCGAAGTGAACGCGCACATAGTCTGAACCTACGTAGACCTCCATAAGAAAATGTGATGAAGCGCCTTGGGGTACTAGGCCCAACTATCGTGAACTTATCCCATGACTGTGAATGTATTTAATGATCATCCCTACACTGCCGAACCAGCTTGCGTTATACTGGGAGATCACCGATACCATGTCGGAGTAAACGACCATAACGCATGTTATCGATCGCACCCTGGCAAATATCACGCAGATGTGAAAGGGTGATTCATGTGGTGGAGAAAATATTCCAATGGATTTTCTGGTCCTTATCAACTTGCTCTGGACACTTGCTTCTCATTGCCGAACACGAAACGAGTCATACAACACCTCTGTATGATCTCTAAAGTGTAAAGAAAGATTCCAAATAATTGACTGATTGATTTGAGAATATATTGAGGTAGTAACAGAGATCCATCTGCACTACGGAGGGCTCACGAATATTCACATTGCTGACCATGCGATCCTCTACATGTACCCAGGTATTTGACTTGCAACTGTGCATACGAAATTACGCATACTCCAAAGAAAGGCTGATCAAAGCAAAGGCGAAAAACTAGGTCTAGGTGGAGACGAGGGTGATGGCCAAAGGTGTTGTTCAAGGACGTCGATGATGTAATTATCAAGGCTCAGCTGGGAGGTGAGGTACCATGCTCGGAAGGACGTCGTGTTACCACCACCCACGAACACGAGATTGCATGCACAACCAGCCAAGATGATCTCTTGTGGTATTGAGAAGGGTACAGATAACAACACTATGGGTTCGCAGTGACAGATATGCATAAAGAACGAAATTTAACTGCAGCTCCAGATGAATATACATGTCGCGTCGATGCACGTCGGCGGCGTGGGCATCCTCAAAAGGGCGTTTCAGTCGCACAAACCCCACTCCCTCATAAGTCCATGGGCAGACTGCCTAGCATTGTAGGATCTGGCTACCAGAAAGTCGCGCCATGCAGGCGCGTTTGGCACTGAAATGAAACCCCAACTTTGGTACCAAACGAACCACATGAATTGAAAGTGCTTCGCTCAATGACCGTATCCCACAACTCCAGTCCTCCTACGCGTTGCCCGTTTGCTTCTGAGGCCGTGGAAAAGGACATAGCACGCTTCACAACGACGCTTCCAAATGGCGAAGATGGCGTCCATGACAATACCGGGAACACTGAACATGACAGTGATCTATCTGGCCCTTCCGAAAAAGGCGTATTCCAGGTAAGATATCGTAATACTGCTCATAATCAACCCTTTGATACCAGCTCCAGCGCTATATCAACCAACTCGCCATCAACAACTTCGGCTTCACACTTCAAGTCGCATGGGAAGCCGTGGGTCTCTCATTTCAGCTTGCGTGGCCGAACGGGGGTCCTGCGGCTCTGGTCTATGGATCCATGATTGCTGGCATTGATTCTACTTTAGTAGCGTTGGCTTTGGGAGAGATGGCTTCCATGTAATGGAAATCGAATCATAGCTGCTAGTTATGTGTCTCGATTACTGATTACATAACAGGGATCCCACCGTCGGCGCACAGTATAGATGGTCAGCACGTTTCGCGCCGTTTGCGCCTGAGTTCTGGGGGTTCATACAGGGTAAATAACCACCCGATTCGTGCTTAGTTTCCATATTACCCTGTGAGCTGACAGGTCGGGAAGGTTGGATTACAGTCATCGCTTGGGTGTGCAGCTGTGCGGGTGCCTTCTCCTTCATGTCCAACACGCTATCCGGATTGATCATCTTCAACAGTCCAAGCTATGAGCCCCAGCCATGGCATTCGACGGTGTTCCTCATCGCGTTCCTTGTTGTTCCGTTGGTACTCAATCTCTATCTGAGGCAGATTATCAATTATCTGGAAACAGTCGGCGGTATCTTTCACGTCGTCTTGTTTGTGGCGGTTGTTATGACACTTTGTACACTGGCCAAGCACAGTACACCCACATATGTCTTCAAAACTCTGCATACAGATGCGGGATGGGTGAATCCACGCGTCGCTTTCTCGATTGGTATGCTTGCAACCGCATACCCGATTAGTAGCTTTGACGGTGTCCTTCACATGAGTAAGTTGGTGTAAGTCGAAAGTGTTCTTTCGACTGATACTAATCAACCGTATAGTCGAAGAGACAAAAGAGCCTTGCAGACGGGTGCCCAAGGCCATGGTCTTAGCAACTATCCTCAACGCCGTTATGATGATTGCGTTTTGTATCTGTCTGATGTTCTGCATCGGAGACGAAACAGCCGTCGCAAAATCAATCCTACCCATCACAGAAGTCTTTTACTCTGCGTAAGACACATCCTCTGTTCGATTTCACACATACCTGTACTAATATAATCCTGTAGCACAGGATCAAAACCAGCTTCCACCGTCATGACAGCACTAATGGGCTTCCAGCTCATGATAGGCAACTTCAACATCGTCGCATCCGTTGCCAGGTTAGTCTGGCGTTTCGCATCCGACAAAGGTCTTCCTTTTCACCAGCATTTCACCTACGTAAGCTGTTAACCATACAAATCTTTGCGTATCCAACTGAAAGAGTTTCAGATCCATCCAAAACTCCAAGTGCCAATACCCGCACTCCTCCTCGTTGGAATTATCTGCTGCCTCCTCTCCCTCATCAGCCTCAGCTCAACAACAGCCCTCAACTCGCTCATCTCGCTGCCCACAATCGCATTATATGTATCCTACCTCGTTCCTATCATACTTCTTACGCTACGCCAGCTTGTCAGGAGACACCCGAAATACGGACCCTTCCAATTTGGTAAATGGAGCGTTCCAATTAAGCTGTGTGCCATGGTTTATCTAGTATATGTCATGATTTTTGTTGCTTTTCCGGCGTCTAGGCCGGTGACGAGTTTGACTCTGAATTATGCGCCGCCTGTTCTTCTAGGTTTTCTTTTCATCGCAATGGTGGATTGGTTTGTGAGGGCGAAACGGAAGTTTGAGGTACCTACTGCTGCGCTGGAATATGCGGAGGATGAGAGGTGGGAGTAGTTGCTTGATAGAGCTGAGATAGTGAGGCGCGATGCTAAGTGAAGGGGCTTGATATATTAACGCTCTGATCGACCAGCAGAATAGACCTGTAGACCAGGATGACTGTTCTTCTTGGCATGTGCAAATCCTACTGCAGTATAAATATACTGCTATTAATCGCAAGTAGTATTATACAAGCCATATCATATCCTATCTTCCAACTCAGCTAAACCAAATAAGGAATCTCCCTACCCATCTCTCTCTCCACCCCAACAACGAAAACATCCACCATATTTCTCTCACTCACCCTATCCGCCTCCACATCCATCTCCTCCACCCACTCTCCCCTCTCACAATTGCATCCCCAACCCTCGTCCCACCTTCAACTAAACACTCCACAAACCTCACCGCCGTCCTAAGCGGCGAATACCGCCCCCCTGCCGGCGCCAAATTCACATCCGCACCCCGCACCCCGCACCTCCAGCAACATCCTAACCGCCTCCACACTAGTCGGTCTCGCAAAAAACAGCAAAATCAAAGGTATATTCCCACTCCCCGTCGTTGCATCCACGCTATGAGGAAAGGAAACGACATAGCAAAGCGGAGAATATCCGGGTTGCGAGCGTTGGCAGCTAAGTGCAGTATGTTTCCATCTGCGGCGCCCGAGGGAGATCTTGTGAGGTGCTGTAGATGCGGTGTCATGTCTACATGTGTGATTGTTGTTCTAGCAGGTAGTGTACGATGTGGGGTTGGTTCTAAAAGGTGGCCTGACCGATGTATTGGTAGGGGAAGTCTGTTTGTGGTTCTGCTAAGAGGGCGGTTGTGAGGATGTGTTGGGACCGCGCGGAATCGAAGAGGGTGTGTAGGATGGGGAGGTAGCTTTGACGGGAGACGGAGCAGAGGAGTGTGTTTGCCCATGAGAGCGTGGAAGAGGAGAGAGGAGATGGGATATGTGAAGTTGCTTGTGAGAAGGGGCCGCTCGGTAACTCAAGTCGTTTGTCTGCAAATTATAATAAGTTGACCATATCAACAAACCGTTTTGAGATTATAGAGATAACATCTAGTCCAAATCAAGATGAGCACAGCCTTGAATGTTATCCCGTTCGCCGTATCAGCACAAAAAGGAACGAACGATAAGATACCTATCCGTCAAGTCAGCACAGTAACACAACGTACCCAACACTCAACCCACATAGATAGAAACTATATACAGCACAAACTCCCTCACTTCTCATCTCAAAATACGCCCCCTGTACCGCACTGTTCCCCCCTTTCCTCATCACAAACCCAAAATACTCAAAACTATCCCCATCCCCCATAACCTCCATGTCCAAATCCCACTCGCCATCCCGATTAACAATCGGCTTAATAAAATGAGGTTGTCTATATGTCGGATCGTGAGTATCGGTAGAGACGTTGGCTGCTTGACACTTCGGCCCGACTTCGGCCCACCTTGCGCAGAGCTTAGGTATACCTTCGTAGCACCTATGTTCGTAGAGAATACCAATACCAGTCACTAGAAGAACCTCGTTGTTGTTATTCACCCGTACGATCGTACAAGGCCTACCGACACTATACGTGATATAAAGAAACACACCATCATCTTTCAGTACTCTCATAACCTGTTTCTTACTATCAGCACCGTTTCCTCTACCCTCTTCCTCTCCTCTCCCCGTCCCCCACTCCCTTTTCAACAAAACAAGTAAATAACCACTCACCTCCTTCATATACCTCCCACTGTTCTCCAACACCTCATCCGGCGGACTCCACGGACTCCCATAAATCATGGTATCCAACGTCCCCTTATCAAACGCCACGTCCACGCTTCCACTCGCAATAGCCCTCATATCGCGCACGTCGCCAACTTGCCACTCCACCTGTGGTTTATCGCTGTGTCGCGACTTCATGGTTTCTACGACTACGGTGGAGAAGTCGAGACAGACTTGGTTGGTGTAGCCTCGTGCGAGGAGGTCGTATGGTACACACACCTGAGATCAATCAAGCTAGCTTGATAGCTTGATTGGAAGATTGATGCCAAGCCAATTCAATCAATCCAGCCAAACCTCATACAAAAACGCAATCAATCCAGCTGAGCTTTTCCGTGAGCTTGATTCAGATTGATAGCTTGATTGCCTTAAGTATATAGTAGATTTCGGTGATGAGGCAGCCCATGAGGCAGCTTAGATAGCTGTAAAAGCTCTATACTGAGCTTTTTTTGGTGTTTTAGTTACGCCGTGTAACATTGAGTAATATCCGATAGCTCCGTGTAACTAGCAGCCAGCGCGTCGTCTCATATAGTATACTCCATCTCCATCTCCATCACCCACAATACTATATACTTTTGGTGTTGCAGATCTATCGCCGTATACCTCACCTCATCGTCGCCCTCATGCCGCCCAAAAAACGCGTCTCTGATAGCGCTCCCTCGCCTAGAAAGCGCGCGCGCGGCACTGCGAGCCAGCCCGTCGCGATCGACTCGCAGTCATATCAATCTCAGCCATCTGCTCTATCTCCGCCGCCTCCATATACACATACTTTCGAGTCGCGATTGCGCGAGTCGCAGCCCGAAGACGCTATCGTCGCGCCCGCCGAGGGCAGTGAGCAAGCTACGCTCGCTCCGTCTTCTGAAGCCGCCGACGACGCTGTAGATGAGGCTTTTGACGCCCATCTCGAAGACAATTATGATGGCATAGATTGGGGTCGCCTTAAGCTGTATACGAAGCCTATCACGACGCACCAACACAAGCGGAGTTGGATCTATCGCCACGGCTATCGCGTCGCTCTTCTCAAAGATCCAACCCGCGTATTCTTCATCTGCCACTGGTGTTTCAAGCACAAGCTCACGGATATTGGTATTGGGATATACAATACAAGCGCAGCAGTCTCGTCAGCCGCGCGCCACCTCAGCGAGCAGAAACCTGGCCATAGGCTAGTAGCACCAGGCAGACTCCAGTTGGCTAGTGTTTACAACGCGCTCACCACTGCAAGAGTCCCTATCTCACAGGCGGTAGCTAATCAGATTAACGGGTTTAGCAAGCAGCGCTTTAGGTTTGCCGCAGTAGACTGGCTCGTCGCGAACAACCACCCCATCTCTGAGTTCGAAACACCAGCTTTTCGACGCCTAATTGCTATCGCCAACCCACTTGCAGAAGCAGCGCTCTGGAAGAACCACAAGAGCGTCTCCCAATACGTCATACGACTGTTTGACTGGCTCAGGCCCCGCGTTGTCCACGAGCTGTCACAATCGCTTAGCAAGATCCATATAAGCTTTGACGGATGGACAACGAAAGGCGGCAAGCGCGGGTTTCTCGGTATCGTCGCCCACTACGTCAACTCAGATGGCAAGCTCCGAGACCTGCCTATCGCGCTGCCTCAGCTCACAGGCGCTCACTCCGGCGATCGATTAGCTGAGGTTGTATTATCAATCTTAGAGCAGTTTAGCATAAGCGAGCGCACACTCGGTTACTTCGTCCTCGACAATGCCTCTAATAACGACACCGCTGTCGCTGCGATTGCCCACGAGCTTAACTTCAATCCTATACACCGACGCCTCCGCTGTGGCCCTCATACGATCAATCTGATTGGGCAGAGACTGCTCTGGGGCAGAGATGCAGACTCATACAACAACGAGGGAGTTGACGAGCTCGCCGACGAGGCAGCGTTTATAAAGGAGTGGCGAAAGCACGGGCCTTTAGGCGTACTTCTCGATATTGTCAACTATATCCACACACCGCAGCAGTACAATCTTTTTGAGAAGGCGCAGCGTACAGCTTACCGTGAGCTACCTCACGACGCAGACGACAAGCTCACGATACTACAGCCAATCAAGCCAGTAGTCACACGCTGGAACTCATACTTCGACTGTTTTGAGCGAGCTATAAAGCTCGCGCCGGCCATCAACGCGTACGCGAACACCCACATACAAAATACAGCAAAAGAGGATATCTACGCCGACTCACAGGGCAAAAATCGGCCTGCTGCTCCACAGTGGATGAGATCAGACGGCCTCACAGCTGCCGATTGGGCTGTTGTTACCGACTATATAGAGGTTCTTAGGCCACTTAAAGAGTGTACAAAGCGCTTTGAGGGACGTGGCGAGTATAGCTTTGGCGCGATCGCTGAGGTGATCCCAACGTTTGATTTTCTACTCACTCAATTAGAAGCTCGCCTCCTCTACTACGATTGCGTAGTCCATGACGCTCACGACGAGGCACCCGAAGATCACCTTCCTATTAATCTACGCGCAGCGCTACTTAAGGCGAACGAGTACTACGCTAAACTCGACGACTCGCCAGCTTACTACGCTGCTACAATACTCCATCCTCGCTACAAACACTACTGCGATCAAGCGTGGGCTGAGAAGCCTGACTGGCTGGCGCTTAATAATCTTAATTTCCAGGCACTGTGGGCGGATTACAAGTCGCTGCCGTTACCGAGGCCTTGCTACACACGCGCACCGAAGAAACCGAGCAATATTGACGACGCGATTGACGGCATTATTGATCCCACACGCGGCAATACTAAGGAGGATGAGTATGAGCAGTGGAAGCGCGAGCCAATCGTTGGCAAGGGCACCGATCCTATACAATACTGGTTCGGGCTGCGCGATCAATATCCCAACCTTAGTAAGATGGCGCTTACTATACTCTCTATACCCGCTTCAAGCTGTGAGTGTGAGCGCGTCTTCAGTGAGCTCGGAGATCTACTAGAGCCTCGCCGACGCTGTATATCACCTGAGCTACTAGCAGCACTACACTCAGTACGACGATGGAGACGGGCAGGTTTTGGTGGCGGCGACAACGACGATATGGGCCAATCAAAGCTTACCGACGAGCAGATGGACGTTTTGTACGAGCTTAGCAAGTGGGTGGGCGAAGACGACGATCTAGATACATGGGACGACGGCTGAGACTCAACACCAAAAAATATATACAACTTTCCTATTTGGGAATCAAGCACCCAAGCTACCAATCAAGCTAACAACTTTCCGCCAAGCCAATTCAATCAATCCAGCCAAATCTCATACAAACAGCCAATCAATCAAGCCGGGGGCTGTCAGCTTGCTTGATTGATTGATCTCAGGTGTGATGGTACAGTCTGCGCGCGTTAGTGGAGCGGAAAGGCAAATAGCTGCGGCTTAGTCTGCGTAGTATATATATATATATATATATATATGTGCGTGTGTGAAGTCCAAAGGGGTAGTTAAAGGAAAGAGGGCCATGAACGCACACTATCTGTTGCGGTTTGTGAGGCAAGGGTATTGCGCATGTCACGTGCGTTGTCCTGGCGCTCCTCCCTCCCCTCCATGAGCACCTTCTCCCCTCACCAGCATCAGAGATACGTCATGTAAATAGACCCTGATTATGGCTACATATAAGGTGGCCATGACAGCACAACAACAACAGAACACAATATACTCTGATGACTGCCTCGCGCGGTTACACTTTAATTGACTGCATTGTACTGCAACACTATCCCCACTACCCAAATGCAGCACCCTCTGGCCTTTACCCGCCTCCCCGCGTGCACCAAAAAGATGTTTTTTGAAAAAAGGTTCTAGGGCGCTGAAGGCGCGGAACCATTCATGCTTCGGCTTTTCGCCATCGGCTTTTGCATAGCGTTCATTCCAGAATTCGGCGCGAGCTAGTGCTTGCGCTTCTTTTGATGATGACATTATGGCAAGTTTTTGATTGAACAAAGTGTATGAATGCTAGGTGAATTTAAATAGGATTGTTGAGAATTGGGACTGTTGGAGAATGTTGGCCCCGCGCTAGGAACGAGGGCGTGTCGCCTAGGTACAAGATGCTGATCGATTTTGATTTCAGGGTTGAGTCAAGCTACTATGCTGCATAGGGCTTAGCGCTACCAACGTAGATAGAAACGAGTCACAGAGAGGACATGAAATTCATGAAATTCACGAATGAGTAGATCGTCAGAGTAATTAAGCGAGGTATGAAGCCGGTAAACCACTCATAAACATCTCCGTAGAACCGAAAAAGAGATTTACTTTCATTCATAAACTACATACACAGGGCGTTCACCTCGTTTCATTTCGTTTCCTCCAATGATGGTTGCTTTTCTTCCTTCTTTTAATGTCAAGGTCGCGCGCGGTAAGACGACTCCAGATCAACTGGAGGTTACTCCTGACTAAAGCCGCGTGGGGTACAATGATTCGTGATGAGTGTTGAGAAGAAAAAAGAACAGTGGGTTATGTGTTGATACAGGTGATGTCGTGTCGTAGCGATTGATGGTGTAGTGGAGAAAGAGACAAAAAGCATAAGCATATTATCTCGTAGGGGTTTTCTAGTATGGGCTGACTGAGGGTAGCCTTGTCTGGGTCTATGTCGCTGGGCGGCAAAGTCCATTCAAAACACGTGCTACCTGTACCTAAGCCAAACCGGGTATCAAGTGAAGAAAGAGACGGATCGCCTATAGTTCGTCCTTGACAGCTTGGGTGGCCTGAGTAGCTGCGCTGGAGAGGCTGCTGGCGGCCTTTTCTGCACCTTCAGAGGCGGCGGCGTACATCTCCGCAATACGGCTGTTAGCAGCAGCTACCGCGTCTGCAATTCGGCTGTTGGCACTTTCCATGGCGCCTTGTTCTGGGCCGTAAACGGCGGAGCTGGCCGCTGACGATATGTAGGCCGCGTTTTCGCCCATGGCAGATGAGATTGAGTTGTAGACACCACCGGCACCGCTTGTAGCAGACGCAACATAATCTGCGGCGGTAGGCGTACCGAAAATGGCGGCGCTGATAGCAGCCTGTGCAGATATGGCGGCGGATGAGAAGCTGTCCTGAGCTGCTTGAGTCCCATATAGCTTCTCACTCACTTGAGATTGGATAGATGAGTATGCACTTGCCACAGACTCGCTCGCTTGCTCGGCAGCACCCTTGGGAGTTCCATAAAGGGCGATAGATGCACTTTCAACGGCCATGTCCAAGGATGCACTAGCCTGGCTCATAACGTCTTCAATCATAGCTGGGGGCGTGAAGACAGCACTAACCACAGACGAAGCCGAGGCGTAAGCATCAGCAGCTGCGTCAGTCACTGCGTCGTAGCCGTCGCCAGCGTAAGAGCTGGCAGCGTGCATACCCTCGCTTGCATAAGATTGCGCGGATGCCATGGCTGCAGGGAGAGCCGTGGAGTATGCGGATGCGAAGCGGTTCATGACACTCTCGGTGAAGTCTGGTTCCTTGCCAACAACAAGCTCGGAGATGAGAGCCTGAACCGCAGCATACTGTTGAGCAGCCGCTGCAGTAGCCTGGGCACCATATGCGCCTGCTTGAGAGTAGGCCGACGCTGCCCACGGCGTGGGCTGGCCGTAGACTTGGTTACTCGCTTGTGAAATGAGCGCTTCCCAGTTCTGGCTTGCCTGAGAGGCGACGGACTCAGTCCACGGGGTTTCAGAACCAACAACACCAGAGCTGACCTGAGAGGCAGCAGATTGCGCAGCAGCTTGGGCGTTGGCAGCGGCTGATTGCGCCGATCCGGAGACTACGGATGCCGCAGAAGCAGCAGAAGCAGACGCAACAGAGGCCAAAGACTCAATGGTACCTTGTTCGTGTCCATAGACAGCGCTCGAAGCAGCACCGAGAAACTCAGAGTACCGGGCATGCGCAAGGCCGATAGCTTCGTAGTATTGTCGGCGAGCGCCATCAGCGACACCAGTGGACTGAGGTGAGAATTGAGAGGAAGCCTGGCTCAGACCTTCTGCGAGTCGAGAAGATGCAATGGACGAGACCGACTCGAAGTACCCTTGGGTAGGACGAGCAGCATAGCTTTTCACTGACTCAGTGTACTGCATAGCATTCACCAAGCGTTCGCTGGCAGCAGCGACGGAATCCGAATAAGCCTTTTCGAAATACGAGAGCATGGTCTTATGAGCAGGTTGCGGCTCACCAGAAACTAGGAGAGACAACTGTGCCTTGGCGTTCTCAAGCTGTTCACTGGCGACGCGTACAGCATCGTTGTAACGCGAGTTTGCTTCGATCTGGATGGTTTGAACGATTGCAGTAGGTGTTGGTGTACCGAAGATGGCGTATGATGCCGCAGTCACAGCTTGAGCGTATTTTTCGGCTGCGACGCTGGTGGCACTCTCAACAGCTGCTTGCTCGGTTCCGTACAACACACTCGATGCAGCGGCAAGTGCCTTTGCGTACTGTTCGCTTGCGATCGAGGATGCCGATTTGACGCTACCCTGTGTCTTTGTAGGGCCCAAAAGCGCTTCGCTGACAGCTCTGCTCATCTCAGCAGCTCGGTCTCCAGCGCCTGCTAGCACCTCCTGCACTTTACCAGAGTATGTGTCGTCGTCATCTTCATCGTCCAGGGGTTGGTCAAAGACAACTTGCTTAGCCTCGGCGAGGATTTGCGCATTGGCTCCACCAAACACTTTCTTGGGGGCATTATAGACCTCAGTCGCCGTTGCAGCGGTGTCATCAACCACCTCAGACGCTTTAGAGGAGGCTTGAGAAAGCACGCTCTCAGAAGGAAGTGTATCTTGAATAGCCTCAGAAGCTTGAGATGAGACCTGTGATGCTGCTTCCTCAACAGAGGATGTGACACTCTCTGCAAGTGGGGTTTCGCTACCTACAACGACTTCAGAAGCCTGAGATGAAGCAGCGGAAGCGGCGTTACTGATGGAAGAGGCGACACTTTCGGTAAGCGCTGTTGAACTACCCTGTACAGCTTCGGATGCCTGGGAAGAGACCTCAGCGTATGCCTCTTCGGCAGAGGAGGCGACGCTCTCGGTAACGGGTGTAGAACTACCCTGGATAGCCTCGGAAATTTGAGATGAGACATCTCCAACATTCTCGATGACCTGCTGAGCAGCTTTGCGAATGCGGGGAGCAAAGGCCTTGTCAGAAAAGTCATCGGTAGCATCGCCTGCCCAGATCTTCGACTTGGAGACGTCCTTCAACCGTACCAATTCAGAAACCATGTTCGAAGCGATAGCCATGGCCTTGTCTTCAAGCTTTCGGGCCTCTTCATGGGCGATGCGTAGGCCATCGTGCCTTGAGCCGACAGCCTCGACTTCAGCCTGCCACTCTTCAAGTGTGTTCCTGAGCTTATGGTAGTTTTGCCAGTCTTGATATGTGACGCCATCGGTCCAAGCCTATGGTGGTTAGCAGAGCTCGGAAAATAGAATCATTTGTAGATAAGCATACCCATCGCATGCCAACTTCTTGAAGGCCGAGACTGTGGATCTTTTCAAGAACCTCAACGGTGCTCCTGACAGCAGCTTGTACCAGGGAATCGATCTCTTCCTCATAGGATGCCTTCCAAGCACGAATATCCTGTGCCCGCTCCTTGACAGTGAGGCCGAGCTCGCGGGTCTTGACACTGCATTTCTCGTGTGCAGCCTCTAGCTCTGCTTCTGAAGCGTCTTCGGGGAGCGCAGCGACGGTCTTCTTGATGAACTTCTTGAGCTTAGCGATAGTGGCGTCTGCAGTCTCTTCAAGCTTGACTAGCAAAGCCTTGCCATGTCCGTTGACTGCGTTGTCAATTTGTCGCTTGGTGATGTCAGCTACTCGTGTCTCCAGGTCTTCAGCGCCCTTGTCTGCCGCTGTTGCGAACTTGGTCTGCCAGTCACGTAGATCTTGGTTGAGCTTCTCTTGCAGCTCGGCGCCGGTCAGTTTGGGCTTTTCAGGGCTGACTTGGGCTGGAGCATGATCGTTTGAAGCTGTGCTAGCTGATTCACTACCGAAGAAGTCGTCAAGAACACCCCAACCAGAGCCTCCAGTAGAGCTGGGGGATGCAACAGAGGCAGAGGAGCTTGCAACGGTGGGAGTATGCTTGAGTGACTCTGATGAAAGAGCGGTCTGAGATTCGACAGCAGACATGACAGATTCGACCTTTTGCTGGTTCTTGTAACGGCCCAGTCTTTCGGAGATACGAACCAATTGAGGCTCAACGTTGTCTCCATACAGCACTCGTAGTTGAGGCCAAACACTACGAAGGAAGAAGGCCCACGTAGCGTCTTTTGCAGTATGGACGTGAGGGTAGACAACATGGACGAGGACATGGTGGCCGTATGCGTGTCCCTTTCTTAGGTAGGGCAGGGAACGCTCGTAAGCTGGTAGCAGGGTAAGATGGTAAATCTCCTCGGAGCTTGCCTTGAGGTCGTTGTAGTAAGGGGCGGCGGCGTGGGTCGCCTTGTCGACATGTTGGCTGAGATGTTGGTTGTACTGTGCCTTGACTTGGTCCTGTGCTTTCAGCAGCTGGGGCCGGACAGTCTTGTGGTACTCGGCCTCTGCATATTGCTTGGCCTGCTCGACGCGGTGTGCACCATATGTTTCGTACTTTTCCTGGGCGAATGTCACAACAGGTGTGGTGTAGGGCTTGACCTTGTCAATTTGCGGGGCAACGTATGTCTCGTAGTATGGGTCAAGGTAGGGTGCGGCGTAGGAACGGGTCTGTAGATAGGGCTTGCACACGCGTGGAGACTCGTCATTCAGCTGAGTGAGCGAGTCGGGACACCGGAAGATGAAGGTGACGATGAGATACCAGGTGGTGAACCTCGCAATCATGCTTGTGAGGGCGCCTGTGAAACTTGGTCGGGGCCGTTGCGAGCGTCTCGACCGCGTCGTCAGTTGCGTCTTTTCTGTGTGGCCATTTGATTTTCCGCTGCTACTGCCGTTGGTAGAGCCATTGGCACTGCCGCTGGGCGAGTTTTTGGACTTTTTTGCCCTTCCGTTGGCTGGGCCGGCCATGGTCGCGTGTGTGCCGGGCGATGGAGCGGTGACGCTACGTAGATTGTCGCCTTCTGTGACGTCGAGTTAGCGATACTTGGCAGACCCACTGACAACTCTAGACATACAAAATGAAGCAAAGGGCCCGTGGCTTCTGGGGGAATGAGAAAGGAAAAATGGTGGTGATGGTTGCTTGAAGCAACTTGCTTGTTGCTTGTTAGCGTTGAGGGCACAACCGAGCTGCAGCAGTGATGTAATTGCACGTGCGGACGCGGGAAGGCCTACAAGGACGGGACGTGAGATCAGGATTCAGGATTTGGAAGTGCGATAAAGCGTTGGTGGGCTCTGTCACGACTACGCGATAGACGCTGGCAGGTGTAGTTGGTTAGCACGCAAGCGACAGCTGGCACGGGCGGAGTGCAGGTGCAGCTCAGGGTGCAGTTTCTAGTTTCTACATGCAGGAGAGGAGCCGGCGCAGTGCCTCAGAAAGCCCCTGCTGGTGGTATCTGGGTCTGGGGTGCCTCGCAGACATGACATTGCCCTGTTGTGCTCTGCTCCCCTCTGCTACTGCAACTCTGCAACGCCGATCAATTGTTGGAAAACAAGCGGGTGAGCATGTGAAAACCGCGACCAAGAGTTCACCCAAGCAACAAGGCTGGGCGGGCATCATTCATTCTACATTGGCACTAAACTGTCTAGCCCGTCCAGTTGCCGTCCTGGGGTGTCGGGGGCCAGGGTCACGGCCGGACGGCGCCAAGACCGGTAGACTTGAGTGCATGTGTGTGTGTCGTCAACCGTGGTCCGCCATCACCACAACTACCCAAGCCTTCCATCTTTGCCCGGTACCCTAGGCCAGACACCCTGCATATCCATAACATAACCATACACACAGACTTTCACTCGTCCCACAACTCACACCAGGGTCCCCACGCGACGCCCCCGTATCCGTTCCGTCATTTTGCTCCCCAATGACTACTTGAGCCCTTGCTTTGTGGCTCCTGTCACCCACAACGCCCACGTCTCTTCACTTCAGCCTTTAATACTGCCTTTGTATACTTTTAATCCTACCCTACCAAAATGGCCAACAACGCTGGGCCTCTGATTGTGGGGCCACTCGACACGTCCATGGCCGCCACCCCACTGCCGGACTCCAGAGCAGTCGATAGAGACGACGCCGATACGTGCCGGATATGTCGGGGAGAGGGCACCACCGAAGAGCCCCTGTTCTTCCCGTGCAAGTGCAGCGGCAGTATAAAATACGTTCACCAGGAATGTTTGATGGAGTGGCTGTCGCATACTCAGAAGAAGCACTGCGAACTGTGCAAGACATCGTTCCGCTTCACCAAGCTCTATCACCCCGGCATGCCCAACCGCATTCCCACAGCCATATTCCTGCGCCGTGCTGCCCTCCATGTCTTCAACATGTTTGTGACATGGTGTCGGGGTGTCCTGGTGGGCGCTGTGTGGCTCTTCCTTCTGCCATGGTGCATGCGCGTTGTATGGCGCAGCTTGTTCTGGGTCGGCGACGGTGGCTGGTCACAGGATATCTTTACTGATGTGACAGAGTCGCCCGAAATGCGAACCGTGTCCCCATCCGAACTCAGTACCATTCGCAACGCGACCACATACCCATCAACTCCGACGAGCGCAATCTCCACAACATACATCCCAAATAATACAACCGCCGATGGGTCCATCATCTGGGCTTTTACCAAACAATACTTGTACAATGTCGCATACCCTTTCCTCCAGCTCGCGCAAATCGACAGGCCCAGCTACGTGTACATCAACTCCACCTCGACTAACTCGACTTCGCAACCTCTTGGCATTCGCAGCCCGTCCCTACTTTCTGACGTCCCCTTTTTCAACTGGTTCCACTCCCCCGCTGCCAATCGCTTCATTGTCGACGTGATAGAAGGGCAAATCATTACACTGCTCGTGGTAGTCGCGTTCATCCTGGTATTTCTCATTCGAGAATGGGTAGTCCAGCAACAACCCGTAATCAACATGGTTGCTCTTGGCGATAATGTTGCTGCGCAGCGGGCAGCAGCTCTAGAAGAGGAGGTTCAGGTGGAAAACATTGCAGTCGACGAGGACGAGCTCGACGACGCTCTAGACGTTCTGGACGCTGAGGTCGCCCAGGCGGCGCACGAAAACGAGCCCGAGGATGCTCACGAGGATGAGTTGCCTATACCCGAGGAAGCCTACGAATTGGACGCGCCCGAACCCACGATACGCCGCGTTCGCCGATCTTCCTCGCTTCGGCGAGAACGCGACGAGATAGTTCGAAGAATAGTACATGAGGGTCTGACTGATGATGTCAGATCATTGATACAACCGGGGCCCGCCGATGACAATGCCAACGCTTTGCCTCAAGTTAACGGCCCTTCCCCCACTTTCGCAGACTCCCTTCTGCTGGCAATGAGGGCTGGAGACCCCTCGCCCGAAGAAGACGACAGGGGTGAAGGTAGTAGCTCACTTTTCCCCACCCGTACGTCTTCCCTTCCACGACCATCAAGCTCCGCACCGGATGCGCATGATTCAGATTCGTCGGCCTCCTCCCATAGGCCAAACATGCCCGCACGCGATCGATCCTTCATTGCCACCGAGATACGTCGCAGCTTGGAAGAAGGTAATACATGGTCGTTTGAAAATGTACCCCAACCACCAGAGGCGAATGAAGCAAGGTCCGATAACGTGCCCAACTCCTGGGAAGACGATACCGAAGACCGGCAACCTAGGCAAGAGCACGACGTTTTGTCCGATCAGGAACGGGACAGTGAGCACAGTAGTGGAAGCTGGCAGCAGATTTCCGAGGTTGTAGACGATGACTCCGACCAAGCGCTGGAAGGAGAACATACACACGACAAAGGAAAAGCCAAGGTTGTTGACGCGAATGAAGATTCTGAGCATGAAACTGCATCATCGGCGGATAGCAGTTCTGCCATTGTGGATAATATCATCACAGTCGATACTACCATTGAAGTGGACAGCACCGATAGCCGACCTCGACAAGATGAAGGCCCTCACGATGAGCAGGCCGATCCTGCAGAAGGTCAGGGAAACGTAAATGAGCCTCCTGCAACTGCAGACCAAGCCCAGCCAGCAGAGCCTCAAGCCCAAGGAAATCCAATGAACGTGGTATTAGATTGGATGTTTGGAGATGTGGCACCAGCGACACAGACAGCCGACGAAGGTGCTAATGATGAGCACATCGTTCGCGACCTAGCCGACGAGGCGCCTTTTGTTCCATTTTTGGGAAATGAGATCCGAGATCACGGCAATGCTCCCGCACAGGATCCTGAAGTAGCCGCTGCTGCAGCACAGGCTGGTATCGATGTTAATGACCAGGACGCCATTGAAGATGCAGAAGATCTCGAGGGAATACTGGAGCTCATCGGCATGCAAGGCCCAATCGTCGGTCTCTTCCAGAACGCTCTATTCAGTGCGGTGCTGATATCTGCTACGCTGGCTTGCGCAGTGTGGATTCCCTATCTTTGGGGGAAAGTAGTCATTCTCTTTATGGGAAGTCCCATTTCCCTATTGATCAAGCTGCCCCTGCAAGTGGTCGCCACCGTAACCGACTTTATCGTAGACGCTACTCTCTTTGTGATAGCTGGCGCGACATACTGGAGTTCCTACGCCATCTCGACGTTGGTCAGACTATGCTCCTGGGGCAAGCTTTCAGAAACCATAGATGGTCCACTCCGCGCTGTGTCCGCGCCAGCTTTCTCCCTTGCGGAGAGTGCCATGATTCGTATCGGGAAAATGATCATGGAGTCGCCTTTGTCGCCTCGGCCTGACTACTTTGGGCTCTCAGTAAACGCGCACGCCTCACTGCGAAGTCTGCAAAATGCAACGTCGTTTGCCTTGAATGAGACAGGTAACTTTGCGAATGCCGTCATCGAAGAAATATCGGCAGACTCACCACCCAGGCTCGTGTTGAGGATTCTCAGCCACCTGCCGTCTCTAATCCAAAACACGTATACTCTTGTGCACGGTCGGTGCTGCGCCTTGCTTTCCTGGCTTTGGACCTCGAAATCCTACAAGATTACCTTTGATCTAGATCTAGGCCGCAACACTACTGCTGCATACACTGCTATGGAACGCTGGACTGCGAGCGATCGCTTGATTGCAATTCTCGCTGGCTACGGGTTCTTCGCCTTAGCTGGTGCCGTGTATCTTAGGCGCGGAGCTCCTTTCAGCTCGTCACAACAGGGTCAAAAGATCGAACGCATCATCTCCGAAATCCTACAGCAAGCTGGCGGTGTATTGAAGGTCATCTTGATCATCAGCATCGAGATGCTGGCGTTTCCACTGTACTGTGGTCTACTTCTCGACCTTGCTATGCTGCCACTTTTCAAGAACGCCACATTATACACAAGGTGGCAATTTGCTGTACAAAGTCCCTGGACCTCTGGTTTTGTACATTGGTTCGTTGGCACTTGCTACATGTTCCACTTCGCACTATTTGTGTCCATGTGTCGCAAGATTATGCGCAAGGGCGTTCTCTACTTCATTCGCGACCCAGACGACCCAACCTTCCATCCAGTAAGAGATGTTCTGGAACGTAGCGTGACTACACAACTTCGCAAGATAGCCTTTAGCGCGCTTGTATACGGTGCACTTGTCATCGTGTGCCTTGGCGGAGTAGTATGGAGCCTGAGCCGGGCGACTTCAAATGTGCTACCGATCCACTGGACGACCGAAGCGCCATCACTTGAGTTTCCACTCGACCTATTGTTCTATAACTTCCTCACCCCGGTAATTATCAAGTTCTATAAGCCCAGCGAGGGTCTACACGCCGTCTACAAGTGGTGTTTTCAAAAATGCGCAGGCTTTCTTCGTTTGTCGAACTTTCTCTTTGGCGACAAGGTCCCAGAACAAGAAGGCAGCGATGGCAGATATGTTCGGGCCCCGGCATCAGACCAAGCCCGCATTCCAAAGGGTCAGCCTGTCTTTGTCGAGGTTGACAAGGACAATGTGCGAAAAGACGGACAGACAGAAGGTGGGGTGCACAACTCGGACCTCGTCTCCATGGTCTTCATACCGCCATGGTTCCGTGTCCGCATCTTCTGCTTTGTCGTAACAATATGGATCTTCATGGGTCTATCCGGCGTCAGCGTAACAATTCTCCCCCTGCTCTTCGGTCGCTACCTCTTCTCGCTCTTCCTCCCCCCAACCGTCGAGATGAACGATATCCACGCCTTTTCCCTCGGCATCTATACCCTCGCCAGCATTGGCTACTCCACCTACCACGCCACCAAGTTCATCTCCTCGCTCAACAGACCTGTCCCTGACCCCATGTCTACGCTCCAAACCATTGCCGCAACAACTTCTCGCATCGGCGGCCGCTTCATTCGCTTCTCTTTCGTTTGGGCCAGCCTCGTCTTCGCCGTCCCCTTCCTCTTCGCCGTTCTCCTCGAACTCTACTTCCTCATGCCCCTCCATGCCTACCTCGGTCCAAAGGAACCCCACGTCGTCCACCTCATCCAAGACTGGACCCTCGGCTTCCTTTACTCCCGCCTCGCCGCCAGAGTCGTCTTTGCAAATCGTAACTCGCGTCCTGCTCGCGCCTTCCGCGCCGTCGTCCGCGACGGCTATCTCTACCCCAATGCGCGCATCGCGACACGCTGTTTCCTCCTACCCGTCCTGGCTCTCTTTTTGGTAGCCATTGCTATTCCGAGCAGTCTGGCGTTTGTCATGAGTCGCACGCTTTATCTTGGTGCAACCAAGGCGACGAAGAATATGGTTTGGCGCTTTAGCTTCCCGGCTGTGGGGTGCAGTTTAGTGCTCATGTGGGCTTCGTCTGCTTTGGTAAGGTTGTTGGTGCGTTGGAGACTGGTTGTGCGCGATGAGGTTTATCTTATCGGGGAGAGATTGCATAATTTTGGGGAGAAGAGGATGGCTGCTAGGGAGGAGGTGGCGGCGGGTGGTGAGGGTAAGGGGTCGTTGTGAGTCTGTGTGATGTGGGATTATGGGTTGTTCTTTGCTATGTTTCTTTGGAACGAGTATTATCTTAGAGGATCGCATCCATATATGTATTAGCTGTGATCATTCTTTCAGCCCTGTTTCTTCTTTTCTCTGGGCTGAAAGGGTTTCTCTTGAAATACCCTAGATACAATAAACGTCACTATCAGTGATCTGTTTCTCTTGTGCATGTCTTTAAGTGTCCAGAAAATCGTCTTCTACTTCTAGGCAAGGATAATGCAGGGGTCAAAACAGAGGAGAGGGAGAAAAGGGGGTATTATACAAGGCGGGTGTACCATGGAAATACCACCATCACTAGAATAAAAAGCATCTGCATCTGCGACCCATATCATGGCCTCTTGTTGGGAAAACGCTTATATCTAAGGACCAAGCCTTGATGTGTAGAAGAAACACTCGTGGAGCTAGAATCCAGTACATTAATTTTCCCATGTGCCCATGTCCATCAGAATTCATGTCATGCCGAAATCAGGTCTAGAACCCGTTTTTCCTGTCTCTCCTGTCGTACCTGCCCTTATACGCGTCCAATCTACCCATCCCCTATGATACCAAGGTCCAATGTACCATGGATGCTATATACGTCAAAATTAACGAAGTCTCGCACTTGACCTAGTCGCCGGTTTCTCCGCCTTTTCCGGTTTCGCAGCCTTCGCCAGACTAGCCTCGGTTGGTTTGTCGAAACTCCTCGTCACCCTCTTCTTTATCTGCTTTGACCCTGTTTCTTCGTCTAGCTGCTGTTCTGCTTTGCGTTTGAGGGTGTGTTTGGGCGGTCGATCAACTGCGGTTTGTTCGTCACCAGCCCGGTCGACCGTGTCCCGTTCGTCCACACCACCATCACGCTCGAGCATCTTCTCCTGTGGTCCGGTGTCGTCTTCATCACCGTCGTCGCCTTGGACTGGTTGTTCGTCCTTGCCACCGTTACGCTGCCGCGCCACCCACTCCAGCATCTTCTCCTCGGCCTCGGTATCATCTTCGTCATCGTCGCCGCCTTGCAACATGGCATCCGCCATCTCGCCTGCAATGTCGTCGCCGGCATCTTGGTCGCTCATCATGCGTAGTGCGTACTCGAGGAGTTGGTTGTGATCCATGTTGCTCAGGGGACCGCCGGCGGCCGCGAGTTGACGTTGGAGTGCTGCCATGAGTGTGTCTTTATCGATGGATGGTTCTTCGTCCATGGCGACGTCTTCACCTTCCTCGATTTCATCTCCGACATGGTCGTCGTCATCGTACGGCGGCGAGGCGGGCTCAGTGACAAAAGCCATCCTCCCCTTTCCCTTGTCCAAACGTGAAGACTCTGCGCCGGGCGGGCTGGGTGGTGAGGCTTTCGCCCACTCGGGTATGTGTGCGAGTTTCTCGCGCCAGTTCTTGAAGAGAGCGTATGGTTGGGCGTTTTCTTCTAGCATTTTGGGTTTTGCGCCGCGGTCGGCTTGTGAACGCCATACTATGGGTGAATGGGCTACTACTGCCGTCGGCTCTGTCTGCGCGCTGTCACGTTTTGTGGTTCTTCTCTTCGTGGCTGGGAGACTCTTGACACCTCGCTTCCTCTTCATGCCAGCTTTTGCGCCCTTGACGTCGTGGGCTTGGAACGTGGCGTCGTCGTAGCCGTCCGAGGCGTACTCGAGGTCGTTGAAGTAGTCGAATCGGTCCCAGTCTTCCTCTGCATCCTCATCGCCGCAGGTTGCGGGTGGAGGAGATGCTACGGCGTGCTCTGCTAGATCATCGGCTGCCATGTATTCATCTTCGACGTAGAAGAAGTCGGCCTCGTAATCATCGTATTCGTCTTCGTAGTCGCTCATGCTTGCGTGGGGTCGTCGTGGATGTGCGAGCGCATGCGCTGGCTGGATAGAGTGACGGGCGAGTAGTGATCGGGGGAAGAATGCTATGCGAAATCAATTCGTTTAGTGTACGGTATCGTTGCAGCGTGGGTTTGCGCAGTGAAAGTGAGGAGACTGGGTATGACGCGCGTGTACGGGACATAGTTTGGTTTGCGAGGCGCAAACACAACCCGCACCTTCCTAGGCGCACGGTGACCATGGCCGCGCATGGCAGTTCTCGAGGAAACGCCAACCAGTAAAGAGAGGCAGTCAGCAAAGTATGATAACCAGTGCAGCAGCAGGAGCCACCGATGCGCCTTCCGGATCGAGTTGCCAGTGTTGCGCCTTCCTCTAGTACGGTACAAGTAGACACAAAGCGCGCCTTCCCCGCGAATTGACGTACCGCGGCTCCACGCGGCTTAACGACCACCGAGGCTTGCCCACAGCTGCGGCATTGAAGGATGCAAACAATGTTGCTTCTGTAGTTTTGGAATTCATTCCTGTTTGCTCCATATACGACCACTGTGAAAATGCGTGCTTTTCGCAAGTCTAGCCACCTCTCGCGCCAGCTTCTTGCTGCCAAAAGTGCCCGCTGTAACTCTACTGTTGCGCCAGCTACCAAGTCCCTTACCTCTGTACTGATAGCAAACCGTGGAGAAATTGCACTGTGAGAGCCGTGAAGCTGTTGAGTCTGCTTCAACTAACACATGTCGTAGACGAGTCGGACGAACAGCTTCAGAATACGGTATCCGAACCACAACCCTCTTCACGGACCCAGACGCTAGATCACAGCATGCTTTGAGTTCGCCGTACGCTGTAAATCTCGGAGATCCCTCAGCATATCTCGATGGCGACCGGATAATACAGATCGCAAAGGAGCAGGGCTGCCAGGGTATACATCCGGGCTATGGCTTTGTATGGGTCTCTACAAACCTCAGTGTGCAAGGGCGCTGACAGGACCTATAGCTGAGCGAGAATCCTACATTTGCACGAAAATGTAAAGATGCCGGTCTGACCTTTATTGGGCCACCATGGCAAGCAATTGAATCTATGGGCAGCAAGAGGTCAGTGACAATCACCTACTGTAGTTATGGCGGCTAACAGGTTGAAGTGAGTCGAAAGACATCATGACCAAAGCCGGCGTCCCATGCATCCCGGGTTACCACGGCTCCAACCAAGACCCAGAATACCTCAAAGAACAGGCGGCAAGTATTGGCTACCCTGTTCTTTTGAAAGCCGTCAAAGGCGGAGGCGGCAAGGGCATGCGCATCGTCAATACGGAAGCCGAGTTCTTCGACCAACTCGCATCCGCAAAATCAGAAGCGCGTAACTCCTTCGGCGATGAAGTTATGTTGGTGGAGAAATACATCACCACTCCCCGCCATATCGAGGTCCAAGTCTTCGCTGACAAGCACGGAAACTGTGTTGCATTGGGCGAAAGAGACTGCAGTATTCAACGCCGTCATCAGAAGATCTTGGAAGAGTCCCCGGCACCCCATTTAGACGAGGCCATCAGACAGGATATCTGGGAAAAGGCGAGACAAGCCGCATTGGCCGTCGGCTATGAAGGAGCAGGAACCGTCGAATTCATCTTCGACAACGACACAGGCGAATTCTTCTTCATGGAGATGAACACCAGGCTGCAAGTCGAGCATCCCGTCACTGAGATGGTCACTGGTGAGGATCTTGTACGGTGGCAACTCATTGTCGCCGAGGGAGGAAAGTTGCCCTTGACCCAACAAGAGATTGAGCAGAGGATCAATGAGAGAGGCCATGCCATCGAAGCACGCATATATGCTGAGAACCCAGACATGAACTTCATCCCTGACTCCGGCCTCCTATTACACCTGAAGATACCCACACCAACACGCACTGTCCGCATAGACTCAGGTTTCATCGCCGGTGACGAAGTATCCTCGCACTACGACCCTATGATCTCCAAACTCATCGTCCAAGGCCCCACCCGCGAAGCCGCCATTCTCAAGCTACGGGCCGCCCTAGAAGACTACGAAGTAGCCGGTCCTATCACAAACATTGAATTCATAAAACGCATGTGCGTCTCCCCTGACTTCGTAGCCGGCGACGTAGAAACCGGTTACATCCAAAAACACCACGCCGAGCTCTTCACGCCTATACCGCCAACCCCAGAAGTCTACGCACAAGCAGCCCTGGGTCTCGCACTACAAGAAATCTCCGCCTCCAAAGCAGACGCATGGAGCCAAGGAGGAGGACCACCCGTTACAGCTGTAGGCTACGGCTTCAGTACTTCCTACCAAGCCCGCGACATCCACCTTATCGAGACACCCGCGTCAGGCAAAGGCGAATCCACAACAACAAAAATCTCCGTTCGCCAAACCAGCCCCGAGCACTTCGACATCACCATAGCCGATACCACGTACACCAACGTCACATCTACCTTCTCCCCTTCATCAAACACCCTAACATCCTTTTACCCCCACACCCGCCTCTCCACAACCCTAATCCGCCACGAAGATGCCCTCACACTCTTCCACCTCGGCCGCCAGTACCGCTTCAAGCTCGCCATGCCCGCGTGGACGAAGAAGGCCCTCGGCGTCAGGGACGTCGCTAATAGCGTGCTAGCGCCCATGCCATGCAAAGTGCTAAGAGTGGAAGTAGAAGAAGGGCAAGAGGTTAAGAAGGATCAGCCGCTGGTGGTGATTGAGAGTATGAAGATGGAGACCGTGATTCGGAGTCCGAGTCACGGCGTTGTGAAAAGGATTGTACATGGTAAGGGGGATTTGTGTAAGGCGGGGACGGCGCTGGTGGAGTTTGAAGATCCTGGAGAGGAGGGAGAGGGGAAGTAGTGAGATGGGAAAGGGTAGGTAGATGGGTAGAAAAGGCATGGAATGGATAAGTTTGTTTGCTTGGTTTGCGAGGAGGGTTTGGAATCTAAATGTCGACTTCATTCGTGTAGTGGTTTTACTACACTATACAACTAAGATAAAACATTTATACATCGATTATGCGACAAACATCGCTTGAATCCGCTCGTTCAATCTTTCATACTCATTCGTTTGTCAAAGAATCTTCAGCCTACAAAATATCACGGCTGGGTATAATCCCTCCTTCTCTTTTCCACCTCCATCCATCAATCATCTACATAAACATAGGCCATCTGCTCAGCAAAAGCCAGTACCCTCATCATCATCATCGCTATATGTGCATGAAACCCGTCAAGAAAACGCCTTACAAGAAAGAGAGAACAAGAAGACTACCAACTATGACCAACCTAATCACTATCACTCAAACTGTCCCTCCGTCCAACAGCCCTAACACCTCCCCTCCTATACCCATCCATGACATCGCGTCCACCCCTCTCCCTACGTGCGTTTGTTGGAATACCAACCTGCGACACGCTCTCCATGGGATGCACGCTACCAGCCTGGCTAAGACCCGGAATATGGCACGGGTAGCTCATATGGCCATGAGCATCACCGTTGGCAGTGGTGAAGATATCAGATGCTGGTGGCGCAGGCCGCGAAGAACGGTGTTGTTGCTTACGAGGAGATTCGCTAGGACGGGAGCGGGAGCCCGAGGGACGGGGACGAGATTGCGATTGCGAGCTAGGACGGGAGGAGCGGGCACGGTCTTGAGAGGAGCGGGCACGGTCTTTGTCTTGGGAGGGGCGGGCGGAGCGGGAGCGCGGGGCGTGCTTGTTGGGGTCTGTGTAGACTGAGGGGTCGGCGTTGGGACGGTAGTCAGAGTAGTAGGATGACTCTGCGACTTCAGAGGGGGCGGTGCGTTGGGTTTTTGTGGCGAAGTCGCTGGTGGAGACACCGGTGTAGACGGTTGCGTTGTCGTCGTCGCCGGTGGTGAAGGAGTAAGCTGCTGAAGGGGGAGCACGACGCGGGCCAGTGAGGGCTTTGCTCTTTGTGGGGGCGCGGGTTGGTGTACCGATTTCAGAGGGGGCCGTGTACTCGGTGTAGGCGCGTGTGTACTCACTCTGGGGCGAAGTGTACTCGGTCAGTGGACGGTTGACTTCGGCCATTTCGGGGGCTTCGGACGGTGTAGGGTTGTGCTTCTTGGACTTCTTCTGCTCTTCCTTTGCGCGCTTGGCTTCTGCCTTTTGCTCTTCCTTGCGAGCTTTGGCTTCGGCGGCTTCCTTTCGGGCAGTTTCCTTCTCAGCAGCTTTGGCCTTGCGCATACGTTCACGGGCACGCATTTCCTTGGCCTTGGCTTCTTTCTTGGGATCCTTGACTTCCTTGGACTCTCTGGTGGCTTCCTTCTTGACGAGTGGTGCGTTGCTAGAGACGTGGGAGCCGAGTTCAGAAGGTTGGGAGCCAGAGTAGTCAGTGTACATGCCATCACCGACACGGTTGAGGCCACCGACACGAGCAGCCTTCTCCTCGCGGTACTGGCGGAGTTCGGGGTCCTTGTAGTCGTTGGTGTGGTCACGGCGATGCTTCTTCTTGTGCTTGCGGCCATCACCTCCACGGAGTCCACCTTCACCCCTCTCAGCATCGCGGTATTCGGTTGCATCAGTGGTGCCAGTAACGTCGGTGTAGCCGGTATCGCTCTGTGCACCAAAGTAGCTGCCGCCGTGTACAACACTGCCGCCGCCGAGCCTGGTACTCTTGGTAGCGTTTGAGAGAGTCTTTCCGTCCGGTCCCTTGCGACGCAATACCGTCGACTTGTAGTCTTCCCAGTCGTTCTCACGCCATTTGAATCCACCATTCTTGGCCCAGAAGAAGAACCAAATGGCACCGAGAGCTAGTCCGACACCAATGAGAGCGAAGAGAGCCTGGAAGCCAGGACCGGACAGGTCGTTTGGCGGACGGGCGCCTGCAGAGGCAAGATTCTTGTACGGGTCGGAATCGCTGCGTTTGATCCATGACTTTGCCAGCTGCATAGCATTCACAGCCATAGGCGAAAGTGCACCGTCATTTGTCGTGATGTCGGGACGTGGCGCCATAATGGGCGACTTTGTCGAGGCGGTGTGCTCGTAGAAGCACGACTATGGTTGCGAACAACAACGATTGCAACTGATAAAGGTAGTCACTGAAAGAATTAATGGATAGATAGTCTTTGTGGGATTTGAAGTGTGCAAGTGTGGAAGCGTAGCTCCCGCTAACTTTTGGCCTGGTGGTTGTTGGGTGCAGTCTGGTGGCTGGTGCAAATGCAGGTGGTTAGGAAGAGGTTGGGGACGCAAGCGACGTCACCCCAAACAAGCCGTTGGTGCAGCAACAGCACGCGCCGGGCGACAAATTGCCACGCGGCAGCCAGCCATTGATTCAGGTCTGTACAGTTACGGGGACCGCGACCGCTTCTTGACAATTATTTTGCTTCTTACTTCCCTGGTGCGGCGGCTGTTGTACCTGCAGCCGATCTGCGCACACCGTCTTTACCCTGCCACGCCCTCCATTGAAAAGACGAGCCCACGGGTATGCGCGACGTCTTCTAAACTGTGCCAGTCATGAATATTGGACGATTACCTCTACCACACTTCCTACACCTCATAGTCGACATGTTGGTGCCACACCCGTCAATGTCATCAGCGTCACGTGTATAGTCTTGGCATGTCTATTTGCTGGCTTCGCGCAATCTCAATGCTTCTTAGCCCTGCATCCAATCGATCGACAGCAGGTGTACGTGAGCAGTGGCAACTCGGGCCAAAAGCATTAGAGGGGCAATCTTATCAGCCATTACACTTGTAAGTCGTCGACAGAGACGGCTGATGTGTTTCCCGTAGAATGACTGTCAGATGCCGTAAGAGTGTCAACTTAGTCTTCGCGGTGCTGCTAAGCTCTAAAGCTTCGCACGCCCAGCATGCTTCTCTTCTACGGCAACGCAGTGATTCCATCCTAGTGCTGCATGATATCCCGCCCTGGTACAACCGATAGCCATGTCAGACGGCTACGAGCGGCGACTTAAGAGCGAATGCGGAAGGTCGCAAATCCCCCGGATCATCTCCCACGCCGTCGCCAGTCTATCCACCCATCGTCAGTCATCACGTCCTATGTCAACTCGTTCCGACGCATCATCATGTCTTGGCAACAAGCCAGGAAGTAAACGCGCCAGCTTGTTTTGGCAGTTCACTGGCTGCAGCCGACCTAGTCCCCTGCAGATCCCCGCGTAGGCGCATAATGCTTGGGCTGGCCTCTGGCTTATCGCAAGCTGGTATATTAAACACCTGCCTACCATTCCATTCGTACCACTACAATGGACCCAACTTCCCGAGCAAGGATGTAACCCCGTGAGAGGTTAAGGCCAGTCGGGCAGGTGAAGTCGGAGGTGCAGTTGCTTAATCCGGCTATGCATGCTTCTTACTTGCAACGGCTCAATCACTTGACTTCCACAACATGTATATAATGACGTCGAAGCAGCTTCTCAAATTTTGATTTCTCATCTTCATAGCTACCTATTCTGACACCATGAAGTTCCTCGGCGTCACCCTCGCCTCCTTGGGCCTTGTGTCTGCTGCCACTGTCGCAAAGACGGTCAGCTACGATGACTGGAAAGTCTACCGTGTCAGTGTCGGCTCCAACGCTGTCAAACTTGAGAATGTCATGAGCAAGCTGCAACTCGAGCTCTGGAAAGGCAAGCCAGCTACCAGCGATGTCGTGGACCTCATGGTTCCACCCACTGCTATCCGGGACTTTGAAGCCTCAACCGCCGATTTTGAGACCAAGATCATGCACAACAATCTTGGACTCTCTATCGCAAACGAGACAACCTTTAGCACATATGCCGGTATATATTCACCTCACACAACCACATACTTTGAAACTCGCGCTAACCAGTCACATCAGCCGGTGCCGCACCTAGTGCTACATGGTTCAACTCGTACCATTCTATTGCCGACCACATGCAATGGATTTCTGATCTAGCGGCTGCATACCCCAACAATGCCGAAGTGATTTCAGCCGGCAAGTCGGTTGAAGGCCGTGACATCAAAGGTATCCACATCTGGGGTAGCGGCGGTAAAGGCTCAAAGAGAGGAGTAGTCTGGCACGGCACAGTGCACGCAAGAGAATGGATTACCACCATGGTAAATTTGATTTCTCCCAAGAAATATAGCCACCATACTGATACCTTCCAGGTCGTAGAATATACAGCCTACCAACTCCTAACCTCGACGGACTCCACAACCGCAAACTTCAAGAACACTTACGACTTCTACATCTTCCCCATTGTAAACCCCGACGGCTTCGCCTACACTCAAGCCACAGACCGCATGTGGCGCAAGAACCGTCAAACTACACCCTCCGCCTCCTGCGTTGGCCGCGATATCAACCGCAACTGGCCCTCGCACTGGGACCAACGTGGCGGCGCCTCCACCTCCCCTTGCGCTGAAGATTACAAAGGCCCTTCTGCTGGCGACGGTGTTGAAACCAAGGCCCTGAAAGCCCACCTTGACAGCATCGCCGCCGGAAAGGGTGTCATGCTCTACATGGACATCCACTCGTACTCGCAGCTTTGGATGTACCCCTACGGCTACACGTGCTCTGGCGCCGTGCCCAACGCCGCAAAGCACGCCTCGCTGACCAAGGGCGCTATTGCTGCTGTGAAAGCTGTACACGGGACGACTTTCACTGGCGGACCTATCTGCAACACTATTTACCAGGTTAGTGGTGACAGTGTGGATTATGCGTTTGAGGTTGCAAAGGCGAATTTCAGTATGACGGTCGAGTTGAGAGACACGGGCACGTATGGGTTTGTACTGCCCGCGGCACAGATTGTGCCGAGTGCTGAGGAGATGTGGGCGGGTCTGAGGTATTTGGTGGCGAATATGTAGGTGGGTGAGGTAGTAATGGTGATGATGTTGGAATGGATGGGAGTAGATTGCGGTATGACTATTACATGATAGAAACCGTCCCACTGTACCCCATGAATCTGCTTCGGCATCGTGCCGTCCACGATAATAATCCCCGCTACCCCGTCTTATGAATGTAGCCATGTTTTGCACTAACAATGATTTAGAGCCCAATTATATCGGTAAGAACGGACTCAATACTTACACACCACCATTGTGCACCCTCATAAGGCATAGCGTAGGTACAATCGACATGTTCTGGTCCCTTCTTTGCAAGGGGATCGTCTTTGGTAGGAGAACACTGTTCGCCATTAGTATGTAATTAATTGCCTAAGCATGCTATACTATACGAAATAAGATTTGTTATAAACACCACGTCTGTTGCCATAGCTCCAAGGGTAATCTGGCTTCTGTTCGCATTTGGCTCCTATGCTGCTTCCTAAATAAGAGGAAAATGCGACTAATACGAGGAGGTTGACATGCATCGTGACAAAACTTGTTCAGACCAAAGTCGTTGCAGTAATTGTAGATTGAAGGTAAGGTAAGCGCAGGTTTGACGTTGTACCAATTGTGAAGGGTGGATCTCACAGGTTTGTATGCTAGATTAGTAGTCGTAAAGGCCTGGGGCCTAGCCAACTTTCGCGCTCTGATCGTCAAACATTACCCCCGAGCCCCGAAGATCCATACATCTAAGCACCGCTGAATTCCCCCTTGTATGATCTTCATATTGTAGTCTTAGCCTCCGAGCACGAGCTAACTACCTAGGTAGTAGGCTGGCTAATTTTCCTAATACACATTCATTTTCTTATAGTTCCAAACCCCTTCACACAAACTCTGGAGCAGATGAGACCTGAAAAAAACGACAAAGCCCCCTAGATGACACGGACTTGGCACGGAGAAGATATGATCCGCATCCAATGGGCAAATTGCGGAGATGAGTAGCTGACGACTCAACAAGAGCACCGTCTTGCTAGTACTTGATCCGATTGAGTACTAGGCTGCAAAGCATTAGGTACACCTAAAAGTATTTAGCATAGTTCCAAGACTCTCAGTGTTGAAGTCAGGAGATGAATCTATCAACCATCGGGTTTGAGGTACTTGATGGCGAACATGTAGGTAATGGTGATGAGAGATCATGCTGGCATGGATAGTAGTAGATTGGCATGACTATCACATAGTAAATACCTTTCCAATATATAGCCTATGTACCAGACTTGTCATTAAGCAAATCAAACAAACTTTGGACGCTGATTTGATTTGTTTGTACAAAACTTAAGATTGTATTTGAGTTGTTTAGTTTGATAGTGTTTTAGGAGGCCGTTTGTTTGAAAGTTTGATAGATTTGATACTGTTTAGGTGCTGATCTAATCGTATATCGTATATATTACTAAGCTTCGCTGTCCCACTTGCATATTTCGTATATTGCAGCTACCTCAGCGTCAGTTACATCGCCTGAGTTGTAATCAGATGGAGGCTTAAAGCCAGCGTCGCGCCAGCTTCGTATACACTGTATTGCTGCAAGCAGTTGTGACCCAATTTTGCGTCGCCTTGGCTCTAATAAATCACCGAGCTCGCTGAACAGCCGCTCGCACTCACAACTTGAGGCTGGTATTGTTAATATATCGATCGCCATACGCGCTAGGTTAGGATACTTTGGGCGTAGGCTTATCCAATAGCTAACAGGATTACTACCTTGTTCGAACTGCTCCTGCGTCCAGCGGAGTTCAAACCGTCGCCAACGCTCCAGCTCATCCATCTCTGTCACCTCAACAATGCCATAAGGCTCCGCATTAACGAGCGCGTTGATGGCGTCGTTGATACCGCTTGAGAGCCGCACTGGTGGGCGACTTTGGCGCTGTATTTGCGGCTTATAGAACGCCCAAAGTTGTTTCAACCCAGCGTTGTTTGCCTCAAGCCAGCTCGGTTTGTCGCGCCAGCTGTTCTCACAGTAGTTCTTGTAGTATGGGTGGAGGCAGGTAGCGGCAAAGTATGCGGGTGATTCGTCGAGCTTAGTGTAATACGCGTTAAGCTTTGCCCAAGCTGCGCGTAGGTTGATAGGAAGGTGATCTTCTGGCGCGCTATTGGCATTATAGTCGACGCTTTCGTGGTTTTTAAGTAGCTGCTCGTACACGGCAAGTACAGCTTCGAAGACAGGTATAACCTCGTATATCGCGCCGAAACGGCCAGCTTTACCGCGAGCTTCAAGCCGTTTTGTCGCCTCCTTTAGCGGCTCCAACACTGATATATACTGGGTTATTACCGCCCAATCGTCAGCCGTAAGCCCATTAGATCTCATCCAAGCTGGTACTTTAGTGAGCTTATTGTTACGGCTACGCGCGTACGCGTCGGCGCCCATCGTCCTTTCGATGTGGCTTTGGGCGTACTCATCAACGGCGTTATGGAGTTTTGCGGCGCGTACAAAGGTGTCGTGAAAGCTGTTCCAGCGCGTGACGACTGGCTTTACCGGCTCGAGTATTTCCTGCTTTTGGTCGGGAGCCTTAGCGTTAACACGGCGCTGGCAATCGGCAAAAAGATCGTGTTGTTGCGGTGTTTGGATGTAGTTGATGATATCGATTAGTACACCAAGCGGACCTTGCTGCCGCCATTCTTGTAGGTAGGCTGCCTCTGTTTTGTGCTCGTCCTGATCATTATCGTACGCGTCCTTATCAAAGCCGAAGATAATCATCTGTCCGACTAAGTTAAGTGTGTGAGGGCCGCAGCGGAGGCGGTGATGGCTTGCTGTAAATTCAAAGCGTTGGGCGAGTTTGGTGACGGCGGTGTCGTTAGCGTACGCGTTGTCGAGCACAAAGTACCCAAGCTGGCTACGTGTTATACCGAAGACATCGATTATATTGCCAACAACTTCAGCTATCCTCTCGCCCGTGTGGGCGCCCGTAAGCTGAGGCAGCGCGATAGGTAGGTCCCTGATAGTGCCGTCGGCGTCAGCAAAATGAGCAACAACTCCAAAGAAGCCGCGCTTGCCGCCTTTTGTCGTCCAGCCATCGAAGCTTATATGGATTTTACTAATAGCCGACGAGAGCATCTGAACAACCTGCGGCTCCATATAGCGATACAGCCTCATCACGAAGCTAGCTACACTGTTGTGACTTACCCACAGCGCGTCAGCTGCCTCCGGGTTGGCAAACTCTATCATCTGCCTAAAACGCAGGCGTTTCGAACTCGCGGAGAGGGTGGTTATTGTCGACAAGCCACGTAACAGCGGCGTATCGAAAGCGCTGTACGTCGAAGTTTCCGAGCTCGTTAGCGACGCCTTGAGGTACATCGACACCGCCCTCGGTCATCATCTTAAGCGTCGTTTGGCCTCGCGGTAGTGTAATCGAATCCAGTTTGCCCTTGCGATCGTAGCCGTGGCCAAGTAGCTTCTGCGCGAGGTGGTTGATAGCGTTACTGGTCGACTTTGTAACCTCTGGATAGGCGCAAAAGATCTTACGATGATGGCAGTATTTGCAAACAAAGAACGTACGATGAGGCTCACGGAGAGAGGCAACGCGGTAACCGTACTGATATACCCAACTTTTGTTGCGCTTCAACGTACGCAGCGGCTTCGTAAAACGCGGTAAACGCTTCCAATCAATGCCGTCAAAGTTGTCCGTAAACTCGTCATCAAAGCCAGTATCATCCCCGCCTTCGATAGCCTCACTTGTAGCCTCCGTAGCAGCCCTACTACCCTCGGCCGGCGGTTGTATAGTAGCTTCTGGTATAGCGTCGCGCAACTGCGACTCGAACGGCGCGTCTTCGGTGGCCTGGCTTGCTGCAGCAGCTAGGGCTTTACGTGGCGAGGTGCGGATAGACAGCTCAGGCTGCGAATCGTCCATCAGGATAGGCTGCGATGCACTGCCTTTAGCTGTTTTGGCGCGCTTGTGGGGGCCGTGGGGGCCGGGGGTGCCCTCGGCGGCGCGTTTTAGGTTACGAAGCGGCATTTTCGGCGTGTTGGGCAACGAGAAACACTAAAACGTGCTGTAGAGACGGTAGTGTAGCTGCAAAAGATGGCTAACAGCGATATAGAAGATGGGAGATGGGATATAAGATAGCGGTCATCGACGGCTAGCGACGCTCGTGTAGTTATATGATGACTAAGCTAGATGCAACACAAGAAAACTATCGCGAAATTGCTACCTCCGCTATCTCAAAAACATCATTAAAGTCGATCTTAAAGCACCTTAGGACATCATCTATAGAACAGCTCGCTATGTAATATTAGTCAAACAGTCAAACAAACTAAACAAATTTCGATCGTACGTTTGATTTGTTTGTATATTTCTATAGGCAGCGTTTGGTTTGTTTAATTTGCTTATAGTCAAGCAAATCAAACAAACTATTCAAACGCGTTTGCTTAATGACAAGTCTGCTATGTACCCTCTCCTCCTCCTCCACCACCCACCATAACACAGATATCTCGTCCCCTTCAGATACCCATCAACATGCTTTAGCATCCCAGCCGAAAGCATCCTTTGCGCTGTCCACGATGACAATCCCATTGTGCCATCGTAGGGTGACCTATTTGTCGCACTAAGAACAAAATCAGAACCAAGTCCTGATTTCTAGGACAAACTCAAAACCTACACACCACGAATGCCCAATAGTGTTTTCAAAAACACGTCCGGCTGGGCCTCCTTTCATTCCGGGAGTGCATTATTCAGAAGATTAGCACGTAAGTAGATTGTTTGGCAGTGCTCTACCATACCACGTAAGCAAGTGGCAAAGCTTGACTACCGTCTGCGCTACGGGCGTAGTAGCAGACCACCGTCACGATGACAGACTGCTTTTCCCTTGTTGACTCCCCTATAAGAGAGAACTGCTACTAACGTGAGGAGGCTGAGATACATTGTGATAAAGAGTTGCTTAGAACAAGATTATGGCAGTGATTGTTGTGCGTAGTTGGATGTAAAGCAGGTGTGATTTTGACGATCGCAATCTGTCAGAGGCAAGACTGGCATGTTTATACTGTCAGACTGTTACTTGCAAAGGCCTGGCCACCTTTGGCGCGCGACTCACAATGATAATCCCTTTACTCCTCGTCATTTCTGGATTGTGTTACTAGGTCTACTACTCAAGTGGCTGGAATACTGTCGGCGGCTCCCTGGAAAGGAATACTGATAAGTCTTACTACATCCATACGAACGCTAGCACGCCACGTCTGCTCGTTGCATGGTTGGAATTCAGAATCTCGGCGGTTTCTCCGGAAATAAGATGCTCACAACGGAGCACGAGCTTTGTCTTTCAAATGAGCGTTGAAGTATGCAGCGTCCATAAACCTTGGAATGCTCGAAAAAGCTTACCTAGGTACGTTTTCGCCATTGTTCGCGATAATAGTCTTGTTATTCTATAGACTAACGCAATAGTCATATTTCAGTGCCATACGCACCATCTCGTTTTAATGGTCGCGGGGCTCGCTTTATTGCTGTGGGAGATACAGAAGGTGGATTCTTTCGTGTTCGCGCTAAGCTTTTCAAGGTCCTTGATAGTACTCTAAGTTAGCACCTAGTTGTTCTTAGTGTCTTAACTAAAGAACTATCAATCAGTTAATAGTAACGAGAGCTCTAAGAAGCTTCTTCACACTTGCCTCCACGTCTTAGATGGTTGGAATTCAGGATATTGGTAGCTTTTTAGAAATAAACTGCTGATAGTCTAGCACTAGCATCCTCCTACATTGCATCATCTGGAAATTATGTGCTCACACCCCATGCAGCATCCCTTCTCTCGAACTCTGCAATATCTGCCACCTGATCAGCTGCCGCTTTACCATGAAGCTGCTCCACAATCCAAATAGTCGCATCAATCCCTGAACTAACACCCCCTGCGTTCACAATGCGCACGCCGGCTTCCGTTGTGCCTGCATCCACCCACCTCTGCCTCACGACATTGACCTTTGAATCTCCACCCGCGGCATCATCAGCCACTCTCTTGAGCATGTCAAGACCCATGTGGTGCGTCGTAATCGTGCGACCAGCTAGCACTCCAGAAGCTGCGATCAGAACACTGCCGGTGCAGACCGACTGGAGTATTCTCTTTCCAGTTTCAGATCTGGGCTTCGATTGCGTGAACTTTTGGATCAGCTGGCACAGTTCTTTGCCCTCTTCGGCGTTGATCAAGTCCGCTATGGTGTCGAAGTGTGCACCTGGGATGACAAGGATATCAAAGTCCTCGATACGCTCTGAGACGTCGGCGAACGTGGCGTTGGGGACGTATACCAGCGCGCTGGAGCCAGACGTGACCGGATTATGATGAGCAAATGATGTCACCGAGAATGGTTGTTCAGTGCTTCCTTCGTATGGGTAATAAGAGTAGATTTCTACCGGACCGGAAAAGTCCAGGAGATCGGCTTTCGGGTAGAGGTAAACTGCGACTTTGAATTGAGGCATTGCTTTTTTGTATTCTTGTAGGTTTAATTATTTTCAGAGATAGCTGCTAGCTTGTGAATCGTTGATGATGAAGATTATCGATGTTGTTGTCGCTTTTATGTGCTTGCGCTGGGTCGGACCGGATGAAAGACTGGATCCGTCTTCCGTGATCGCTAACTACAGTAGTTGGGTAACGTGTCCGTGCGCGTGATGCGCGGGGAACACCATATCCACTACTTCAAAAATGAGGCTATTAAGCCACGTATATAAGCGGTTGTTACAAGAATTTATAGAGGGGGAGTAATTAGATGCTTGCGATCAACTTGTACTATCTATATTTTGATGGGAGGTCGACGTTGCGGCCACGTGATGTGAGCTTTGGTTGTTGATGTTGATTATGGTTTAACGCCCTATCTGTAACCTCCCATAGGGTATTCGGATGTGAGCTTTGGTTGATGTTGATGTTGATTATGGTTTAACGCCCTATCTGTAACCTCCCATAGGGTATTCGGGCGGGTCCCGCCGTGGTCTTATAGTGCTGTCGCACTTGCCTCGTGGAACCTATTCCTAGGTGTTTTGTATCTAAGGGGAGTGATGTCCTGCCTATATACATGTTCGTGAAAAGGACTCCCGCCATTTGAAGCCGTTTTCCTACAATATTCTAGTATTTCGTGGCTTGCGCCTTTGATCGATGCAGTACAATGACTGCTTTTTAGAGAGAGAAACGAAAAAGTAACAAGAGGCAATTTAAGATATAATGAAAAGTTTGAAAGAGAGCGTGTGGGTTGTGGCATCTATGCGGCGTTCTGCCGCGAATCCTACACTGAATAATGCCAAGGAATTCAGCGGGTCTTTGTGAAATTCAAAAATAGAAATCACTCGTTATAGAAGGAGTTCGTTACCTTAACGAAGGTCTCGAACTCTTGTGGCTGGTCTATTAATTGTGCGAGGTACGCTAGGCCTTCCTGTCTTGTGCGAGGGGGCACGATGGGGCGTAGAGGCCACTTCTTGAAGTGTGTTGTGGCTCTCTTGCAGAACACTAGGTGTTCTGGCGTCTTGTTGTGAGCTTTGGTGGAGGAGCTGGAGGCTCTTCTTGAACTTGAGCACCAGCACGAGCAGCCTCAACGCGTTTTTGACGCTTGTTATTTGATAAGATAGCTGCTGAAGCTCTCCTCTTTCCCTTTTGGGGTAGTTGTATAGCAGCTGCGCAGCCTTAGGGTAGTAGTGAGCCTGCAGGTACTGCAGCAGGCCCACCACCATCTCAATCACGATACGGCCGAGCAATCAAGCTCCCAGCAAAATATAGATAGCTATATATATTAATTAAGGCCTATAGAACTCAACTCTAAAAAATATCGCGATTATAGCTATCGCACGTGGCTCAATAGCTTCATGTTGTGCTGTCGATTTTGGTGTTCGGGTGGATGGTCACGCCGGGTGGATGGTTATTGTGGTTTTCGAAATACCTTGAGCCGCCTGGATCTGGTTAGCTTGGTGCCCAAGAACATCAACTCCCATAGTAATTTGTTAGTAAATTAATGCAGCAGCCGTTTCCCACCTCCAGAAGCCCATGAAGCTAGTCCTGTACTCTAAATCGTTCGTGTATAGCGTTTTGTTTGTGTGGAGCTTGTTGCGAGCTCAATCTAGCTGCTGTTGGGATGCCGCCCAAGCGCCAGCGTAAGCCGAAGCAGCCATTCGATCAAGGCGTTAACCCGTCCTCCCAGAAGCGTAGAGCGCCAGCAACTAGACAAAATCCTACCCATTTAACGCCTAAACGTGTCCGCCGTGAGGCGCTGCCGTCGCCTCCAGCGACTGCCCCGCCGCGCCGTCAAAGCCCGTTGTCCGAGCCTGAGCTGCAAGCCACCCAAACAGCTGCCTCCGCGCAAGCTGAAGATATCGTTGGCGAGGATGAGGATACTTTCGAGGATGGAGATGGCGATCCGCTGCCTGAGGATGAGGATGAGATCGCTGCTAAGGGCGCTGCCGGTAGTGTTGAGGATGAGGGAGAGCCAGCGTACCGACGTCAAGAAGGCACTCCATGGCTGCCTCGCTCATCGCAAGCGCTAGAGGATGAGGTTAATCCTGTACTGCGCGTTAGGTGGAGGGCTTGCCTTGGTGGTGATATGGAGAAACACTTTATTCCTGAAGCTGCCGATAGCGAGCACGGCGTACGGCTGTACTCGCTGCATTTCGACGACCTATGGCAGTGGGTAGATGACGTTGTTGCAGAATTACGGCCAAAAAGAGCGAAGATCTCATCTGTTTGCACTGTTGTTTACCCAGCTAAGCAGGCCAAACGCGAGCGCGCGATAAAGCGATTGCGGCGAGGTGTTGATGCAACGTGGAATAGCTTTCAGCGCCTTGTTGTAGAGGTTGATAACTATGTCAGCGAGCCAGTAAACGTCGATTTCGAGCTCATCTTGGCTGAAATTCCAGGGGAGCAGCAGCCGTTGCCAACGGTTGTCGACGGTCCTCGTCGACGCACCGCAACGGTGATTCAAGAGGAGGGGCTTGCTGGTGTAATAGCAGCTGAACAAGCAGGTAGCGGGCATGCTATTGCTATCCGGGATAGATGGCGCTGTACAGATACCCATTGCGAGAACTATCCTTATTGCTGCTGGATGGCGCCAACAGCGAGGCAGCCAGCGCGCTTCGAAGATCACCTCTTTGTCAACGGCAACATTATCTCCATGTGGGCAAGAGCAATTACAGCGAGAAGGGCAACGTACGATGAGCCATCTGATGATGTACGGCTTGCAATTTTGAGAGCAAAGGACCTGCGGGTGCATGAGAAAACGCGCAAGTTGCGGGCGGCTGGAGATGGCGACGATGATATCAAAAGCTTAACAAAACTGCTCATCGTTGGACAGCTTGAGCGGATGAACAGGCAACCTCAACAGGAGTCTAACTTGCAGGCAGCTGCACCAACGATAACAAGAGCTGAGGTATCTAGTGCATCTCAGTGGGCGCCTATCCGATATGATCATGAGCAGGAGATTAACGAGCATACTAGTAATTTCTTTAACTACCTTAAGTTAAAATTTCCTACAGTTGGAGAGGACATTAACGAGCTTTATAAGACTCTTGTTATTGACGGAGCTATGGATATCAACCTCTTGATGCAGCCATCTGGTGATATCTTGAAGTTGTGGACGCAGCATTTCAAGCAGCCTCCTGGCTGGTTTTTCACGCTACAAAACACTGCAAAAGAATGGCAAGCTGGGTACCAGGGTCTCACAGATCGTAACTGGAGACGAGTCGAACGTTGTAAGAAAAGAGAAGAGATTGCGCGCAAGAAATTGGTGGTTGAACCGTCTAGCAGTGTTGTGGAGGATGATGGCGAGAATGCTTGAAGCTTAGTGGCCTGAGCGTTTTTGGTGACAGCGGCCCGTGCCCGCTATAGTGTTGAGGTTTTTCAGGCGTTTCAAATGCGCTGCAACAATAGTCTATTTGGATAGCCCTATGTACAACACTACAACGTTATGCGATTATAACAGGTTAACTTCCTAAGATAGTTCTATATGTATAGAAATAGCTCTTATTTTTTTAGAATTATTAAATCGCTTTTGTGGGTTGCGCATTAAGGTGTAATCGTTCGCATTTGTATGGTATCATCTACCTATAGAAACGTACTGTGGCATCCATTTAAAAGCACAATTAATAGGGATAGCCACACCTATGGAACCAGCTTCTGCAGTTAATATTACAGCACACCAGCTGCGCTGCATACTCAAGAAAGACCCCAAAGTCAATGAAGTTCTCCGCTTGCGCTGAATTCCTTTTCATCCACCCCTTGAGCTGCTTAAAGCTCTTCTCGATGGGGTTGAAATCTGGTGAGTATGGCGGCAGATACTCAAGGAGTACTCCAGCACTTTGGCAAAGCACCCGTACACGCTCTGATCGATGGATGGAGGCGTTATCAAGCACGATTACTGAGGCTGGCCCTGGGTGAGGATTGCAGAACGGCAGCACTTGAAACTCTAAGAAGTCTTCTAGGATCTCAGATGTAATCGCGCCTTGAAAGATCTTATAGCTTATGTAGCCATCTATCGTCATGGCTGGCAGCAGCGACCACCGTTCTGATCGCCTGAAGCTGTGTGATAGCTCCACCGGCTCCCCGATTGGAGACCAGCCATACTTGCGGTCGCCCGTACGCTCATTGCAGGCGCTCTCGTCCAACGCAACGATCTGCTCCGCCTTATAGTGTTGCGCCATCCTGGCAAGATAGAGGCGGCGGAGTGGCTCACTCTGCTCCTTTGCCCGCTTTGTTGCAAGCTTGCGAGACCATCTCATCTTCTCTAGCTCTCGGTAAACGCTCGCAAGGCTTATCCTAACGTCGTACTCGTCGTACAAGAAGTCCCTCATCTCATCCATGTATGCGCCCGGTGAGCCATTGAGGTATGCCTGAAGGCCTTCGCGCTGAGCTTGCCGGAGTATAGATGGCCGCCCAAGTCGAACGCAGCGCGGCGGATAAGGCACGCCCCAAAACTCTAAGCTCAACCTCAGCTTTGCTACTGTGTTACGGCTCGCACCTGTAGCTCTAGAGATGGCTCGATCACTTTCGCAGGCAGCAATTCGGTCGAGGATAGCCTGGAGAACAGCGGGCTGCAAGCGGTGGCCGGTGCCTGGCATCGCGATGAGATGGGCTCGAGAAAATTGCAACACCAAAAACGCGAGTCAGTAGAGGCGATCGCAGCAAACAATGAACTTCAAATACGTTGTGGGTGTTAGAAAGCGTGGCTGCATCGATTTACTAACAAATTACTATAGGAGTTGATGTTCTTGGCCACCAAGCCAACCAGATCCAGGTGGCTCAAGGTATTTCGAGAAACACCCATACGCCGGGCGCCTCGGTAGCCAGCGCTTTCCCTTCTAGCGTACCACGACAACAAATTGTGAGACCACAATTTTTAGATTCTAAGGAACTCCGCAGCAAACCTACATGCGTTATGCACTTAATCTCTGACACTGACAGTCTTCTTCAACGTGGACGCGCACCGCAGCCAGTACAACGAATGACGTCAGCAACAACACCAAAAACTCTTATACATCGGTGTCTCGCTGCACCTTCAGATGGTCTCTCTGTGAAGGAAACCAATGACAGAGATGTTGCAACAATTCTCAAAGTACAAGCAAATACAACCCCTACTTACAAATGCTATCTCGGCGTCTATAAGTCAACGAGCTACGCGTAGAGCCAGCGCGGATCACCGCCTGGTCGACCCTGGACTACATACAGACAACCCTATTGCTATCGTTGACCCGACATCCAGACAGACGGAAAGAAATTACATGCAGCTGATGCACATCTCGAGCTGTTAGTAAGGAAACGCTGATTACTATCCCGCAGTATAGCGTTCTCGTGGCTTAGTGTTGACCTAACTGAGTCTACTACCAACCAAGTAGCGCTTATCTATACCAAGAATTTTCCTGAGCCGACCCTTTCCACCACCATCACAATCATATCATGACGTTCATCTCGGTATACGCGAGTGGCAGTTGCCCAGCTACACAACGCCGACTGCCAAGCTTTAACGAACACGCAACGAAGGACCAAGGCATCACGCTTCTCCACATCAACGCGAGCCTTGACACTCCAAAACGCCCAGTTCCTCAATACCGAACCAATAGTCATTTTACAGATTAGTGGAATTGGAGATAGCGATGCTCGCCACAGGACGCCGCCTAGCCGATCCCTGCGGTCCCAAGAGCAGCCGAGACGGAACTCGGAACGCAACTGTGCTTGTAACCTTCCCAGCGCGCAGTAGTCGCCAAAAATGCCAACAAAACCAGGACTAGTCCTCACGTTAGAACTTTGAAAAGAGATAGCATGCCTGAGGCCTGCACATCACTCCAAGACCGAGGCGTTTGTGGAGCAAATCAACGGTCAGATGTAAATGGTGGCTTGTCACCATGATAGGCCGGGATGAGTGAAGGATGGGGCGGTGCGCGACTGTAGTTACATCCCGAGATATTGGTAACAGGTTCGTTATCTCTTGGTTGCCACACGAGATGATGTGCGGAGGCGCCTGGGCGGCGTTGGTGTATAAGATATCCATACAGCACGCGACCGGCTCGAGGGTCTGCTCGATCGTCGCTCTATCACTCGCCTGGACAACTCGTTCCTATTTCACTGTCTTTTTGTAATCTGCCAACCATGGGCGAGATCGAAGGCATCAAGCATGGCGAGGCTGAACGCACGATTAGCGCGAACAGCTCCCCTTCGGAGGACATCATGCCCCAGCCAAGTGTAGCTGTGGAGGAGAAGAAGAAGACATTCATCCAGAGTGTGATGAAGCCAGGTTCCGTATGGCAAATCATCTTCGCAGCACTTCTGGCCATCGCTATCGGCTTGGCTGTCACCTTCACAGTGGACGAGGTTCCGGAGGCAGCAATCGCTATCCTTGGTATCCCGGGTAACCTCTGGTTGCGAGCTTTGAAGGCAGCTGGTATGTCTCACAAGATTATTGATGAGAATAGACGTTAATGAGTACAGTTCTTCCTATGATTGTCACTGCCATGATCATGGCCATCCAGCGACTTCGAAACATGACCCAAGGAGGTGGTGCAGCCGGCAAACTCGCTCGCTGGACAGTCGCATACTATATCATCACTACCATCATCGCCGTCGCTCATTCCGCGCTACTTGTCGGTCTAGTCTGGAGTAAACTCTTCGAACAAGTCTCCGGCAGCTCTCTGGCCGTCTCCGATGAGGATCAGGAAGTGATCGATGAGAGGAAAGATACAGCCATCCACGACGTAGTGGTCGACATGTTTTACTCTCTAATCCCGGGCAATATTGTCGACGCATTAGCTTCAGACGCCCTCCTCTCGGTACTCATTACCGCCATCGTCCTCGGGTACGTTATCAAGCCCGGGGGCGCCATCTATCGAGCAGTCGAAGAAGTCGAAGTCATTATCCTCAAAGTCATCACTGTGTTGATCCACCTTGCGCCAATCGGCGTCTTCTTCTTGATTATGCCAAACCTCTTCCGCCTCGATATTGCTGAAATTGGCGCCAACCTGGGTATCCTCATTGGCGGAACTTTGTGCGGCATGGTCATCCATCTGTTCGTCATTATCCCTATCGTCTTTTTCGCCATTACCAGGTCAAACCCCTATACATTCTGGATGAAGATGAGCCCAGCCTGGATTACCGCTTGGGGTACTGCCTCGAGCGCTGCGACTTTACCGGTTACTATCCGTTGCGTCCTCAAGGCAGGTGTTCCCATCACAGGTTAGTAAACACGACAAAATGGCTGGAAATGTATCTAACACACTTTGCAGTGACCAAATTCACCGTACCTCTAGGTTGTTTGATCAATATGGACGGCACCGCAATCTATTTCCCAATCGTCGTCGTCTTCCTAGCCGCTACACAAGGCATCACGCTCAATGCTGCAGACTACATCATTGTTATCCTGCTCTCCACCCTCGCTTCGATTGGAACGACACCCATCCCAAGCTCCAGTCTGGTGCTGGTTGTCATGATCGCCTCGAGTATTGGAGTTCCCATCACTGGAATGTACGCCGTTGTCATCGCTATCGATTGGTTTCTGGATCGTTTTCGAACAGCCATCAACGTTAGTTGCGACACTTTCGCGGCCAGGGTGGTTGCGCACATCACGAAGATCAAAGACGAGGATGGTCAGACGTACGACGAGGCTATGAATGTCGATCCTAACGCGATGGGAAGCAACGACGAAAAGGTTTAAGGTCCGTCCCTGTGTAGCGAGACACCCTGCGTGACGAGGCGCCACAGACACTCCCCAACATAATAAACTCAACAACAGGCCATAAGAGTAGATATTCTCGGAATATTAGCTCTAAGCTGTAAAGTCTATTTTCCCTTAGTGTTATTTAAAAATAGGTTCTACTTGCCGTGCAATACAACAATTTGGCATAAGCATTACGCAACCGCCTCGCTTTGGCTGGCAGTAGGCGCGTCGAAAGCTCATGCATTTTGTCGAAAGTTTATTAGCTTACAGCTTGTTATATTATTATCCTATCCCGAGCACTGCGCTTAAGCTTGAGAGGTTGTCGTGCTTCTGTGCTAATTCTAAGTACGCCTACTAGAAGTGCTAGATGAGGAGGACCTGCGCACCTAGCTTAAAGCAGCTTAGCTGTAACCTATCGCTGCTGACACCAGATCTGTGGCTGTGTGGCTGTGCACCGCTTTTGCCAAGCGCTCCAGGACACCCGAAAATGGGAGCAGGGCTGGGTTTGAAGGCCCCGGCGTTTGGCTCGTGTCAACCAACACACCAGCACCCTCAACCAAGCAGTAAGTAAAATAGCTCTCCCCTCTGCTCCTCCCAGAGCTGCCTCTGGACCCTGCCAAGCCCCTTACGATAAGCTATGCCATTACCCCATTCCACCCACATGATCCAATAATATTCATACCATTGACCGGCCTTGGGCCTCTCTGGGTGCCGAATTTCCTCGATGCCGGGCCATGGAGATGTGGTGTCACGACAAAACCCTCTCGCGATTTCTACCAACTCGACAGCCCTAGTAGGATCCTGCAGGGTCTCGTTGGACGCGTCGAGGCTGTCATGAGGTTGGAGGATACCCGCCCAGACCTTCCTGTCAATGCGGAGGGAAAGTATTGGACGGTACCCATTCTTCTTCGAAAGTTCCTCGCCAGGAAAAAGCCAAGCCCTTCGGGTCGTACAAGATATATATGGTACAAGGATGCTAGGAATTGAGCTCACCTGCTGCACAAGTGGGATGGGATACCAGAATTCATTACCGGGATATGCTTCGTGTTTGTAGAAATATGGGGAAGGAGATGTAGGATCCGGCGATTCGTAGAATGATTCCAGACCTTCCGCGGTTGAGTGTTTGGTCCAACCCAAAGAGGCACATTCGATCTGTTTCGCCAGCCACAAATCCTTATTAGCGAGAATGCTGGGATGTATGGGCTTTCCGGGTGCGTCAACCGTCGCGTGATAATTCCACGACACGATTCGCGTTACGCTTTTCTCAATGCTTTTGCTATTCCTAGTAAAGTCCGTCGCCGATTTAGTATCGAAGTTAACGACTCCAGACCAACCAGCCCAACTCCAGCTAGGGAGGCAATGCTGTTTCTCTGGGTCCCGGGAGACTCTACGAAATATCCTGTCGTGGGGCTGCCATAGCAGGGCCACCTCAAAAAAAGCTATTGGAAGACCCGACACAAAGCCGCCGGCGAAGGCTTGGCTGGTTGAGAAAGCAATTCCAGCAAAGGCGTACAGAGCGTCTTCTGGGTAGGTGAAGCTTCTTTTGTTGTAATCCTGTAGAATCACCTGGAGCCATCTAAGATCGGGGAGTGAAGGCTTCAACAATGATTGGCAGCGAATGATGTCGTTGTGGTGTGGCTTGAGATCCAAGGACAGTTCGACGTGCTCACGCCAGATTGCAGCTGCGCACTCCCACCGCACAGAATCGCCGTCGAATACGAGCCTTTTCCGTGAAAAGAGATGCTCCTGGTAAGTCCATCCTCTGCTTCCCCAAACAGGCTCATGGCTTCCAAGTTCGAGTTGGGCTGGTTCGATGGGAAACTGTATCACTCTCGACTCCTTCTCTAAACAGTGCAAGTTTTGGTGTAGATTTCTCGCCTCTGAAATACCGCGGAAACCTCTTAGGCCACTGTTAGCATGCTTCCCTTGTACTGCTAAGATGGTGATGGCCGAATTAGCGTAAATCGCTGCCATTTTCGCCATCTCAACGTGTTTTTCAGACTCATTGTCTTGAACAATGCAAAGAGTATCAACCCATAGATATCTCTCCTCCAAAAGCTCGACCACTCCTATTGCGTCCTGTATTGTCTTTGCGATTGGCATACTTAACAATGCTCCAACTCTTTGAAGCTGGCTCATATTGCCAACGGTAGCTTTCAGTGTCGGTTGATTTCCCCATACGTAACTAAGGGCGACGTAGGAGCAATCCTCTGGGGCGGAGATGACGCATTGACGCTTAACGTCTACGAGCCATGTCGGCCTTATGCGAGACAAAAGTTCATGAGGAAAGCCTTTGCATAAGTCGGTATGAAGACTGTTGCAAGCAGATTTCCATAACTTGGGCAGATCGAGATCTATCCACTTGCGGGAAAGGACCCGACCTCCGATTAAGTCGTTCGGATCGCCTGGTTCCTTCACAGGATACATCCCGTACAATGGCGGCCTGGGAAGCGGACACCCGGGCAACATCGTTGTGGTGATAATAGCAGCCATGTTCAGCGGGTTTTTGTGTATCTCCAATTTTTTTATGCACTTTGCGATGGTGCATATCTCTTCATCAGACTGATCGGCGTCCAGACGCAACACGGAGACAATCAGTTTCTGGTGCCGATCGCAACTCGGGACGGGTTGTATGATTTCGGTCCCTGACCCCAATTCTACCATCCCGACCGTCCGGATATCATTGCTTGGTGTGCGCAACACGCGGAGGATCTTTTCGCAGATAGGGCAATCTGCCTGTAGCTCGCACTACCCGTTAGCTAGAGTCCTAGCAACTCATGCTTCCGCATCTACATCTACAGCTGCGACGCACCTTTATAACTTCGGCCTTAGCTACACGGGTTCCGGTAATGTCGGATTGGTTCGAAGACCGTGCCACTTCGAGGGGAAGGGCCATTTCCAAGGGTGACTCGGCATGTTGGCACAGGCATTTGCTGGTTCTAGAGGAGAAGTCAACTAGGGGATCTAAGTCCTCCATGAGGAGAATCATTTCCTATATAAGTAGCGCCCAGTGGTAAAGGATACATTTTGCTCTGAATTAGCAAGACGGTCACAGATTTAACCGTTATCAGTGAGACATTTCGTCGCTAGGCTGCAGTGTCTTTTCATATTAAGCCAAAGATGAGCCGGTCCAAATTCTGCCTGCCAACTAGCCCAATCCGGGTATTCCGGACGCCTCAAGCGCCACTGCGTCTTGAAGTTGCATAATAGCTGTATCGGAAGCTGATTGCGGTTTTGATGTTGAGTGTGCTCGTTAGCATGCGCTATACGCCAGGGACTTCAAACCTAGCCCTGCTCCTAACCCGAGCCGGTTTTCGGGTGCCCTGGAGCGCTTGGCAAAAGCGGTGCACAGCCACATAGCCACAGATCTGGTGTCAGCAGCGATAGGTTACAGCTAAGCTGCTTTAAGCTAGGTGCGCAGGTCCTCCTTATCTGGCACTTCTAGTAGGCGTACTTAGAATTAGCACAGAAGTACGACAACCTCTCAAGCTTAAGCGCAGTGCTTAGGATAGGATGATAATATAATAAGCTGTAAGCTGATAAACTTTCGACAAAATGTATAAGCTTTCGACGCGCCTACTGCTAGCCAAAGCGAGGCGGTTACGTAATGCTTATGCCAAATTGTTGTATTGCACGGCAAGTAGAACCTATTTTCAAATAACACTAAAGGAGAATAGACTTTATAGCTTAGAGCTAATATTCCGAGAATATCTACTCTTATGGCCTGTTGTTGAGTTTATTATGTTGGGGAGTGTCTGTGCTGTCTCGTCACGCAGTATGTCTCGCTACGCAGTGACGGACGTTAGATTGATTCTGTTCGTATTAGCTTTTAGATTTCCCGCTGCCTGTCAGATGCATGATAGCACCCGGATGACATGAAATACTCGACATACTAGTGTACAAAGGTCACTATAGGCACCAGACATGCCAAGGTATTAGGTGTTTACTCATACTGTCAAGTATTCCATGTCACTTAGGTGATAGTTTGCATGTATAATGTTACCTCTTTCGCTAAGATCCCAAACAATTCTTTCGCACTTTTCCCTACTGTGACTCTTGTAGAACATACTAACATCTAAGCCATATTACAATTCTAATAGCCCAGCTTTGATCCAAACCTAACACAGAGTGTGTGTTCGACTCGTTTGCTCCTTAGTCGGCTTAGAGCAAACTTCTCTCTCAGTATATCAATCCAGCCACACAATGTCCGCAGTAGTCCGCATGGCTTACCCACAATGCCAGACAAATCATGGCTTTGTATATCAGCTGTTTGCCTTCCAGCTGTACAATGTACCTGACCTTCTAACACTGTCTGATTTCCATCAAAGCAAGTCATTCATTCTGTCAAAGATACGTCGGCCACTGTGTACATACACTTACCGCCATACCGCTTTACAAAGCCACTCCCCCCTTTGACCTACACAGTGTGAATTCAAAGCACGACATTTCGCTCCAACAGCCCCTAGTCATTATAGATTTCGCTCAAGCCCACACTATACGCAGATCATACACAAACGACGCATATCGGCCGCACCAAATTAAATCAGACACCACCACCAAGTTTAAAACAATATTTATCATCAATCATGTGCGGTTCCACCTCGATAACCTACATCGAGTGCGGGCACCAAATGCTCTCCACAACCCCCCAGCACACACTTCTCTGCGAATACGCGGTCATGGTCGAACTCGTCTAAGGCATCGACATGGCACCACCGCCCTGCGTCCCCTGTCCAGCCACCAACACGGTTATAGCCGCGAATCAGAAACTCTTCGACTACTGCCCCGACTGCCGGCCCGAGATGGACTTGGAGGATCCCGCGCGGGCCCAGCGCGGAGAGCTAGATGACGTCCTTCAAATCCACGTGCATATCAAGGACGACGAACGAGGCTGCTATGACGAGGCTGAGGCAAGGCAATTGCTCGAAGATTTTCGGGTTTATGTTGATGAAAAGGCTAGAGCCGGCATGGAATGGGGGGAGAGACTTGAGAACTTTTTAATAGCAAACCCAACGGCAGTGTCTCGTATTGAAGAGCACTCCCTCCATCAGTTACTGTCGGTTGCCGACCCCGCAAAGTACAACATAATGTACCTTGACGGCTTCGCCACGTGCGCGGGCATGGTACGGGTGCTGCGCATGTACGTCGCGCGTCAAGTTCCCAACAAGCTGTTCACCGATACGTTCAAGTGGGTACATGACTTGGCACTGCAGACGAATCGTGTCATGGAGACCTTTCACGTCGTGGCGGACGCGATGATGCAGGAGAATACGGAAGCGTATCAAATGCGAGTGGAGTTTTGGGGGGATGTGCTTATAAGGACGGTGCGGAGAGGGCCAGGGCATGGGGTGGGAGAGGAGTTTTTTGGAGGGGAGGGAGTGGTGGATGGGGACAGCGAGGATCATCCGCTGGCAGAGAAGGAGGTGGCCGTGGAAGCTCCAGTCACAAGGATAACTGGGAGAAAGCCGTCGAGGAAAGAAAACGGGACACTAAATATCCACGGCCTGAAGTATAACTCTAAGAGCTTGGAAGGACTTCTAGACCACGAACCGGCCAAGGAGGTCGAACTGAACATCTCCTACATTCCTAATGGAGTAAACGGGATGGGTGTGGATGTGGAAGATGAGCACGGCAACAGGCTTGTTTGGGACGATGAAGGAAAATCCCGTCTCATCTGCGCCCAAGAGCCAAGAGCTACCACGCTTGCTCCGACCACAAAGCCCAAGTCACTTGACGCTGAACCACCAGTGTCCAAGCCAAAGAAAGTCACTGAAGGCTAAGGCTTCGGCTTCGAATACTCCGACTCCGCCGATGAAGCTAACATCGACGAGCCGGTCCAACCGAGCAACGACGACGTGGATGACTCCTCACCAGCCATTATCTCAGTAGCCGCAGGTCCAATCACCTCACCTGCTGCCTCCGAGCCATCGTCCTCTCTCCGCAAACGCAAGTCGTTGTCCCCCTCCTCGCCAGACAATAATGATGATGATGATCCCTTTGATCCACTAATGCAGCGAAAGCGGAGGAAGCCAGCGCATTTACATCTGGAGGATCGACGCAGCAAATTTTAGATCGAGAAGAACCACTAGCCTACATCTAGAGGCCCTAGTGGTACGTTGTGTACCACAATCGGCATATAGTGATAAGTCTATAGGAAATAGAAGTGATGGCTTATCAGCCTCATTAGTTACCTAGGCTCAAGCGGTTGAAGTAATAAAGGAAAAGCATAGCATGTGTAATATTGGGAGGATTGTTCTTGGAATAGTATTAATTTTGAACAAAGCTAGCGTAATTTTTGTTGTTGTGCATACAAGAATAGATTTTTGTCTTTTAAGTCATTACACTACAACATGTCTTGTTCTGTACCGTGTGAGTTTGTAAAAGTGAGAACTTGATTACTTTTTTTTTAGGGGTATCAAATATCTGACTATACCAAAGAACAGCGCTACCAGTTTGTACTTGAGACATGGGCCTCCCATATAGATAGTGAAGGCACCTAGAAGAATATTACTCAGAATCGTCGCCTGCAGAGTCATCACTCTTGTCTCCGTCATCCTCTTCTTCAGAGTCGACTTGGACGTCGTCGTCATCGTTGTCGTCACTGTTGTCATCTCCTCCACTTTCTGCTTCTTCCTCGCTATCATCTTCTAGTACAATCTTTTGTTGTGGCACGGGTCTAGCGGCTGCCCTGCGACTAGGTCGACCGGTAGCCGTGACCTCGTTTGTCTTGCCCCACGCCAGCTCACCCTCTTTGATAGCCTCGAGGTCTTTCGCAAACTCCCTTTGTTCCTTTATCTTTGCCGCCTTTTCATTTGAGTATTTTCCGTCCATGCCAACGTCTTTTAGCCAGCCCTTGAGTACACGGATCTTTTCCTTGGTGGTGTCGCATTTCGAGAGCTCAGGATCGCGGGCCCAGACTTTGCGGATACCGCATTTGACCAGCCAGCCCTGAAGCCGTTTGACTTCGACAGTGTCTGGGTCGTCTTCGGCTTTGGCCTTGGGCGCAGCTTTTGGTTTGGCAGGCGCCTTTTCTTTCTTGCCCTTTGCAGCAGCAGCCTTTTTCTTCTTAGCAGGTGCCTCGTCTATGACGCTTGAGAGATCGCTATCTGAAATTTCTTCCTTTGCCTCTGGTTGTTTGCTCTCCTCCTCTACCTCAGCACTAGGTTTATCAGTTGACTTTGGCGCCTCTTCCTCTTCATCCGAGTCCTCTGCCACAGTCTTGTTGGTCCACCGTGCTGGCTTCTTTGGGGGCTCACTCTCGGCATCGGAGATTTCGGCAGGTGGCTCTGAGAGATGGGCTTCGGACTCTTCGGACTCGGTCTTTGCGCGCTTCTTTGCCTTCTTCGCTGGCGCAGCTGCCTTGCGCTTTACGCCACGCGTAGTTTCGGATGCTGCTTTGGTCTTTTTCTCTGCAGGCTTCGCTCGCGGTGTGGGTACTTGTTTCTTAGGCGTCGGCTGTGGTGAGGGTTCGTCGGTGCAGAATTTATCCTATAAACTTGGACAATGGTCTTGAAAATGTAGCTTGAAGCACATACCACAGCATCTACAATTAGCTCCTGGGATTTCTGCTTCCATGTCGAGTTCGTCTTGAAGAAGCCCTCTTCCAGGCCTAGCTCCTTTTCGGCGCGCGCACGAACGCGCTTGACAGTAAGGTCGTCATCTTTTCCGGATTTATGTATCGCTATGACAGTGTCGCGCAATTTGCTAGCAATGGCCGCCTCAGAGGGACCGTCTCGTTCAGAATCAGACATGATAGTTGTTGCGCGGCGCGCGTGTTGGTGGTGTTGAGGGATCGACAAGGAGCCCTAGCTACAGCTCCGATAGCATCCACGTGACGTCGCGGAGAAGCAATAGGTACATGCACTACATATGTATTGCGTCAACGGACATGAGGGTCCGGGATAAAGTAAAGTTCCGTGGACAAATACACAGAACTACATGCTGCTCTGGCGGCCTCGATCAGGTTTGTGTTGGGTACCTGTCGTCAGTGTAGGTGACTCGAGGGACTCGAGGCCGTCGAGCTGAGGCAGGGGTGTCGCTGTTTAGTTAACTTATGGCCTGTGAGCCACCCCGCGCGACGTCACTTTTAATCGCAAGTTTGACACGGACACGACCAGTGTCTACGTCTACTTTGCGTTGCCCACGTCGTCAACACATGTCGGTGAACAAGGTGCATAACGCCTGTCCTGGTCTCATCTAGCCTTCCCATAGTCGTTGCCAAGTTTACTTGTTGCCCTCGGCTGCACCGGCGGTGCCCTGCGACGTGCCATCTCTCCCGTCGCCTGAGCTCGGAACCTGCGAGAAGCTACCTCCACCCCAGCGGGCCCTGATCCATTATCATTCTTTCGTCACCTAAGAACCACAATAAAAGCTACTGACCCATCCTTCGCGCCTGACAAGCTTGCTTGCTCTTCTCACTCGCCGCCTTCACACGTTTCCGGCTTTAGTGTTGATTGCGTGCGATTATCCACATAGCAGACAAACTTACGACGTGAGCAAATTTCACGACATTGAATTCCCGGCCCCACTATCCTAAACACACACGCACATATAGACCGCCAAGATGCCTGAGGCGCCAACAAAGCTCGTCCAGCCCGAGTCGTCCGAAGGACGTCTGCTACTCGTATCAAATCGCCTGCCCATCACCATCAAGCGCTCCGATGAGGGCAAGTATGACATGTCCATGTCCTCAGGTGGACTTGTCAGTGGATTGAGCGGACTGTCCAAGACGACGACATTCCAGTGGTATGGCTGGCCGGGTCTGGAGGTGCCTGAAGACGAGGCCCAGAGCCTGAACGACCAACTCAAGGAGAAGTACAACGCGGTACCTGTCATGCTCGACGACGAGCTCGCAGATAGGCATTATAACGGCTTCTCAAGTGAGAATACCCGATTAGGGGAATGCTGTACGTGTACTGATAACGCGCAGATGAGATCATGTGGCCGCTTTTCCACTACCACCCCGGTGAGATCACTTTTGACGAATCCGCTTGGGACGCTTATACAGAAGCCAATCGCCTGTTCGCAAAGGCGGTTGCGAAAGATGTACAAGACAATGACATGGTTTGGGTACACGACTACCACCTGATGCTCATGCCAGCTATGCTGCGTGAGGAGCTCGGCAACACCAAGAAGAATGTCAAGATTGGCTTCTTCCTGCACACACCCTTCCCCAGTTCCGAGATTTACCGTATCCTCCCTGTCCGTAACGAGATTCTGCTGGGTGTACTCCACTGCGATCTCATCGGCTTCCACACATATGACTATGCTCGCCACTTCCTGAGCAGTTGCTCGCGTATTCTGTAGGTATTTGCATCAGAGCACTACCTTCTCCTACTAACAAATGCCAGCGGCCTCGCCACAACACCCAACGGAGTTGAATTCCAAACCAAGGTCGTCACCGTCGGCGCTTTTCCCATTGGTATCGACCCCGAGAAGTTCGATGAGGGCCTCCAGAAGCCCAAGGTACAAGAGCGGATAGCGGCGCTCGAGAAAAAGTTTCAGGGTGTCAAGCTCATCGTCGGTGTGGACCGTCTTGACTACATCAAGGGTGTTCCCCAGAAGCTACACGCTCTCGAGGTCTTCCTCACCGAACACCCCGAGTGGATCGGCAAGGTTGTACTTGTCCAAGTCGCCGTTCCCTCCCGCCAAGATGTCGAAGAATATCAAAACCTGCGCGCCGTGGTCAACGAGCTTGTCGGTCGCATCAATGGCAAATTCGGCACCATTGAATTTATGCCCATCCATTTCATGCACAAGTCCGTTTCTTTCGACGAACTCATTGCCCTCTACGCCGTTTCTGACGTCTGTCTCGTCTCATCGACGCGTGACGGTATGAACCTGGTGTCCTACGAGTACATTGCTACCCAGGAGAAGCGACACGGTGTCATGATTTTGTCAGAATTCACTGGCGCTGCACAGAGTCTCAACGGCAGTCTCATCGTCAACCCCTGGAACACTGAGGAGTTGGCAGATGCCATCCACGACGCAGTCACAATGGGCGACGAGCAAAGGAGCCTAAACTACCAGAAGCTCTCCAAATACGTCAGGAAATATACAAGGTAAGTCTCCGCGATTACCTAACAGCATATCTATACTAACGTCGCTTAGTGCCTGGTGGGGCGAGTCGTTTGTCACCGAGCTTAGAAGGATCTCGGAGATGCCAGACCGCAAAGTGCACTTTGCCAACGTCACCGTTGCGGGTGTTGATGACTCAGCAAAGACAGATGGAGAGAAGGCTTCTGAAGAACCCGCTTCCACTACTCAGGCCTAAACGAAACACGCTCAGTGTGCCAATGCCACAAAGGCTACGACCTCAGGTCATCACCCTTGTTTACGATGAATGAAATGGCATGTGGGGGAAACACGGCGTGACGGAAGGCAGTTCGAATTGCATAGTGATGGAAGGTTCCTGTTTACTCAGTACCCCTCAGTTACTAGATCCTTTACCTAGATGCTAGAGTGAGATGCCTCACTAGAGCAACGAGGATATACCCCTATAGACGACAATGAAGGTTCTTCTCCGAATGCTCCTTGTACGATGTTCTTCCATTAGGTTTATTTAGAAGTGATCCGGTTTATTTAGGACAACATGCCGCTTTCACCACATCTGCTAGCAATTGTACACACCACGGTCCTCATTGGGCTAGCAAAGTATGAATCGGGGCTTATTACAGATAGTGAACTTCAGAATGAGAGTGAGTTGAGCTGTCGATTTGTAGTTCATGGATGCTATGTTCACTTTACAATTACGAAAGTGCACTAGGCTAGAAGCAGTGCCAAGCTTCCCGGGGAAATAAGGCCCTGAGCTCGGATTGGGGCTACATTTCTGTAACAAAGTTTCTTATCCTATCTTTTAGATCTATCGACATTATATACCAAGTGACCACATGTTCTGCCCTAGTTCAATTCATATTGTCAGTATGAGTGAGTACCAAGGTTGTCAGTAATCAATATCTCATCAATATTGTTGTTTGATTTGTTTGATTCGGAGCCAACCAACTAACCAACAGTTAGCCACTGTATTTCTGTCAATCAATCAACCAATCTTGAGAACAAAATGTTGATAGGATTGGTGTTGTTTGATAGTAAGCGAGGGAGGGGGATACCTAGGTGAGGCCTCTGGGATAGCTGCTCAACGACGAATTCTTAGTGTTGGATCTTGCTTACTAAGCCTACTCGCGTGTAAGTTATATGACCTAGGTTCCATCCCATCTCTCACTCACTCCAGGCTAGTACGTACGAGGCTTAGCGCCCACAACGCTAGCTGGCAGAGACATAGATCTCAATTCCTGTAGCACAATACACAACACGATTCACACATGTTCTATTCCTAGTGCTACTGACATCAGGCTTATAACATTTAACAACACCTTACTTTCTCGCGGCTCCGGCTTACTTTTAGCCTTATCCATGCCCTCTATACCAGCAAAACGCAAGCCCGAGGCTGCCGAAGAAGCTGATACTCCCTTCAAGCGAGCACAACGTACGCGCAAACCTACGCTCAAAGCGCTGTTGGGTGACGGCAGCCAGCCAACCCAGCCGATAGAGCTGCCAGAAAGTACGCCGGATCCGCCTACAGAGCCGCCTACACAAGTTATCGAGCCGCCCACACGGGCTATTGAACCGCCATGTAAGCCTGTACAACAACCCGAGGAGCGCCCTCGGCGGGCATCACCACTGCCTATTTTGGCTGCCTCACAAGCCTCTCGGCTCACTGATGAGCCAGCCTGGGAGTCGCAGTTAATGTTTGATAAGCCAGAGGACTCTATTGTACAGCCTTTAGCTTTCTCTAGCGCTGCCACTGAGGCTTCGGTGGAGGAGGATAGCGCTGTGAGCGTCGATTTTCGCGACTTTGAGGGCGTCGATTGGTCGCGATTAAAGGGGTTTGTCGCGCCGCTGAGCACTCCACGAGGCAAGGCAAGCTGGATTTTTCAACACGGCTGGCGTGTCTGGAAGGAGGGTACTCACCACCCAGATGAGTTGTACTTTGTGTGCAAGTACTGTCATATTCATAAGCTACCTAATGGTGTACACCGAGTAACGAAGTCAACCACTGCCGCCAACGGGCACCTCCAGCTTGATAAACCTGGTCATCGGCTCAGCAAAGATGGTCCAATCCTAAGCAAACCTCTCCGCAAACATGGACAACAATCACTTCGTCAGGCAGCTCTAAGCGATGTCAAATTTAGTCTAGAGGCGTACAAGACTATAGGAAACTTCGACGTACAAGAATTTCGGCAGGCAGCTGCGCTCTGGCTGGTCGACAACAACAGACCACTCCGCGAGTTTGAGACGCCGGCTTTTCGCAAGATGATCAGGCTTGCTAATCCTGAGGCAGAGGCGGCGTTATGGAGGTCTCATAACAGCGTGTCAGCGTTCGTGATGAGGTTGTACAGTTGGCTACGGCCTCAGGTGGTGCGCGCGTTGGCTGAAGCCGAGAGCAAGGTACATATAAGCTTCGATGGGTGGACGACAAAAGGCGGCAAACGTGGCTTCTTTTCTGTAGTTGCTCACTACGCCAACAGTAAGGGCGCGATAGTTGACCTACCCATCGCGCTGCCGCAGCTGGTGGGTGCCCACACTGGTGAGGCGATAGCTGACGCTGTAACCAAAATCCTGCAATCCTTCAGCATTAATCGCAGCAAACTCGGCTACTTTGTGCTCGATAACGCTTACAATAACGACACCGCTGTTAACAAACTCGCCGCGATGTACCACTTTTCTGCCTCCGATCGCCGCCTCCGCTGCGCTTGCCACATACTTAACCTTGTTGGCCAAACGATTATGTTCGGGAGGGATGCTGACGCGTATAACAACGCCCTGGAGAACACAAAGATGGAGGATTTTTACATGAAGGAGTGGCGGAAAGAAGGACCGCTTGGCGTGTATCTTGATATTATCAACTACATCAACACGCCGAAGCAGTGGAGTATTTTTGAAGATTGCCAACGCGAGGCAGTTAACAGCATGCCCACAGGCGCCAGCGGCGGCACTCGCGAGCCAATTAAGCCGTGTGTTACACGTTGGAACAGCTATTACGACTGCTTTAAGCGCGGAGTTCAGCTCCAACAAGCTATCAACGCATACGCCACGTACCACATTCGCGAGACTGAACAGGCTGACGAACAGGCAGCTATTAGAGGAAACAAGCTGCCTGATGTGCCGCGGTGGATGAGGTCAGACGGCCTTACGGCGGCTGACTGGGCGGTGATTACTGAGTACATGGCGATACTGCAGCCGCTCAAGTTTGCTACAGATCGCCTCCAAGGCCGCGGCAAGTGTGGCCGTTTTGGCGCACTCTACGAGGTCATCCCAGTATTTGAGAGTGTGATAACTGAGCTGGATGCACGCCTTCGGCCATACGAATCGGTCAACCACGAGCCATCTGAGGCGCCCGAAGATCACATCCCGATCAACCTGCGAGCCGCGAGGCGAAAAGCGAGCAATTACTTTACTAAGATCCTCCAAAGTCCCATTTACTACGCAGCTACGGCACTACATCCACGATATAAAACATACTCTAAGCGCTTCTGGCGCGACAAACCTACACAATTGAGCACCGCGCACGCGAAGTTTCTGCGGGTTTGGGCTGCCTACAAGCCTGCCGCTGCTGCCACAACACCAACCCCTGCGCCAAAACCTACCATGAGCAGCTTTGACGACGCTATCGACGCTATACTAGATGAGGACGGCGAGCATACATTGGAGGTGGAGGATGAGTACGATAGCTGGTTAAAAGAGCCTATGTGGACGTCTGATCAACACAAGGAGGGTCCAACAGCTGTACAGTACTGGTTATCGTTGAAGCCGAAGTATCCACATCTTTCACGATTGGCGATCGACGTGTTGACTATACCCGCCTCCAGCTCTGATTGTGAGCGCGTTTTTGCGGGAACTGGCGATATAATTGAGCCACAAAGGCGGAAAATTGGCGCGCAGTTACTGGCTGCTTTGGTGTGCTTGCAACGGTGGACTCGTGCAGGTTTTACAACACCAAGCACGACAACAGCAGCAAAGCATACTGATGAGGAGCTCACGGAAGAGTTTGCGATAGGAACGTGGGAAGAGCCGCCTGCAGAATTGTCATAGAAACGTCCCTTCAGAACCTTAAGTCTATCAATATTCAATCAATCAACCAACCAAAAATTGGCTCTTCAGTCTCATCAACTCAAACAAACAAACTGTAGCCCTAAGAAATGAGCCAGTCAATCAACATCTACGCCTCAAATGTTGGTTGTTTTGTTTGTTGACTTCTCTGGTGAGTACACTGACTTTCCGTTGTCTGCTGTCTTTCAACCTTTTTCCGCGCCCATCTCTCTTTTCTTCATTTACAGTATATGCTTGCAATTCTTGTCACTAGGTAAGTGTGAAAAAGCTCGATAGAGCTCTTGTCAAAATCAGGTAATCGATGGTGTCGGAACATGCGCGTACAGCCAGCCCGGCGAGTTTTTCCGGGCCGGAAGCTTGGACCACTAGTTAGACCAAGCTTCCCGCTTAGCTCGCAACCGTACATATGGAGATCTCTCCATCCAGCTCTTGCTCACTACTAATCAAATACTATACACTTTGTTCGTTGCAACGACTGCTAGTATTCGACACCTTTGCCGTGTCATCACTGATCAGTGGTTGATATGACCACAGGTCGGCAAGACATCTGTGTACAGAGGGCCCATCAGCATTGCGTCTGTGTAGCCTAGGTAAAGAAGCGACTCTTAGTACGACCTTGTATCGTATTAAGCAGTGCGAAGAACAGATCCGCCCACGAGCGTTCGTTTCGGCTGACGGAGTCTGAAAGAGATCCAGAACTAGGGATCTGCGTCAACTACGCACCAAAACCCGACAAAATCACCGGCGAGCAACCCCGCCACAGTCAACCCCGCGACGAGCGACCTACGGGCAATCTACAAGCGACCCACAGGCAACCCCGCGACTCACAAGCAACCCACCGGAATCATGCCTACAAGCATTACTACCCGGCAATGGTACCCAAAGGTGTACGCGGACGAGTACACCAATACCCAACTCGACATTGCAACCGATGCTATTATCCCTGGTCAGATAAGCACTATTGCTATCGACTGGATGATACAGGCCGAAGAGAACGGAGACTTTGACATCATGCTTATTCAAGACTTCCAAGAGACATTTGCAGGATGGTCTCTCAATCATTTCAATGCAATGGACATGCGAGTCCGTACAGCAGTCAAGAACATACTCCGCGACCGAGGTGTCTACATCGAGAAGAACAGCCGCAACACCATCGCACAACAGCTAGTCAATCTCCTTAGCCTTACACGCTCTCCCGACTGGCCCATTGACGAGCTCAACGTTATGCGACTCAACCCAGACTTCAAATGCCGACAGATAGCAGAAGAGGCACAACACGCTAGAACAACTCAACAAAGCAGCAACCCGCCAACTCAAAGCGCCAGTATAAACTATGCGCCATCTCCTGCTCAGGCAAACGTAACAGCCCTCACCAACCTCGCAAAGGTATACAGTGAGGAGGAGAAGTTCAGTGGCGACAAGTATGACGTCCTCGACAACAAGATAGTCATCTTTAAAGACCATTGCGAAAAGGTTGGCATTACGACACCAGCACAGTACAAACTTGCAGTCTCTACTATGCTTAGAGGCAAGGCCTCAGCATACTACTACAACTACATTGCTCCACTCAACCTAGACTACGACAGCATTATCAAGAAACTAGGGGAGTACTTTCACACGAGCGAGAACTACCAAATGTTCTTAAGTGAGTGGCGCACCATTATGCTGAAAGACGTCATCGCCAACAACCCCGACAAGACACTCACCCAGTGTCTCGACATAGTCATCGACAAGCTCCAGCTGCTGCACCAGGCAATGACTCAACAGAATGGACCAAGCGAGCTCGCTCTTACAAGCCAACTTATTGCTGCCTGTCAAGGCGTCGAAGCATGTAGCGCAGTCCTTATCCGCCCAGCTTCAACCTTTGAAGCCGTTGCCTCAGAACTCCGCAACGCTGTCGGCAACTGGACGCGCTGCCATCCGCGCTCACAGTTCAACTGCGAGGAGTCCGATCCGAGCGAAGACGCGTTCTACACAAACCGCCGATACAACCGCAACGATAGCGGACAACGCGACAAACCGCGCAACTATAGCGCACAAGGCCAAGGCGAAGGATCCCGCAACTACAACCGCGGAGGATCCCGCTTCCAACGCAGCTTACCCCGATCGCAGTACAACGATGATACACAGCGCCGCAATAACAGGAAGTGCTACGTCTGTAGCAAGCCAGGCTGCTGGTCAACTCGTCACTCTAGAGAAGAGCGAAAGGAAGCGCAACAACGTTTCCGGACGTACGTGCAGACCCGCAACGTCGATATAGACTACGAAGCTTTCCTTGCCCAGTTTGAGGGCATTGACCTTAATGACGACGACGATAACGGCGGCACGGACGAAGAACTCGACGCGTTCTTCAACAACGACCAGTTTGATACAAAGCACCAGTTTCTCACTGCTACCTGCGGTGCAGTTGATGGAGGAACAATGGTACGCAACCTCAACAACGCCGCCGCTCTACACGCGATCACGAAGATCGACCCATACGCCGGCAACGACATTGCCAAAGAGGCAAGCCACCTCTTCACACTCGATCACCGGTACGGGCGCGAGCAGTTCCAAGGCATCATGCCAGACACCGGCGCGGCCGGAGTGTCTACAGCAGGCAAGCAACAGGTTACAGCGTTACACCGCATCCAACCGTTATGGATTGACAAGTCAACTGCTGGCCGACACCGGATCCGATTTGGGGATAACCCGGAGTGTGTTTCTATCGGCGACGTCAACGTCCAGACACCCGTTGGAGTGATTAGGTTCGCTGTAATGCCTACTAACACACCGTTCTTACTCTGTCTTGATGACATGGACCGCCATGGCATCTACTTCAACAACGTCGACAATACGCTAGTTCATCAGTCCAAGGAGTACCCAATTGTCCGCAAGTGGGGGCATCCATGGCTTCTTCTCAACAAGCAGGAGACTGCCACCCACTATCTCACCGAAGGAGAACTCCAGCAACTCCACCGACGTTTTGGGCATCCAGCCGCCGCACGCCTCTACAAAGTCCTAGTAAAGGCAGGCCACGACGACATTGACAAGACGCTAATTGATGAGATTAACAAGTTCTGTCATCAGTGCCAGATAACTGCTAAAGCACCAGGCCGATTCCGCTTTACTCTACGCGATGACAACCTCGACTTCAACTCCCGCGTCATCGTCGACATTATGTACATTGACAGTAAACCAGTCCTCCACGCCGTTGACGAAGCAACTGCTTTTCAAGCCGCCCGCTTTCTTATAGACATAAAAGCAAGCACAACATGGGACACGCTGCGCGCTATGTGGATTGACATGATTATGGACCGACTGTCTTTCCCTAAGGTCTCTATTGTCGCATGCACGGATTCACGATCCTTGTACGACTGTCTCGTCAAACTCGGCACTACTAAGGAGAAACGTCTCATGATAGACATCATGGCATTGCGCGAGGCATACGAGCGCAACGATCTCATGGATATCCGCTGGATTGACGGCAGAGACAACCCAGCAGATGCGATGACAAAGGCAGCGAGCAACTCTGCTTTAGAGCATCTCATTGACACCAACGAGCTCGAACTTCGTGTACAGGGATGGGTGAATCGCGACACCACAGGCATCGAGCCTACGAACAAGCCAGGCACCAAGCCTACGAACAAGACAGGCACCGAGCCTACAGACAAGACAGGCACCGAGCCTACAAACAAGACAGGCACCGAGCCTACGAGCGATGGCACCGAGCCCACGATTGATTGTGGTGAGAACTGAGACGGACACACATGCACACACACACAAGGGATGAATGGGTTGCATGTATTTGCGTTAGCCGGAATAGGAAACTAGATACTTTTCTAGGAGCAGGATATTGTAGCAGATTCGGGGTACTTGGGAGCTGACTGTACGCCGTCACAAAAAGAAGAAAAGCCAGTGTCGGAACATGCGCGTACAGCCAGCCCGGCGAGTTTTTCCGGGCCGGAAGCTTGGACCACTAGTTAGACCAAGCTTCCCGCTTAGCTCGCAACCGTACATATGGAGATCTCTCCATCCAGCTCTTGCTCACTACTAATCAAATACTATACACTTTGTTCGTTGCAACGACTGCTAGTATTCGACACCTTTGCCGTGTCATCAGATGGTTCTTCAGTTTGGTACGCCAAGCACGGGTACCATGGTACTGTACCATAGTTAGGGGAGATGGAAAACTCCGCGCGCACACGAATATTCTTGTTACTAATCCTTTTTCTTTTGTTCTCCGTGAGACTCTACACGTTGATGCTTGCATAAATCGGGTATAATACCATGCTACTCCCAGGTAGGTAGTTAAGGGCTCATTCCGTGCAAGCTGACACCAAGAGAAAATCATCTCAATTTGTGCAAGCTGACGCCGAGAGAGAAAGTCATTCAACTATTTGAAGGGTGATAATGTGGAGTCTAACGCTCTTAGAGATACGACTCGAGAAAAGGGAGAGATACGACTCGAGAAAAGGCGTAGGTACTTATACGGGTTCCGCCTTGAGTGGAAGGCAAGACAGTTCAGTCCAGGGCTTTTGCTGGTATCCCACAACTAATAAATAAGGCGAAAAAAGTAACACACGTATACAGTAATTTTGTGAGTAGTGTGCATAAAGCAAAGAAAAATAAACTGCTAGCCGTGTTCTTTGAGCGAGTACAGTCCCTAACATGCTCTTTTCGTATTCGTTATTAACCTGCTACCCTTGCAACACCCTTGATTAAAGGGGCTCATCATTATTCCACAATCGGACTCGGTACTTCGATCTGAACTTTGACTGCACGTACTAATCCATGTATATAAGCCTGCGAGGTGTGCGCCGTTTGCTTAGACAGAGTCAACATTATCAACATCATTTACAATTCACCACCAAAACCTACAACCCGAAACAAGTCTTCATTACTACAATGCGCTTCCATCTCCTCGCACTGGTGGTAGCACCCCTTGCGTATGCAAATACCGATGGCGGATGTCAGAGCTCAGATGAGGTTAAGTGTTCGAATCGATGGGGATATCAGGTATTCTATGTTGCCACTCCCACCCAACTTCATCACATACTGACCTTTCCAGTGTCCTAGCACCCATCCACCAACTACTGCGACGGGCATGTGTCAAGTAGCTGGACGACGACATCGCATTCGCTTTTTTTGCATAAGCTTTTCACCTGCTTTGCTACCTAGACCTGGTCTGATTTTGTTTTTAGTGCTTCTCTTAGGTTGTTTTGTACAACGGGAACCGGCAGCCGTAGAGGAGAAGGGGCGGGGAGTATATCTGGCCACTCTGATATTTACTTGAATGCGGTTTGGTGTGCAAAAGGGCGGAAGGGGTTTCACGGATAGATTGCTGGTATAAAGCAGACTTTCATCACATGCTTATCGGCTGGCTTTGTACACCTATGAACGCCCATCCTGACTAGTAGCAAGATATAATGGAAGTTGGTTTATTCTCAACTTAACTATCGATTGCTCTTCACACGACATGGTCAAAACAGACTGACGTTGGTTAGCATGCGACGATACAAAAGATTTGGAAGTATCACACTTAGGAGAAAAGTTCGATGAAAATGTAACGGGAGTATGGGTTATACTGCACATGTAATAAGTAAAAACTCGAAATACAGACAGGACAATGAAGCAGCATGGGAAAATATGCGTACCCAAGCTAATATATACTGCTTAATAGCCTTAGGATCGGGCCTGCCCACCCCCCTTCAATCCTCACACCCCATCCTCTCAGCACCCCAGAACTTCCCCCAGCACAGCCATCTTCTCTCGGACACACTGCTCGTGCTTCTTCTGCAGCTTCGCCTCTTTGGCCATGGCCTGCTTAATCTTTGCCTCTCGCTTCACAATCTCATCGTGCTCAACCTCCTTGATCAGCCTAGCCTCCGTCTGTCGCAACCGCGAGCGCTGAGACTTTGTCTTACGTCCCCCACGCCCCTCGAGCGCCGCAACCTGCCGCTGAAACAAAGCAAGGCGTTTTTGCGGACCCATACGAGTACAAACAGGTGAATTATGTAAATCGCGCCACGTGTTGGTAGGAAGGGCACGACCTTCACTGACAATAGCGTCCCAATCGTGGAAGTACTTTTCCTCATCTAAATCGAAGGTGCAGCCTGGTTGAGCATATTGGGTGGCTAGGGCTTCGTGCGCGTGACGACGAAGGCGCTCGTGTATTCCGCTAATATTATTTTCTAGCTGGTCTTCCTGTTCGTACTTTTCGACGTGGAGATGACGCCAGTGTTCAAAGGCGGTGTAGGCAGCGTTATACTCGGCGTTCAAAACATACTTTTCTTCTTCGCCTAACTTTACGAAGGCGAAGCGGTGGGTTTTAGAAGAGGCGATTGCCCAGTTGATGATTGGGGTGGGCTCGTTGCCGCGGAGGTTGTTCCACCATTCGGAGTTGAAGCTGAATATGCCAGCGGGGAGCTTGTCGCGCCAGTCTGTATCATCGTCCTCGTGTTGGTCTTCGACGGTGGTGTGTTTAAGATGGGATAGACAGTACTTATAAGCTTCGTTGATTTCTTGGAAACGAGCGGTTGCTTCTGCTTAGACCTCTCGATCGGCCTTGTCGGGGTGGTACAAGAGAGCAAGTTTCTTGTATGCTGTCTGGATGGAAGTCGCAGAAGCCGTGGGTGTGAGGCCGAGAATGGCGAAAAAGTGTGCGTCGTTTGGCATGCTTGTGGTGATGATGATTCAAAAGAAGGCTGGAATGCTCGCTGTACGCTTTGGGTTGGGAAGTGTAGTGTTGGTGAATAGTGAGTCTACTCTGTGAGTCCTTATTGTTCCAGACTGTAGCGCTTTCTACTCATATAGCTTCAGGGTCTCTTGACATCAACCTAGTGGATGCCAACCATGGTTCGCGCACCAGAGCTATGGAGGAAATATGGGCTTCTTAGCTAAGCGATTGGAAACACCCAATCATACCCGTTAACGGCGTGGTAAATCCCCTGTAATACGTATGTGGTTCGGCCCAGGGTAGCGATGGAATGCTAGTATGAGGCTAACTCATACTTCCTGTTTGCCATCACAGTTGCTCTGAAATACCTTTCCAGTTGGACAGGAACCAAAATTCGGAGCCTGCATATTCTAGAAGCTTACAGTAATATTTGAAAACTGTTCTGACATGGGGATGTCCCCTTTCCTTTAAAGTTTCTATAAATTCTTTCTGAAGGCTGATGGGCCATACCATGATGGCGCGCAGGGCTGGATGAGAAGTCGTTTCCAGGGAGTATTGCAGAGAGACTCGTAGTTGATCGATGGCTTGAATAATGGCAAGGCCAATCGGCGATGAGTCCTCGGAGACCGAACAGCCTAGAGCCTGTATTTCGACCAGGAAAGCAGACAACAGCGAGGGTGGCTTTGGCAACTCTGCCACAGGCGTCATGATAAGTGCGAAAGGTCCGCTTAGTAAGATGTGGATGACATCCTTCATCACGAAATGTACTCCGCGCACAACCTGGAACGTCTCCACGAGCACGTCCAGATTGTATGCACGTGCATCGGCAAAGGCGTTCATCACAGTCAACATGGCCGAAGCGAAGACCGCGTGGCAATTCAATGGTCCAATATCCGTGATCGCTTTGTTCAGGCTTGTAAGTGCAACGCTTTGATGCGCAGAGGCAGCCAAGCGAAAATGGGTCGCCCTGGATGGATTGCTGTAGACGAGATGATTTGACGAGAAAGCCAATATGCTGTGTAGGAGAAAATCGAATTTAAACCCCTCTTGGGGGACTGCAAATTGCCAAATCTGTTTGATTTCGTCGGTGCCTGGCAGACTTTGGTGCGCGTGTGAGGTATAATGGTGCATCAACTCCATATCCCGTAGCCAGTCAGCTGTTGGCACTCCAGCTGGAGCCTCAGCTGGCACGGTAGGTAAAACATGCTCCTGCACTGGTCGGAGATGCGAAGGATCCGGTGAATATCCGTCCGTCTGGGTTGACAGGCTTCCCGGACTACCTGATGCAGATAGCTGTATGTTGTGCGGGGACGCAGTCTCCGAACCGCTTGCACTTTGGGTATCAGCACCAAGAAGACTACATTCGGCTCTATATCGCGTGCAAGCGCCACATGGCCTGCCTTCGTCACACTAGATGTGTGAGTGTTAGAAAGACGGTGAAGGCGTGGCGGAAGCTAGATACCTTGACGCGTCGCGCTTTGCATTGTAAACAGCCATTACGACTTTTTCTCGAACCAAGTCTGGGCATTATGCAAGGTTATTCAATGCTTATGAGTGGATGGATCGCTCCCGGCTGGCTGAGTAGGTAAGCTGGCAGAGTGTGTGAGTGGCTCCGATCCGTCTACGGGTAGCTCCGATCCAAAGTGCGAGTGCGAGTGCGACGGGTGGGTGCCACCTGCTTACGTCATCAACCAAAACAGCCGTCATTGGTGGGTACACAAATTTTTCGGAATTTCAAGGTTAGGATACGCTTAACACATCGACATGGACCGCAAAACTCGAGTGGGCATTACACTGGAGGGGTATCTGCACATCAACTTTCTAGCATACAAGAATCACAATCACCCTGTCTCACAGTTTGCAATATCGCAGCTCCAGGGCTATCCCGAGCATGGTCCACTCCAAATTGCCCAGGTAGACATCGGGTTTTCGTTCCGTACCTACCCCAGTGGGCAACTTTGGTAGCCAATCATAGGTACCTAGGTAGACTACACGAAAATGTAACCATGGATCACATATATCGTGACTTTCAAGTTACTTGTGAGCTAGACGCACGCCAGGAGGACCTGTGAAGTGGTCAATAGAGACGTCCTTGAGTATGAAGCCTTATAGCGGTATCGAAACCCTGGAATGCCCATCGCTCGTTCGCCTCTACCATGATCACACTCGATGCACAATCTCGTCCACATGTCAGTGAATATTATAGTAGTTCCTGACAGATTCAGATTCAAAAGATCAACGTCAAGCCAACTCCAAAGATCACAGAGCTCCTATAATCTTCAGATAGGCCGCCCGGTGCCGTGTGACGATTTGTCTTCAACTAGCAAGGAGCCTTGGTATCAGGTGGACCCTGAATCTTCACCACGCGATTTTTTTAAATTAAATGCAGTCACGGGCTTTCCCTCTGGTTGCAGAGCTCAACACCAATACTAGCACAGATTCTCAACGACTTCATCCTCAAATAACACTTGCGATCCCATTCCGCTTGGACTCGTTCCGAAAGCCGCATTCGAGCGGGAACCGTGATATGTCCGACTCCAACCCTGCCCTTGGATTTTCGAAAAACCACAAGTTCATCCGCAGGATTCAGTCAGGGCCACAGGGCTACGTAGAGCAATGGAAGCACGTTCCTACGGCGAAAATGATTGCAGTAAAGGTCATTCGACACACCCAGCCTACACCTAATCAGTGATCGGAATGGTCTGGTCTGGTCTGGTCTGAGGGTACAGACCAGACCAGACCAGGTGCTTACATAAGGACCGGTCCGACCAGACCGGTCCGACCAACAAGACCGCCAAGAATGAGGCTGAAGCAAAGAAGGAAGCCGAGGAAATGTGTTTTACTACTGACTGTCAATCTAGTCGTCTTCGTTCTCACTATCCTCGATATCGCTGTTCCCCTCAGCTTGGGGCTTTCCATACCAGGCCCGGAGACACTCGCACGCTTCTATAATATCTGCCTTCAGCCTACCACGGCGATCGACGATAGTAAGCTTCGCGCTACTAAAAAGACGTTCGCATTCATCCGACATAGGCGAGATCGCAAACATGTCTAGAGCGAAGCGAGCGAGATCTCGTTGGGAGTCGTAGCGAGATAGCCAGTACGCAATAGCCTCATTGCAACCTGCCTCTTCGTTATGAAGCCGGTCAGTAGAGATGTATTGTTCATACAAATCAGTTGTAGAAACTGGAGCGTCTATTCGAATGCGCTTATGTTCCCGCTGGCGATCAAATGCTGGGTCAGGATCTCTCTCCTTCCTGGCTGGTGGTGGCAGCATCTCGACAGGGTACCTTCCCTTATACTCTGTCTCCCAGAGATGCTTCACCGCTAATTGTGCGTTTTCAAACCACCTCTTCTTCTCTTCGTCGCCATGAAGAACCCACTCTTGCCTGAACCATCCCCACTTGCGATATGGATCAAGGATTTGAGCCGCATAATATGCCGGTGGAAGGTCAGTATCTTCAGGGAATCGATTTTGCCAATTCAGCTGCTGATTGTTATAGTACTCAACGCACTTTAACCAAGCAGCATCAGCGCAGCCTTGAAGGTACTTCCATGTAAAGTTGTTATCGTCCTCAGTGTGGATGTCGTGGTAGTGATCCTTCGTCTCGCTTATCTCCCGGAGAAGGCAGTCCAAAGTTGAAAACCAGTCCGCAAGTGACGTCTTCTTACCTTCAGAAAGCAAAGTTGCAGCATAGAAGTCTTTGAGAGCGAGTTCAATCTTTTCAAGCTCAAACCAGTGCTGTCCATCAAGCTTAAAGTTCGCGATCCCTACGGAGCCCTTTCCAGGTACATGACGAGCCGAGAAGAGCTCTAAACGTTCTCGAACATTTAATGCACGTGTAATCGAATAAAACCATGAGTTCCAGCGGGTCGAGTTGTTCTGGATAAGCTCAAGCCCGTCGAATTGCGAAAGATCTCCGCCGATAATAATTGTAGCAAACTCCTCACGCCGTTGTGGAGTAAGCCTGATGTATCGCACCAGGTTGTGAAGACGACCCAAACATCCGAACTTCTTCCAGAGCTCTTCCACCTTCGTATAGTCGCCACGTTGATGATGCTTCTCCAGCTTCGCAAGATACTTCTCACAGTTTCGCCCCATAAGGAACGCCTGGCAACAGAGGTTGATGACATGGCCCAAGCAACGCAGCCGGCGATGACGACGTTGTTTTGACTTCATCCATGGGCAGAGATCCTTGAGTATAAACTCAACAGCGGTATCATTTGCCGAGGCATTATCCAGCATAAAGTATCCAATCTGATCTCCGCTAATGTCGTATTCTTCCAGCAATTCAAGGACCACCGATCCAAGATTCTCTCCAGTATGTTCGCCGTATATACGTCGCATACCTAAAGCGGTAACACGTCGCATGCCGGTAGTATCAATCCACATAGCGACGACGCCTAGGATAGCGTAAGGGTTTGGTGAAGTCCAGAGATCAAAGGAGATAGAGATCCTACTCCGTGAATGGTGTAGGTCCTCCCTAAGCTGTTGCTTCTTCGATATGAATGCATTCATTACCCAGCTTCGGATAGTCTTCGCAGCCTTCGGGAGGTGGTTGAGTAGTGCCGGATTTAAAAAGAGGAGTAGTTCACGAAAGTACTGGTTCTCTAATTGAAAGAAGGCGATATGGCAGTACACAATCCAACGAATTAGAAGCTCTTTAAACTTCTCTACTGACTCCTTCCAGAAAAAGATGCTGGAAGCAGCCCCATCCTTTTGCTGGTCGATTATAGACTTCCGTACAGAACCCTTTCGCTTGATGCCACTCTGGGGATCAATCTGGTGCTTCTGTTCCAGGTGATTCCGGATCCTAGAAGTGCCATTGATGACAAACAACTCTTGCTTGCTCTTCCCAACCCTGCACTCATGGCAGTAATACACCTCTTTCTTATCGCTATCTCGAATGTATTGGAGTCCGTACTTCCAGATGTGTGATGTACCTTGACGGAAATCCTTCCTTGCAATTATTGCACGTTTCACGTACGTGATACCGCCCTGCACGAACTCATCTGGAGATTCGTGATATTGAATAGGAGTGGGTGATAGTATAGGGGTGGGTGATGACGTGGGGATAGGAGATGGAGTAAGAGACGTTAAATCTAGTCTTATAATATTCGATGGGGACGGTGAGGTTGGTGTTGAAGGCTCCATAACAATAGTATATAAGTAGGTTGTTAAGGACTTGATTGTTCTATGTAAGTAGAAGACTTACCTTGATCTTAATGACTCATATTGTGCTAAATTTTCTGGCTAGATTAGTCTAAGATCTAGTCACGTGGACCTATTTATAGCCGGACCGGTCCGATCATCTAGACCGGTCCGACCACGGTCTCAAAAAATCGCCAGACCAGACCAAGTCTTGGCGGTCTAGACCAGACCAAGACCAAGTCAGACCAGACCATTCCGATCACTGCACCTAATGAGGTTGCTATCCATCGAGAACCACCACCGCATGAGTCGATTATCGGCTACTTGGGCTACTACGAACAGCTACCAAAGCCAGATGTGTCCTCACTTCTACTTGAGTTTTGTGAATTCGGCGACTTCTACGACTTCGGTAAACGGGCTCGGCGGGTGGCTCGGAGGGGTGAACACCCTAGTTTCTCTGAAGCTTTCATGTGGCCAGTATACCGCCAGCTAATGAGTGCTCTCGCCTTTCTGCATCAAGGCATCGATGCACAGAACCCACAAGGTCGTGACGGCTGGAGGCCAATAGTACACCAAGACATCAAGGTCGAGAACGTGTTCGTCAAGCGCTTAGGCACCATACCCGACTGGTCGGAAATTAAACTGAAGATTGGAGATTTCGGCATGTCTACTTACTATGATCCTGCCAATCTCAATCCCCACAGCTACATTGGCACAAGCACAAACTGGTCGCCGGAAATCTCCTGGGAGACCAAGCGCTTCACACCTGCGAGTGATGTATGGGCAGCTGCTAGCATCATCCATGGACTGGCTCATAACTTTGGGCCAAAAGTTGCTTCCGAGCTTATCAAGAAGAAGTGGTTCCTCCAAAATGATGAACTGCCCTTCCCAGCGACATGGCCGCCAAATCTACAAATCAGCTATTGGTCGTCGCAAGCACCGCATAGAGTCATTCCGATCAACGTTGACCCTAAAGAGCCTGTCCCTGTTTTGTCCGATTACGGAGTGGGATATGACATACGGGCACTGAGCGCTCGCGAGCATTGGCCGAGCCCAAAGTACTCTGACGCACTGAACGATTGCATGATGGCGGGCCTCAAGATTTCGCCAGATGAGCGTGCAGAGTCGGGGAAATTACTCTTCCAGATTGAGACAGCACAGGCTAAGTTCCTTTTCAAGGATCTATGTGTGGCGCATGACCGTGAGACTGCGTCGGACTAGGACGGGGCCGACATGACGGGATGATCTTTGTGAGCTTTGGGCGCATTTCAAATAATCAACAACCTTTGTCGAGCTATGTTGAGTTTGGCGCTACACATTGAATGAAGAGCATCTTTTTGTATGACAACTGGTCAGGAACAAGGTTCTAATTTAAACGCTAGCATCACATATTGGAGTAATCATAATCGAATCGCGACAGCGCTCTACTTTGTATCGCCATGTCAATGATCTCTTCTACAAGTCGGTTTACATCCTTTGTCTTTATCGGAACCCGGTGCCCACCTTCCCACTCCTGAACTCTGACATACCGCTTGTCAAAATACTCATGAAGTAGCCGACGATGTAACTGAATATTGGGATCCTTCAAACCGTGGTAATGAATGGTAGGTATCCTAATCAGATCTAGCATGGGAAACTGTAGCTTCTCCTCGACCGCCGTAGTCGTAACAGCTGAAGCAGGAACAAGGCCATGTGGAACGGGCATATCGGGTATTAACGACACCAGCGGTCCCCGTCCGGCGAGAAGTACTGCGAAGCGAAACTGAGGCCAATCGGTATCGATGCCAAACACGTCGCGGGAGAATTGTTGCATGTACAGCAAACTCGCGCATATCTTCGCTCCCTGACTGAACCCTAGTAGTCCTACCCACTCGCCCGTCGCGCCCTTCTCGTCATCCTCTGCTATGGCACCTATAAGAGAACACTGTATACGCTCGATAGCGCTGGTCGCATCTCGATGTGGATCTTCGGGGCTCCAGTGGAGCCAGGCTTTGAATGGACCGCAGCTCTTGTATACTGAGATGACATCTGGACCGGGCTTGGAAGGGAATGGCGCTTCCGCGTAGCAAAGTCTGAAATATGGCAACAGACTACGCTCGAGGACACGGCATTGGGCGCGGAAGATCCTGGCGTTGGTTCCACCACCGTGTAGACAGAGGATTCTCGGCTTGTGTAGAGTTGGGTCGGCGCTGGGGGTTGGGGTATGGTAATTCATCGTCTATACAGTACTTAAAGTAGTATAGTATTGGGATGAAGAGTAGATGGGAGAGCGCGTTGATGAGATTGCTTGGTATGCTATCGGCGCTTCAAGTTAAGACATAGACAAGCCATGATAAGCATCAGCCCATTCTCCTAATCGAGTTAACTATCTCTTAGCCCTGTAGGTAACCTCAGCTTGTCGTGAAACTCCGAGAGATACTCCATGTATTTTTGGTTAGGCTGCCTGAAACTCTGGTGTGGTCGTGTCAGTGGGGGCGGGAAACTACATAGGTAAACAAGTCACCAAACTGTAGGTTACTTTTACTATCTGATGCTACTTTAAGCTATCTAGAATCTTTTGACTTCAATGTTAGTTATATGGAGGTTGGTTTCGTGTGTTTGTAATAGTCAAGAGAGTCGCAAAGGCTGAAGACGGCCACTAAGGCACACGTCGCTAAGTGAGTATCAGTGATGACAGCTTGCTAAATCAGCGTTACTACATGCATGTAACCTTATATATAGGGGGGGGGAATGGGCTTCGTGGTATGGGGACAACTCCAGTATGGAGTAAAGTGAAGTACGTGACCGTGACGTATCTTAACAGACTTGTGACAACAGTAGCGTGGCGAGATCATGAAAAAACTGTATGTGTTACAATGTTATTAACTTCGACTATACTAGGCCGTGGAGTACTGTATTGTGAAGTCATTATTATAGGAACAACACATTCGGCCGTAGATGATTCTAGAGGGTTGCCCAACTCCCACAGAGACGGCAACGCCGACGGCTAACTAGTGTGGTGTAGTAGCTTGTCACGTGTTCGGCGTTAGGTAATCGGCGCTAGGGTTGAGTATTTTAGGGCGACTCCGCGAGGAGAAGCTCGACATCATCGGATCATCTTATCGTACACCATTCTTAATACTACCGTTTATTGTTCGGATACCTTCTTGTTCCCTACTCTCTACCGATTGCGGGTCGGCAGCCTCTCTTCTGACTATTGAGGCTATCCCTCTACCACACTAGTCAGCCTCCCCAAGCTACTGCACGACACCGTGATTACTTGCAGAGATAACAGAAACATTACCTAGGATAGATAAGTTCGACGCCTGAAATGTACCGAGAGATCGCGAATAGCCTGGAGATCGGGGTATATTGAAGAAAGGTAGCCATTGGAGTCTAGAACTGAGAAATGGAAAGTGTAGAACAAATGAATGTCTCAGGTATCACCGGTCTCAGCCAGCCTGGCACTAATACTCCGAAATTTTCCATGGGCTCCACGAACGTTCTTTCTCAGGGATGATTACCCTACCTTCTGGTATCTTGTATGTACATAAAGAAGCACGATTACATAAGTGTTCGTGTCTAGTGTGACTTTATTCGGACTATTATTTCTTTTCACGCACAATCCAAACGACCTTGAATACTAGCCTAGCCCTACGGTTATGAATTCTCTTTAATGATAGCAGTGCATCTACTCCACTCTAGGTCCTCACACAAGCCCTTGATCTCTATCTCCGGAAGACAAAGCAAAAGCAATAGATCGCCATTCGCCTCCTGAGGATAGATATAAAATACGCCAGGAAGTGGTGTCAGCTTGGGCCTGCGACCTAGATCCAGCTTTCCTAAGATACCAAAATCGAACCCATTGACTTTAGCGTTCATCATAGATGGGTGGCCAATGTCTGTGATTGGATTGGCACCGCCTGCGTACATGAGCCGTGACTTGTCCTGCACTGAGTCGACAAAGGTAGCGTAAGATCGGGCCGAAAAGTCGTTGTTTGTGTCGTCAAGGTCCTTGCGCAGGCGCGTTGCCACCGTAGCAAGTGGCAAATCTACGAGCTCTTGGAAGGTGAGGCGCGTGGCAGATTGATACACCATCTGTCCAAGATAGCCCGGCGAAACGCCGACAACAGGTCGGATATCGATGGTGCGACCGAACTTGGAAACGCAAGTTGGATCGGGGCCAGTCTTGATCCGGACAGCGGCTATGCTCTTCCAGAATAGCGCACACAAAGCGTCGTTGGGAGAGATGAACGGAACGTCTGGGTCAAAGCCTACTGAGTCTTCGGCTAGCTTCTTGACTTCTGCCAGCTTGTCCTTGAAGAAGCGGAAATAGGTCCATTGAGCTGGAGCGCGGGGTTTGATAGGTTCCGGCGCTGGATCGGGCTTTAGAAGATGACTGTGATCAAGCATTGGCTCGAAGGGGTCAAGAAGCCGTATGACACTTGCGGGATCTTGATTGGCAGCTTCGATGATGTCTTCAGGGAAAGGCTCGCCACGGAGAGCGGCAGACAGAAGGGTGATGATAGTGAACAAGCCCGTCCCGTCAACCATGTTATGCTGGTTGCTGTACGTGAGAAGGAACCCGCCCTTCACGAAAGTAACTTGCAGCATAGCCGGAGGCGCCGGCCCGATCTTGGCGGTGTTGTAACCCAGAGGGAATCCTGGGTAAGGACAGATGAGGTCCCCGTCAAGCATCGAGAAAGGCGCCTCAGCCGCAAGCATCTCTGCGTACGAGGGAAGAAGATCAGAGCAATCTCTGACCTTGAGGAGGCCGTGTGGCGGGACATCTTCGGGCCATGGTGCCATGCGGAGGATACCTGAACTACTATCTTCACCGGGTACATGGATGACTTGACCCGTGAGCCAAGGGATAGCGGCTAGAATTTTAGATGTAGCGTCTCTAAGGGCAGAGATGACTATCTCTTGAGTGAGGCCTTCCCTCATAGGGAAAAGGGAGACGCCATGGTTGTAGGTCGTCAGTTGGGGAAATTGACCAAGGACGTCAGGGTTGCGTTCAGGGTAAGGCATTTTGAACAAAAAGTGGGTAGTTCTGGAGTGGTTGAAATAAACCCTGTATGGTGATGATAGTACTTGGGTACGGGAAGGCAGGTATGATAACGAAAAGATGTGCAATTCCTACCCACCCAGAAGGAACAAGTAAGATTTATCGCGTTATGACTCAACTCTCTCAGTACCTATAGTTACTTATTTAAGATTGTACATGTTTCGTTGTTTCTCCCTGAGCCTTGCGCGCCGCGTCGTGTTGTCGTTGAGATATTCCGAGCTCCGTGGTAAGTTAATCGGCCCATCCAGGGTCCACCGCTACCACTTCCAGAACATGAGTTCATGAGCTAGGCCAGTTTCTCCGAAAATACAAAATGCAATCACTTCAGACGGAGTAACCACTGCATCCGCATCGTACCGCTCAAAATACAGAGTAGTCTCACTGTCGTACAGGATGGTAAACCCCGCTCTCAATGTCTTACATGATGGCAGACGCCCCAGCCGATCACATTCACCTCCTCCCATCACGCTTTTCACCAAAGCAACCTTCAGCCCAGTACTAGTGCCCATTCCAATAGGTATCTAAGGGGGCAATCCAACTTGGTTACTATGTTCGACGACGCTCCTTTCGAAGTCGCCATTGTGGGTGGCGGCATTGCCGGTCTGACACTCGCAATCGGCCTCCTACGCCGTAACATCCCTTTCAAGATTTACGAGCGCGCACAGGGTTTCCGTGAGATCGGTGCTGGGATCGGATTTACTGCAAATGCTGAACGTGCTATGCTCGCACTTGACCCGCGGATCCACGCTGGATTCCGGAACCTCGCTTTTCGCAATAACGAGGATGATTTTTACTATGTCGATGGGTATCACTGGGACCCTAATAATCCAGATCATGAGGAGGTCATCTTCAAGATGTACCTTGACGAGAGAGGATTTGAGGGTTGTCGCAGACCAGACTTTCTGGAGGAATTGGTACGGCATATTCCACCACAGTTTGTTGCATTTGGGAAGGATTTGGTTTCGGTGAGGGATGATGCAGGGGATAGCAAATGCACTCTATCATTTCACGATGGTTCCGCAGCAAAAGCTGATCTCGGTGAGTTCCATACAACAAAATCCTAGACAACCATATGAATGAACATGGCTAACAAATCACCAGTAATTGGGTGCGACGGGATTCGCTCCAAACTTCGACGTGTCATGTTCGGAGAAGGCCACCCAGCTGCCTACCCTCAATACACTTACAAGTACGCCATTCGAGGTCTTATCCCCATGGACCAAGCCAAAGCCGCAGTCGGAGAATTCCAAACTTTCAATCGCATGATGCACTTCGGCCCTGGTGCCCATGCCCTCACCTTCCCTGTCGCCGGCGGTAACATCCTCAACGTTGTTGCTTTTGTCACCGACCCAGACCAGTGGAAAGCTCCAGATGGCAAGCTCACCGCACCAGCGTCGAAGGCTGAAGCAGCAAAGGCTTTTTCCGCGTTCAGCCCCGTTGTGCGCAAGATCATAAATCTACTCCCTGATACAATCGATAAATGGGCTGTGTTCGACACTGGAATCCATCCCCCTCCTTCCTACGTGTCTGGCCGTCTATGTCTTGCCGGTGATGCCGCACATGCTGCTGCACCTCACCACGGAGCAGGTGCTGGCTGCGGTATCGAAGACACACTAGTCCTGGCCTGTCTCCTGGAAGCCGTTGCACGATCTAATCCAGCCGACCGATCAACAGCCATACGATCCGCCCTACAGGTCTACAATAACATACGATACGAGCGAACACAGTGGCTCGTCCAGAGCAGTCGCATGATAGGCGATGTGTACGAGTTCATGCATCCCGAGTGCGGCCAAGATCACCAAAAGATCGCCCACGAGATCTACACACGCTCACACAAGATATGGGACTACGAAGTCGATGCCATGGCGCAAGATGCACTCCACCAGTTCGGAAGCGCAGTAAAGAACACCCCATCGCTCACATCGGTCGGCAAGGAAGCAGACAAGAGTTCCACTGAAGTATCGCTAGTTGGCGAAAAGCCAGTTGAGCATATATACATGTCTGGTTTTGCGCTCGCTGCGGTCATGGTCACGTTTACGCTCGTGTACTTTCTGCTCATGTTGGATATTTCGATTATGTCTACTGCAAGTAGCCGTTATTAACGTACGATATGTATTTTGACAAAATGATCAGGCTATCCCGTACATCACTGACGAATTCAACTCGCTCCTCAATGTTGGTTGGTATGGCAGTGCCTACCAGCTCGTCTGTGCGACATTGCAACCCCTCACTGGCACCATGTACGCCCGCTTGAACTCAAAGGTTCTGTTTCTTACCTTCTTCACCATCTTCATGGGCGGCTCTGCCATTTGTGGTGCAGCGCAAAGTTCAGTGATGCTGATCTTGGGGAGAGCGGTAGCTGGTTTTGGTGCTGCTGGCATTATGAATGGCGGCTTCACTATGCTCAACTCTTGCGTCTCACCACAGCAGCGACCCGGGATGCTTGGCATTATGATGACTTTTGGCAATCTTGGTGCAGCAGCTGGACCGCTCATCGGAGGAGCGATCACAGAATACGCCACATGGCGATGGTGTACGTATCTTACCTTCTTCCTTTCGCATTGTAAAGATGCTGATGACTCCAAGGCTTCTACATCAACCTCCCCGTCAGCGCCATCGTCTTTCCCTTCTTAGTCTGGCTCAGAATCCCTGAGCATATACCCAAGCCTCACTGGAAAGCCGTTCTCCTAAACGCACGTCATGAATTCAACCTCATCGGCTTTTCCGTCTTCGCTCCCGCTGCCATCATGCTGTGGCTCGTACTGGACTTTGGCGGCAATCGCTGGGAATGGGACAGCTCTACCACTATCGGTCTTCTCTGTGGCTCTGTCGCCACGTTCGCTCTCTTCACTGCATGGAACAATCATCAAGGCGACAAGGCGATGCTCCCATTTTCCACTCTGAAGCTACGCGTCGTGTGGTCTAGCTGCTTGACAATTCTCATGCTAGCTGGAACACTGCTTGTTCTCACGTATTACCTTCCATTGTGCTTCCAGGGTGTGAGGGGAGACACTCCGTTCCTGAGTGGTGTGCACTTCTTGCCTACGGCGGTGACGCAGGTTGTGCTTACTCTGATCAGTGGCCGGTTGAGTAAGTCGTCGTCTCCAACCTTTCTTTTCGGTCTCAATACTAATAGTCCTGCAGTTCAGGTGCTTGGATACTACCTTCCTTTTCTCCTCGTCGGTGGTGTCTTGGGCACCATCGGCTCAGGTCTCATGACGCTCATCTCGCCATCGCTCAGCCTGGCCAGGATCATCGGATTCCAGGTCCTAGCCGGAGTGGGCAGAGGTATTGCATTTCCTATGGTTAGTCGATTTCCCCACTCTCTCGTCTCATCGTACCCAACTAACCAAACAACACAGCCCATGATCGCTCTCGAGAACTCCCTCCCACCCGCTCGCATCCCCACCGCAATATCCACCTTCGTCTTCTGCCAGAACCTCGGCAGCGCTCTCTTCACCATCATCGCGCAAACCGTCTTTGCCAACTCGTTGAAATCGAAACTCAGCGAGGACGCTCCTACAATTGACGTAGGGGCTATCATCCGCGCTGGCTCTACTAAGATGCGGACATTGGTCACCAGCGAACAACTACCGCAGTTGCTCGAGGCGTACAGCTCGAGTATCCGGAGAACGTTTATCCTGGGCACTGCGACGAGCATAGTCAGTCTTTTAGTGTCGTATTTTATGGGATGGAAAGATGTCAGGCACAAGAGGGCGCCTGTGGCAAAGACATAGAGGATATTCCGAAACCGACTGCAAGTCAGTCCGAAGAAAAGAGGAGGGCCTCCGAAATTGACCAAAAGGCATTCCGATGTAGACTAGAAGCCACCCGAAAAAGAAAGTTCTAATCGTGATGGAGCACTAAGTACGTTTCCATTTGTATGGCGTGACCCACAAAACTCGGAAGACGCAAATCTTTTCAAGTATACCTCGATGTCTAGGAGGACTGTAATGCTTGATGACGTGATTTCATTGGAAGCTCTCCTGGGTTTCATCAACTTCATCTCTCCGCTGCACTACATGTACGGAGCCATCCGCGAACTCCATGGGTGACAAGATTCCATTCGGAGTTCGAATGTCCATGTCGGAGCTGGTGTGCCGTCGCGTTCGTGACGCACGCTGGCAGGAGATGGCCCGGCGTTAGCCCGGCGATAACCAATCACCCGCCTAACCACTTCCCCGCCACATCATTCGCCGCGGGTTACCTTCTTTAGCCTACCTATCCACGTAGTTCGTACAAGTGCTTGCATATAAAATGGCGTCTACGGTAAGCAGCTGTGGAGCAATACTCACGCTGGATTACTTACACAGGTACCGTCTGAACCATCATGCGACATGAACGCGCAACCCTCCCGACGCCAAAGTCGACCGATTCCTTCTGGCATAGCGAGCCCGATGAGTTTCTTCTCGGCCATCGTACGACGGATGATCTGCCCTCTGAGGCCGACGTTGTTATCGTGGGGTCTGGTATAACAGGCACGAGTGCAGCGAGATTTCTTGCTGAGGATGAGAGGGCTAATGGAAAGAGCATCGTGGTGCTTGAGGCTAGAGAAGCATGTTGGGGTGCGACGGGAAGGGTGAGTTGGCCCTGTTGATGTAGGTCAAGGAAGCCTGCTGATACTGCTGCCATCAGAACGGCGGACATTGCCAACCTCTCCTCTTCGATCGGAGCAGCGAAGTAGCCGAGTTCGAACTAAAGAACGTCGCCGCGGTACGATCATACATTCAAGAAAATGACGTACCCTGCGAGTGGCGCGATGTGACCGGCTGTCGCACATTCTGGACTGAAGAAGCGTTGAAAGAGACTATGAAACAAGTAAACCATCTCCGGGAGGTAGCACCCGAGATAGCCCGCCACGTCACTGTTATCCAAGACAAGCAAGACTTCAAGAAACACCGCGTTGCGTCTGATTGTGTTGGGGCGACTCTCAGTGAGGGAGCTGCAAGTCTATGGCCCTACAAGCTCGTCGCCTTTATCCTGAAGAAGCTGGTGAAATCCGGCCGAATTAACCTGCAGACTACAACGCCCGTCACTGAGATCACATCTGCCAACGGCACGCACACACTACATACAGCTCGCGGTATCATAAGCAGTAAGACCGTCATCCTTGCAACCAACGGTTATACATCAGCCATCCTGCCCCACTTTGCCGACCTCATCGTTCCCTGCCGTGGTGAAATGTCTGCTCTCTACCCCCCGAAAGCTTCAACCATCCTGCCCAACTCCTACGGTATGGTCGCAGCTCTAGGCCAGCCCGCCAACAATGATGATTACCTCATCCAACGCCCCTACGAAGGCGTTCCCAATCCCGCCGGCCATCTCATGTTTGGCGGCGGTCGCGGAGCTGGGAACTACCCTAGCATAGGTGTCTCAGACGACAGCATAATCGACGAAGGCGCCGCCGCCTATCTCCGTGGCGCCCTATTGAAAGTGCTCGAGCTAGATGGTGAGACTGAAGGGCTTCAAGAACTCCAGGCCGCCGCACAATGGACTGGTATCATGGGGTATTCGCGCGACGACCACCCGTGGGTAGGCAAGGTGCCTGGTAAAGAAGGCTTGTGGCTCTGTGGTGGCTACACTGGTCACGGGATGCCAAACGGCACGCTTTGCGGGAAGGCTATCGTTGATATGGTGTTGGGAGAGTTAGAGGGGCGGGAGTTGAGTGCAGTTCAGACTGCCATGGTGGAGAAGGGCCATATTCCTAGTAGTTATATCTTATCCAAGGAAAGGATTGATAAAGCGAGGCAGATGCTTACTGTGCAGCAGCAGGATGAGAGAGGGGTGCGTATGGATCCTATGGTTTGAGGAGAGAATTTGTGGTATGATTTGCTCTTGATGTAGCTGTAGTAACTACCATGACTTTGGTTCTTAGTAGAAAACCGCTTCTGGTTATCTTTACGCTAGATAGTATGATAGGATGAATATACGGTCTCACTCTAGTTAGATCTCCTACAATTTGTGCACCTGAAGTCATGACGAATGCTTCAATCACAGCCTCATTTATCTCGGGGAAATTATCGTGGGCTGAAGTCAATATAAATTGTGTTAGTATTTTGGTAGCTCAATCAACAGCGTCACTCATGGCGCGTTGCACCTCGGTAATACTAGCTTGGCGAGGGGATAACCTTGGACATTCCCATCTCTCCACGATGATACAATCCACGAGACCACTGCGTAAACTGCGTAAACTGGAGCAACCAGCTATGCAAGAAGACCTGGCGCCTACATCATATTACTACACCTGTGTACACACGGAGCCTACAGCTCGAGCACACCATGGCTTGGGCGCCTGCTCAACTACCTTACCAAAAATCGCCTGACCTACTACCGGCCCCCCAACCTAGCGAATCTCAATTCTCAGAATCAGCAACCGTATTCCAGGACGATGTTCAATATCACCGCGTGGTTGCGGTCGATTCTCACTTCATCGTCAAATACGGCCGCGGTGTAACAAAGAATGAAGGCCAGGTACTCTTATCCCTCAAACACCACCTGAACGCCAGCCCCAGATTACCAAAACTCTATACAATGTACCGTATGCCAGACACAAACCACGTCTGCCTAATCATGCAGCGCATGCCAGGCGTCCAACTCAACTACCTATGGCCTAAGCTCACAGACTCTAAGAAAACCGACATATGTGCTCAGTTAAACGAAATCATCACATCTATCCGAACTATTCCCGCTCCTCTCTTCGGTAGTGTCACTAAAGACCGTTTCTACCACCACATTTTCTACAGCCAAGATTACGAGAGGGAATTCTGTGGTCCGGTTGATTCTGATGACAAACTTAATGCGGCCCTGGTGAAGCGGTTACGGTCGTTTCGACAACACAACTTGGATCAGTGGGTTTTGAGAGCGGACTTTTATCAGAGAAATCTCGGAAAAACTTTGGTCGGGCATAAGCCTATCTTCACACATTCCGATCTGCAAAGGGAGAACATCATGGTACACCAGGATGCTTCAGAGGGGTTCACAGTTAGTCTAATAGATTGGGAAGACGCGGCTTGATACCCGGATTATTGGGAATACTTTATTGCTTGGCGAGGCTTGCAGTGGAAGGACAATTGGACCCAGCGGATCGAGGAGATCGTGGAACCTTGGCTTAGTGAGGCGGCGGTTATAAACAACGTGCATCGTGATGTATGCTTTTGAACATTGATGTTGATGGTGGCTCGTGCAACCGTCTTTTGATGATTCCACCTGGGTGACATGGAATACCTGACATACTAGTATAAGAAGGCCACTGTAGTTGCCAGGCAAAACTATTAGCTGCTTACCCACTGTGAAGCAATTCATGACACTCGGCTGGTTCTTTCGTGCAAGCCGTTTTTTTCATGACGCCAGGATTTATACAGCACCCCACCTCGCGGCAAACCCGCCGTCATCGCCCGCATCAGTGTTTCTAACATACTCACTCCGATCTGCGATATCTTGTGCCATGTCCTCTCCAAACACATAGCCTATCCATGCGTATGTCAGATCCATGCCTGCTGAAACACCGGAACTAGTCCAGTATCTGCCGTCGACGACCCAGCGCGCTTTGGCGATCCAGTCAACGTTTGGGTGACGGGCTTTTACCTGTGGAAAAAAAATGGTTAGTGGTTGTTGTTGGGTTGGAGAGAGGAGTATGTGAGAACAAAGAAGATTACCTACCTCATTAAAAGCCCTCTTATTACAAGTAGCCCTCCTCCCATCCAAAACCCCCGTCCTAGCTAAAATCTCACTCCCAGTACAAACCGTCAACACCCACTTTGGCCTCTTATCCTCCCCGTTTCTCAGTCCCTGTGTTAGAATCCCCTCCAGCCACCACCCTACCCCTCTCATTCTCTCCTCCCACCCCTCCCCCCTCATCCCCAACCCCCCAGGCACAATCACAACATCCCAATCCCACAGAGCTGTCTCAAACGTATGCGTCGGCACGATGGATTGAGCGAACACGCTGCCGCGCTGCGTGCCGGCGGCTGTTTGAGTTGAGATGGGGGTTAGGGAGGCGGCGACGATGGAGAGGGTGAGGGGATGCGTGTAGGAGAGGATGTTTAGGGCATCGAGGGGGCCGGCGACGTCGAGGAGTTGGAAGGAGGGGTAGAGAATTATGGCGATTTTCATGGGGAGACGGGTAGTGGAGGGGGAGGGGGACATTGCTTGGGTTGGGTGTTGGGGGGGTGGATGATGATGATGATGATGATGATAGGAAGAGGAATGTTTCAAGCGAGCTCGAAGGTGAGAACGGATATTCAAATGAGGTAACTACAGCTTGAAATCTGAATGCAGGAGGTAAGGTCCAACAATTTTAATATAAATATCCGTGTGCTGCGGGATGGAGTCGAAGAGAGGGACTAAGCAATACGATTAGTAAGCGCCACGGCTTGGTCACCATGAGAAGAAGCGGAGTAACGCCGTAAACGCTACCTAGATACATCTCACCAAACAGACTACACAATTATAGATTTCTGACTTATCAGAGGAACAGATATTTCATAACCAGCTTTAGCGAGTTTTTCATTTTCATGATACCTACATGAACTTTAAGTTGTACTACGACTACTGTAGTGCCCCGTGACAAATACATAGTAAAAAAGTAACCATTTATAACGAAACCTCCTCTCACCTCAGGTAGACTAAACCCCCTTACCATTACCACAAACCCCCATCCAAACCCCCTACAAAACAACAACCAACTTCTTCGCACTAACTCCCTTCATCATCCTATCCAACCCCTCTTGCACACTCTCCAACCCCCTCCCCACAACCTCCGCCTCGGGCTTCGCTTGAAACTTTCCCACACTCAACGCCACCGGCAGAAAATCTTCATAAACCGCTTTGCCTACCTCATTAACCATGAGATCATTTCCCCAGATGAACTTATACCCTACACCTTTCACCTTACATTTCACAAACGTACTGAGTTTGAACCACACAAACCCCGCTATGAAGCTCACCAACTGCATTCCTTTTGGTGGAACAACGTTGGGCATCGGCAGTGAGGGTTGCGCGATGAATTTTCGTCCTGGGGTAGAGGCGATGATGGGGATGCAGGATCCCATGCTGTTGGGGCCGATAGCGAGGGCACCGGCGTGCTGTTTGTCTTTTAAGAGAGAAATGATGGACGGGATAGTGGAGGCATCATTATAGTCGAATACTTGTGATGCTCCTAGCGACTCCACGTAGTCGAAGTTTCGGGGGGAGCACGTTGTTATGACATCGTACCCGGATGCGACGGCCAGCTGGATAGCGTTGGAACCTAGCGATGTAGATCCACCCCAGATGAGCAAGTACTGGCCTGCGGATCCTTTTGGTGTTTTCACCGACGGGTGCGGTAGGGCGAGGTAATCTTTCATATACAATCCACAGGCAGCGGTGGAGAGACACAAGGGGAGCACGCAGGCTTTTTCGTAAGGGAGGTTGTCTGGAATGGGGGAAACGAGGTTGGAGCGTAAAACGACGTATTTTTGGAATGCACCTTCTGAGGATTTGTTGCTGCGGGAGTCGAGACCTACGGCGTGGCCGATGACGCGGTCGCCGGGGGAGAAGCGCTTGACGTTTGAACCGACTTCTACGACTTCACCGGCGACGTCTTCGCCGAGGGTGAAGGGGTATTTTACCCAACCCATCATGTTGTCGCCCATGAGTTGCTTCATGCTGTCGATGGGGTTGATGGCTACGGCGCCGGTTTTTACGACGACTTCGTTGTCGCCAGGCGGTGTGTAGGGTGCTTCTGAGACGACGAGCGGGTGGACTTGCTTGCCGGTGAGCCAGGCGGCTCGGTTGGTTGGAGCCATTGTTTAGACGGTGGTATGGTGGTGTGAGAAATGAAAACGTGAGGTTAGAAACTAGGTACCTCTCAAAGACAGCTGATGGGGTATAAAGCGGGAAATGTAAGAGCGTAATAAAGATGTTGAATCAAAAGTACAATCCAAACCACCAGGAAGGCCTATACATAAGTATATAAACACCTACCTAACCAATGTCCAACTGGGCTATTCCATCGGCCCGACGTTGCATATGCATTGTGTAGTTGACGTCCATTCCAAGGACGGAGTAACTCAGCGGACTTTGTGATGCCCCGGGATCCGTGTACCTGAAAGGCAACTCGAAATGCAAACACGGTGATAACTACCAACCCCATCACAGCCATCACCATCGGCTCCATCCCTTGCCTGGCCCCATATCATGGAAAGAAAGTTAACCCGCCTCGCCGCTTGCACAAAACGTCCCCCTGGCCCGCGGCTTGTCTCTTCTTCCCCATCGGTCCACCCGACGTCGATCGAGGGCCCCACTTAAATCCCACGTGACGTACCGGGCGCAAATTACACCAAATCGGGAAGTTCTGCATAAAGACGAAGCGGGTGGCGGTTAGATGTGATCCGTGGTAGACTGCTGCTGTCATCGCGCCCGCAAGCCACGTGTCTGGATGAGATGACGTTTAACCACGCAACCATCTATCACTGCAACTCAGCGATTTCAATAGAAGTTCCACGAGGCGCTGCACCTCGAATTGATAGATACAGACTAAGCTATATATTGAAACGACTAGCTTCTCCATCACGCCAGGCGTATCCTACGTAAGGCATTCAACAGCCTTTCAACAGCACGTATACACTTTGTGCGTAGCAACAGGACCTGTGATAACCGCGAAAACATGAACCCCAAACGTCCTCGATATCCAAATATCATCGTCTTCATCATCAGAGTTCATGTAACAAGCTTTCTTCATCAGCACATGGGAATTTCCTATCCAATGTTTCCGCCTCATTGCCATGCTTGTTTTCCACCTCTTATCGTGTGTCTTTTGGGGGATCATTGTCGTCCCCTAGACTGTTTTTCTGTAAAAGACTAAAAGTCCCTGAAACTCTCCTCCCATCTATCGCTCAGTTCTTTGGTATACGGATCTCTCTTGTCCGACTCGGGTTCATACTCGTCAAAATTTCGTGTATCCGCAGGACCTCTTAGGTGTGGTACTATGGGGCCTTGTACTTCGCGGTTGTATAGTTTCTCCCAGTCAATGTTCTTGAACCATTCATGTTGCTTGACACGCTGGGCGCCGCCGGCGACGTTGCCGAGACGTTTCGACGTGTCGACTGTGCAGAGACCAGAAATAAGGTCGCGGGCTGTAGGAGACATGGCACTAGGGAAGCGAACACGACCCTCTACGATTCTGCAGCGAGTTAGGATAAGCACAAATGCCCAGCAACACTAAAGCGTACTGTTCGTAGATCTTCATGGGGTTCTGATCCCAGAAGGGTGGTTGGCCAACGAGGAATTCGTATACTAGAATGCCAAAAGCCCACCAATCGACGGCAGTACCGTGGCCTGCATGCGTGTTAGCCGCATATCCCCACACAGCGTCATGCATGATATACCTGTGTTGCGAATGACCTCGGGAGCCAGATACTCGGGAGTGCCGCAGAGTGTGTAGGTTTCTCCTGTCCAGCCGTTAGTTTTGGGAAACTAGCCGTAGTGACGTCAGACGTACTATTATCTACTTTCTTAGCAAACCCAAAGTCTACCAGCTTAAGGTGACCTTCGGCGTCTATGAGGATGTTCTCGGGCTTGAGGTCTCTGTATGCGACACCTTCTCTTTCGTGGAGGAATTCGAGTATGAGAACTATTTCGGCGGCATAGAATTGGGAAGTGGGTTCGTTGAAGCGTCGCGCTCGGCGCAGGTAGCTAAAGACCTCACCACCGGGGCAGTAGTCAAGTACCATGTACAGCGAGTCGAGCGACTGGAAGCTGGCGACCATGGTGGTTATGAAGGGGTGTCCTGCGACTTTGGCAAGGACATTGCGCTCGTTGCGAACATGCTCGACCTGCTTGAGACGAATGACTGAGAAGAGGGCGTTGAGCAGCTGGACAAGCGCAAGAGACAAGGAATAAACGTACCGTCTACCTTGCGCAGGATCTTTAGGGCGAAAACTTTGTTCTCGTCGCCGGCCTTTGCGTCCTTTAATCGCACCAGCCACACGCGCGCAAAAGTACCTGACACATGGTCAGCATGCATCCAGTCTCGTCGTCGGTCATGGTTCAAGATGCGCACGCACCCGTGCCCAGTGTTTTGATCAACTCAAAGTCTTCCTGTCGCAACACCTTGGATGAATGGCCCACGGGCTTCTTCTCCGGGTCGATGTCGATTTGGTCGGGACTCAGCGTGTGCTTTTGCGCCTCCCACTGCGCCAAGTGCTGCTTCTCTTCCTCGCGCGGCTTGTCCATGGCCGAGTCGGTGCGGTCGTGGAGCGGGCCGGCATGCGAGGGCGAAGAGGCGTCCTTCTTGTCGCGGTGGTGCTGCACGGGGTGCAGCATGTTCTTGAAGGTAGTCGCCATGGTAGGCGGCAGGTCGGCGGCGTGCAACAACAGCAGTCGCGGGCGTTGTAGTCGGAGCGGGGGGTTCCAAGGTCGTTTCCGGGTCTGGGGGGCACGAGTTCAGTGTTCAGCAGCAGAGACACCACATGGCAGCACACAGCAAACGTAGAAACGTATAATCAGACGGATGGATCGTGACCGAGGCGGTGCGGTTAGGCGGTGCGACCGGACTGGTGGCAGTCGTCAACCATGGATATGCTGGCGGGTGGTTTGAAGACTTGGTGCAAGGGAGCGGGAGCGGGCGCAACAAAGTCGTGCTAAGTGCACAGCAGTGTGCAGACATGGCGGGGGGTTGACATGCCCCCAAAACATGACGCAGCCGGCGTGGGGAGCTTGCAAGCCGTAAGCCGCAAGCCGAAGCTGCAACAAAGCCGAAGAGCTGCATGGTTGCGTCGACGCCCGAGTCCGACAGCTTGCTTGCTCACATGCATGTGCAAATGCCCGCCAACACTCTCTAGTTTGGTACTTGGACTTCAATACGAACCAAACTGCCGCTATGCATTAATCTCAGCCTTTAAATACATTTCATGCCCGGGCAGAATCTGCCCACAGTAACTCCCGTGTAAACTCCCGTCTGTTGCATGCGCGTCCTACTGTTTTCTACACCACACCAGCTAGTCGTACAATTTGCCTCTCCGTGCCGCTTCAGCCACTTGCTCTGGTGTTGAGAATGAGGGCGACAATAAGTCTGCAGAGGTTAGTATATATATATATGCTTTGGTCCGTCGTGTACCGGATGCATACCCGTAGAGTCCCAATACTTCAGCGAAAATGAGAATGAGCACCATGCCGACAAAGATTCTCGACTGGCTCATAAAGGAGCGTACGCCCTGCGCATGTTAGTGCATGCCCTCGTATTGTTTCCACGACGCGACCTACAGCATCTCCTACGATTCCAATAGCGTATCCCGCAGCCAGGCCCGACAGCCCGACCGACAGACCGGCTGCCATGTGCATGAATCCAGCATATAGCGAGTACGTGTTGTTTGGTGGTGGCTTGATGTCGCTGGCGATGAGGACTGATATGACGAGGGCGTAGACGGCCAAGATACCCGACATGACAATGGGAATGAGCGACTGGGCAAGTGGTTAGCTTGGATGAAGCTCCTCTAGCACCTGCCAGCGCTTCGTACCTTCATGATCAGGTCCGGCCTGTATGTACCAATACCGGCAATGCCGATGCCAGCTTTAGCTGTTCCATACGCAGCTCCGGCGCCTGCTCTTGTTAGCTCGTACCCAGCCAACTACGCGTCGGGGCGTCATACATCCAAAGATCATCTGTCGTGGGTTGGTATATTAGAACGACGGCCAAAAGGGGTTGGGCTACTCACAGCGAAGGCGATTCCGCTCTACGTGCTGTTAGCTATCAAAGTATCATCATCATCATCAACGTCAGGGTCCGGTGCACTCACCATGCCGAAGAAGGGCGCGAAGCTCGGCGCGAGCTCATTTGAAGACATGCTGCCGTGGGCGTAGCAGTAGTAAGCTAAGCAAAGGGTAGGGAGGACGCGGTGAAGGTCGAGTCGGGGTTGCGGTCGGGGTTGATGCGTCCAAGACGGACAGGATGCAGCAAGTGGTTTGGTGAGGACGGCGACGATGGCGGCGCCAAGCATAGGGCGGTCCAACACCTGCACCACCGCCATTCTCCCACGACAACGCCGCGAGCTGCTAGGAAGGCCGGCCAGCAGCGCTTCCCTCAGCCAACGCTACCACGCATTTCGCCCATTGCTAGCCGCCATCTTCTACAAGACATCAACCTCTCACCACTTACGCCGTCCTCGCCGGCCCCTCGCTGGGCGGCGTCATCGCAGCTGTCAGAATCGCCCTGGGCTCGCTCGCACTCGTGCACTCTCGTTTGCACCCCGCCGGCACCTACACACGACTCGCACTCGCTCGCCATATCGCAGCACCGCCAGGACTTTTGTAACGACGTGCGCTGCCCATTTCCACGCCCTCGCCCCGCCGTTAGAGACGCCCTACTGCCCCCCAGACGCCCAAGACACGGCCGAAAGTCCAGGACGAAAAAGCCCGCTCCCCGCCAAACCGGCACGGCGAATGCACACGACAGGTCAGCAACGCTGTCCAAGATAGAGACATGGCCGATTACGGGAACCAACAGCGGCCAGACTTTGCGCGCGGTCCGGGCCCTGGACAGCCCGCAGGCGCAAGGGAAACCGCCTTTACAAACATCTTCGGCGCCAACCCTGCCATGGCTGGCCGCTCGCAGACGATGACTTCGCAGTCCCATCCGCGCATGAATGATCGGGCTGCTACAATGTCCAGCCAGACGGCTGACATGATGCAGCGCGCCCCGCCAATGCGTCAGCCTGTCAATGGCTACGATCGACGCCCTCAACCGCCGTACGATGGGCGCACGGGACCCGGCTTCGGGGAGCAGCGCCCCATGGATCCGCAGAATGGCTACAACCGCCCCGTGCAGAACGGTTACGGCCCAAATTCGCGATATCCTGAAGCGCAGCAGCCACAACAACAGCAGCCGCAGCAGCAGCAGCAGCGCCAGCCGCAGCCACAGTACTTGCCACAACCCCTTCGCCCTGAGCGCCAGCCATACGGCCAGCCCCAGCGGTTTGACCCCCGAACGCCTGTCGGTCAGCCCCCGTACAACAAACCCATCCCTAATCGCTTTCCCGGCCCTCCGGGTCCTGCTATGAACGCAGACCCGTACCGCTCACAATCGCTAGCACTGAACCCGCGTCCACAATTCACCCCTGGCGGTCCGTCGCATCCATCCCAGGCCAACACGTTCCGTCAACAGCCATACATGAACCACATGGCAAGAACGACAGCCCAGGGCCGAGTGGTGCCGGAGCGCCCTGATGAGCGGACCATGTCCATGACCTCGTATACACGAGACCCCGAACACACGCAGACCATGAGTGGAAGAATCATACCAAGTCGAAGACGAGAATCGGGCGGGAATGACATGGTACCGCCTGGCCACCCTCAGGATAGGGGACTGCCACCAAATCCCAGAAGTGTCAGCCAGGGCAGCATGCCAAACCAGTCACAGAGCCAGTCGCGGACCATGTCCATGGCATCCACTATTGTGCCTCCCTCGGAGCGTACCAGCACCATGTCTTCCATGAGCTCGCGTCCTGATTCCACCCAAACCATGGGCAGCAACTCCAGCAACAACAGGACTTCTAACCAGTCGATGAATTCATTGACACCTAGCGGTCAACAAGCGCCCGCCCAGCGACGCGCGCCTCTAGTCTATCCCGCCCTCTTGTCTCGAGTCGCAGAAACCTTTCAGGATAGAGTGGGCCTTACAGAGAAAGAGAAGGACGGCCTCGTGTACAAGCAGGCTTTCACTGGCGCGGATGCTGTCGATCTCATCTCGTTTATCATCAAAACGACGGATCGCAATCTAGCGCTGCTCCTCGGCAGGTCTCTGGACGCGCAAAAGTTCTTCCATGACGTGACATATGCCCACCGATTGCGCGACTCATCCAATGAGATTTATCAGTTCCGCGAGACCATGGTCGAGGACAAGTCGGAGATTAATGGTGTCTTCACTCTCCTCACAGAGTGCTATTCTCCTACATGTACTCGTGACCGTCTTTGCTATTCCATTGCGTGTCCCCGCCGCCTGGAGCAGCAAGCTCGTCTCAACATGCGCATTCAGCCTGGTCTCAAACGCGAGGAGTCTAGGGCAAGTTTGCACGAAGAAAAAGATAATGAAGAACAGAAGTTGTGGATCAACACTGTTCCAAAAGAGATTTCCGACAGCGTATCTGAGAAGGAGCAGAAGAGGCAGGAGGTCATTTCTGAACTCATGTACACCGAGCGCGATTTCGTAAAGGATCTCGAGTACCTCCGAGATTTCTGGATGAAGCCCCTGCGCAACCCGGCAACATCGCCTATCCCCGAGCACCGTCGCGAAAAATTCGTCCGGACTGTATTCTCAAACTGTCAAGAGGTTTACATGGTGAACTCCCGTATGGCCGAGCAGCTCACCAGGCGACAGCAGAAGGAAGCCGTCGTTCGGAATGTTGGAGATATCTTCTTGGAATATGTGCCGCATTTTGCGCCATTTATCAAGTACGGTGCCAACCAGCTCTTCGGTAAGTACGAGTTTGAGCATGAGAAACGCACAAATACTGGCTTTGCCAAGTTTGTGGACGAAGTAGAGAGGATGAAAGAATCGCGAAAGCTGGAGCTGAACGGTTATCTCACCAAACCAACAACGAGATTGGCTAGGTACCCGCTACTCTTGGAGAATATTGTCAAGTACACAGCAGACGACAATCCTGACAAGGAAGATATTCCCAAGGTCATCAAGATCATCAAGGAAACTTTGTCCAAGGTCAATGTTGAGTCTGGAAAGGCGGAGAACCATTTCAACCTGATGCAGCTCAACAAGGATCTCAAGTTTAGGCCTGGCGAATTTGTCGACTTGAAGTTGACCGACGAGAACCGACAGCTGGTTTTCAAGGGCACGCTGAAGAAGACCCCGACCGAAACTACTGGCGACATTACTTGCTACCTCTTTGATCATGCAGTCCTACTGGTACGCGCAAAGACTGTGAACAAACGCGAAGAGCAAAAGGTTTACAAGAAGCCTATACCGCTCGAGCTATTAGTAATCACTCAGATGGAGGAAGTCAATCCCAAGCTAGGCATCGCAAAACGCCCGTCAGCAAACTTGATCGCAGGCAAAGCCATTGCCGCTGCAACACCAAGAAACAACGATCCCAAGCAACAAGGATACCCCATCACATTCAAGCATCTCGGCAAAGGCGGTTACGAGTTGACGCTATTTGCCAGCACCCCCATTTCGCAGCAAAAGTGGATGGAGCACATTGACACACAGCAGCGAACCTTGAGAGAACGTAGCAACATCTTCACAAAGACTATTGTCAACGAAGGTTTCTTCTCTCCGACTATCAGAGTCACGTGTGCTGTCCCTCTCGATGGTGGACGCAAGCTGGCCCTGGGTACGGATGCTGGTGTCTATGTTGTGGAACGGAAGCCGAAAGATGCCTCGATACGGCCGCGTCGTGTGCTGGATTGCAAGGGCGTTACCCAGATTGAAGTCCTGGAACAACACGCCATTGTGCTTGTCTTGGCCGACAAAACTCTTTACTCATACTCTACCGATGCCCTGGAGCCCGACGAGTCACAAGCAATGGTCAAGCGGCCACGCAAGATTTGCCACGCCAACTTTTTCAAGGCTGGCATTTGTTTGGGACAACAACTAGTTGCCGCTGTCAAGACATCCGCGCTCTCGACCACGATCAAGGTGTACGAACCAAAGGAACAGATGGGCAACAAGAACAAAAAGTCTGGCTTTGCGAAGATGATGCTCTCTACGGGCGGCGCAGATCAACTGAAGCCTTACAAGGAGTTTTACATTCCTACCGAATCCACATCGATACACTTCCTGCGGTCCAAGCTTTGCGTTGGCTGTGCGCGTGGATTTGAAGTGGTCAGTCTCGAGACGCTCGAAACACAATCGCTTCTTGATCAGGCCGATACATCGCTCGACTTTGTCGTGCGGAAAGAAAACATCAAGCCCATTCACATCGAGCGCATGGGAGGAGAATTCTTGCTTTGCTACACCGACTACTCGTTCTTTGTCAACCGCAATGGCTGGCGGGCACGACCGGACTGGAAGATTACCTGGGAAGGCACGCCCCAGGCTTTCGCAATCTTCAACCCTTACATTTTGGCTTTCGAGCCTAGCTTCATCGAAATCCGACATATGGAGAGCGGTGGTCTGGTTCACATTATTACAGCCAAGAACATAAGATGGTTACACACATCAACAAGAGAGGTATGTGTATCTGATGAATTGATACTGGACGAAAGCGCTAACACGACACAGATACTATACGCGTACGAAGATGAAATCGGTAACGACGTGATTGCAAGCCTGGACTTTTGGCAAACAGGAAATGGAGGAAAGCAATCCCTCGATACCCAGCGGTCCTACGAAAAGAGCTAGAACTTGCCCACCCAACAATAAGATTCAGCAAGTTTTCATCATTTCACAAACATTCGAGAGCTTCTTTCATCACGTTACCGAGTACACCAAATTCGAGGCATCCAATCCCCACAGTCGCAGAAGAGCTGGCAAATGAACCCCTACCATTACCCGTACCTGCTCCACGTTTCCATCCTGCCGACGGCTAACAGGGATAATGATCAAAGAGAATCGGCCACAGAAAAGCTGGGCTAAACCGAGCCGCGGCGGGACCGGTGGTTGTTAACGATGGAATGTTGGCCTTTTTTTATAACAAATCCTTTTTTCATCTCTCTCTCTCTTGCTCCCTTTTTCTACCTTTCTACTGCGAACTTGCCGAGTTTTTTCTCTTCCAAAATCAGGATAGGAGAGTTATCTTTGTATCATACTAGAATTTTTAGCGAGCGGCGATTTGTTTGTGGGTTTTTCTGAGAATATGTGATGGGGATTTTGTTTTCTGGCTTTGGAATTGGGGTGTATGTGCGTGTGTCTGTGGGGAATGATGGATGCCGTGTGTCTGCTGTGTGCTGTGTGCTGTGTGTGTAGTGCGAAAGCTCGGATCTTGAGATGTAATTGAAGAAGCGATTTAGCGTGTTTTACCGTAACTGCAGTGCACTGAACAAACATTATGAGCAACTGGATTTTAATAGACTTGTTGTTACTTTAGTCTCCGGCCACTCCCTCCCTTCCCCCGGCAGGCTTGCGCACCTACAACCTTCACTCCGGAGCTTTGTCGTCCTCGGCGGCCCTTACCGCGCTGCTGTCTTCTTCCTGCCGGACAGGAAACGGCGGCTACGGCGTTGCCCAATCGCTAATTCTCCGACCACGGGCCTTTTTTTCACTGCCGTGTACTGGGATGCTAAGGGTTACTTTAGCCGGTTGTGTACAAGTGCTGGGTAGCTTCGAGCTGGAGACTCCACTTGGGCTGGGGTTTAAGCTGCATTTTTTGCGCCGGTGTACCTACCGCTTTGGTCTCGTGACGAATGTGATGGCTAACGCTGGCGTTGGCGTGCGATGGGTGACAGGCAAGGAAGGTGGGGAAGGAGGGATTGTTGTATTTAGTTTTACTTTTACCTTGACCCGTGAAACGACTAATTGATTGTTAAGATTTTTGAGCCGTGGCTGTGTAAGGGAAACGTATGGAATTTGATAGCCAAGGATTTGTGGAGAGAACGCGAATAGAGAAGAGAAGAACATTGAGAGAAAAAAGATAAGGAAGTCTGGAAAAAGAAAGAGAAAAACAGAAAAGGACAAGAAAGAAACCATGGCACCAGGTATCCTATGGGTATCCTCGCGGATTGTGAATAAAGACAAATTGGACGTTGAGAAGTTTTGTGAGTGGTACGAGAATGTATGTATTACCTGTACCTTTCCTCTCATCCTTCCTCATCCCAAACCATCACTCTCTTTTCTCCCTGTCACTCTCTCTGACACATCCAACAACAATCTTAACCTATTGTTGCTAGCTAAGGCGTCTATGACTAAGAGTGCAAAGCTAATGAAAGAAAATGTAGACACACATCCAAGAAGTCCTCATCCTCCCTGGTTTCCCCTCCGCCCTGAGGTATGAAGCCGTTACCCCCGTTCCCAGGGGCATGCAGTATGGGAAGGAGGCGCCTTGGTTGGTACGTTCATCTCACCCCATCCCTTCCCTCCCCTCATCTCTTTACCTACCCACATCCCACCCTCCCTAAGCGTATCTGATCCGCACAGACAACCTACGCCATGCCAGACGTCGACTACCGCCTCAGCCAAGCTTTCAAAGACCTCTCTGGCGGAAACCCCCCCAGCGCTGAATTAATCGAAGCCGTTTACAAACATACTCGTTTCGACACTAGGTTCTATGAGGAACGTGGTAGCTTCCCTGCCTCCAGTACCTCCCCCGCCACTGCCCCATCCCCCACCTCCTCGTCTTCTCCTACCCCCTCGTCTTCTTCGTCGTCATCCACGCCCCCAAAATTCCTCATCGCCGCTACCTTCCACGCCCCGAAGGACTGTACTACAGAGTTCCCAAAACAATTCCGCGCAAAGCTCCTACCGCAGTTGGAAGAGACACCAGGGTTTGTGAGGGCGAAGACGTACGAGGTTGCTACCGCGTTGGTGCTGGATCGTTGGAATTGGGCGGCTGCCGAGGGCGTACCGGGGTGGTTGGTTATGGCTGAGTTTGAGGGGGGTGAGGCGCCTGCTGTGGAGGGCTTCTTAGGAGAGGGAGGGGTGGAAGTGGGTGTTTATAAGGTGGGCAGGATTTATTCGGAGGAGGAGTGGGGGTGTGTTGGGGAGTAAGGGGGGTAAGGAGATGGAGATATGTGTGAGATTCAGGCCCTTTGAGGACTGAAAGTCGATGGGCCATAGATAGGAAGGCATTATCATGGAATCTGACTATACGTTATATCAGAGTGAAGTCGCCGAGTGTAGGCATTAGTATAAGACAGTAGGTGTAAATTATTCGATTCTTTAAGATTCTGTACCGCAGCCCACGTACATTGCATTAGTATAGAACGGTCTCCGTATTTCTTTGTTGCTGTAGGATGTCTAGAAGATATATTGTTCAGCGTGGGCGCTAAGACTTTCTATCTCCTTTATATGTATTTAAAGTAAGTGATATCAATACTTAGTACTAGCAGATTTTCACAACACGGTCTTTGTAGCAGCAGTACAAAAAAGCAGTTAAGGTTGTTGGGAATCGAACCTGCGGTAGATAAGGCAGCTGGTTGCTGCATGCACGAGCTTGGATTACACGGCTGACTAAGCCGTGTGGTCCGAGCTCTAGCTGCTGCCTTACTGCCGACCTCCCTCCACCTCCATAGAACAACAAGAACAATCACAATCATTTCAACTCGTTGCAACGAAGGTGGTTCCTATACCTTAGCCGTATCGACAAAGGTGTTATCCCAACACCTTATACTCTGTAAGTGACAGTTTTCACTCTATCGCCTTTATATTACCATAGTACTTAGTTATCCTTAGCGTACGAAACTGAAGAACTATCGATTATATAATCTTGACGAGAGCTCTACTAAGCTTTTTCACTCTTATCTCTCCATATTCCTATCTTACCGACCCACTTAATCCTGTAACCCTGCAATTCTACCTTTGGCCCCGTAGCATCAGCTGGTAGAAGTGCACTTTGATCGTGTACACCCTGCTGATTGGATTGGCCTTTACACAAGGTTTTGGAGATTTGAAAATGCTGTACTAAACCTTCCACCTGCGTGTATTTCGGACTGGAGAGTCGGTAAATTACGAGGCATGCTTTGCCAGTTGGCTGCAGCATTATCTCGTCATTCTCTTCCTCTTCCTCTTCCTCCTCCTCTTATTATTATTCTTTTTCTTCTATTTCTTCTTCTCTTTCCTCTCTACCCTATGCGATATTGTGGCGCTTCAACCTGCTTCCATACCAGCAACGGCAACCACGCCTAAAGCACGTATGCTATCTTGTTCATTGCGGCGAAAATAACGGCTCGTTCCTTGTTGTCATGGGTACAGATCTCGTGCGCCCAGGCGAAGCACAGGCCCGACAGGCCTCTTCTTGATCTGGGCTCCTCTCCTTCGTCTTCGTCTTCCTCACAGATGTCAATGAGCAAGCTGAGCGAGCTCAGCCAATTGGCTTGCTCAGCCAATTGAGCGGAGGCCAGCAGCTCGCTCGGCTCGCTCGGATTGGCTGAAACAGGGCTGTCAGCTCGCTCGGCTTGATGGGCTCAGTCCCGATTAGGAAAGTTATATAGAAACCTTGGTGTTGAGTTTCTCAGCTAATATCCCACTTATGTACACCGTATTTCGCGTCCATCTCCTCATCGCTGATAGCCTCCTTTACAGGCACCTCACCACTGCCAAATCCAGCTCTTATCCATCGTCGATCGCACTGTATTGCTGCTAGAAGTTGCGGAGAAATGCTGCGCCGACGGGGCTCGAGGAGGTCACCCAGCTCGCTGAATAAGCGCTCACACTCACAGCTTGAGCCTGGGATTGATAGCATGTCGATAGCAAATTTGCTAAGGCTGGGGTAGCGATCGCGGAGTCCTACCCAGTATTTTATAGGGTCGACGCCCTCGCTAGCGATCGGTTCGCTGCGTTTCCAAGCCTCATATTCATCCTCCTCGTTCTCCGTAAGCCCTGCAGGCTCAATAAAGCTGTTGATAGCGTCGTCTATATCATTGTGCCTGACTTTGGGGCGTAAGCGCGGCTTCGGTAAGCTTTTGTACTCCGCCCACAAATGTTGAAACTTGCGGTTGCTGCTCTCTAGCCAATCAGGCTTATCCGCCCACGCTGCGTCAAGGTAGCTTTTGTAGCGAGGATGAAGGATTGTAGCAGCATAGTAAGCTGGCGAGAGGTCGAGCTTGTTGTAGTACTCGCGGGCTTTAACTAGGGCAGCGCGGAGGTTGATAGCAAGGTGGTCTTCGGGTGACTCTGTATGCTCATCGTGAATGACGTCTTCATAGCTTTGCAAGCGGTCCTCATAGACTCCAAGTAAGTATTCAAATACTGGAATAACCTCAGCGATTGCTCCAAAAGCACCGCTTTTGCCGCGGCCTTCAAGCCGTTTTGTAGCTTGTTTCAGTGGCCTGAGCACATCAATATACTCAGCAATCACCTGCCAGTCATGGGCATTGATCCCATCAGACCTCATCCAATCCGGCGCTGCAGGCAGCTTGTTGTTACGACTTCGGGCGTACGCGTCTTCAGTTTCAATCTTCTGAATATGGTAGTTGGCGTACCCATTAACCGCTAATTGCAACTCAACAGCGCGCTCAAAACACGAAACGTAAGAGTTCCAGCGAGTAACAACTGGCTTGACGGGCTCCTTGATTTTGTGCTGTTCTGTTGGCGCGTTGACAGGCTGGTCCCTAATAGCGAGCTTCTGATACTTCTCAAAAAGAGCGTACTGTTGTGGTGTTTTGATGTAGTTGATAACCGCGAGAAGCACTCCCAATGGTCCATCGCCTCGCCAAGTAGCCATGTTCTCAGCTTCGTTCACGCGCTCAGTCTCCTCGTTGTCGTAGGACTCTTTCTCCTCACCCCAGAGTAGCATCTGGCCAATGAGATTAAGCGTATGAGGACCGCAGCGAAGGCGACGCTCGGTAGCGCTGAAGCCCATCTGCAAGGCGAGAGTGTTGATCGTGGTGTTGTTGTTATGTGCGTTGTCGAGGACGAAGTAACCGAGCTTGCCCACAGTGATTTCGAACTGCTTGAATATTGCCATCACGACCTCAGCCATGGCCTCGCCGGTGTGGGCACCTGTCAGTTGTGGGAGCGCAATAGGCAAGTCCCTGAGCTCGCCAGAGCTATCAACGTAGTGGGCGACGATACCTAAGTAACCGCGCTTGCCACCTTTTGTCGTCCATCCGTCAAAGCTTATATGGACTTTGCTCATTGATTCTGAAAGGCTTGCGACAACCTTTGGTAACAGGTAGTTGTACAGGCGTATAACGTATCGTGAGACGCTGTTATGAGATGCCCACAGGGCTCGTTCTGCCTCTACGCTAGCTAATTGTATCATATTGCGAAAAGACGATGATTCGAATTGTGAGAGTGGGAGGTTGTTTTCGACGAGCCAGGTGACGGCCGCAAGCCTAAACTCTTGTATATTGAAGTTGGTAAGCTCGTTGGCAACAGCCTGAGAGCAGCCCTTCTGAAGGGCGCGTTCGAGGAGAGTTTCTTTCCGAGGAGCGACGGTAGTGCGCTTACTTGGAGGCTTCAAGCCATGACCTTTCTTGTCTTCTCCGAGATGACGTGCTGGCGCTGATGGAGACTGCGAGACGTCATGTATGCCACGGCCAACAGTAGTGAACTTGTGCTTATAGCAATAGTGGCAGATCCACGTGACTTTTGCGACGTTGCTGCGCAAGGCGATGCGATAGCCATGGCTGTATACCCAGCTTGCTCGGTTCGAAAGTGATGTGGGCGGCTTGCAGTGCTTTGGGTAGCGACTCCAATTAAAGCCGTCGTATTTGTCCTCTACCCATACGAAACCCTCGTCGACAGCCTCGCTAGCTGCTCCTGAAGCTGCAACAGTGGCATGCTCGCTGCCCTCAGGTGGTGGGATGATTGTCTCTTCGGCGCGCGACTCTCGGAGGTAGACTCCGCAACAATCAATTCAATCCGGTCACTCTCCTAGACCCACTTACCTATCTAGGTAGGGCTTAAACTCCTATAGGTAACTACTAGGCTTAAAGCGGTAATCAATCAATCCAATCTGAACCTTCTAGGACCCACTTAATTGATTGTTGCGGACTGTGCTCGGAGGGTCGCTTCAAAATTTGGTGCTTGTGGCGCGGCGACGAGAGCTTGACGCGGCGACAGCGGTGGAGGAGGTGGAGATGGTGAGAATGGGCCGAGTATCGACTAGCACAGGTTGGCTGGCAGTCCCGCGATGACGCGCTGCGACTCTAGGGCGCTTCGAAGTTGTCGCGATTTCTAGAGCATTAACGCGTGTTCTTTTTGCTGGCATTATAGCAACGGCGAGGTAGAAATAGCTGCAAATAGAGACGCGTTGATGGAGTATAGGTGAGTGTGGTGGGTGATAAGTAGTAAGTGAAGTGTCGCAGAAGGAGAATATTGTTGCCAGGCCGTTAGCCGGAAATTTAGTAGCTTATTTGCTAGAAATATAGCAAAAAAGAGTGTATTTTAGGTTATAACTAGGTTTCGAACTTACGCACTACACCTAAAAATCATCGTGAGATTGCCCCTCCACCAAGTCCTTCAGCCCCAAGTTTCCAACCGCCCCATCCAACCAAGCTAAGCAAGCTGACTGAGCGAGCGCCTATCCCTAAGCTCGCTCGGCTTGCAAGCGCGCACTGCGCGCTCAGCTCATTCGGCTTGGTCAAAACGTCCAAGCCGAGCGAGCTGAGCGAGCCGGCTCGCTCGTTGACAAGTATGGTCTTCCTCTTGTCTCTCTACTTCCCTCCTCCTGTTTCTTCTTGTTCTTCTCCTTCTTTCTGTCCTCTCTCTTCTCCTAGATATCGAGGGGCACCCAGGTGTCATGAGATACTGGACATACTGGTGCATTGAGGTCACTATGCTCCAGACACTGCTTATCCACACTGCCAAGTGCACCGATATTCTCTTGTAGGGTATAATTATGGCCATGGGCTTGCAAAAACAGCGGGGCGCGGGAGATGACGACGTTGTGGAGCGGAAGATGAACGATCTCGGCATGTGTCATATGATCATGTGACCTACCTAGGTATTTTTCATGCGAGAGTGATATCGCTGAGTACAGGGCCCGACTTCAAGGCTTCACCATCCATGAATCCGTGCACATAGGCCACCCCTACAACGCGAAAAGTACTAGGTCCGACTTCATGGAGAATCAGCGGCACGCGGGATCCAGCGATGATCCATACTGCGTTGCTTTTTAGAATAGACTCAGAGCCCAGGCTGAGGTGCTTTTTGTTTGTCAAAAACAGTCGCAGATGAACGGCGTGTGAGAATGTTGTTTCGAAATCGACAGAGTCGATGGAGTAGGTCGAACTCTCCCTACACTCGGTGTGTGAGCTACATGGCAGTAGATCGGAGATTTCGCTTGCTGGAAAGGATGTGAATGTGTTATTTGATGTTGAATCTGCAGTGTGTTTTGGGAGCTTCGAAGTAATCTAGGAGACGTATGCGGAACGGTAGCTACACGGTGCTGGATGCCAGGGACGCACTCCCGCCGTGTCTGTAAGTAGGGTGCGCCAGAAAACTTCGGTTCGACATTGTCCTATATGATACACATAGTGCATATCATTAAATATGCTCAGCCAATTTGGGAAAGGTTTCCCTGTGAGGACATCCCGCTTACTCTCCCCGACAGCAGTGATCTTATCCAAACAAAACCCCTTAACAGTCAAATAAGCATCCCGCTCGTTGATGTGCAATGATCTGGGGAGAACAGCAGCAGCCGAATATCTCAGGTACCCAGTAACACCCAGCCCAAGTACCTTGCTACACCGCCAATCCGGAACCCAAGAAGGAAGACCCGAATCAAAACCTTCAGAACAAGACAGCAAGAGTAAATTATCCGAGTCCTCAAGAATCTGCACCGCAGCCAAAGTATACGTCTCCGCCACTGATCTCCCAGCATAAACAGTTTCAAGCCGCCTCTTCTCGTTTGCTTTATCTCCCACGATGCCAAGTAGCGCGTAAACTTTATCCCGCACTAGCCATGAAGCGCCGACACCGAATGAGTGCGTAGAGTAAATCTCCCGCCATATTTTCTGTCTCCCAGATATTCGAGACAGCGTGATTAGTCTGCTATGAGCCCGTGAAATCAACTATCAATCTAGTCCATAGGGTGAGTGTAAGGAACTGTGAGACTTTAATAATATCCGCCAGTCGATAGCGTGACTACCGCAGAGCGCACGCATCTTCCTCGCGGGTTTGATTTCTTGGATTGTCCACACTCAGGTAAAGTATGTGCGTTGGAAGAACCTGGCCATGCATTTCCAGGAAGAATGGTCGGCGAAAAGTGCGTGTTTGGCGCGATGCTCTCCACCACTTATGGCTTTGGGTGTAATGTCTTTTAGACAATCTATTCTTTCGGCTTTGTGTCGACCCTGGATTCTGCTGGCCAAAAGTCTTATCAGCTCGAAGGCTGGGCCCGTGGCATCGTCTTCCTCACCTAGCCAAGCATGTACTATGTGTGCTCATTGGTAGATAATTACCATCATATTTACCTGGCAGGTGCGCTCCTCTGGGTCCTCTTGATTGATGCAAATAGCGTCGATCCAGTAGGACTCAAGCGTATGCGGTTCATCGTCACGTATCTTGTGGAGAAAAGCGTGGAGATTCTTAGTGACTGCAATTTGGTACCAGAGCTGCTGGGGTTCAACTAGAGAGCTTTTCTTCGTCCTGCAGGGTGTTAAATAGGTGGAAATCCCCGGGTTTCTCCTCCTGTGGTGACGATGGGAGAGCCTCATGTGTACGAGGGCGCAAAGTTTGACTACCTGGAGCTCATATGCGAGGACTTCACTCTGAATTCGTGGAAGGATGTTTATGAGCCTAATTTCGCCTTGGGTTGTTAGTTCTAACGTGGCATATAGGCCAAGCATATTGCTACTTCATATATTTCTCTCATCGAAGATTGAAGTATGCGTTCAACAGACCCGCTATCCCGCATTTAGAGGGGGAAAAAAGATAATCATATAGTTGTCTCGAGAGATTGTCGTGACGAGCCTGCCGTTCTGTAGAAATATGGCAGCCTAGAATGCTTGGCGAGTGGGGCCCACTATCTACCTAGGTAGATGGTTTGGGGCCTTGACTCTCAAACCCCCCGATTACCAACACCAACTCTTCCAATATCTAGCCCTCTGTCCGGAGACCACACGTTCTGTGTCCACAAATGGAATCATGGGACAAGAAACGCCCTTCTAGCCGATCGTCGAAAAATAATAGATCATAGTTGCAATAGAAGAAGCACTTGGGGTCAGATTGGAAAGAACGAGTGTGATTGTTTTCAAATCAGGTCTCTCATATCCAGCAAGATGTGTTTGAACCACTGCAATCCTTAGTAACCCGTCCTTGTCTCTCCCTCAATCTTCAACTCAATCTATACCAAAGCTATTGTACAAATTTTGTAAAGCCAAACAAGATAAGCAAAGTCACCAAAGTGATACCAAAAGCCCGCCCCAGCATGCACTTTTCACCACAATAAACACCACTTTCCATCCGTAGTAGATGTCTTCTCCCTACGACCGATTTCACTTCCTCCCAACAACACCCTTACACTGTATGCCTTAACAACACCTACACCCCTCCCCATACCGATCCTCACACCTCTATTTCCTCCTCTGCATCAACTCCTTCGCGGACGCCGTAACCGAGTACCCCCCAAATAACCAATCATTCGAATGCCGTCCCCTCCATGGATCACTCCCACTCGTACTCCTTCTCCCCCCATCCTGAAGACTCGGTCTCGAGTTCTGAACCGGCAATGGCATCGGAGTCTGTCTCACCGGCCCTGTCGACGAAGAACCATGTTGGAACTGCGATGACGACGGTGTCGGCTGTGGCATAGGCGACTTTGACCGTTTACGTAGTGTGCCTCCACGCGAGCGACTCCGTGAGCGACCGCGGATACGCGCTGTGATTGCGCCGAAGAAAGAGGCTTCGGTGGGTGAGGAGACGGAGCGGGAGGTTGAAGTTGCTGAGGCGGGGGAGTGTGGTGGGGATAGTTGGCTTGTTGATGATTTTGAAGACTGGGTGGTTTGGGAGGAGGCGGTGTTTGTGCGGATGGGTGGAGGCATGGGTTGATTGTGTGAAGACGTCATTGTTGACAAAGGTGGTCTGATTGTAACAAGTTTGATATGAGTGGTTGTTTATCTAGTTGTTTATCTGATATGTTCGAATTCGTAGACTCGAAGGCCCATCGTAAGCAAGAGCCAGATTATCAGGCAAACAAAAAGATGACTGCAGATAGATGAGGCTCAGAAACAACACAAACCGTCAGCACTATATATCCTCCTCCAGCCCAATCCCCAATCCTCACCCCATCAAGCCTATCCTGCCGTCCTCCTCCACCACCACCGCCACAACCTTGGCAGCACAACCCCAGCTGCAATCACAACCCCTACAAACTATCGGTGACCACACTCCCCCACCCCTCCTCTCAGCCAACCAAACCCCCCGTACTCGAAGCGGGGACTCCCAAATCACCAGCTTCCCTCCAAAACCACACCGACTTGCGACCCCTCCTTGTGTCGCATGCAAAGACGCCACAAAGTCGGCATGCAAACTGCAAGGCCAACGCATGCCTAACAGCCGAGAAAAGGCTACGTAGATCATCGCACCTGCACGTTTTCGCAGATGGATGATGATTGCAGCCTGCCTGCCTATCTATTCTACGACCTCGGGACTTTGGTTGCATCCAATCAAACCACCAACCCACGCCGTGTGCGACGATGAAATCCGTGATGTTGGCCTCACCGGTTTTCAATGCGTGTGACATTTGTCCAGGCGACTTTCGAACCATATTCAAATCCATGCCTGCGCGCATGTGTCTAGATAGAGTGTGCGATTTATACCCAGAGTGTTCTTGTTACCCCAGGAATGCGCATTCGTGACCGTGCCAGCAAAGCAGCAAAATGCAACGTCCCGCGGGACAACGCGATAACAGCACGAAAGAGTCCTCAAGGGCGACGGCGCATAGGCAAGGACAACAGCGCATGAGGGGGATACAAACGTTCTCGACCCTTCTGCGACTCGCAGCTGAAAGAAGCTGTAACTGCAGCAAGTACGCACGCGTCGGACCTGGCCGCTGTCCCTATCGTGATACCCCTCATCTTATGTCGCACACATCCCCATTGAGCCCACCGGTTTACTTGGTAGCATAGCAGCGTCCTAAGTAGATAAAAAATGATGTATTAATCCCGTCTCTTTCTTGCATCGTACGTGAATTCTGTTGTTGCGCAAGTCCCGTTCCGTTCCGAATGCTCCATTTCGAGTTCCGATTCCCTTCCGAGCCGCATCCTTTGCTCTCCCGCCACAAAAAAAAACAGCAAAAAAGTAATTCACAACGTTGCAATCGAGAGAAGGATGTTGTGCATCCTCCGGGAGTCGAACCCGGGCCAATTGCTTGGAAGGCAATTATCCTACCGTTGGACCAAGAATGCTTGATGGAAGAATAGATATGTTTGGATGTTATAATCTTAGTTTCAAAATGGAAGGTACGATATGGGAAAAGTGGGAGGGTGCGATGAGGGAACGCTGTGTTAGGACTAGCGAGATTGAGTGGGGACTAGCGTGGAGGTGGTCCTAATGATGTCATTGTCGGTATGTGGGGCTAGATGAGGCGGTGGAGGCAGTGTTGGGTTCGAGGTTAATGAAGAGAACGGTGGAAAGGTGGAATATGATGCTTTGGTGCGTATTCCATCAAGCATTCTTGGTCCAACGGTAGGATAACTGCCTTCCACGCAATTGATGCTATCGTTTTCTAGATGTTCTATTGGATCTAGCCGCCGTGTATAATACGAAGCTTCAATATACACGCAGTCTCACGCCCTTCTAACCTAGACACGGCCACTTTGCGTCTTGGGGTTTATAATACTCTCCCCCCTTCAATCCTCGCCTTCAACACTCAAACTTATCTCCTTCCCCTTCCCTTAAATACACAACCAACCCCCCCAACGCACTCGCACTCGCACCCACACCTACACCCTCTTTCAACTTCACACATCGCCTCCTCTCCGACCATTTCCTACCCACCTCATTACACATCTCCAACATCTCCCTCTTCTCCGTTGTCTGCGCAAAAAGCGTGTAATCAGACAAAACCTCGTTTCCTATGTAAACCGCCGGGTCTTTGTCTTTGAGGAAGGTGGGAAGGAGGAGGAACCAGTCTACGAAGGGGGAGTAGAGAAATGTTTGGGAGGTGATAACGCTGGAGGGGGATGGGGAGGAGGTGGGTGAGGAGGGAAGGGCGGATATGTGGAGAAGAGAGAGGAATTCCGTGTCTATTTGGGTAAAGGCTGGGTCTGTGGCGTAGCATGTGATGGGTTGTATTTGGGTATCTTTTGGAATCACTAGTAGTGTGGTTGTTAGTAATCGTGGTCGGCAAGTGTAGAGCAGGAGCAGACAGCAGGAAGCCAGAACCATGCAAACGGAAGGCAGGACGGGAAAACAGAGCAAGAACATACCCTTCCCAACAACATCAACAAACAACACAAGCTGCCACAGACTCCTCCATCTATGCACCCAGTCTCTGCTGAAACTTCCAATGCCGATGCACATGGCTTCTCTTATATCCCAATCATCCTTCTTCCCATTTTCCATATCCTTCTCCCCTTCTTCACCCGCCTCCGCCTCCTTCCTTCCAGCTCTTCCACCAAATATGCCATCAATTTGTCCCGCAACCCCCAACTGCCGCCACCGCTCCTGCAGCATTTTAAACTCTGCAAGCAATTTCTCAGCTGTGATATCTGAGATAACATCCGGTAGTACAAAAGCGGTGCCTTTCTTGCCGGTGCTGTTGTCTTTTGCGTTCCTCTTTCCCTTGTCATCTCCGTGACTACTCTTTTCGGCATTAACGAGAGAGACATTCGCTAACCCATGCGTAATAACCGTCCACCCATCTTCAGCCGCGACTTGTTGTCTTTTTATGCGGTTTCTAGGCATGATTTGTGATTGTGCGTTTTGCTCCTTCTTCGCGGCCCTGCACCACCTCTTCAGTTAAACTTTTGTATGCGAATGCTTCGTACTCGACTACTCGCACGCCCTCAGTCCACTCTCCCCGGTGCTGTCCGAATACTCTGTTAAGATACCACGGAATGAAAATCGCACGTGACAAGCCCTCTCTGATGTCGCTTCCTTTCCGAGATAAACCCGTCGTTCGTTCAACTTGCCCGTCGCTACTCGGCTGCGGCTTGCATCGGTCGGCGCGGGACAACCAAAAAAACGTTAGCAGTCGTTCGGCCAGAAAGAGTGAATTGTGAGTGGAGGGGTGAGTCGGCGGTTAGAAAATCATTGTGAGAGGTTGCGGGACGACGATCGGAACGGGGGGTTTCCGACCCACAATACAACCCAGCGCAGCTTATTCGGACCGCCGGGACGCTGGATTAGGACTGACAGACTGTGTTTGCGAGTGTGTAGGTCGACCGTTCGGCCGTTGGGTAGGAACAGAAGCTCAGCTACTCGCTGTCATCTATTGGCATTGTTCGTATTATGCCCAGGCAGATGAGGTACACGGGTTTGAACAATGAGTGTGTCAACAACTCTGTTGAAAATTGGCGTCTGTTATTTATCCAGAATATGACGTCTGTAGACGGTATGGGACGCATTAAACGTGGCGTGTCCTCCCAATACATCATTTGGTTCTATTAGACCAAACCACTCTCCATCCCCCATTCATGTATACAAACTCCAACCGGAGCTTCATCATCATCATCTTGACCAACAGAAGATTCAAAAAGAAAAACACAAATAACACCGGATATCTTGCGCGCCCAACGCCATACAGAAGTTTCCAGTCCCAAAAAAAGCGAATCCAAATCACGCTAAACAACCCACGTTAACCACGACGCAGCCGCAAGCATCGCCGGGACGAGTATGGATGCGTAACCGTTGATGACCAGCGTATGTGGCGCTGGCGACGAGGTAGTCGTATAAACGACCTGAAAACCAATATGTTGACCTTCAGCGGTGGTGTTTACGCAATTCGAACTATTAACCTCGGGTACATCCTCCGGTTCCGCAAACGTGATATCAGCGCACTACACCCTCGTTAGCTTCCTTCCTTTCAAAAAACCCTCCCCATATCACAACATTCACAACTCACATTATAAAGGGCGGCCCCATGCTGCGCCGTCTCAATAACCTGAATAGTCGCATTATCCCCAACTTTAGGCGTATAATTCGCCGGCAGCGGCACCTGCGGGAGACAAAACTGTCCGGCATACTGTTGATTCGAGGGCCCGACGATTTGGAAAACAGGCAGCATGGTGTGTGAGTAGTTCAAGGGTTCGTTGCCATAGCCCATGTTGATGTAGAAGAGGGCGAGCGAGTGGCCTGGGAACCAGCCTGGTTGGATGGATACGGCGCCTCCGCCTATGGGCCATTTTGTGCGGTTGCGAGACATGGGCATGCCGCCGCCTGTGAGGTGTTAGTTTAGCAGGAAATGGGGGGAGGGAGACGGACAAGGATACATCCATTGCATGCCGTATGGGAAACCATAAGTGCCGGTGTCATTGTGGTAGTTCATGCCGAGTGAGCCCTCGGGAATGCTGGGGTCGGTGGGGGAAACAGTGCCGTTTGTGTGGATGTTGTCGCCGCGCCACGGGGGGTAGACGATAACGGTGTGTGCGGCCGCGAGCGACCATGTAGCGGCGATGAAGACGAGTTCGGTGAAGCGAAACATATTGGCGGTGCGGCAACGAAAACGAAAAAGCAAGGCGGGGTGATGGGATATATGACGGATGGGATGTCCTGCTCTTTTACAATGCACAGTAGTTGGGCTTGCCCGGTTAATTGCCAGGCGTATAGTCAGTCGTTGGAGGTACAATCCGATGGTAGTTTCAACACACAAGGAACCAGCAGCGTGGTGGCGGGGATGGGGGGACCATTGATATTTAAGAGCTACATGACTAGGGCTATGGGCGACTTGGCTCCCACCAGTCTCGTGCAACGACTCCCCATCACCTCGTGTGCGGAAAGAGGGTTCGCGCGATTATGGAGCCAGTGCTGTTAGCCAGATGGGTCCCGCCAGCATGGCCACAGCCCAGTGCATGTCAGCCCGCTCAGAGGCAGCAGAGAGAGATGAAGAGTAGGCAGCGAATAGGCGTGCAGCTAGGATATTGAAGCGACAGGGGCGGGCGACCACTGAGCTTCGCGTATGCACGTCTTGTCGGGCGGGAGGGAAAGGCCCTTCTAAGCCGGGACGAATTGGCCGCCGACTTGGTCACAGGGTTGGGCGGTTTGATTCGTGGAAGAGGGTGTATGTGTGATGGCTTTTGCTTGCTGTAAGCGCCCAACCTTTGCCTCCACATATCTCGACTCCACATGGCCACCTCCCCGACATGTCTGGCCGTGGTAGTGTGACCGCGGGCGTGCGACTCGGTCTCCAGCCGCCAGCTGCTTTGTCAACCCAGTTCTGATGTGCGCGACAACAGCAGCAACGCCCACAGCACACCATAAACAGCCGCGAACATAAATGGGCCTGCAGACACAGTCAGCTTTGCCGCCCGTTGGCCCCCAATGCTACCCCATCATCGTCCACGCCGCAATATAAATCCCCCAGTCCGACGCATGCGCAAGTTGCTATCCTCACAACGTTGCATAAGTTATCGGCTGCTGCGTGAGAGAGAGGGCCGCGTTTTCTGATTGGGACAGTGTTTCTCTTCTCGGCCCCTCCCCGCCCTGGTAGCTTGATAAGCGACCACTCCGCCGGGACGACCGAAGCCTTTTTCCCAGCGTCGCACAAAACGTTACCAGGTAGGACTCAGCGGAAGAAGCATCGGTTTAGCCAAGCGCCATGAGGTTGTCCATCCGTTGTTGGATTGGGGATGCGGATGGGCATGCAACTGCAAGGGAGCACAGGTTCGGTGGAGTACCGTACAAGTTCGTGAGGTGGCGTCTACTGGGTTCAGGGTTAACAAATAAGGCACGAGAAGGGAAAGTCGTCAGCGGCTGTCACACAAGACGCGAGTCGACGTTATATGTAGTTCAATCAGCACGTGTGTGTGGCTATGTCTTGCAGCAATGCGTCTTTCTGCAATCGTTTCAACTCATCAATCAGCCATCAACGGGTCAGCTACAGCTACATGCTACTATATGGATACCCTTGCTTACAAACACTCAGCTTCCCGTTTCAACAGGGATATTTATACCCAGCCTCCTTAGTCTGTCCACGGCAGCTTCGACGAGCATGTCGTTCCTTTGTATGAGTTCCTGCACCTGTTCATTCTCCGCTTTTCTAGAATAGCTTGGTACTTTGACGGCGCTGCGCGGCGTCTGCTCGCCGTTTCCTAGCAGCTTGACAGAGTTCAGGGCTTCTTCAATCTTCTGTGCTTGAGCCTTTTGCTCTTCCTTGATGCGGTTCAGACGCTGCCATGCTGGGTGGTCGCTTCCATCAATGTCGCCACTTAGAGTGTTGCTTGAAGGGTCGACTGAGCTGTCCATGATTTGTAACTCCTCGATCCAGTTGCTCTCCTTTTCACTGAGTTGACTGGTGCCCACACTAATCATCCTACGTCGGAGAGCTTCGTAGCGAGCATTGAGCTGGTCTTGTCGTGCTTTGGCGTTGTCAATGCGGACATCGATCTTGTTGACATCGTAGGATGACCCATCATCCGAGCCGTCCTCGTCGTTACCGGTGACTTTCTTAATGTTGGCCGCAATGCCCGAAGTTCTGTACATTTGGTCCCTGAACTCTTCCTGGAGTCGTGTTGCGCGGTTGAACAAGTCCGATACTGCGTGTTGGAGCTTCGATGTCTGCGCAGAAAGCACGCGGTGGATGTCCATGAGTAGGCCAAGATTTGCAGGTGACAGCCTGATTTCATCCTTCAGTAACGCTTTGTGCCGCGCAGGAATCTTGATGGATCCAAACAAATCAACTTGTTGGTACAGTTCCTTCGGGGGTTGCCAGGCTGCACGCACTTCCGTGTTAGGACTGGAAAGGGTCATATACCTAGCCAACTCCTCCTGGGAAATAACATCATCTTCTGGTGCATCGAGCAGCACTGCTTGTGGTTCGCCATCGACGGTAGTGAGCAGGATGTATCCAATGTTTCCATCTTCGATGACAGCAGCCGAGGTGACTTCTTGTTCGGCCACATCGCCGTTGACGCGCCGCTGTAGGCATCGTTCTACTGAAGTGTTCGCCGCTTCCAGTACTCTGTCCAGACGGAAAGGCGAGCCCAGTGTTTGCGGTTGGGATAGCTCCTTCTCTACGTTCCTAATCCACGGCTCCATTGACACGTAGAAAACCCCACTGGCGTGTGAGACGAAGAATGAAAAGTCCGTATGTACATCTGGTGTGATGCTCTGGCTGAAGGAAGATTCACCACCCTCTACCAGAGCGATGGTTTCCGCAAGGATGAGCGCATGCTCGGTTGTTGCTGGCACATCAATCTCATCCTCAAGAGAAGGCAGCCATCGTCCAACGATACCCTCGACATCCAAGCAGACGTGGATTTCGCTAGTATCAGTGAGCAAGCATACAATAGCAGTCGGTAGACCTTCCGCAACATATTCTCCTGCTTCGTCCTCGTCGTCCTCATCATCGACTTCAGACATGTTCTTGAGGGAAAAGACAATCATGTCGCTGAGCTCAAAGTCATCAACTTCTGGTGCAATGGTGAATGGTCCCTGCAGCAACGGGACGGTGGGAACGCTTGCTGGACGTGCAAAGACCTTGACCGAATCACCACTCGGTCTCTCCTCTACGTGTGGCTCCTCATACAGGATGTCAGAGAGCCACTTAATTTGCTTCTCCGACGTCACGACGTCGTGCCTGGGTGCGTCGTCGTTGTCGGAGATTTCGGCGTCATAGATGTTGATCGAGGAGGCTAGGGTTTGAAGGAATGTGTGGCTCCCGGGTGACTCGACCAGCTGCCACTTTCTCGGCAGCAAGGGACACAGAGCATACACGTCTCCGGATACCGTGGCGATCCATAGAGTCATGGGTGCCCATCCGTGGACGCCTTCTTGCTCTGGAAAGTCGCCAAAACAAGCGGATGCTACTTCAAGCTCCACGGAATCCGGGGAGAAGCCCTTCGATGCTCCAAACTTGGAGGCACTCAAATCATCCCTGTCGCTTGTCGCATTTGCCAGCTTTGGCAGATCAATTGAGAGCGAGGGTTCACTGAACGAGGACCTGTCAGCGCGGTTCATCTCCCACAGACGTACGACTCCCGCCTTTGTGATGGTGACGAGACACCGGCCGTGATAGCCCAAAGGATGCCATACTGTTGTCGCGACGGGTGACTCCTCCAGGACGTGAATGGTCGGTCCTAGTTGGAACGTCTTTGGCTTCAGCGGGCCATCGTCTTCACCGGCTTCGAGTAGAGACGAGTCGGGAAGGAGGATGACGTGTACTGTATGCGAAGTAGAGACGGCGAGGTAGTCTTGGTCCGGTGAAATGACGAGACGCGTAATTGGTAACGGTATCGAGACTCGGAGGGTCCGGTATGCGGGCTGAATGCCTTCCTTGAGGTTGGCCAAATCCGCCCAGCGAATCTCGTTTCCAACAGCCACAAAGATCTCGGATGCTCTTGTAGCGATCGTTTTGCGCGGTCCAGGCTGCTCCGATCGTCGTGTAGCTACCACGCCATTGCCATTCGTCTGTGTCGGCGCAAACAGATGATAGCCTGGGTTTGGCCGGCTGAGCCAGTCGGGCGTGTAGGCCAGGACCTTTGGCATTTTTGGGCGCCCAAGCAGTTGATATGAATTGATTTCGATATACAGGAGCGAGAGAGAAGTGGTGTAAGCCCACAAAGGTTGTCGCTCTGGTAAAAGAGAGAATGCGTAGACAAACAAAAGTCGCGCCTACGCCAAAGTTAGTTGGCCCAAGCTCGACATAACGTACGACCTCACGCGCACTACCTAGGTACTTGGACCGTCACCCACACCACACCAAACCCCCAGATTCACTACGGCGGCGCATCTGCCTTTACATATAATAGAATTTGCTGCCATGCCGGCGCTTCGCAGTACAATCGATCGTCTCGATAAGCCTAGCTCGTATGCGACGGCCAAGGTATGTGCAGCCTACACGACTTGCGACTTGCCATGCTAACAATCCACCAGAAGCGCAAGCGCCACCAGAACACACGCGACGACGACCGCGGCCGATCGCCTTCACCCGAAGACAAACTGCGCGATGCAACCACGCTCTACGTAGGCAACCTGTCCTTCTACACCACCGAAGAGCAAATCCATGAGCTCTTCTCAAAGTGCGGCGAGATCAAGCGCCTGGTCATGGGCTTGGACCGCTTCCAAAAAACTCCCTGCGGGTTCTGCTTTGTTGAATACTATACACATCAGGATGCGCTCGACTGCATGAAGTACATTGGCGGCACCAAGCTCGATGAGCGCGTTATTAGGACTGATCTGGACGAGGGCTTTGCCGAGGGAAGGCAGTATGGACGTGGAAAGAGCGGTGGACAGGTACGCGACGAGTATCGGGCAGAGTATGACCCTGGTAGGGGTGGCTACGGTAGAGCCGTTGATGAATATCACGAGGCGCAGTAGGAGCTGTAGTAAGCTCCCGTCCATGACATTCGGGTCACAAATTACTGCATACATGGGAGTCTGGAGTTTATGATATGGTACTGAGTAACATCAGTCTAGGTACCTTGTAAAAACACACTAGCATCCTCCAACGTCTATGGCGCCATGTTCTGAAATGCACTGCAACTCATTTGGTTCCATAGCCAAGTTCAAACTGCCTTCTTTCCTCGACAGCCTTCACTACTTGACTCAACCACCAAGCGTGTATCCGCGCGTCATTGGTCAGTTCAGGGTGGAAACTGCACCCAAATACGTTGCCCTGTCGCACTGCGATGATATCTTCGCTGCCGGAGTCATCATGTTGCTGATTCACTTGTAGTGGCTTCGCGTCGGTGGAGAGTGTAGCCATAATCTCAACTTCCTGGTCCAGCTCCTTCCTCGCCAAGTCGTCCACTGGAGTCTTGCTTGGCGCAACGATGGTATCATCTCGCTCCTGCTCTCCCTCTTGTATGCCTACCGCCTTTTTGCTCGGCAGCACCTTCTCCACCACGGGCGCGCGAATGAAGACGCATCGATAAGGCTCGTTCTTGCTGGTCTCTTTGGTCGACTCAAGGAACGGCAGTCGTAGGTTTGCCTGGAAACTCTCCGTCTGTCTTCCGAAATGATTCCTATTAACCCGGACGTCCAATCCTCCGATCAAATCCTGTCCACCCTTCTTCGTCCGATTTGCACTTTCCGCTAGTAATATCAACCCTGCGCATGTTCCCCATGTAGGCCGCCGCTGGACTTTGACAAAGTCGCGTAGTGGTTCGAGGAGATTACTGCGCGCCGCCACAAGAGACATTGCCGTGCTTTCGCCACCCGGTATGATCAGACCGTCGCATTGCTCGAGCTGGTTTGGCGTACGGACCTGGATGAATTGGAATTTGAGCGACGAGGGCAGACTGGACGAGGCAGATCGGAGCAGTTGGACGTGTTCGCTGAATGCGCCTTGGAGGGCGAGGACGCCGACTGTGATTGTCTGACCACCGTTTTCTACTGTCATTTTGAAAAGAATTTTAATGCGACTCCAAAAACGCCGTGAACATAGGAAAGAAAAGTAACCCCAGACCAAGACGGAAAAGAATGTTAGAGTCAGAGGCGGTTGAAGGCGGGAATTCGCTATCGATAGACCGGCCCCCACTAAAACAGGCAACCCAAGCCGCACATGTCATGTCACACACCCGAACTCGGCCTTAGCCATGTATGATTGCTTACTCCGATCACCATCATCGACCTGGAACCCCGCAAGAAACTCCGTGAGTAGCCATGACTTGTGCAATCCCGAATCCTTCACACGACCACGCGGTGTAATTGCTTAGGCGAGTCATATAATACGGCTGCTTGTCCTGGCCCATGGTAGTTTGACCCTGACGTACCCAAATAGTTTGTCAAACTACTCGTGCTACTTTAGCGGACGCGCGAATGCATAACCCTACTTGGTAAACTTTCTTTCGGGCACGGCACAATGGTCAACACGGTCGAAACAGAACCGACATCGCGCGGTCTCACATGTTGGTTATTGGACACTAGGTCACTATGGCCTGGGGTCAAGATTACCGATTCAGCTTCTGTTCGTTCAATCACCCGACTCCTTGGTATGTCTAACAATCACAGGCCCGAGAAGCTCTCTCTTTGATAAGTCCTGAGGAGCGCGAACTCATCACACGGAAATACCACATAGCAGACGCACGTATGAGTTTGGGCTCTGCATTGCTAAAGCGCCTTTTCGTCAACAAAGCCCTCGGCATACCGTGGAAAGACATCCGCTTCGGTCGAAAACGCGACCCCAAACATGGGAAGCCCATTGCTCTCCTGGCCCCACCCCAGCACGGCCCAGCACCCCTGGAGTTCAATATCTCGCACCAAGCAGGTCTCGTGGCGCTGGTCGGATGCAAGACTGACGAGCTAGATGCAGAGGTTGGCGTGGACATCGTTTGTGTGAACGAGAGAAACGATTATAGAGTCGTGGATGAAGAGGGCTTCGATAGCTGGGTAGACGTCTACTCCGAGATCTTCAGCCAGGAGGAGAGCTTCGATCTCAAGTATAACGTTGACCCTTTTCCTCTTCTCGACGGTACCATAGTCACCCAGGATATGCTTGGTCGACACGATCGGTGTTGTACACGGAACCAACACCTTACCATCACATTACCAAACGGTGAAAAGAGGTCGGTCGACTCAGATCTTCTCATTGACGCCAAGTTGAGACGCTTCTATACGTACTGGTGCTACAAAGAAGCATACATCAAGCTGGACGGCGAAGCTCTTCTCGCGCAATGGATCCCATGCCTAGAATTCAAACACGTGCGCGCCCCGCGACCGGGCACACCTGCACGTTGCAGCACGCATGGTTCCTGGGGCGAGCGCATTAGTGACGCAGAAGTTTGGTTCTCAATGAAAGCGGACGGAAAAGGGCCGGCGGGCGTGCGAGATATGACGAGGGGGGAAAGTAGGAAGTTGGATGATACAAGAGTGGAGATTCAAGCTTTTGAGGAGAACTTTATGATTGGGGTTGCTGCGAGGGAGAGAACGGATCCGGTGGTTGATGGACACAGGAGCAGATTGCCGAATGTACTCACACACTTCAAGGGGCTGCATCTTGAGGAAGATGTCATTGCCATTGCGAGGATGTCATCTCCGGGAAGTTGGTAGGATATGAGGTTACATTCAACATAGATACACATCGTGGACTTTAATGGTCTATAATACGGCATGTACACGACCTTGGCAATTTTTCATGTTGTTGGACCCTTTGCGCGTTTCATGAGGGAGTTGAGAGTGAAACCCCTCAGTAGAGCTCTCGTCAAAATCATGTCATCGATAATTCTACAGTTTGGTACGCCAAGGATAAGCTGCTACGTCAACAATAAATGTATTGCCCCTCCATCACTAATCACTAGTAACCTCATCTCCTCTCATAGCTCATCAACAATTCAGCTTGAATTGAACAAATCGACTGCCATATCAACCATGTCTTCCAATTCGCTCAAGTACCCACTTCTCGCAATTCCTGCCTATTACGTCTTCTCAGTCGTTCCACATGTGTACGCCAGTGGCCTACTCGCAAGACATGGCTACAAAATGAACAATGCAAACCCCAAAGCCTCCTTATCCCCAGAAAATGTGAAGGGCAAGGTGCCTGATGAGGTGTATGACACTCCTTCACGACATGGTACCGCCTTCTCAATCAGGCGTTAACAACGCATACAGGTTCCAAAAGTACCAGCGCGCTGAAAACGCCCAATCCAACAACATGGAACAAATGCCCTTGTTCGCAGCTGCCGTGCTTGCAAGCCTCATCGCCGAACGCACCACCGCCACTGGAATCGGAAGGGAGGTCATGTCAGGTGATGCAACGGGCTTGACGACGTTCATCTCAGCTTGGTTCGCCGTCAGGACCTTGTATGTTGTTTCCTATGTGCAGCTTTCAGAAGCCCCCAAGAGTGCCATCAGGAGTGTTTTGTGGGCTACCGGTTCCGGGTTGGCATTCTATCAGTTCTACAAGGCTGCTGCGCTTTTCGGCTAAGGGTGCGGAAGGGTGCGGGGATAGAACGGGGAATAAGAGTACACGATAACAGCCACAATGACATGCGGTGACATGCACGGCTAATAAGCGCATGAAAATGCCGCCCGGTATTTCAGGAACGTATGATAAGCACGAATCATGATCGTAGCCAAATCTGAAAATTCAATCTTAATAAGCCCGATATCTCGCCGCAAAGGTGGGGATCGGTATCTCGGGGTACACTATTCACGTGTGGCGGTTCACAGTACCCGGACTATGGCTGTCCGATAACTTCATCATATAATGGACAATTCCTGGGTGGCGTTCCTTTTGCTTTCTTTCTTTTTCTCCACCTTCACGCTGTACCCTTTAAGCGCAAATTGTTCATATACTTGAGCGGTACAGCCATGCGGTCAACTCTCAACACAGCCCTTTGGCTCGCTTTTGCGACTTCTCTCAGCTCAGCGACGCCTCATTATGGCACTGCCAAAACTCAACTCAAGCATTGGCCCGCCGAAGCCGCAACAGCACTCAACCGCATGATCGCGCGCAACGCAAACCAGAGCAACTACGCATGCTTCGACATGGACAACACAAGTTACCGCTACGACATTGAAGAGTCTCTCATCCCCTTCCTCGACAACCGCGGCATCCTAACGCGCGAAAAGCTGGACCCGAGCCTAAAACTAATCCCCTTCAAAGACACCGCAAACGTCACGGAATCAATGTACAGCTACTACAACCGGCTCTGCGAAATCGACAACTTCATATGCTACCCATGGGCAGCTCAAGCCTTCTCGGGCTTCACCCTGCGCGAGCTCAAAGGCTGGGTCGACGAACTAATGGCCCTCAACACCACGATCCCAACCGCCTACTGGGACAACGACACCCTCGTCAGCACATCAATCAACCCCCCACGTATCTTCCGCGGACAAGTCGAACTCTACAACGCACTTATGGAAAACGGAATCGACGTCTACGTTATCAGCGCTTCTCATGAGGAACTCGTTCGCATGGTCGCCAGCGACCCGAAATACGGGTACAACGTACCGCCGCAGAACGTCATCGGCGTCACTACGATGCTAAAAAATGCGACCTCAGGCGCCCTTACAAATGCCCGCAAACAAATTGCCGATGACTCTTACGATCAAACCGCTAACCTGGATCTCGTCGTCACCCCGTATCTGTGGACGCCGGCGACGTGGTATGCGGGTAAGTGGGCGGCTATTTTAACGTATATTTCCGAGTGGAAGAGGCCCATACTGGTGGGCGGTGATACACCGGGGAGTGATACGTATATGCAGTTTCATGGGGTGGATGTGGGGAAGGGCGGGGTGCATCTTTGGATTAACAGGACGGCAGCTGTATATGAGAAGTTAGAGAAGGAGATTAAGGAGAATGCGGAGGAGCAGAGGGCTAATGGGAGAGAGGTTACTGCTGATAAAAATTGGGTTGTTGTTAAGCCGGAGGAGATTTTGTAGGGGGGTTATGGGGGAGGGGGGAAATAGGTTGGGGAGTGTAAATATTAGGGGTATGTGTTTATATAAATATGATTCTTAATCGATGAACCAACAGGAGCTTTGTGTGGATGGGATGGAATGGGATTTACATGTAAGATGTGAGGACGTCACGTGCACACGAGGCGCGGCTTGATGACGTAAACGTCTCTCTTGGCAAAGCTGCAGCCAGCTGAAACGCGTCGCGATAGCTCACTGAGTCTCTCACCTTCAACCTCCAACCCGGAATACCACCACGGCGCACCAAACCAAGAGAACGACAAGTAGCTATGCAACAATGTATCTCTATAGCCCTGAGTAGATCAGTGCTCAAGGCACGACAACTAACGCAAAGAAAACTCCCCAGACACCTCACCTAGCCAGTTTGGCTCGGCCAACGGGCGGAGGGTGTCCACGAACAGTGTCTTGTTGAATGACGCGCCAGCTGGTGCTCGCAACGAATATACTACTATGTATGTCTCATCCTTTCCTACCTTCATCCCCCCATCTCCCCACAAACACCCAATGATGATCCAAAATTACACTTGAACCGAGAACCCCGGGTCCCTACTTCAATGTCTGCGCATTACGTGGTTTGCATTATGCTAGCCCGGGTGTCTGTTAATATGGGGGCACGGGGTTCGATGGCGAGGTTAAGATAGCTCTGATGGGTGCGGGAGGTAGTCATGAATAGGATATTAGGATGGGGATTAGGCTGACGTCGTTTAGATAATGTAGATCTCGAGGCTTATGCCGGATATCCCTTGCTCGTTTCGCACCTCTTTCCAAGGATTCTTTGACTTAACTTTCTTTACTAGCTGTTGGTACTAGGTTTCGTCTTGAAAGCCAATATATCCTTTTGCAACATGTTGTACATGACTTCAAAGAGATGGTCGGCTTAGGGTACAGATAGTTATAATAGACATAGTTTAGACAAATCGTCTATGCGCAGCTTATAAAGTATGCGCATTCTTCGCCATAGTTATTAGGAATGCTACAAGTCCAATAATAGCTATTGTATTAGCTTCACTATGTGGAACTTCATAAGGTCTGTCTAAGGGAATATTAGGGTAGTCACAACCTCCACGTATTTGAACTTCCGCACGGTGCTTCCGGAGAAGTGTCCAGGGTAGAACCCTGGTACTGCAAGCGGGACTAAGGGTAGGTGTCTTTGTCCCTGCACGCATTAAGTAAATTTTGTCCTGGCACTTCCCACTCACACTATAGACTGTTCAAGATTAGACTCTTTAGAAAGGTATCATGACGCGGAGGTTTTGTTTGTAAGCTGGTCATTGTTTAACTAATCAAGCGGTAGCATCTACAATACTGTCACTAACATCTATCAAGGTTAGCGTAGGATATGACTTTAATGGCGAAATACTTATAAAAAAAATTGGCCGTTCCAAAAGGAACGGCTAGGGCAACCATCCGTGATAACCTCGTACAGCGTATTCCTATGTCCACACTAATGACATGACAGAAGCCCATGTCGAGCAATGTATTGGCTCTGCACCCCCATTTTTGACCAAGAAAGCGTTGCGAAGAAGGATGGCGTGTTGACCAGGGAGCGAAGCTGGACAGACGAAAGGAGGCTTGCAGTGCCCAACGCGGGCGATATTGACAGACAGGCCTAGACCTTGATCCTCACTCGAGAGAGGTCCCGTCGCTAAAGCCTTGATAGAGGAGCTTTGCATGGTAGCTTCCCTTGTCCTGCCAGTCTGCTGCCGATGGTATACTGTTCCTTCCCGCAAAACCATCCGGTGTACGGCCATGTCCGAGAAGGCAGAGTTATGCACCCGAGCATTTGGACTTCTTGCCTAAGCCCTAGTGCTTTCGTAGAAATTGTTTTCGCTTCTCTGTCAATGCCATTTACTCTTCATCGTGGCATGACCATCGACGCCCGAATAAGCGCACGTAGTCAACGAAATCCTAATCAGTGTAGCACAGCGATCGCGTAATCCTCTCCTTGTGATACCGTCATCATTGACTTTCAGGCCAATGAGCTTCTCTCTGAGTGTAGTAGCTTGATTTTCGGAGACTGGTCTTTGTTTCCTCCTCATGCACATGGAGCAATGGGGGGCATTGCGATACGGACAAAAGACATCCTCAAAAGCCGCATTGTCGTTCGTAGCAGCTAAGGAACTGCGCAAACGAAAGGGTAAACGCTCGTCAAAACTTGACGTACGCTGAACGTACGTGTGACAATTAACGCGACTGGCCGGATATCACCATATGGTGACTAGTATCGAATGAAGTTCGTTGCGATACAGACTTTGTATGGACGTAGGCGACGCGAGAGGTTGGAGATATGATCAGGACTTTCGTCCTTGTCGGAGAGACACACAGGCATCTTCGTCGCCAGACACAGCAAGCTTGTCCCAGGATGAGCAACCGCATAGTGCTAGCGCTGCGTACCAGGTCCAACACACTTTGACCCATCAAGCCTTCATGCGCGAGTTTCAAGACATCAGATCCGAAGCGTGGCGGTACACCATCGTTGACAATACCAACCTGAGACGTATTGAGACCTCGCTGGGCTTTCGCCTTTCCGACGAGTGGATCTCACGCCAGCCAAAGCCAAACAGGTTCGTACGTCTGTATGTTAGGTTCGACCTTAGTCAATACCGCGCTCTTCCGAAGTCTATCCGCTATACGCATGATGCTGAACGTGAGCTTGGTGATAATTGGTACCCGGTATTACAACTCCCATACGAACTTCAGTACCAGGTCGCTTGTATGTTGACGGAATTCAAGAACCTAGAGTTTTCCCTCAACAGAGGAAACCGGCATCTCTCGTCATTTCTCTTCTGCTCGCGTCATCGCGTGTTCTACAAAGTTACCCAGAATGGCCAGAGTCTGTTGTACGGATGGGTAGTCGACGTGGTCCTTTTGTAAGAACTTTAACACCCCAACAGGCACATGACATCCCAATTTGAGCTTGCACTCCCGTACCTCGAATCTCCCTTTTGCACACCGTGCGAGGTGGTTCACAAACGCAAACCAAGAGGCAGGGGCTAATCGGAAGGTCGGCGACATGACCGCGATACTTTCGATGCTGTAAACCAGCATGGATACCAAGAAATGATTAGGGTTAAGATCCGAGTCTGCCCTCCTCACGCACAACCCTGGTGTTGCCACTGGGGCGCACGAACCAACATGCAACCAACCAATAAGACCATACTAAGAGGCTCAGGATGGGTGCTGACCGCGCGAGTACGTGAGGCGCGGACGAACCGCATTCCAAAGAGAAGACAGACATCGGTAACTGTGGGGGAAATGGCAAGCGTTGTGCTCGCAAGCGAGCGAGAGAAGAGGTGGTGTCGAAGGAGATGGTGACGCAACCGACCCGCTATAACAGACATTGTCAGATTCGATGATTTCGTTTGCGATTTCAGACTCCAGTCATGATTCGATAAAGAGTGGCAGTGATGCAACAAGAAGGAAATCGTGTAGTAGCGAAGTCACTCGAATGGTTGTTGTGTTAGAAAGCTCCGGGCAGATAGGTGAGAACGACGCGTTAAGGTGGTACCTGCCAAGAAACGCGCCCCTTCCTCGCGTAACTCTGACGCTAGCACGTGAACGTGTTTTCTTACTAATCACCGACATTCCTTTCACCTTCTACAACCGACCATCACTTTGCGCATGTACTAGTACGAGGCTCTGAAGTGGAATCCACCTGGAATATTGAGAATATTCGTGCCCATTGTCGACGTTCCTGCGTAGCCCGAACAGTAGCACCGCTGCAAAACGCTACTCGCCGATCGTGAGAAGCCTGGCCCGAACACTCGAAAGAGTTCTACCTACAATGGGCACCATCGAGGAATCCGTTGATGCAGCGGCTGAATTTATTGGTCCCTTCGTTGACAAAGGTCGCAAATACAGTGCTGAAGTCTCAACCGACTTGCTTGTAGACCAGGCGCTTTTCCATCTCCAGGCTATCAATACCGCAGACCTAGCGGCAGATCCAAACGCACCCTATGACGCTTCGCTTGCTGGAGTCGTCTACGGTCTTCTAGACTTGATCACCCTGCTAGGCATAATACCACGACTATCTCCCGGTGTTGCGTTCAGTCAGCGGCCGAGATCCACACTGTCTGCAATCATCTACACGCCGCCGAATCGCAGCTTGGACCTGCTTGCAAAGATAATAGAATGCCTTTTATCGGTGATGAGGCAACATGGAGATGGTGTGCAGCCGCTGCTTTCTCAGCGGATACTTCCTGACATGATCTCTGCGCTGGCTGAGCTTTCCTTCTCACCAGACTCGGACCAAGACACCAAAAACAAATACACAAACGCATACGAGAAAATAATGAAAGACACTCCCACCTCGCGGCTACTTCCAATTCTTACAACGTTCCTGCAACAGCCGCTACCGATATGGTTCAAGCCCGTGATCTCTGCTGAGCTATCCATGGTCCCACTTCGACCCAACGGCGTTCGGCACACCGTCGAGTTTCTTTCCTTGTCTTACTTATCCAAAAACTCCCAGATCCCCCAGGGCGCATCAGGTCCATCTTCACAAATTCCAATCCCGTTGGAGGCTGTTACGCAGGCCTCAAAGTTACTGGTCCAGCCACCGAGTGGTATCGGCCTTGATGCTTGGTTGATGAAACTCGCTCCCCAAATACTGCATTTGCTCGATGGAAGCGAGGGCAAGGAGCTAAGTCGGGCGGCTGGACAGATTGTTGCAGGTGGGATATTGAGTAAACGAGCAACTGGGGCGCCCGGTTCCGTGGGATGGGAAACCTTTGTAAGCCCTTTATTGCGAACGATTTATCCTAAGGAGCTCGAGAATGCTGCATCCAATACCAATGATAAGACAAAGGTTGTTGTGCAGGAGGCAGACTTGAAGATTGCATTACGACGACTCGATGCCATTGTGTTCTCATATTCTCACGTGGGACTCATCAAGCGCTTGATTAGTCCCGTGCTCCTTTCATTATGGGCTTTGCTTAATTACACCGAGTCCAGGCCACTGCTGAATAAAGAATGGGGTGCGCTAGCGAACTCAATTCTGTCACGGTATATGGAAATTGCTTGCGATGTCAATCAAATCGACAACATTGCTACAAACCTCTTCTGGAACGGAGACATTCTTTGGACCTTTGGACCAGGGTCCGAAGGTGGCGTGGAGATCCGACGGCGGTTGCGAGAAAAGAAAAAGGATGTGGGGTCAATGGAAAGCATCGTGGAACAGATCAGCAATCTAGATGACAGAGTGTCCCTTTTGGTTTCCCTTCTTTCGGAAGCCAAAATTCCTGACGAGGTCGCTGGATCTATTTTTCTCCACACAACAAGGCGCTGGCTAGCTCCGGAGGAGTCTACAGCAAAGTCTCTGGTTGACGACGATCCGACAGGTGATCCACTTGCAGCACTTGTTGATGCAAAGCTCTCGGAAGCGTTGGCGCAGCGTTTCCAGAAGCATCTCGCACGAAGTCCACAGCACATTATCGAGCTCGTGGCCCAGCTTATCGTAAGCTCTATCAATGCGCACAAGGATCGGCTGGACAAGTCCCAAAAGTTGCGGACTTCCAAACGAGCACTGTTGGGTAGTATCGTGCAGAAGCAGGGTGTTTCAGCAGCAGAAGACGATAGCGACGCTACAGATGAGGATTTGTTATCATTTTCTCTGGGGATTTTGAACATGTTGATAGCGTCGCCGGACTTCAAGAAAACACTCTCAGTGATGGAATCGTTGCACGAACTCATCCCGCCGCTGACCTATCTCACGCAGCCTCACTCTCAATCTCAGCTTTCCTTTTCGCCCTTGATAAGTAATTCGGCGACAACCATTATCCAGCTCATCGCCCCTATGCCTACAGTTCAGTCTTCTACAGCGGGCACCATGCCCAGCAAACTAACTGATCCTCTTGCGGAGCACCGCGCTACGTTGAAGACATGTCTCGGGGAACTGCAATCACCCGAAGCCCCCAACCGCACGTGGGCCCTCAACATGCTACATACACTCCTCAAGAGCCCTATCGCATTCAGAGCGGTTGATGTGCCATCACTCTCACACACACTACTGTCAGCATCCCTAGCAGACCCGGAATCATATGTCCACCTAGCCGCAATACCCGTCGTCGTCACCTTGGCAGACCGAGCGCCCAAACCCGTTGTAGGCATCCTAGTCGACGCGTTCATTGACATTGACGAGCGATCCCTGAAGCTTGCCCGAGGAAAGCAGACTGAGGAAAAAGAAAACGAATTGAGAAACGCCATGGACTTTCGGCTGCGTGTTGGTGAAGTGCTGAACAACTTTGTCAACGAGGGCGACATTTGGAACTCGAACGATCGTACTACTATGCGGTATAAATATGCGAAACAGATCACGGAGGCGTGCCTGTCGTTGGCGAGTCGACGTGGTCAGCGTACACAGACTCTGTTAACTCGCACGGAGCTTGCAGAGCAGGAAAAGAGGATTAGGGAGGAGGGCGAGGCAGCTTGGGGCGGTCCCATTCCTAACGTCTTTGATCCAGAGGATGCAGGATCACAGGACAAGGCAGAGTACGAAGCGCTGCAAAAGATTGTTCGCGGTTGGGAGGATACGGGCATCGAAGAAGACGTTCGGATTCGTGCTTCTGCTCTCAGCGTCTTGTTCATTGTCTTTGAGCACCGACTAAACGTGTTGCGGCAACCGACTGTTGATGCAGGACTACAGGTTGTTCTTCTTGTCCTTACTGTGGAAAGAGAGGAGCCCAAGGCATTGTTACGTCGCGCAGCTGTTCTCGCGGTCATGGGCCTATTGCGTAGTTTCGACGCGGCCATTGAACGTGGACAGGAGCACGAGATTGGGTTGAGTCCGAAGCAGCAGGAAGAACTAGAGCGAGTCGTCAAATGGGTTAGAGATGAAGACGGGGATGCGCTTGTAAGAGGTCACGCGGCAAGCGTAGTCGAAGGACTGGAGACTTTACGACTGAAGAAGCTATACAATGCCAAAGATGACAGCCTAAAGCTCGGGCAGGATCTTGGGCTCGAGGGCAATCTCAGGGGACTCAACGTGCAGCCTCAAATGGAAAGAAATGAGCAGAAAAAGAAGAAGATTATCGAGGAGATAGAATAACCTCTAGTGGGTGTGGCAATGGTAGCATTTTTTGAAGCTTCATATCCGAAGCTAGGGTATCCTGACTCGCACCAAATCCATGCCTACGCGTCGTGGCTTGGTTGTCTCTTGCGCTGCAATGGAGTGTGTAGCGCACGGCTTGTCTTGCAGCGTGCTTAATTCCCCATAGTCGCACCGGGAGCTTCCAACGTACTCAGAGCGAGAGCATCATAGCTCTGGTTGCGGTCCTTTTGGGCTCGCGCATGCTGTCCTTTCCCTCGCTCAACCACTCATGGCCGTGTCTTTGGTGGCCTTGGGTTCCACCTCTTCGGCCTTGCCGATCCAGAGCACATTGTTGCAGCGGATGAGCACTTGTCCGAGCGTTCCTGAGCTAACTCCGTTGACGAATTCCTCCGTGTTGGACAGCTGGATGTTCATGTAGAGGTCGACGGAGATGAGTCTGCCCTTGTACTCGGTTTCGCCCCACTTTAATCGGACAACGATGTCTTTGTCGACCCTAGACCGCGTTAGTTACGGGCTCGCTCGCAGGTGAGTGGTGAAAGAAGCTGAACGGGTGACGTACAAGCTCTGGAGGAGTGGTCGGGGATTGAAGGGTGCAACAGCCTGTACACGATTAGATGTGTATAACGATATAGCAGCATTTGTATAACTTACAGCCATGTTTGCGACACAAGCTACAAACTCGGTATATGGGAAAGTGTGTTGCTGGAGGCGCAGCAGTGAGACTGGTGGTGGTATGGTCTGGTCGCGCCTGCAGCTTTGGAAAGTTGTCGGCAAAAGGTAATGCCGATTGGCCAAGGGGCTTTACCGCGGGGAAGTCGCGCAGCCCTGATCAACCTCATATGGTAGTGCTAAATGTACCGTCGTGAAGTCTTTAGTTAGCATTTGTAGTTTGTGCTATACATTTCTCGAGCGTAGATATCTCTGTTACAAAAATATCTCAAGCATACCTGCCTCACTTCCCAATCTTTGAGAACACACAGAGTCGCAACTAGTTAGCGGACGCGCTAAGATTTTATTCATATCTGCATATCATCCACCCACGAACTGCAGAGCACTAGGTCGATATCGCACGCGAACAGAGAATCACCCACGCCGTACCATCGCAGCTTGATCTGCACATAGCCTTGCGCCTGCCACGCTGCGCTACCTCGCCCCGCCGCTTGCGACGCGGTCTTTCGTCGCCCCGCCGCTTCTCGCACAGCATGCTCCGGTAGCGATGCTAGCCATCTGGTCCCGGGCAATATCTAACCCGGGTACCTGCAGATGCATATCATGTGTATCCAGTTCTTCCGCGCTCGTCAGACGAGGTGGTCGCACCAAGCTTCGCGGGACATGGCCACTCGGCGCACCCACTTCGACCTTTGTGTACACGGCCATATTCGCTGTAGGGCTATCCGTTGATGCAAAATCAAAGGCCATTAGGAACAAACAATGGGAAGAAGCATTTGCGCGTCTAAACAATGCTAGAGACAATTGTGTCCCGGCCAAGAAACCGGAAGAGGTCAATGGTGGTTACAACCCTGATATAAGACAGGGCCTATCATTCGAAGACCTTCCCGAAGACTTCGATTGGGGAGCCTTCGAAAGAATTGTAGGTATGGAATTGGTCGACGATCAAGTGTTGCAAACGCAAGAGGTCCAGTCGCAACTCCGTGACTACGCGACAATGGACTGGGAAGACCTACGCTACGATTCAAGGTTCCCAGGCATTCCCCCACTTGAATGGCCAGCCAACACTGGACCCGATTTGATTCTTTACAACCTCCCGCCCCAGTCCTTGTGGGCTCCAGACACACAACGCCTCAATGCAATAAGGAGGCGACACACGTGGAAAAAGCTGGCCATACAAGAACTTGCGACTTGTTTCTTGATACATGAGCTCTTGTACTTGGCCAAAGTTTCTCGCCATGCAAAATCTGCAAGGAGTGAACTCGAAAAACTGGCGCCGCAAATTCTTGAAGTCAGTTCTCAAACCGAAGATCAATACAAGGAAGCGCGCTTCGAGATACTGCAGGCCCTACGTGTTGTCAGCAACACCCCCGTGGATAGCTCTCCTGAGAAGATCGCTGATGCCCGGAAATATGCGGGCCACCGGGCCATACCACACTATTATCAGGATGCTGATGGCGACTTCTATGCCATCACAAAGCAGATGAATGATGGCCTCAAGACATTACTGCGGGACGTACCCCGTGGCAACGCGAAAGAAGAATCCATCATGATTGCAAAGATCTGCCACAATCTCCTCATCTCGTCAGCCTCTCCCGATCTACAGACGTTCAATACGTTACTGGTTGGCTTCAGGCACTGGCGTCGCCGGGAACTGATAGATCGTGTCATTGCTGCCTTCTACGTTAACAAGATCCGACCCAACGAGATTACATGTCGCGAGATACTCAACCACTATGCCCATGTTGTACGCCCTGAATCCTTTTCGCGCTTCGTAGCTAGGATGAGAGGCGTAGGTGAAACGCTCATGCTCGCAAACCCGAACATATCGGTCAACGAAGCTAGTCAGGACCGACTAGTGCGAGCCAACAATGAAAAGATATATCAGAAGGTATACCCAACGCCTATGGTGTTTGACGCCCTGATTCGCGGCGTCATGAGATTTGCAGGCTTCGAGCGAGCACTGGACATCTACTACGAGATGAAGGCAGACGGCTGGGGTCTCGAGGTTCAGAGTCTAACTAGGCTGTTGAAAGACTGTATTCGCCGTGTTGATTGGGAAGGTGGTCTATACGTCTGGGAAGAAATCAACAGCATGGGGTCGAGAGCCAAATATCGCGACATGGCCGACGCATATACTCACATGCTTAGCTTATGTTCAATCAGCAACAAGACTGTTGCATTCAATCAGATCCTGAGCGATATCGGCAGGCGAGGCTTCGATGTCAAGTCTATCATCGACGCTGCTACGGAGCTTACACGAGTGCAAGAGAACAAAAAGGTCTACCTAGCTCCAGCTTGGGCCGCAGACAACATGCTGATCGCTGTATCTGACTACATCCACGATGCTAAGCCAGATGAGCCTGCCGTTGTATCCGAGCTTCCAGAAGATCCAGACACAATGTTCTCGCAGCACCATCCTGATCCTATCGACGATATTGAAAATAGCACATCCGACCACGTAAAGGACAACAAAGACGCATGGGCATCATGGCTGGAACACGAGCTTGGAGGCAAGCCTAAAGACCCTAAACCCTGACGCGATTACTATTTATAGATTACGACTGTTTACCTTGTATACTACTGTACATATTAGAGTACCAAAACGGCGTTCGAGAGCGCGAAACGGCTATCACTAGCTGATGTAGGATATGGTCACGAATTCGGCTTTTGTTGACGTTTTCTTCGACTACATTCATGCCGGCGAACAGTTGCATCACGCACGACTATGATCAAAGAATGCGACGGTCAGCAGGTCTCCATCATTCGAATGTGTGGTTTTATGACGAGTTGCTACCAAACAATGCCACCGTTTTCTCTATCACAGGCTGTGACGCCAAGCGACGTTTCGCTGTGCTGCTCGTTTATTTAAATTAGATGATGCATCTCAATCTGGCTTCTCGCTTCTGCACGTCTCGTCAACAACACAAGTACTGCGACCGGGATCATGGTTTATGAAGTCCATTTTGCGTTATCACACGTTAGTTTCAGCAGTGTTTTCAAGCATCGTGCTGCTGACTGTTCGGCTGACAGTACCTCCTTAGTTGCATGTCACAGACACTAACTCCTGGAGCCATATTGACTGACAATACATACACTTCATCCATCAGTGTCAGTACTTTCTCAGCCACTAATTTCATGCAAACATACCACATACTCCGCTCATACGCACCAGCGCGAAAGCCCAGAAAACTTAACCTCTGCCTGAGCCTTTTGTGGCGTACGCGAAAATGAACGTTTGCACTATGGAGATCATATCACCGGGTCTCTATAACGACAGGGATGACTTCTCCCGTACCTCATGGCCATGAACGCACGGCTATCTTTCCCCACTTTTTCTCGTACCATGGGCTGGTTCTAGTCTGTGCGGTAGACTGTTTACCCTGGCTGGCGAGCTGAAGAGTTAGATGGGAGTTGGTAGTATGCAGTTAGTGTACATGCCTCTGGTTTGGAGTTGGGGTTAGGGAGACGCACAACATGGGTGTGGTATGTGCGTAGTACTTGCATGAGAACTTGAGGGAACATCTCGGGACGAACGGGTATAGTGGTTGGACTATATGGGAAAAGATGGAGTGATTCCAAGTTAGAGGAGATCTTGATGGTAACATGGACCAACTGTCATTGTCTTGCCACACTTTTCGTATCTCAATCATCGTATGCAGACGTCCCTTCCTGCAAAGTGACCGTCAGATGCCTGACAGATAGATTGATGTGTGTGCTACACCATAACAGAAAAATTATATCAGGAGCAAGCCCCATATCGCATACAATAACCCGACATAAACCCTAAGACAACCAAGCAAGTAGCCCAAAACCCAAACCGCCAGCACCCAGCCACTCCAGGCCATCGTATCTCTTAATCACCTCTATCCGAGGTCCTCAATCTACGCTCAAGACTTTCCTTAAATGGCTGGTGAGGAAGAAAACGAGGTTTCTCATGCAGCGGCGCTACAACCCAAAACAGACATCTCACAGTTTACCCAGATTACCGGCATTTGGTCACATACGAGAGGCCTCGAACCACCCATGGCTGTTTGCGTACATGTGGCAAAAGAGTGTGTCTTTTTGAAGAAAGTTTGGTTCGAGTGATGCGTGCGTGGGTATATATGAGGCGTGTATATTACTGCTGCTGGCTGCTGTTACTGCTGGATCTATCCTCTACCTAAGACCCTGATATCCCTCAACTCCTTCTCTATACTTTTTAAGATTCTACGCCAAGAAGACTGAAGACCAGAGTCTACAACGAAGATGCAGTACAGACTCATCTCTACCATGGCCGCTAGTGCCTTCCTCGCCATCACCACTGCCGCCCCAATCCCTTCATCTTCGGTTTGTCCTTACCTTTCCCCATCTCAACACCAACATCTACTAACACAAGCCACAGACCCCAAATCTACCAGTCGACTCCATCGAGCTGGGTAAACCCAACTCTGTGATTGCCTGGGGCAAACGCGACACGACAGAGAAAGACACCTTCACTCTCGGCAAACCCAAAACCGTAATCACATGGGAAAGAGATACTAACACCGCCGACCCAGCGAACACGATTGATCTGGGTAAACCTAGTAGTGAGATTAGCTGGGTGAAGAGGGACACGACGACCGTAACCACGGACCCAAACACCATCGACCTGGGGAAGCCCAGTTCGGGAGTTACGTGGGGGAAGCGCGACACTACTAGCACTACCACAGACCCAAACACCATCGATCTAGGTAAACCTAGTTCGGGTGTCACCTGGGGAAAGAGCAAGCGGGATGAATCGCCCAACCCGGATGAGATTGGTATTGGGGCACCGGACTCTGAGACTACGTGGGGTTGAAAGTGTGTGGCTGATGGAGTATAGAGATCAGAGCCATTTCCCTTGTATTGTCATGTCCAAGTAGTTGTATATTGTGGGGTAGAAGTTTCCAATATCTGTCGCTACTATAGTTGTTGCGTGGGAAAATGCGATATCCGAGGGTTTTAGTTTAGGTACCAAATACAGTCTCATGTGATTTTTTCTTGAGAAATGGACTTCCGAGTGCGTAAGTGAGGGAGAAGATGATGGTTGGAGTGGGATGTATCCCATCCGCCTACCTCACCGTGCAGCGTGTAACATTAACAACATGTCCTTCCTCAAAGACTAGTTTGATAATATATACAATCCTGTCCTTTACGAACGCATTCATTCCCACTCTTTCCATTGGTATGCCTACCAGCCTGTGCATTCTGTTCGGGTAGGAGACCTCGAACACGATATTCCCACCTCGCTTGCGAGCGCAGACGCAGCATCTTGTGCATTCATCCAGACCGCGCATTTAGTCGGTGCTCTAAGGCGTCTATGCGCGACGAATCTCCCACTCCACATTTGTGATGCTAACCTCTTCTCCCGCCTTCTCATCATAATCATACCACTCCCCATCCGGCAGCTCGATTCCGGAGAATTTCGTTCCGGACTCAATGCCTGTGGCCAAAAACTCCCCTTCAGCTTTAAACTCGACAAACTCTAAGCCTCTGCAGTCAAACTCGAGGATGTTAACTTTCTTGGGGGGGTCGCTTTGTGGGTACGAAGTAGGCGCTGCTTTGATATTCGCGGAATGCTCTCTCTGTTGGGTAGGGTTGGTCAGTATGGGGTCTCGGTAAACGGGGAAAGGGGGGAGAAGAGACCTTACAGTTCTTACACCTCCAGACAAAGTTTGCCTCGCCTTTGCTGCCGCTTTGCTCGTTTTGCTCAAAGCGGTTGACGGAGACGGGGTTGGGATGAGTTTCGCGGCATGATGTGCATTGGACTTTGAAGGTGTAGAAGAAGGGCGCGTCTTCGGTGTCGGCGGGGCGGAGGTCTGTTACGCTGGGAAGGCGTGTTAGTTGCATGTGGTATGGGAGCATGGGCTGTTATGGAGCGCGTTACCCGTTGAGCTCGGCTTTCAATGCTAGTGCTAGTACCATGTTGACTGCGTGGCCAGGGCTGGATGTCAGATTTGGGGAAACTGAAACTGGTTGATGCTGCTGCTTTCGCGATCGGATGCGCCCCGCCCCCACTAGCTCTGGTCCAGGGCACGTCCAAAGGTTCGCTGTTGTGCTAGTCTGGAATAGGAAAGGCGGTTACACTCTACCTATTTGGTCTGAACTTTCAGATAACTTCTCAAGATTCACAGCTTAAGGAACGTTGCTTCTTTTCCTCTGATATAATATTTTCAACTGCATCATCGCCAGAACCCTTTTCCACGTCTGCAATTGAACCTGGGATCAGGACACCGAACTACAACATTTATCCTACGAGCAAACTTCGTCCTGGACACTCCTTGATCACTCCTATCAACTCCTCACACAAAGGAGCCTCATAGAAAATCAATCTATCAAAACCGGACACCGTATTAATCGTTTTAGCCCAGCAGTATTTGCATACTCGAACAAACCGGACGAAAAACTTATTCCCAAAACCCTTCACCGCCTCCCACCCATCAACCCCATCCACCCCATCCTCATCCCCCAAGATGCCGCAATCCCATCCCTCCCTCAGCCCCTCCCACATCTCTTTCATAACCAGTCAACCTCTCTTCTTCGTCGCCACCGCTCCCTGGGCCGGATCCCACATCAACATCTCAACCAAAGGCCACCTCTCCCGCACCTTCGCCGTGCTCGGCCCCAACACAGTCGCCTACCTCGACGCCACGGGCCCATCCTGTGAAACAATATCGCACATCTACGAAAACGGGCGTGTAACCCTCCTCTTCTCGTCTTTCTCTGGCGACAAACCGCGTAACATACGCCTCTTCTGCAAGGGCCGGGTAGTGGAGAAATGGGATCCATACTATGGCCAACTTCGCGCAAAGATGGCGACCGAGAATGGAGATGAGGTTGATATTACAGGTGCGAGGGCGATTGTGGTGCTGAAAGTGTTGAGTGTGCAGACGAGTTGTGGGGTTAAGATGCCAGAGGCTGGGGAGGAGGGGGATGCGGTCATGTATGCGGATCATGGGGAGGAGGAAGGGGTTGGCGGCGATGTTACCATGGAGAGCTGGGCGAGGAAGATGCTGGAGAAGCAGGAGCTGGGGGATTATCAGAAGAGGTATAACCATAGGTCGTTGGATGGGCTGCCGGGTATGATGAGTGCGAGGAGGTCGCATGATGAGAATATTGCGGTCGAGGATACCAAGGCGTGGTTTAGGAAGGTTAGTAGGCAGCAAGATGCTGTGGCGCTTGGGGTTGGGTTGGGTATGCTGCTCATGTTGCTTTTGAGTTTCGTGGGTATACTCAGTATCAAGCCAGTATTCTTGGAGCATATACTCAACTTCCAGCGGAGGCAGATGGGCGAGCCGGAGGACCATTCCTGGAAAAGCGAGCTTTAGGGGGGTATCAGAGAGCTACAAGATGGTCATAAACCATGTCAGGTACTAGTACCATTTCTACCTATCAGCAATATCTTACAAGCCATTCTCATATCAAACGCGCACATTCCCTTCCATTCCCGGGGTATTCAATTCTTCTCGTCGTATCTCGACTACGCATGATCCAGCATGTACATATCAGTTCATTCCAGTAGCCATGCCACTAAGCAAGTGCTACTCCATGCAACGTACAAGTAACAAGCCTGGCGATTCTTACAGGAAATATTCTCCTCGGCCTCCACGACCTGCGGGGACGGCGCGCTTGTGGTCGGGAACGGCGGAGAAGATTTGGAATTCTGGCTTGAGATCCTCGCCTAGATTCATAATGGATGCAACGTTGCCGCAGCGGTAACAATAGTTTGGGGCGGACCAAACCGTCACGACGTCCTTGTCTTTGAAATGGTACTTGTAGCCTTCATTGACCAGCTGATGCGCTCGTGCGATGAGCTGCAGGCCGTTTACGTGGTTGAACTGGGAAGGATTAGTGACTCAGTCGAAGCTTGGAATGTAGATGCATACCTCCGATGACACCTTGTCTCCGAACAACCATCCAGCACCTCGGGGCGATACTGCCCATGTATCTACGTCTTCGGGGTCGCTCCATACAAGATCGCAAAAGGCTCCCTCGTGTGGAATCTCCTGCGCTCGCGCAACGACACGGATCTGGTCTAATGTCCGGATCTCCGGGCTCAATCCGCCGTGCACACAAAGCACTTTGCCATCCACAATGGCAGCGAGTGCAAGGAAATCGAAGACTTGACAGCATGCCTTCCATACTGAAGCATTCCCGTATTTTGTTTGGCACTCTTCGTAGAAGCCGTATACTTGGGTTATTTGTCTCGACTCGTGGTTTCCACGAACAAGTGTGACGCGATCTGGGAATCTGTGGTTGTCAGTAGCCAGAATATGAAGTTTGAAGTTGTGTACTCACTTGGCCTTGAGACACATGAGAAGAGTGAAGGTTTCTAAGCTGAAGTAACCTCGGTCTACAAAGTCACCGAGGAAGATGAAGTTTTGCTGGCCGTTGCCGCCAACTGTGTTCTTGAGCGAGTCTGCGTCGGACGCAGAGCCGAGACTCCGTCTATCGTGAACGCTCCTGCTACGGCCCCGTTCTTCCTCTTCGTCGTCATCTCCATCATCATCGCCATCGCCGCCGGGAGGACTCGTGGGTCCGGTATAGTTGGGATCGCGCTGGAACCTCCTCTTCATTTTGCGCTTGACCTTGGGGTCGGTTATACTTGTAGGCGGCTCGAGGTCAGCGGGATTGATTGTGGCTGGTAATGTGACTGGCGGCGCGAGGGGAGCGGCAGGCGCGTCATTAGGCATGCCTCCAGCAACGCGGAAGAGCTCGAGAAGGTCGTAAAATTGGCCATGAATGTCACCGCATACTGTAACGGGTGTTCGTACAGGCTGGATGTTTGATTCTATACATGACGAATTAGTGCCTTATACCCGGGCTACCGACGCGCAACCGCCAATGCATGCACCAGACAAACACACCTTCCATGAGACACTCCTTTACAATCTCACACAGCCGCTTCATGTCGGCCTCTGGCAGGTACTTGCACTGTTTGGCCTGCTCTAGCCATTCATCAGGGCCGGCCCCCTTTGCCAGGCGCGCGGGACCCGGCTGTGGGACGTCGTTGTCCTTTGGCATGGCTACCCTATCTCTATACCTATCTCTTCAATGGGGAAAAAGGTGTCGCTGCGGTGCGCTCAGATGCTCAAGGGCGATAATGACGGCAGAGACAGCGTTCTTCGTGTGACGGCGGGGGTATTGAGGCGTGACGTCGCAGCGCGATGGGGTATCATGGACTGAATAGTAGGTTGGGGTGAAAGCAAGGCAGAAGCAGTGATAAGGGAACGACGGTCTGGCAGCTCCAGCTAGCGCATGTGCACAGTGAATTGGGCCTCGCTGAGCCGTACTGGTACCGTCGAGTGAGGTTCGGGTGCTAGTGGGGCGGCGGCGGCGGCGGCGGCTGCATGCCATGGCCTCGGCGCTTGCCGGCGCGAGGCTGTGGTTCCGTTGCCAATTGCCCACCAGGGCGTGAAAGCGCAACAATCGCGTTTGCGTCATTGCCGACTATTCACCGTCGCTGTGTCAACAAGAGTGCTGCAAGTAGTCGCCCTGTTCGGACCGGACCTTCCTCATAATCCCAGCCTCTGGACTGCCAATGTCCAGTCCGACAAACCCCCTCTCCCCTCCATTTCGCTTTCTCGCAGCGACTTTCTCCATACGCCCGCCGACGGCCTTGGTCGGGCACCTACTTGGTCGCACATCACAGTACGAGGCAATCCCCAGGTTCGACATTTAACCACGCTACACTTTACTGCACCACCTTCCACCACTAAACCCGAGTACAACTTCGCCCCTCATGGCTCCCCAGCCGGGCGCCAATGGCGTCCTACCCGTCACACTTCTTCAGAAGAACGCGCCTGCTCAAACACCCCGCGGCCCCAAAGCGGCGCAGCCCCGCCTGAAGCTGATATGTCGCCGACTCCCCCCAGGCCTCACCAAAGCCGAGTTCATCGAGGCCCTCGGTGATGAGTGGAAGCTAGGAGCCGGCAAGATTGACTGGATCAACTACAGGAAGGGCAAGATCTCTACAGAGTATGTACTGTATTGAGAAGTCTTATCGCAACATGTCGCATACTAAGCCCCACCAGTGCCGCCAAACCCTCTAAACCAGCCCGAGCCTACATACATGTTACGAAGCAGGACCACGTCAAAGTACTCGGCGACCATGTTCGTACCATTACCTTCCACGACGCCACAAAGTCCTGGCAAGACCCTGTCCTCGTCGGCCCTCCAACTCTCGAATACGCCCCCTACCCTAAGATGCCTGGTGGACGCCGAAGGAATGACAACCGCCAAGGCACCATCGACCAAGACCAGGAGTTCAAGGACTTCCTCGAGAGCCTCACAAACCCCATCACCAAGCCTGCCGCCCCCGAGAACGAAGGCCAAAAGGAAAAGGTCAAGACGACGCCTCTGATTGAAGCGCTGCGGGAGAAGAAGGCTAATAGGGATAAGCCGAGCACCAAGGCAAACAGACAGGGACGTGGAGAGGGCAAGGAAGATGTTGTAGAGCGTGGTGAGAAGAAGATCCTGGCCAAACCAGGCAAGGAAAATGCTCTCAATGCCGGAGACAAGAACCGCCGTCTAAGCAAAGCTGACAAGGCTCAAGCAACTAAGGAGGCTGTGAAGATTCTCAACAAGGAAGCCTCGTCCTCCAAGTCGGCCGCTGCCACCTCAAACGACAAAGCCTCTAGCAGTCCAGCACTTGAACGAAAGCGTGGTAATGTCGCAATCGCAAAATCCATGTTGCAACGTGACCTGGGTGTTGGACCAGCTCCTAACCGCAGACGTGGAACAAAGCGTGAGGTTGGCACAGCTGCGCCTGAAGCTGCCGTTCAAGCAAAGGAGAGCAAGGTCGTTGAAGAAAAGGCAAAGGAAACACCAGTTGCAGCACCCACTGCTGCTCCTATAGAGAAGGCTGCCCAGGCAAACAGAAAGGAACGCCCAACTAGAGCAGAGCGCCGCGCATTCAAGGCGAACCAGGGCGAGAAACCAAACGAGAAGCCTGCAACTACTGAGCCAAAAGCTCAAACAGCACCAAAGACTCCTGCGCCTCAAATCCTCAAGAAGCCTCAAGCTGCTCAGACTCCGACCGCCCCGAAGGGTCCAGGTGCCTCACGAGCTCCACCTACTGAGCCTGCTGCTGCTAGAAACAACACTAGTACAGGCCAGCCCCTGACCACCCCAGCAAAGGCAGAGACAACGCCTGGTCCAGTGGCTAACAACGCCCCCAAAGCTATACCCGCATCACCTGCGCCTGCACCTACGAGCAAACAAGCGTTCCTCAAGCATGCAAACCCCAGTCAGGGTATCACCGAGCCCCTCATCGAAGAGGCCATGAAGGCATATGGAGGCATTGACAAAGTCGAAATTGACAAGCGCAAAGGTTTCGCCTACGTCGACTTTGCCGAACCCGAAGGCCTGCAAAAGGCCATGGCTGCCAGCCCGATCAAAATAGCTCAGGGCGCAGTCCAAGTGCTCGAGCGCAAGGAGAAGGTGGCTAGGAACCCTCGCTTCAACGGCCCACCAACCGGCCCTGCTCGTGGCGGCGGTCGTGCAAACTTCGCGCCTCGCGGTGGACGTGGTGGTCGTGGAGGCGGCGCAAGAGGTGGTGGTCACGTTGGCCCAGGTCCCGCTGCCGATACTACGTCTACCGCTCCAGCTGTTCCCCCGCCTGCTGCACCCGTAGCCACGGCCAATGCTACCACGTGAACGACTGGCCTTGTACTTAGCAAACAGAACGGAGGGGCATCGAATTGACTGTACTGCGACGACACGAGCTTAAGAAATTGCCTACTCATCCCGATTAACGCACCTCGCGACATCACAACATCGCACTACGATATTATGGCTACCACTTTTACCCCCGTCTTGCATACCTCTTTTTGACTAACCACCACGAGGAAATCCATAGTTAGAGCCAAGATGCTTATGATGAGAGACAGATGTAGCATTGCCAGTACATGTATGATATCTGGGATTAATATAAAAGACATTGTATATGCATACGTGGTATGGCAGCTAGCTGGGCCATGACCGATCGTTGAGAGCAAGGCGAGCGAGAGGGAGGCAAGAGGGATGAGAGAGAGAGGGCAGGCAGATTAGTCAGATACCAGCAAAGTAGATACGTAGCCAAAGTCGAAATAGCACGTCTGTTAACGACCTACTTATATTATATAAGCTTTAGCTTCAACTGCATTATCAAACCAAACTTTAACCTTGAGAATATCAGCGTTCACCAAAAAGTGCAATTCCAATAATTTGTAATAAGAAACGTGTATTGGTCAATTAGAGGTAGACTAGACTAGATGTATGCTGATGATTGAGCGAGTGCCATGCAACGACTGGAGGAAACTGGAAAGAAAGGCGATATGCTTTTGTTGCCGTGAGGCGTTGGTCTGTGGTATAATGTAGTAGCAATCTGTGGGGCAATCGTGATAGATGGGCGCTTTGGCTTCGGTCCGGCTTGATATAGATTCCGTTCAGTCTCGTTTGGTCGGTCGGTCGGTCGGGCGTACAAACGAGGAGTGAACAACAGGCGCGAAAGCAAACACAAAAACGCATAGCAGTAAGCAACAAAATCATAAAGCATGTACATTTAACATCGAAGTGAAAGATTCCCAGCTCTTGTCCCTCTCTTTGCTCTAGTCGAGCCATCGAGGTCTTGCAGTGCCTCTATTTCCTCAAATCACACAATGCATCTCTCACCATCCCCAGCATACAAATAAACCCATCAAAACAACTGCAAAGTTAGACCAAAAATGTCCCCAATATAACAACAAGATGCAAAACAAAGTAAGCCAAAGCTAACAAACAACGATTAACAGCCACGACATACATGCCAGCCACTAGGCGACTGCCATGAACATGGAGGTTTGAGAAGAAGAGAATAAAAGAGTATACAAAGACTGAGAAAGGGTATCCGACATTTCCGCCGTGAAGCGCATGGAAAAGAAGTTTTTCTTCCAAATCCAGATCTTTGATGAAAAAGACTGATGATGATGACAACAACGACCCGCTAAATGATACTGACAAGGGTAACAAGGATGCTATATACGCTCGATAAAGATGCACAGATGATGTCATCGTGCTCAAGGCGGTTATGAAGTAGAAGGTGTGAAGGATAGCGTTGAATGCAAGTCGTTAGAGGCCGTCTCAATTGTACAAGATAGGAAAGAAAATGTTTGGCGAGGTGGCCATGGTCTTAGATAATGTTTAGATCATGGGAGTTTCGCCACCTTGGTATACACCGGCTTGAAGGGTGTTGGGGGGCATGTTGGCGCGAAGCTCCTTCGGAGTCCTGTAGAAGGACTGGTTCATGTCGGATGGGGGGATGACCTGCTCCATGGGCTGAGGCGGGGGAGGGGGCGGAGGTGGGATTTGGCCAAAGTACGACTCATGTTTGACATGGTTCGCCGGAGGAGAGTGCGTGTTCTGTCCACGAGGGAAAGACATCTCCGGTACACTCTCATATGGAGAAACCTCAGCGCGAGTAGAAGGTGGGGACTTCGCACGTTGAGGCCCACGGCTGGTGCTACGCATGCGTTCAGTGACACGCTTGAAAGTCATACCAAGATTTTCGCTCACACTGCCGCGACCTCGACGGTGGGTATGTGGAGAGCCAGTGGCGGAAGCATTGGTCGGTGACACTTCCATAGGCTTCTCACCCGGACTGTTGCCTTCGATGGCAATGTTGATCATGCCCACGCCATTGCCTCCACCAATGTTTAGCGGTGGTGGGGGTGGGGGCGGTGGGGTGGCCAAGTGTTGAAGCTGAGACAGTAGAGGGGGTGCATAACCCTTATCTTCTTGGTCAAGAATGACGACTTGACTTTCATGAATTGTCTCAGCGATGCTAGCCGTGATGGGAGGAGGGCTGTGACGCTTGTAGTTTGTCTGAGGTAGAATCTCAGGCATTGTGTTTTGGCGCGCGTGGCCACGCGACCCACCCAAGGAAGGACGCCTGCCTATTGTGGGATAGGTAGGGGAGTTGTAAGAGCCAGAAGGCAGTAGCATGTCTTGTGGAGGAGCTGACATGGATCGGGGAGGTGAGATGGGCTGTCCGAAAGTTGTCGCGGGAAGTAAAGGCCCAATGTCATCCTCGGTGGAGTGCGGTTCCTGAGGTTGTTGCATGTTGTCCGGGATGCTTGGCACGGCAGGAATGTCGTCCTCGTTCGGTTCAGCCGTCATATATCTGGGGTGCCTCACACGTGGGTTTGCCGGAAGACCAATTGGTGCAGAACTATTAGAAGTTGGGCCGGCGCCGACTCTGTTCGTAGGTGAGTATCTCTTGGTCATCTCTGGGTCTGCAGTCTGGCTTCTCTGGATGGGATCCCGGTACATGGACATGGAGTTCAGCATATCGTCGGTGTTCGACCGCTCATGGGACACTGGTCGAAAGGCGAGTTCTCCTGGATGAGGAATGATTGGAGCAGAGGGGCGTCGAGCTAGCGACAACCTGCGTTCTTCAAGTTCACGAGCAGCCAAAGCTCTTCTTGACAATGTAGAAGGGCGCAGGCGCGACACGCCTGAACGCCCAGATGTCAGGGAGTCTGGCGATACATCTCGTCCGTAGCCTCGTGTACGGCTAGATTCCCTTGCAGCTGGCGTCGGTTTGCGACTCATGGACCGGTCTCGTGGCGCGCGACGCTCTGGTGAAGCCTCACGGCGACTGTTCTCTGTAGGCCGGCGGCTACTGCTTCGTTGACGTGGACGAACAGCGTCAATCTCAACAATCATCTCGGATTCTTCGTGTTGCATGGGCTGAGGTGATACAGGTGAGCGTTCTCCACGACTGGCACTTCGACCGCGATACTCTGCTGGGCGACGACTTGATGCTCGGCTTGCGCCTTTGCTCCTGGCGCGCACGCCGCCTTCAGGAGACTCGCCACGGCGTGTAGCCGTTTTAGAGGAGGATCTGGTCTTACTCACTCCGTGTCGTGGTCGGCTTCGGGCAGTGCGAGTGCTAGCGACGGACTCGGTGACAACAGGAGACGCAATGCTCATCTTGTAGAATCTTTCGTCGTCAAAGTCCTCTGTGTTAGTTCCAGCTTCTTTCTTGGTGGAAGCATATATGCCTGCGTCTTCTGGAGACATGGGAACGGGAGAGGAGGGGGAGCGCTTTGCGGGGCGGATATAGCGAACACCAGATCGTCCACGGCTCTGTGAGTCGTCGCGGTTACGACTGTGGGCGCGAGCAGTACGAGAAGGGGGCCTGTCTTCGTTCCTAGAGTTTGCACGATTTTGAGCGTAGTGGTTGGCTTCATCCAGGCTGCTGATATATTGGTCGATGCTTCGTGCTTTTGCGCTCTTGATGCTTGCGCCAGTCAAAGGAGGGCTGAGCCTGTTGGTGTAGCCAGTTTCTGGGCCGCTCTCCACAACCTTTTCCTTCATATCCAAGTGGAGATCTTGGATGTTTCGGCTCCGAGAACTGGCACGGGAATCGCTACGCTTGTCTTTCAGTGCGTCAAACACACCTACTGCTGGCGAAGGTAAATGATCGCTGGATTTCCCAGGGTTAAAGGTCGTTGCAGACAGGACAAAATCCTTGGACCCGCTCGTCGCTCGGCGTGTAGAGAAGGGCAATGTTTCGGCTTCGCGACCGACATTGTCAATCGCAGTCCTTGGGTGGGATTCACCGCGTTGGCCACGATCGGGGATAGCCAATGAGGCGAGTACTTGGTTATTGGTCGTGTTGCGGTCGGCGTCCGATCGCGAGGGTAAGCGTTTCCTTCCATAGGAGCCCGGAGTTGCGGTTCTCGCTGAAGATGGCTCCCTTGAAGGATCGCGGGCACGACCAAGCCAGTGGTGGTTTCCAACAGCAGGACTGATAGCGGACTCTGCGATAGGTGTCACACCTGCATTCATGGGTGTTCTCCCATCCTCTTCTCGGACCATTTGTTTGGGCTGGGGGCCGCGGCTAAAGTCAGTGACGAGCTTGAGCGAGGCCATTCTAGCCGCCACCCTGCTACTACCAACACTTGGAGGTGACAAAGGCGGGCTGACTTGTGATCCAAGCAGTGCTTGCTTCTGTGCAGAAAAGACGGCATCCTGAGCGCGGGGAGAAAACCAAGGCTCGGTGGTTTCGAGACCCATGCATGAAAAACATCGGACTGCCAGCTCTGCTTTTCCGTGTCCTACAGCATGCTCTCCCCATTTGCGGACGAGAAATGATTGTCTCTGCCAGTCAGTTGGGAATGTTAAACATGTAAGCAAAATTGCCTCCATGTAGTATTTGCGAGACACGTAGACCTCGATGGCGTCGTTGTGTTCACCCAGTCCAAGGAAGATTGCGACTGCGGGGTGGATGTCGCCCTTCTCAAGAAGGCGCTGGACGAAAGCTTCGCCAACCTTTTTCTGTGAGCCTTTGCCCAAGTTGCTCAGAGCCAACAGCATCCAGTCGGAGGAAGTCATAGACTCAGAGCCGACCATGTCAGCCATAACGTCAGCGCTGAGGTCACCCAGCCATTTGGAGAGAAGAACAGCTGCGGCCGAACCAGGGGGGTGGCGTGCCACTGGACAGGTTAGTTCAATACAAAAGAGATGTAATGGAAACCTTACATTCATCCTGCACCAATTCGTCGATGTCATGATCCCATCCAAAAACGACCTTGAGCATGTTGAGGCGAAGATCATCAGCCGTACGTTCAGGCCCAAGGTTTGTAGAACGGAAGGGCACATCGCTGAGCCTCGCTTTGGTGAATGGAAACAGATCCATGTGTTGATTCTTCTTGGACTCATCTGGGCTTCTAAGAACCTCCTTGCGCAAAGCAGAGGATGTATATCGAGAAGAAGCAGCTGACGATATTGATCGGATGGAAATGCTCTCACGGGTTGAAGTACCTGCGAGCGAGGAGGTGCCGGACGAGAAGATGGTACCGGAGCCTCCTGAGCTCTTGGATATGGTGGAGCGTTGCGATGCAGTCGAAGGCCTGTCGTATCGGTAACGTGGTGCACGTCCGCTTCCAGATGATTTTGAGCTCTGGGACCCTCGACTTGAGACGGGGCTGAGGGGTCCGACACGATCGCGGCGCTCCTCCTCCAGCTGGTCCATCTCCTGAGCAATCTTCTGTAATGGCGACATGGTGACACCCTCATCAGCACTACTCTCGGAATCGGCGAGAATGAGCGGGATTGACTTGGACGGGAGTGCAGTTAGTGGTGTTTCCATTTGTTTCTTGTGCTCGCCGAGAGAGATGGGTGGTGATGGTGGTGTGTTGGCAGGTGCATGTTGGACGTTTGCAACCATGGTGGCTGGCCCGTTGCTAGGGTTAATATCATACTGTTGGATACTTGAGTTGCGACCGATGGTAAACAGAGTGGCAGTAGGGCCATAGTTGCAGATGGCCGCGATGCCGTCGGTGGTTGGCACAGGCTCATAGCTGACTCTCTTGGTGCGTACATCCCAGGCACAGGTTTGGCTATAATCGGAAGTGTCAGCATGAGATGCTTTGCATCGGAGATTGCGGATATAAAGCAGGTACGGGAAGAGGTACGTACCCTTCAGTGTACTGTACGATTCGGCCGTTTTTCGACCAAGCAAACCAACAAGGACCAGGCTCCCGCTGATCCTTTTGGTTGAGGACTCGGATCACGCAGGGAGCGTCGCTACCGTGTGGTACCTTGGGGACACTCCATACTCGCAGGTCGCCGTCTGATGTCTGGGCGGCCAACATGTCGGATTTCTGCTTGGATGAGGAGCCATGCCAAGCCAGGCCCGCAATGGGCGAAGGCGATCTCGGCGTGGTCAGAGTGTGAAGGATAGTGAATGAGGGCTGTAGAGTGGCAATCAGGATAGAACCATTGAGGTAGCTGGCATGCATTAGTGGTGGCTGCAGATGGGCGCATGTTCGCTTATACACACCCAATGGCAAAGGTTCTGCAGTCTGCAGCTGGTGCCAAGGCGGTTATTGGGTCGAAGATTGTTCTCGCTGACAAGTGTTCAGACGTGGAAGGCTCGAACAAGATGATGTTGCCCTGGGCATTTCCTGGCTGGAGGTTAGTTCCGAATCAGGCAATGGTGACTGCCGCGGGTGGACACTCACCAAAAGCAACATTTCCGTTCCTCATCCACGTTGCTACCCGTATCTGCTCGTACGACGCAAACCGGGCCACCTCGTCGCCGGTAAACAAGTCCCATACTATGGCGGTTGAGCCGGCATCGTACGACACTACTAACCGCCCAGCGCCTCGTTCGCTGGAAGTGTCGACAGATATCCACGAAACGTCTTCCCGGTGACTATCAAAGCGGCGCTCGACGGCCAATGTGTCGTGGTGAAGGCACAATATCACGTTTCGCTGGGCGTAGAGCAGGTATGAGCCGGTCGCGGCACAGGGCTCAAATGCAAACTCATCTTGGCCGGGAGTGGGTGGTTTGAGCTTCACATCGTTTGAGCGCACGGAGCTGCTCTTGATGGAATTTGAATTCGCGCGCTGTCTCAGTCCAGTCGACATGGTGAGGGCTGGACCTGGATGGTAGCTTGGTGGTCAGTCGGGGCAAATCCGCAAGGGCCCACGAGGCGCATAACGATGAGGTCAAAGTCGATAAAGTAGCAGCATGAACTTGCACAAAAGCAATGATGAAACTGACTGCAAGACGTCAGGAGGAAGCAACTCACTGCAGAGAGCTAGAGCGCGCCAAACAATTATGCGCTGACAGCTCCACGGCGTCTGGAGGAGGGTACCGTTTGGCCCCGCCCCTCGTCTTGCAAGGATTCAAGCTGAGGCGGTTAAAGAGGTTGGAAGTACCGGTTGTAGGTTTTACGGCGGTACGCAGGTTGCAGCAGCGGAAGGGACAGACGAACAAGCAAAGACAGCAGGAAGTTGTTGAAAAAGCGAAAGCTGCGCAGACAAAGTGTGAGTTGATGCGCGTGGACACCCGCCTATCAGTAACGGCGCTTAGAGGAGCAATGGCCGACTCTTGTGGCTCGAAATAGTACTGGGAGCATGGCTTGGGGCCGTGTAGCCAACGAGCAGCATGTCCGGCCGCAAAAGGCGTTTAACGGGCTGGGGTTGAGCAGCCTCATTCGCCCGGTGACTGTGAAAGGTCGACATTGTCGCTTCGGGGACTCGACGAACGAAGCAGACTCGTGGTGCCATCCTGGCGGCCAAGGTGGTGACACCGCACGTTAATGGTTAGGTTCGCGCCGGCGTGTCTATGTGGAGAAGACGAACAGCCTCTCAGAGGCCGGGACAGCACAGGGACGAGGACGCGGTAGACGGGGGTCCAAAGCACACACGAGATGCAGCGCCCCATTGGCCTAGCCATGTGCCTACCGCAGTATCATCACACTTGAGCGCTGCCATCCAGCGTATCACGATGCCGTGCGGCCGCCTGGGCCCGGCCCGTAAAGGATGATCCCTACGTGCTCAAATATCAAACCTTCCTCGTCGACTCGATGCATATAACCACCCTCTGTGCCCGACACTGGTACACGGCTATGACTCTTCCCATCAAAGTGCGGTGACGGTAACGCCACACGACCAGAAAAATTGCCTCTCAGGCCTGTCCAAGACCAAGGCTATCGTGAGCGTGTGGCGAGAGCAGAGGGCAGCTAGCATCATCGCGACGGGTGCCCCAAGCTTCCTGCACAACGAAGCCGCTGCCCGCTGCTCCCCCGTGAGTTGGTGGCACCATGGTCACCGTCCCTGAACGACTATCCTGCACAAGCCATGGCCCGTCCCGAAAGATACATCAACATCTCGCGCATGACGCCCGCTCTCCCCATGGCATGGTAGTTCCGACCTGACCCTCAACCCAGCTGCTTGTATTGCCGACGCATTGTAACCTCCTGCAACCCATGCTCTGACCGATGTGTCGTGTCGACACCCACAGATGCTACCTACACGTACCGCCCCGGCTCCAGGTACCATCCGTCGAACCAGGTACAAACAGATAACATGCGCTGCAGACGCTGCCCTCTAGGGCTTCCAGCGAAACCACATGTGGTTAAGCTAGCACAATTTCATCTGCTCCCGGTTGTGATATATATGCATACCAGTTGATAGTGGCTACAAACCTCGAGCTGAACAAACTGCTCCCCCGGCTTAGCATGAAGATGATAATCTGGGAAACAGCATTAGCTCTCTCAAACCGCCTTACACCGTTCGGGCTAATCCAACGGCATCGCAGAACCAGGCCTGAAGTTGGGCACACATGGGCCTAGTTCGTGTGAATAACTCACAAGTCTGCACACTTGCAAGCGCCCAGACTAGGACCAAGACCCTGGTCTCTCTACACCGTTTATCAGCCACTCGACCTTGCTGCCCCTCTTTTCTTCTTGTCTCCCCCCTCCCCCTCCACGAACACGACTCACAGGGCCAGCAAAGCAACAGCGAGGGATGGGCAAATTTATTTCGCTCGCACAAATCGCATACAGAGCAGACCATCTATTCTATGTGAGACAAATGCATCAGTGTCAGACTGCAGGTCCAACCAACCGTGACACGGCATCTGCACCGATATCCGGACGCGTGCAGTGAATGGGGATGCACTGCAACGGGGTGGAAAAGAACCCCGCAGATGGAAATTTCGCTTAGATTCGCACTTTGGCAATTGATGCATTATTTTTTGGCGCCTTTTTTTCTTTGGGTTTCGCGATAATCTCCTCGCATTGGTGTAGGTACCCATACCATACCATTCACGAGACGCATGCTTTCTGCTGTGATTAGAACATGGCGTTGTGATGGATTGCTTTGCGTCCCGTATGCGGAGCTACAGCGCTGGCCAGAGGGGGGCGACGACGCTGCTAATTCGCTCCGTGGTTGCCCAAGAAAAGAATAAAGCTGCATTCCTTTTTCGCCCGCGGTAAACAATGGTCGAAAAATAGGCCTCCAAAAGGGAGTGCCGCTTCCATCACGGAAGAGATGTGGAGACGTTTTGTAAATCACCGGAACCAGAGCGCCACACATCTCAACAATCACACTTGCAAAATTCAGCTAACGAAGCCGTCACATCTCGTCACGCTCATCACAATCAAATTTTGGGTGCAAAGGAGCTAGGGTTGGTCAAGAGTAAGCTATTGTAAAATTCAAAATGGGGTATATCTAAATGATGGGGGTATCAAAGAAGGAGAGAAGCGAGGTTTATGGTGCGAAAAAGGGTAAGCCGCAAAAGCCTCACTCTATACTGCGCACACAATGCCTCGCAGATAAGCGTGCCGTCCCAGCCATAATCCGTCCGATTCGCGGAGCGGGGGTATCGATGCCAAGTTCAAAACGCCTGCAAAATGCTCAAATTCCGTCACAATGCTTTCCTCCAATCCTATCCGCTAAGTCGTCTCTTTCGTTCGGTGCACCACTTCGCTTCGTGGTGGCGATAAACTGGAGGTACGTTTCAAATAAATGACGGTTGAGTCTAAGGCGATCTGCATTGCGCGAACGCAGTACAAATGCATGTGCGCACCGCACGCTCATCCGCCGATGCAAGTGAAGTCGCGCCCAAATGGGTCGCTTGGTGATGGTGATGATGATGTTGTTGTAACCCCGTTAACGAGTGGCAAGAGCAACGGTGTGACTGAACTGGTGTGGCTGACTTTGGCATCTCGAAGTAGGCGAAATGGGAAAGCGAAAAGAATGTGCCGCCAAAAGCGCAACGCGCGGCTACCACTCATCACGGAGTATTAGACAAGAGTGGCCATGGTGAGTGAGGCTGGCGGGCGTGGCGGTGTAATCATGTGACCAGCTAGCACGGGCGTGACGCGCGCGCGTGTTGCAGTGACGTTGATGTTTATCGATGTGATGATAACTGACAACGTCGTTAGGACTACGGCGCGATTCGATGTAGTCATGTTGACTTACGATGGCACGAATGATAGCGTGCATCGGTGATGATGATGATGTTGCTCACTCAACCTGCTCAGGTGACTCAGAGATGGGAGTCATTGGCTTGGATGTGCGACGTTGCTTGCGACCACTGCTGCGTCGACGCTCCGTCTTGGGCTTCTTTCTGGGCGTAGAGTGGGGGCAGGATGGGAACTGCCTGGGCGATCGGGTATTGTTCGGGGGTGGTGCTGGGGCCTCCTCAAGGGAATGGGGCAGGCAAACTCGTCGTCAAAGTCCTCGCCAAAAGAGATCGGCATCGCTGATGTAGGACGATGGTGGACTTGCGGTGGTCCAGGTGAGGTCCCTGTTGGCCCATGATGGGTAGGCACATGATGATGGCACGGCTTTGAGCTCGTCTGGGGTGGGAGAAGTTTGCTTGTAAGAGAGGAAAGTGGTGAGAAGAGGTTGGTGGAAAGAAAGAACATGCTTTCTGGGCGAAGATGGCCGATCGGGGATGGACTTTGAGGGCGGAAGAAGCCAGGCGGAGTATTCGAAATGCATGGTGAAGTGGTGGTAGTGGTGGTGGTGATTGTGATGATTGCTGAAGGGATGTTCGGTGTGTAGCGTACGGGGTGGGTCTTGTGTATATACACACTTGCGGGCACTTTCGGCACTGGGAGATTTACGGTGGTTTTCGTGTTTTTTTCGTCAACTAGGGTCGCGGCAACTCTAGCGAGGTCAAAGCTTGGAAACGGGTGAAGGTCAAGATGTATGACGCCGATGTGGATAGTCCGAAGCAGGGTTTGCCGGTACTAGTCCGGGATAGCGTCGGGGACTCGTCTCGAAAAACTCAGCAGTAAGCTTGGAACTGTGCGATGATGGAGTATGGGGATGCAACAAGCAAGCGGGTGGACACTGTCTTAAAGTAGTTGCACGGGGATCGTGGGAGGCGGAAGGGTCAGGCGTTCGAGTCAGGCAGAAGCAATCTGGTGTGTCTCGAAATGGAGATCAGATGGAGGTCTGGACGTGGGGACTGCGGAAGCACACGTTCCATATATCCTCCGTCGAAAAGCAACAATCGACGCCTCGCTCCGGTCCGCATGAAACGCTTTGTTTAGCGCGTTGTGATTTGCCTTTTTGCTATGAGTCGGTGAGCGACCGCCTTTTGGAAGGGGGTGCGGCGCCGAGCCGTGGTTGGCGCACTCTCAGACCGCCCCTTCAAAGGATACACCATTCTGGGCTACCTTTACCGTCAGCCCCGTCTGCTCCGCTACGCCTGGGGGCTCATCCCGGCTGTCGGGGCACCTCGACCGCCCTGTCAACTTGCGCACATGCGGATTGCGATGACTCGGCCACAGGACGATTTGTATCCTTGTTTGCCTGGTCGTGATAACGGGGCATGAATTACAGAGAATCCGCCTAGGTGCAGGCATGACTGGAGCCTCGTCGTCACAGGCATCCAGGAGGTGAATGGAAATCCTGCTTCGTCGCCCTATCACTAGGACCCTGTATTGCCAGCTTGCTTTGGAATCCTGATCCTGAAAAAGCACCAGCTGGCAAGGGATGTGACAGTGACAGCGGTTACGCCCCCCACGACTCATTCCGCGCCACGCCCGTCTCCGCGAGGGTCTATGCGGATAAGATTCGTCGCATTACTCAATACAGTAAGCTTATTGCCAGAGGATCATCTCGGGGATGCGAGACAGACCCTTTTCCACTCCCCACGCCGCCGGATCAAGGCGTGCAACTTCCACGAAAGGAAACACGAACTGCACACCCCGGCTCACTGGCCGCCTCTCCGTACGGCCTGCGAAATTGACTGCGCGAAAATTTGCCGGTGGATTACGCGCCTGCTGCCCAAGTGTCAATATCTGCCAGCTGCCAGCGCGACGAATCGTGCCTGATGACTCACTCTAGCTGTGGCTATTTGCGCGCCCCCGTCTGCAGTCACATAGTGGCTGCCATGGTGTTTTGCCTTGCACTAGCCATCCAGACAGTGAGATCGCCGACACGGCGAAACGAAACTTGTCCACAAACTTTCTCTAGCGAGCAAGGCCTCGGCCGGGTTTGCGCCTCGGAAGTTGGCCTTTCCACCACGCTTCGAGCTTTAGCCGGTCGTAAACTGGGGTACATACAGTAGGTACCTATCACATGCGCGTACCTAGGATGAATACATACCCGACACAACTTGTAGCTTCTAGCTCACGGATCCCCTTCACGGCACCTACTTGGTTTGCGAGACACGGAGCGAGGTAATATCGCCACCAATCGCTATACGGGAGGTTTATGTCGGTCCGCAATAATTCAGGCTACTTGTTCTGATTCCGACAACCGCCACACAATCGCTTGGTGAGACGGTCATGCTCGCATCCGCAGCGGATCCACCTCTACTTGGTACCAAACATGATGCAGCAACCTTCCATTCCTGAATGCACTAAAAATGTCCATCCATCCAACCTGTACTACCCGACTACTGACGGCTTACGTGCAGCGCGCAGGACGCTGAGGAGACCTGTTGTGATGGCCGGGTAACATGCAGTAAGCAAGCTTCGGGACACCAACCTTCGCATCTGGCATGGCATAATCTCATAAATGGAACACAACCATCAGCCCTGTCAGCACTATGAGACCGAATCTGGCTGGGTGCAACATAAACGTCTATGCTCCATCTCCATGTTCATGCGCGGCACATATAGCAAAGCCGTTCAGCCTGCACGGTACACGCAACGCGTGGAATCTGGGGTCGAAGTCGTGTCTGTGCACGCAATTACGGGGATCGTGAACCTGGGTATGGAAGGTTCCATTCTTCCATTCCGAATAACCGCGGGGAAGATGTGCTCGTGCACGCTCCCCGTGTCCAGAAAGACCCGGTATTGTTGCGAGCCAGACCCAACCGAGGCTACATACAGTACGAGTGACGCTCGGAAATGCCCTTTACTCGTCCATGGCCAATTTGATTGTCTAGATTGCACACTATCACGACCGAGCTACGTTTCCGCCATCTTTTGCCCAAGTTGCACGCCAGCCCGGCCGAAGACCAGTTTTAGAATTAGAAGGTTTTTGGAGGCAAAACCTTCTCCAACACTCTAATGCGGCAAAGCTGCTCCGGTAACGAGAGCCGCATCAGGCATGCAGGGACAAACTCTGTATGACGAACTCGGCGTCTGTACCGCCCTTGAAACCCTTCTAAGGCGCACAACCTCCCTTTTCGCGCTATGCAGCAGAAATCGTCGTCAAAGCAACTTTGCCGCAACCCACCCCCTTGGTGTCAGCATGTCTCTTGCTCGTGCTGAAAAAATGACGTCGTTAGGCACTTCATCACAGTATGAAGCCGACGAGACACCGACGCTACACTGGTCAACACAGCTATCACGCAAAATCTCTGCCTTCTCTCCACTTCCCGTAGTGTACTTGTACATGTACCAGGTCGCGGTGTGTGTGGTGAATGCACGTGAGCGGATCGTTACATCATCATGCCGCTGAGCTAGAAGCCCCTTTCTGGAAGTTCCAATGTTTCAAGTGGAGTCTTGATAAGACCCTTTCTGTTGACGAGGAAAATATCGACACGGCCATGTGGAGAGGGAGGATACCGACCTCCGGCATGTTTTCGTTGGAGAGGTGGCCGACTCATGGGCGTTGCTAACAGGACTGGCGAAAACCGGCCGGGTGCTGTGGCTGTGGAGCTGGTGTTGCAGCCTCAGTTCATGCGGCGCGCACGCGGGCGGAGGGATGATTCCGTGCGCGTGCGTGCTTGATACCTACTCCACTCACCTTGTGGATACCATCATCTACAACTCGACTCGATCATTAAAACTAAACCCTCGCTTACAAGCGGCTGAGATGATTCCAATTTCTCTCGTTTCTTCTTTCTCCTTGATCAAAAAAGGAGAAGAACTTTTAAATTTCGCTTGTCAAGATAGACACTACACAGAGTCTCCAAGGCTGAATCCTTTCAATATATATACTTGCCTATTAGGGAAACACAACCGCCTCATGGCTCCTAGGTCGACTCCCTTGCTGTACATCGCGGCTCAGACCGCCTTTGCGATCAACAAGAGACCCTGCGTCTAGCGACCTGCAGCTTGGCAACTCACAGGGCGAGACGGCATCTAGGACAGCTGATCCGCACACTGTTTATCTACTCGACATTTATTTTTCCGCCATACTATAGGCGACGAGGGTACGTGCCGTAGAGATACTCCGGTGGGTAACAAGGATTATGCGGAGAAAAAGTATCGTGAAACCAATATTACTCCGCATTTACAGTGCAGCGAAACAAAATGAAGCTGTTGCCCCCCGGACAAGTGCACTTGGCTGTTTTTTCGCGTTACCGCGTTGTTGTTGCAGCTTGATCAAATCTCAAGACACTCATTACACACGGAAATTCAGGCAAATACTCAGCTGGTAGCTTGTGTCAAACCTCCCCCCCGCTAAGTTTAGTGTACACATGTCACCCCCCATCCTTCCTACATCAGCTTAGTCTAGACTCTGATATCGCATTTTTGTTGTTACCCCTCATCGCAACAAGTATCCAAATCAGACCAACCCGAAGCCGCAACGCAACGCGCTATGGGCGGTGAGGTGAGTCACCGCCGCTCTCATCCATGTCCTTATCTGCCACAAACCCGTTGCGCCATTGCTGCTGCACAACACGCAGTATGCAGCACAGCACGCAAGCCTGTCGATCTCCCAGGTGCGGTCTGAGCTGTCAGATGCACGATAGCGCCCCCTCACCCAACTCATCCAACGGCTTTCCTTCTCAACAAGCCACCCACCGCCCGACTACTATCGTGCTCAACATGGCTTTCGCTCTACTGTATGTCCATACCGATAAGTGAAATCGCCACCGCGACAAGAGCGGCATTTCGCTTTCGCATGATAATTGCCTTTCCCATCCATGTTTGGTTTTGGCTATTTTCGCCTTCGTCTCGCTACTACACACACATGTGCGGCCCGGACTTTCTATGGTAGGCCCGATTAGTATTTCGGGGGTGCGATTGCGTGTTACCCAATGACGACCCCACGCGCGGTCGCAGCACATCACAGGCATGTGTTTGTTTTTCGCTTGCTTGCGGCATGCTTGCTTCTGTTTGCTTTGCTGCATGGCTCCGACGCTACTGGACTCGGTGTTCGTAGGGCAAGCCGCTCACGGCGCACACATGTGAATTTTGCGTCCTGCGAGACAGAGAGAGACCGAGGAAGCTAAGCGCTATCATACCCACGCAGCACGCGTTATCCTTCACAGGGAGAGTGACATGCCTTGTTGGCTTACTAGTCTATTCTCTTTTTTTATCCCCTTCTGCGCGACTTTCTTGCTCTCGCTCCACTTTCGCTGTTCTGCCTGATTACCCGTTGTGGTAATAAGAGAGATTTTTTTTTTCTCTTCCGTTTAGAGTATCAATGACGGAGTGGAGTTGCACGGGTGGAGTAGGAAGTGGAAAGTGGAGTGGGAAAGTGCTTGGAGTTTCGTCATTATCTTCGCTGTGGGGGTTGGGAGGAAGCATGGGGATGGGTGGGTTGGTGGGGTAGGAGAAAGTGGAGGAGGTATTGCAAAACAGTGGAAATTTTAGTAATCTCTCCTCCTCCGCACTTTTGTCACAGTCCTATATTTTGCTACTGGAGGTGTGGGGATTTTGGTGGGTATCCAGCCCCTGCATATGTTCGTACTGTCTTTTTTTTCTGCCACCGTTTGAAAAGGGGAGGGCTGTTTTTCCTTGGCGGGAAAAGCAGTTGTGTAGGATATCGTCATTGTGGGGGTCGGAGTTTGCTCGGGAGATGCGATCTCGGCGACGTTGTAGATTCGCGAGGGAGGTTTCTGGGCATGTGAAATTCAAGGTTACCTCGAAAGATCATGAGGGGAAGCTTGTTTTGCGATCTTGGCGAGAATTTTTAGGACTGTAAATCTTGATTGCTACTCGTCTGATGGACTGACTACACTAGGGCACTCGTTCTACGATCGGATCCGCTTGTGCTCTGCCATTTCATTCTTGCAAAAACGCAGTAGCTGATGTCGCGTGAACGGAATCTCGATCATAGCATGGCGCCCCCCAAGGTAACGATGCCAACACCTACCTAGATCCGATAACATCCGGAATGTATGGCTATTGACAGCCGCCATGTGCGTACGTATGTCTGTAATACGGTGCGGAGCCGGACTACAGCAAGGTAAGTACCTCATTCACAAACACCGCGGCATTTCAGGCCGACGTCCAGTAGCCATGCCAGTTGTACTTCAGTACCTCGTTACCCCAGGACGTCCATCCACTCACAAGGTAGCGAGAGAAGACCTCCAGCGCACTGTAGTCAGTCGGGTCCAGCAGATAGGGTTCAAGTAAAGTCTTCAGGCACGGCTTCCGTGAGTGGATGTCAGGTACAGCAGCGATGACTCTCCTCTTGATGTTTGGCGCATGTGCCATGGTCGTCCACGAGTTGGGGCGCTGCGCGACCCAAGAGTAAGATCTCGTATGGCTTCCGCATGGCGCTATCAATGTCAAACATGGGCTCGCCCTGTGTCGTAGTCTTGATCCAGACCCATTCCTCAACCAGGCCCACGTTCCACGCCTCGAACAGTCCACCGGGACCCAGCACATGTACTCTCAAAGCCTCTTTGTTTGTGATCCAGACGCCCACCAGCGCATTGTGTTCGAGGTAACTGTCAATGTCCATGTTCAGTAGCATCTTCTTGAGGTACGGCATGCCTCCAACTTGTTCGTAAGCGCCCTTGCGCTTGGCTGAACGATTGGGCCATGGTGGGTCCAGCAGTACTAGGTCAAAGTGTCGTGGAAGGGTAAACTCGTCGGTAAGCTCTCGAAACGACGTACGGAAGGCATCCGAGGCAGTGGAATCGCTGAGAAACAAGGTCGATCTGGGTGGTACTGTGAAACGATACTCTTGACCCGGCAGAGTAGATTGCGGCGTAGGTTCGGTAATTGTCAGCTCCAGAGATTGGCGGTTGGGATTGTGGAAGGTACATGTCCATGGTTCCGTTTGGGCTTCGTGGCTGGCCGTTTCTGCAACCTGTGTACCACTTACAGACTCACGTGCAGGCTGGTACGACACGATCCATTTGTGTGCGCCCACGGCCGGTCCTGCGGCCTCGGATGTTGCACCGAGGGAGACCATCATCTGCTGCAGATTGAATGCAGTGTCGTCTCCCTTGCGTTCGCTCCACGAGGCCCACTCTCGCATTCGGGACTCTAACTCTTTTTCGGAGATTTGGTCAACGTCCATGGCTTCCTCTTCCTTATGCGATGGCCTCTGGGACATTAGCTTACGCTGTGCGCACCACGGGCTTGAAACCTTTGTGCGGATTTGGGAGAGTGCATGTTCAACGAGAAATTTGTACCGCACGTCATCGATATGTAGTGACTGGAAGTCGAGATTGAAGGGATCCACGTTTTGGGGAGAGGTAGTTTCGAGTCCCCCGTCTTGTTTGCTCGCACGCAGGAGTTCGGTCTGCTCCACCAGCATGCTGTTGGTGTCTGGAGATGTCGCTTTCGCTTTCTTTGTCTTGGGCTGATAGTCTTCTTTTAGTACGATGGGCGCTTCTAACGGTGCAGTCGATAGGAGTACATCCGAGCGATCGCCTTGAGCAGCTGTAATAGACTTTGGAATATCGATTAACGTAATGTCGCACTCCGCATTTTGGTACAGGATGGGGTTCACGGGCGCCATGATGAATTCCATGTGCATGAGTGGTTGATGGGGTTGGACCATCACAAGGAAAAGTTTTCCACTTGTCTACAGACAGTTTCAAGGCATGAATATCTGCCCCGAACCACGTGTGCAAAAGTGAACCAGACTCAGTGCTTTCTCGCGTGACATATAACCATGGTGAATCCCAAGCATCGTGTTTACATACTCGACGTCACGTTCCTCGATATCGTGGGGAAGATATCGATGGGTAGCGTCGGATTAACAGCGACTATGTGGGATCCCCGACCGGAAACAGATTATCTCAGCCTCGGCAACGTCATTGCCGAGTTTCAAGCCATCAACCAGCCAAAGTCCGCCGCTTTCTAATCCACACGCGACCTTTTCCTCCCCTTCACGCATGCCCTCATAGCCATACGCTACAACTAGATTCTACACATATAATTACACATGTCGCGGTAGTCGCACGCGCAGCCCGCCCTGGAATGTCCACGTACCTCCGCAATGACGGAAGCAAACCGAATATCATGACCACGACCGCGGCGCAAACCAACAGCGCAATAAACACACTTCCCGACCATGACGCCGTCATGTCTGCGAGGAAAGAAGGAGGCGCAGACACAGAGCCTGGGAGGAGGAAGAAGACGGATAAGAAGAGCATGGAATATCTCATAAAGAGTGGCCTGGCGGGGGGCTTCGCTGGATGCGCTGTACGTCAGGAAACCACTGTCATCGGGATAGCATGTATACTGACCCGTCACTAACAGGCCAAAACCGTAGTCGGCCCCCTCGACCGAGTAAAAATCCTCTTCCAAACCCGCAACCCAGAGTTTGCGAAATACGCTGGTTCCTGGTCTGGATTCCCCACTGCAATCCGCGATATATATGCCAGCACCGGTGTGCGCGGGCTCTTCAAAGGTCACTCTGCAACACTTCTCCGTATTTTCCCCTACGCCGGCATCAAATTCTTGGCCTACGAGCAAATCCGCGGGCGCCTTATAAAAACAAAGGCGCAAGAAACACCCGGCCGACGCTTCTTATCCGGCAGTCTCGCTGGCATGATGAGCGTCTTCATGACCTACCCACTGGAGGTTATCCGGGTGCGCCTTGCGTTCGAAACAAAAGAATCCGGCCGTAGCAGTTTAAGTTCCATAATCCGTAAAATATACGCGGAGCGCGCACCCGCCGTTTCATCGTCACACAACACCAACATACCCGTGGTAGCGACGGCAACCCACGTCGCCCAAAAAGTAACCCCCTCATCCGGCCTTCCCAACTTCTTCCGCGGCTTCACGCCCACACTACTCGGAATGATACCATACGCCGGTGCCTCCTTCCTCGCCCACGACTCTATGTCAGACCTCATGCGCATCCCTATCCTCGCACCCTACACCACTCTCCCCAACACTTCCCGCGAAGAATCCTCAACCACATCCCACAAGCCCGCGCAACTGCGCTATTGGGCTGAGCTCTTCACCGGCGGGATCGCAGGCTTTGTCTCGCAGACAGTGTCGTATCCACTTGAAGTGATCAGGCGACGAATGCAGGTTGGTGGTGTGGTGGGTGATGGGCGGCGACTGAGTATTCCGGAGGTTGCCAGACGCGTTTATGCGGAGAGGGGGTACAAGGGGTTTTTTGTGGGGTTGTCGATTGGGTATGTCAAGGTTGTGCCGATGGCGGCTGTTAGCTTTTATGCGTATGAGAGGGGGAAGTATTATTTGGGGATATAGGTCATGGGATTAGAGGGACTCAGCGTCGTTTGTTTGTATCGTAAGGGATACTTCTCGCGTTGTTATAAAGGGGGCCAGCTTGTAGAGCCGTATACCTAGATGGGAGTTCCGCGCCTACTAGATATGGCAGGATAAGTACATAGACAGGATTAGCACATACATGCCACTGAATGCATACATGACAAAGAGCTTTCACCAAATCACCACAAAACCATCAGCCGTGCTTGAAACAAATACGGTATATTCGTACATCTAGAATACCACTACTACCATCCCCTTTATTTCAGCGTATCAACCAACTCCCTATAAATCTTCTTCAAATCCCTAACATCGCCCTCCAGCTCCTCGACCCTCTCCGTCTTCTCTCCCAGCATCTCCAACGCCGTCATCTCCCTCCTCTCCATCTCGCCGAGTCTCTTCTCCAAATCCGCAACTTTATCCCCCTGCCTCCTCGCCTCATCAACCTCACGCATCAGCTTAACCACCTCCTCGCGCGCTTCATCGCGCTGGGCGGTGAGGCGAGCAAGCTCCTCTTTATGCGTTGCCTTTTCTGATTCCAAACGGCGCACTGCGGCGCTCATGCGCTCGACGAGTTGGACGGAGGGGCCGGCTCCAGCGGTGGATACGCTGATCATGTCGTTGATGGTGTGGTGGGGGGAGGAAGTGTATTCAAAGGGGTCATCGTGGTCAACTGTATGGATGGAGGGTGTTGAGATGCCATTGAGTTGGGAGAGACTTGATGGGAATGAGTCTTGGCGGGATGGAAACGAGTCTTGTCGTTGCGGGGGTGTGCCGACTTCTGGGGTTCGTGCTTTGGACGTTGTGGGTTTGGGGATGCGGCCAGTCGAGGGACGGCGCGTGGCGTCGTCGAACATGCGGTCCATGGGTGTGAGGGGGGTGTCTAGGCCGCTGGTTATGGAGCGGGGGTTGGGGCGCCGGGTTTGCAGGCCCATTGGGTCGGGAGAGTGCTTTCGCTGGGCTATGGAGGGTGAGTCCGCTCGTAGGCGGTGGGGCTCGCTGAAGAGAGATGGTGTTTGGATTTCAGATTTCCACTTGCTTCTTTCTTCTTCTAATCGTTGTTGGAGCTCGGCTTCCCAGACCTTCTTTTCTCTTTCCAGGTCTGCTCGAGCATCTTGCGCTGCGGCTTCTGCCTGTGTAAGTTTAGCTTGCAACTTTTGAGCTGCAGCACGCTGCTCGGTCAGGTCCTGCTCAAATGTGCGGGCTCGCTCGTTGATGCTTTCGAGTTCGTCTTCCAATCGACGTGCTTTTGAGTTGACTTCCCTCGCCTTGCGTCTGACATCAGACTCCCGCTTGGCCGTCTCGTCACGATCTTTCTCCAGAGCCGCGACTCTAGATGTCAAGGTCGTTTCAATGCCTTGCCAATTCTCCGAAGCGAGCGAGTACTGTGTTTGCAAGGTTTCGATTTGGCGAAGAAGCGTAGCTTGAGAGTCACTAGTCGCAGACGATGACGCCTCTTCTGTTCGACTACGGAGAAGTTCCAACTTGGATTCAAGGTTCTGAATTGAATGTTAGAGTGCAAAATTACCGGGCTATCCAGGGAACTTACCGCAATCTCACCGCGAAGCTCAAGCTCGGTGACGTTTGCCTTTTCTTGTTGGCTCTTTGCCTCGTCTCTTGCGGCCTGGAGCTCTCTCTTCGCCCTATCCTCGGCAAGCTTCTTTTCTATTCGCATGTTTTCAATATCTTCTTTTAGTGACGCTGTGGCTCTCTTTTCGGCTTCCAGTGCTCCAGTTTGAACTCTCTTTTCGGCATCTTCGGCTCGTGATAGCGCATCATTCAGCTGCTTCCTGAGTTCTGATATCGTCAACCCAGCCTCTTCACGCTCGGCCTTGATGGTCTCGATGTCCTTTTCGATCCTGCTCACGATCTTGAGCTTTTCCTGCGCAGACTTCTCAGCAGCTTCAGCCCGCCTTGCTCTTTCAGACTGCTCGGTAATGCTCTTTTCGGCCTTCGAAAGCCGTTGTTTGAGCGTGGTAATTTCTCTATCCTGTTCCTGGGCTTTGATGCGCATCTTCTTGATAGTCGTCATGTGCTTCATCTCGGTTTTGGAAAGCTTCTGGCCCTCATCCATGAGCGCAGCTATCTGCGCGTCCTTTTCTGCCAGCCTTTTATCTGCAAGTGTCGCTTCATTGTCCGAAGATGCGGCCTTTGCAGATGCAGCGAGTTGCTCTGAAAGATATGTGAGCTTTGATTGTAGAGCGTCAATTCGTTCCAAGTGAGAATTGAGCTCTTCGCGATTGTCGCGTAATGTCTCCTCATATGTCTTTTGTAGTAGCGATAGCTCGGCCTCGACTTCTTGGGGGTCTCTGGGTCCAACACTCGGCGTCGGGGCGACTTCTTCAATAGAGGGCCGAGAAGCATCGTCGTCGAAGGACTGACGCGGAGAGGAGGTCTGCGGGGTGAAAATCGAGGGTATCAGAGGCTTTGAGGGCATGGACATGGACATGGACATTGGTATCGAAATGGGCTGTTCCGCTATCAGAGGCGAAGCTAGTGGAGATATTACTGGGGGAGAAGTCGCTGGCGCAGGAAGTTGGATGGAGAGTGTAGGTTCTTCGACCTTGGTCTCTTCCGCCGTGCTCGCCTCATCTTTCTTGGTTTGCGCAGCGTCTGTAGTCGGCTCAGAGGCTTTCGAATCTATGCTCGTCCTCCCTGTATCCGCGACAGCTGTCACGGCTCGGAGGGCAGGACTCTCTGGTCTTGAGCCTAGATCCGATGACGCTCTTGACTCTGACCTTTCTGTTCCCTTGTTGACGGCCTTGGCAAGGCGATCCTGTAACCGCGAGTTGGGTCGGCTGCGCGACGAGTTCCGTGAGCCTTGAGCTGTGTTAGCCTTCTTCACGCCTACCCTGCCGCCTCTCTATCCCCAGACTACCCACCTGCGTCTACAGCCAACTTCTTATCCGCCGCCACCACCTTATCTACGCCATCCGACGTAGCTGCGCCCTCTGTGGCCGCCGGCTTCGCTGGGGTGCCATCCTCGGCCAGTATCGTGTCGAGCCGTGACTCGAGGCCCGAGATGGCCGTATTCCACCAGCCTTTCCCACTCATGTCGCCTGTCTTGGTCGTGTACGTAAGCGTGTTATCGCGATTGGCGTCGTGTCTGAAGCTTTGCGAGCTTTCAGCGTGCACTCGTTCTCCGCCTGTGTTTGTTCATAGCTCAAGTGCGCAAAAGGCCAGGTTGTTGTCTTGGTCGCGGTTGGTACGTCGTCAGCTAAGGTTTGGCGGGGAGTCGCAGTGTGAGACGACCGTCCGCAACAGCCACAGTGTGAAGATTCAGGCTGCCGGCTATCCAGAGCGCAAAGTAGCCCCAATTGTAATCGTGGTCTTGGGATCGCTGCCGCGCAAGCCTTCATTCCAACATGACGGTGCGGTGCAGGCCAGGGCAACCGCTCAATTCGCTCCGATTGGCTGCCGTTCCGTAATTCCGCTATGAGGTAATCCGGCCAACAGCCTCGTAATACACCACATCTTGATCGGCAGTGCAGAGACATGTCACTCATGTCTAACGTGTAATTAAACTATAACATGGTTACGAGTTCCTGGCTATTACCTCTATCTAGTGCATACACTCAACGCCGCGTCTCCTGGTAGTCTCAATATTGATCCTGCCAGCCAAGCTCTTGAACCCACTCCATCCCTCAGCCAAATCTCCTGAAGCCCGGTTACGAGATTGAAATTTCCCCTCCAGCCCTCATCTCCATATTCTGACGCTCATATGTATCACCCAATCGACCCGGCGTCTGCCGAGCCGGTGCAGTAACACCCCATGAATCTACGACATGAACTTGGTATAGCGAACAGGTAATCCAGTTCCTAGACTATGTTTACGCTTGGCCACAATGTATCTGCTATTCACCGTCTTTATCTCGCGAGAAGACCGATGTGAACCCATCTAGCACAATGGAAGAATGAATGGCAGTCTAGACGGTGATAGCCGGATGAAGTAGTAGTGCTCGCGCAGTGTGAACATATTGTTTACATAGCACAAGCGGCATGATGCTTGTTAAAGAATAACGAGGAACTCATCTTGTTTGCTGTCGCTGGTATGATGCTGCGCCACAGCCATCATCCATTCTGTCAGTAGCATGTAGACATCACCCACCACTTCTCGTCCGACTAAATGAACACTGCTGATGAGATAAACACGAAGCTGCCATACATACCAAAGAAACCACACCACCCTGCAAAGCCGCAGATCACTAGCCCCACCAAGACCCTGTCCCCCTCTTCCTTCTAATCCAGCATGCAAGGTACAAACGTCATCCGCGTCTCCCCCTGTCCAAGAAACTCCATACTCACATACCAAGCAAAAGAAAATGCCCATTGCTGTCAAAAACAAAATTTCAAATTCCCATGCTGATGAACACGTATATTGCGATGGCTGCCAGATTTGAACTAGGCGCGTCTAGCGGCAATCGCCTACTGGACGACGTCAGCACTCTCTTTCTTCCGTATAAACAAGTACAACAACGCGGTACCGATACTCTATAGACTGAGTGAAAAACACAATTGAAAGAGTTTTTTCATGTCAAAATCTGCAAAGATGGTTCTCGCTGTAAGTGGAATTGAGTGCTGATTACGGTTTTCTGGTGTCTTTTGTGTGCGGCTTTTGATATCAGGTATATGTATTCTATTCTCATGTCCTCTTTTCCTGTACATACTCAAGCCAGGCATCATGTAGAACTCTTTCATCTTACATATACTCATCGCTACTCCCCTTCAAATATCTCTAACAACCCACTCAGGCAGTCGGTCAAATGCGTTCCACGCCCTCAATGTCCGACAACCTAACCCAAGCGCAATCCCTCTGCACCAAAGCCCACGCCGCCGGTGCTGCCGCCCTCTTCCTCCCCGAAGCTGCCGACTACATCACCACCTCCGGCGGCCTCAAACTCTGCAAACCAACCTCCGACTCCGAGTTCATCAAGGGTCTCCAAGAATCCGCAAAACAGTATTCCCTCCCTATAAGCGTCGGCGTCCACGAGCCCACCTCTACCCCCTCCAAAGTGAAAAATACCCTCCTCTGGATCGATGCCCAAGGCTCAATAACGCACCGCTACCAGAAACTGCACCTTTTCGACATGGATGTTAAAGACGGCCCGCAGATGCAAGAGTCCAAGGGTGTAGAACGCGGTACCGAGCTACCAGACCCGTTCGAGTCTCCCGTGGGGAAACTCGGCACCCAAATATGTTTTGACCTGCGTTTTCCCGAACCAGCCCTCGCGTTGCGAAACCGCGGTGCGCAGGTCCTTTTGTACCCAGCGGCGTTTACCACGCCAACGGGCAAGGCAGGGCATTGGGAGATGTTGCTAAGAGCGCGCGCGATTGAGACGCAGAGTTATGTTATTGCTTCTGCGCAGGTGGGGCCGCATGACGAGGAGGGTAAGAGGAGGAGTTGGGGCCATGGGATGATTATTGATCCGTGGGGGAAGATAGTGGCGGAGTTGGGGGGCGATGAGGAGGATGGGTCATGGAAGGGGGAGGGGGAGATTGCGGTTGCAGAGATTGATTTGGAGTATGTAGACAGGATTAGGAAGGAGGTGCCTTTGATGAGGCGGACAGATGTTTATGCGGACGTTTGTTAGGGGGTACTGATTTAGAACTCCCCAAGACCTTTGATCCTGCATAGTCATTCATCTACTTCATGCTTATGGAGACCTTGAAATCTCCTTAATCGTCCAAGTACTCCAAATCCCGTCCCTGCAGTAACCTTGCCTTACTCCCCAAACTCAGATACGCCAGTGAATGATCCGACCGCTCAAGATCCTGCTCTATCCTCCTCCTGACCTCCCCCAATGCACAACCCACCAGTTCCGCCAACCTCTCCAAGAGCGTCGTGTACAAACTCCGCCCTGGTCCCTTCTCTAGCTTCGGACCTTGTGTCCTCGGTGGTTCAAACTCTCCTTTACCCGAGCCCCAACAAGGCCAGTCCCAATCATGGATGCCGTGGTTATGATAAAAGTTGAGTAGCGTCGCTTGTCTATGCGGCTCTTCGCTGGATAGTAGGCTATCGGAGATAAACTCGGGTCCCAGGTTCAGCGCGGCTTCTGCGAAACAAAATTCCAGCTCGCTGCGTAGCTCGACTTGGTTTGCGTCCATGAAGCGACCGTATGTGCTTTGGTTGATCCAACCGTAGCCGTGGTATCGGGCTGATAGCGTCGCATGATGCAACACAAGGTACATCGCAATCAGTGGGTCTCGCTCCAGTGATTTGATATACGTGATTCTTGCGGTGTGTGCTTCTGCGATAAGGTTAGCCATATATAATCTCCACAGAAGCTCTCACTGGACACTGACTGATCGAGACTAAACGGTATAGTAACAGCAGTCCCGCGTTTGCGACGGCGGCGTTCTGCGGCAATACAGCCATGTAGTTGTGCTCTGAGCACAGTATGTCCATGACCTCGTCGACCACGTCGTAGTTCTTAACACAATCCGCCAACCAGTCCAGACTGATGTTTCCACCGTCGTGGACAAAGTCTGTTTGCGCGTGGCGAAGCTCTTTCTTCATGAACCAGGCTGTGATAGAGTGCTCATAGTTGCGGAAAATGGCCTCTAGACGCGGGTGCGCATTGCGGATACTCTGTATGAGTTTCCCGTCCTCGAACGGAAGGTGTTGGATGGTTTTCAAGATCAGTTCTGTAGGGATACGAGGTGAGATGAGGATATCGAGGCTCTTTGATGGTTCTGTAGAGATTGCCATATCGTCTAGTAAGTGAAGAATATAGTGATTGTGGATAGCTAGTGCAGTAGACAAGTGATATAGAAAGTGGGAGTCAGGTAGGAGGGGAGCGCGGTTGCAGACTTATACCTTCCAGGTAGGAGCTTTTCGGAGTGCAAACAGCGCACATTCATGTTCACGGGTACATCCCACGAGGCTAGATACCCGAAGTTGTGAATACCGTGATGGAGGTGGTTAGCACCATGATGGCGGATCACACTTGTGTCCTGCAGGTACCAAATCCCTGGAACCGTGACGTTCTGTACTCGTGACTGCAAGTATAACGGATATGTCTGTTTACAGGCTTTGTAAAAGTGTAATGATTGGGGCGGGTGTCTGTTTGCATCCGTGTCAAAACGTTGGCTAGAGAAGCATTGAGTACCGACCGATCGCTGCCGACGCACGCCACGCCGCGCTATGACATGCGGACGGTTGGTGGGGCTAATGTAAGTGACAAGTGCGATGGCGCAATATTAGGTCCGAAGCAGTAGAACAGGTGGGGTATGAAGACGCGCAGTTGCGGTCGGGCGCGACGTTTGCTGGTCACCCGTGACGGATCTCATCACCAACAAGGCACATTAGGTCACCTTGTGTATTTGCCCACAAAATGCCATGTCACAAATACCCCGGTTCCTTTTCTGGGTAATTCAAAGCTTTTTTTTTCTGTGAAGTAAGTTCACAAGATAGCGATTGCTGCTCACTCTGAAATGGACAGTACAAACTCTCTTACTTGCGTAGCTACTCAGAACAAATGTGTTTCAGTAAAAAATGATGAAATTGGATGTAGCTTCATGTCAGTTCAGAGTATGGACTACAGATCTCAATGCGCCATACCCGGGGTATCGTGTAAACTCCATGAATGCAATGCCGTACTCGATGCACTTTACTCCAACTATAGCAGATCTATGCCCTCCCGCTCCGCAGCCTGCAGGATGAATTTCCTCGTCTTTGCATCTGGCACAAGCTGCAAGGGTATATGGCCATCATTATCCTGCTTGTCGAATTCGGCGCCCATGGTTAACAGTAGCAACGCCGCGTCTCCATGACCCTCGCACATGGCATGGTGTAAGGCTGTCATGCCATCCATATCGGTTGCATTCAGCGGACTTTTGGCGTCCAGAAGAGCCTTCATCACCGGCACGCTTCCAACCGCAGCCGCTCGATGCAACGGAAGCTGCCCTCTTTTGTCTTTTATCCTTGCTGAGGCTGGCGGCTTTTGCGCGAGTAGTGTGCGTGCGATATCGAGGTTGACTTTTGACGCGCAAAAGTGAAGGGCGGTTTGACCGTTGTTGTTCTTCGCGTTTACATCGGCATCTTTGGATAGTAGGAGGTCTACAATTTGCTCTGCATCCTTCCGTGAGCATGCCATCATCAGTGGTGTCCAGCCTGAGCCATCCGTGACATCGGGATCAAACGACTTGAGTTGAATGAGGGATTGCACGATCGGGAGGTGGTTGTAGGATACAGCCCAGTGTATGGGAAGACGGTCGTCGGGATCGCGCAGGTTTGCAAGCTTTGGATTTGCGGCGAGGAGTGAGTCGACTCGGGATACTAACAAATGTTAGACGGGTACATGTGCGAGGGGGGCGTCAATATCACGCACCTTGACCTTCTCGACACGCCTCGTGAATGGCGTACTTGGCCTTGTATTCCTCCATGATATTAAAAGATATACCTAGGTATTCTTTGTCACAGCTCAGCTTCTACAGAGCTAACACGCGCTACAACAACCTAGCACACTGGGTTTGGTGGTTTGGCCATCAGCTTACCACGGAGTTCTTGACCCCACCACGCCCGAGGCAGTTGTCCTTGGCGTAAATGACGTAATCAAGCATGATTTACTCTCTTAACATCATCCGCTAGCACAACATCTTGGCGCCATACTATCAGGTAGCTATACTATTAGCTCCCGGATCTTTGTATAACAAAACGGTGTTTTTCGAAGCTTTGTGTTCAATTGTCTTCACTCCAGCTTTCAACCCTCCACTAGTCTCTCTACAAGTGGACACCTCAAGATTACAAATGCAACGTTCATAGGGACGAGTATTAGGGTTCCAAGGTAGGTGATACGGTATCTACAATGTTGTATTTGTATTTGGCCGAGGTATTCAAAATGGCGGTAGCCTCGAGGGTGTAGACTACACATGGCGCTCGAGATGTACCGAGTGGCTTTGAGAATCAAGGACACACCGTGGAGGAGGCTCGGGAAAAGCTACAGTGAGGCTGTATAATTAGGAAATGATTGGAATGAATGATTCAGGTACCACGCCAGTCACTCTAGCACATCATTTGTGTAGTAAATAGTTAGATATACCAGCCACTTGATGTAACTACTAAGTAACCTTCCCGAAAATATGGAATAGACTTGAGTCGCTTGCGAATGATTAAATGTGAAAGTAAGCTAAGAATCATAGATGTCTCCTGTGTCACCTGTTTAGTCCCACCTCAAATTATCAATCGTCTTCCGAATATGCTCAGCCCCCAAAGCCTCACATCCCTGTGATGGATCACTGTCCTGCCTCTCAGGATGCAATTGTTCCATCTCCTCGTTCCATGCATGTCTATCTCTGTGCCACATCTCTTGTCTCTCCTCACTCTCTTTGACCAGATCCAGCAGCGGTCTCGGGTTGCTCCCCCCACCATATACCTCAGTCTTCAGGGCAGTCTTGACCAGCTTCCTCCAGTCCTTGGGCTCGAGCTCGATATTAAATCCCATGGGGCAATTGAAATCACCAGTGTGTAAGTGAAACAAAGCAGGATTGTTGTCGCCAATGCGGTATGGTTTTCTCTCGCCTATAGCTTCCAGGCGAGCTGCTTCGCGGTCGACTTCCATGAGGACTTTGTTGAAACGCTCGACTATGGCCTTCATGAGGGAAATAATAGACTGCACGTTTTGGATTGCGCTGTATGCTTCCTTGGGGCATTCCGTGCAGTGGATCAGGCCTGAGAGCACCGACTGTGCTTTGCGCAGGGGTATAATGACTTGGGGAAAAGGAAAGGACACAATGGATTGTAACTCAGTGAGTATTAGCCAGGTGGTTGTGAGACATGTGCATCTTCCTGTGTTTTCCTGGATGGGGTCGTCGGGGTGATTAGCCTGAACACCAGACTGCAAGTTCCAGAGGGACGGGTCGATGGTCGGGTCCGTCGTGTATCTATGTATTTGTTAATTCTCATGAAATACCTTTGCACGATGCGACATACGCGGCGATGGGCAAATAGGGCAATCCGAACGGATCCGAAAAGGTGAAGTTGTATTGTGCTGGAGTCACGGCCCCATGTCCTGAGGAGCCATTCGACGACTGAGTATCCTGCAAAGCCGGCATGGAAATCCGATTATGGAAATCCGCAAAGTTTGGCATATCAGCGAAGTTGTTCATAGTGTCAGGATGCACAGGCACAGGCAAATGGGCAGCTTCAACGGCTTCGCTCTCCCTCATCCTCTTCCTGGGTCGACCCATTTGCTTTTGCGGCGAGTAGATGCAGTCTATCTTCTCTCTATTGCAGCGTTCACATTTGGGAGTATTGCCGGAGCATTTCAGCTTTCGTGTGCCTGGGTGCTGTTGAGCCCTGATCGGCAAAAGTGGGAGTCTAGCTTGAGATACTCACGGCACTCATCGCAAGCCGCATGAAGCTTCCCCCCCGCCTGCACTTGGACTTGTGCCATTCTCGCCACAAAGATCTGAACTAAAGGGGCATGTATGTGGTAAGAAGGGGACGAGTGAAGTATCTGGTGCTAGAGTGTTGTTGTGGTTCTAAGCATGATCGCCGCCAAGGCAAGGCGTGGGTAAGCTACCCGGACAGAAGGTACACATTGACGATCTGGGGACGCCTAACTCGATACTGTTATGCTCTACAAGCATATCGCCACAAAGAATGAGAAGGCAAATCAGCCCCACTTGGGAACGGGAGACTAAACACGATGAATCGGATTGTGACGAGGAGCACTCCCTAGACACTCTGTCTGTGCTCTTGTGTGCAAATATTAGTCACCATTCGGGTTGATCATGTGCTGAGGCTCACAGACAAAGTTTTGTTCCTGTGGATTGACATGGCTATGTAGCCCGGTGGCATACTGGCGACATGGTTATCCGCGGCCGTAAGCCTAACCGGTGCCTCGCAATTGATCAAGGCCTCGCAGTGAGTGAGAACAAGACATGAGCAGTAGACGCCGGGCTACCTGCTGAGCGGCTTCCATTTTCAAGGCAATATGGACTATTGGGTCGCTTGGCAGGCTGCGATCCGATGCGCTGGCTGCGGAGACGACGTTGTGTTTCAGATGTTTCTTCACCGCCCCCAACACAGGCTCAAGTGCCGTCGCCGACGTTACGGCGGCTTCGCGCAATCGCTCAACCGAGCCAGAGGCATGTGAAGACGGCCCTGCATTATGAGGGCCTCAAGCGCATACCGCGCATGTGCATGTGCGATCAGTGAAAGGGCGCAGGAGCTCCGCCCCTTCTCTTGCAGCGAAACACGCCTACCTTTCTCCCATCTTGGTTTGGCTCTTCGCATGTGTAATCAATTCTCCCGATTCATGGTGCTGCCGACAGGCTCCGGGGTACTCTAGCCTGCTGCAGCGCGCCCTACCATGGTACCAAAAGCTGATGCCTGATGGCCCGGGGTCCACCCAAGGCAACGATGCGGACGACGTGAGGGTTCCTTTTCGTGCACAAGAGTACAGTCTCATGTAGCCAGAAACGGTCAAAGGGTCGTGACCATGTCAAGGCCATTGGCAATATCATGGGGACGAAGAGGATGCTTTGTTTCGCCCAATGTAGGCTTAGGGCTGATGGACAAGGGCGCGGTGGGTGGCAGCTATTGGCTGACGTGCACTGGCGCTGCTGCACGATTTGTGAGTCACAGGTCGGTCGGCCTTTCCATCCGCCGTCTCTCGCTTCGGATTACTTTTAACCCCCCACTTCGCCCGCTGCCTGAATTTCTCCTTCCTACTCATCTCACATCAACACAACACCACACCACAAACAGCATACAAGACAGCCACGAACAATGGCTGCCTTTTAGCTTCCCCCGCCTCTCGCCGTCCGCTCACAGCTGACATCTTGGATACCCCCAATATTCCCAACTTCCCCACTCAATCATCAACCTCAGAGCCTTCCTTTTTGGAACCTCTGAACTCAAGTCTAGCCTTGCGCAGCTTCAGTTCGCCGTCTCCCCTCCCGTTCGACTTTACGTCGTCCATCACGGCTTCCCAACAGTCATCATGGCTTTCTTCACCAGCTCCTCACGCCTCTCGGCAACCACAGAATACGAGTCAAACCACTTTCGCCCATCGTCAGGCCGACTTTGTGCTCTACGATCAACCAGCTCAGGTCTCTCAGCGGCCTCTGCAAGCACCGAGCGCTCCTCAGCCTGGGCATACGTTTAACAACGGCCAGCACTTTTACGCAAATTCTGCCCCGTCATCTACCACAGAATTCAAGCAGCCACGGTTACTCCAACGTCCTCCGGTTCCACTGTTTTCCAGCTCTAGCAACAACATTCCTCAACTGCACAACGTCACAAACATGGCAGGTACGGTGCGCGCTTTCCGATATCCCAGTCGCGAGCTCACGTTCCCCGCAGACTTGAACAGCAACAACTCCTTCGACTCGGGCGCGAGCCTGATGTCCAACTTCAACAACGGAGCCTATTCAATGGATCATGCGTCCGCATTCACGGCCATCAACGATCCTTCTGTTGCCGCCGCGTCTTCGCGCACCGTGTCCCCCAAGGACATCTTCAGTGATGGCTTTGGGTCTGCGCCACCATCTACGGCGTTTACAAACTTGACTTCCCCCGATATTGGTGACTCTCCCTTTATTCAAGACCCCTTCGAGTGCTCGCCCATGTTCAACGGTGACGCCGTCATCTCCGACACGAGCGACTGGTTCTCCTTGTTCCCTGAGCAGGAGACCAAGGTTGCTGACACCGTCTACGCGCCCGCCATCTCCATGTCTATGGAGCGCACCGTCAGCAGCCAGTCGATGGAGCGATCTGGTTCCTCCAGCATCGGCTCTCCTCTTGTTTTGGATGCACACTCTCGAAGGAAGTCATCTGTCACCAACTCACCTGCGACAAACGGCATCAGCAAGTCTCGTCGGCGAAAGGGCCCTCTACCAAACATCACGGTCGACCCTTCCGACAAGATTGCCCTGAAGCGAGCGCGCAACACTCTTGCCGCCCGTGAGTCGCGACAAAGGAAGTTTGACCACGTCAGCACTCTCGAGCAGCGCAACTCTGAGCTCGAGGCTGAGGTCGAAAAGTGGAAGAGCATTGCTTTGGCTCATGGATACAGCGGACAATGAATGTCTTCGTCTCTCTCATATGGTTACCGGTTCATGGAGCTGGTGAAGAAATCAGCCTTGCCTTTTGGCAAAAAATCCTTTTCTTGTTGTTCTTTGCGGTATTCCTTTTCGTTCGCCCGCCTTCTTGTCGCTCGACGGATGGTGTTTAGGCGCTTTTACCTTTGTTATCTTTATCGCCGGTGTGTAGTCTCCCGTTGTGGTTTTAGATTGACTCCGCCTGGTGTATTTGTTAATACGCTGTCAAGGCCTTTTCCGTTGAGTTTGGTGAGCGCTTTCGTGCTGAAGCCTCCGAGATAGTCTCCTTATATATATCTGTTCATCCATGACTCCCTTGCAATGACTGTGACGTTTTTCGTGACTCATTTTTGCCACCCGTGAGTGTTTGATGCATATGACTGGTAACGACCCCCCCTTGTGAGTCATACGTTGTTGGTCATGTCGACCTGAGACCAATCATTCATTATTGCAATGACGCGCAGGCCCCTCTAGATAACAAATACTCCCGGCCACCCTTACATGATATTGTTGATGTTGGATGCTACTCGCCTGAAGCTGTGCTGTTGGTGTTGGCTCAACGCTGGGAAAGGCCTGCGCTGTGAGGCAAATTGAGAGCCCGCTCCCTGTATCTGCAGATTCGAGCTAGCCAACGTGTTCTAGCGCATGTGCAAATTGTTGGAAATGCTGTGCATATGTATGCGCATGTGATTCTTGCAGTAACGATCGCTGGTCCCGCTATGGGTGGGGCGTCTGAACCAAGGTTCACCGAATACCCAGCGGTTCTGCCACTTCCCTCCGACTTTCTAAATATCATAGTGCTACTCTATATATACACTACTATTGTTAATTACTTCTATAAAGCAATCAATGGACAGATGGCCGAGTGGTCTAAGGCGCTGCGTTTAGGTTCGTTCTAAACATCCTCCGCAGTCTTCACGGGCGTGGGTGTAAGTTTACTCAATCCTGGCGAATTTCAATCACAATACTAATATCCACACAGTCGAATCCCACTCTGTTCAACGCTTTAATAGCCCGATTTCTTTTTTTGCCCTTTGCTGGAAATTGAGGTATTTTCTTTTTGCTTCGTGGTGGGGCGAAGGGAATTAGCGAGTGCCCCGCCACAGCGGGGCAAGCACATGCGCGTTGTTTTTAAACAATAGATGCAACGTACAGGGAGTGTTGATATTATACAGCGAAGTGTCTGTGAAGGAGGAAGCTCTCCAGTTGTTAAATTTATTCTGTGGTTAATCTTTTGTTCTTGGGGCTTCACTTTATTCCTGGAATCTCGCTATACCTGCACACTACCAGTTTTTCCTACGGTCTACCTACGGAACTATCGCGATAAAGCTGGAAGCGTCAACCCCCTCTAAAGCTACGCAAACGTATATAAGGTCGATTCATAGAGCAATACAAACACCTATCAGTCCTACATTACAGCTATGCCATCACAACCCGACGACCTTCTACTATCCGTAAGCAGCCATCCATATTACCAGGTAGCAAGCACCCTGGAGCTCAGTATCTCGAAGTCTCCAGGCCTTCGCGACAACATCAACATCACATCTGTCTTAAAATGCCGCAAAGGCCTACGTATATACATCCCTCCATCACCTGGCACTGCAGAGAGCTTTGTATGAAGAAATCTCGGACAAGATACTAACGAGACATAGCTTCAGTCTTCCCTTCGCAATGTGCTGGCAACGTTTGGCGCAAACAGCAAACAGTACCGCGATATTAAACTGATGGTCGACGAGTACACGGCCAAACTTGCGATGGAGAGGCTGTCTATATCTTCGAGCAAGCCGCTGCGGGATGATGGATGTGAGAGGATGCACGTGAATTGATAAGGAAGTCTTGGTAGTTGGAAGATAGTGAGGTTGGGATGAGCTCGCCTGGTTCAGAAAAGGAGTGCGCAAAACTTAAGCAGTCTTTCATTCATAGGAGATGCTAAATATGTCTAGGTGCATTTGTGGCTTGCGCTATACAGGCGGCACAATGTATTGGTCTTTGTAGACACGAAAATTTCAATTCGATCTCAGTTTTGGATTCTGCAGGGTAATACCCGGGCTATCGTCGAGAGATGGAAACATTGCTTCCTCCTATCACTCCCAACCTAACCTGTTCATGCTTTCTGCCCGTTGTTACTTCAATATAACTCTGTAATTCCTTCTTCAAGATAGGTATGTCGAGTCGTCTTCCTCTGGAGCGGGTACTATAGCGAGCATTTTGTGCACCAACAACCGGAGATCCTCTTTGGACAACGACGCAAGCTGGCTCGATGTAGAAACCATGCATTCCTCGACGATCCTTTCGACTTCTCGGTTGGGCACGTCGAGTGGGATGCCCAGGAGAGATTGATAGTGCGCCATAGTCTCCCTCAGTGTCTTTTCGTCGTCGGGCGTCACATCCAAGGTGATGACCGAGTCTTTGATGATTGCTGAAGTAGCTGGCAAGACCCTTTGAATCAACTCCATGATGCTATCGGGGACTGTGTTGATGGCGTATATGATCTGGAGGAACTGGTGCCAATCTTTCTGGGGCAACTGCATCTCGTGGGTTTCCCTGGGGACCACAGCAGGTGGCGTCCATGGCACATAGACGTATGGCACAAATGGCTTGGACGCTTGAATTGGGTTTGGGTTTGACGAGCGGTAACCAAGTGGCCAGAATTCCGTTCCTGGAGCGAGTGTATTGCGTTCTTCCGGGTTTGTGCTTGTGTCTGCATCTGCGACTGCTCTGTTCAACGCCATTTTCGAAAGGAGAGGCCGTGATGTAATGGGCAAGTATTTGCAGGTGCTGCCCCTAGGCGGTTAGCGCAGGTAATTGGAAAGTTTGTACACAAGCATCCCTAGGGTACTTACCTAGGTAGGCATCTGGCACTAACTTCATTGGGAGCGCGCCTCTCAGTCAACCCGCCTTCATGCCTGTTGATACTCACTCACTTTTAATTTTACTTCAGTCCTGTCAAAAGTCCACAGCAACATCGGTGTTCACGCTATCATGGAGCGCATCGAGCTACACAATGTCAAAGATACCCTCGAAGAGAGCGTCGACTTCAACCGGAAAACGAAGAAAGACACAAAGATACAGTTCATGAATTCGACCGCAGACAAGCACTCGCTACAGAAAGGTGACCTGGGTGCGGTGGAAGCAACTGCAAAGACGGCTATCAGCTATCTGGGATCTGGAGGTAGCCTAGAATTTCCCACGCTAGGCATTGTCGCACTCCAAGCAGTGACAAAGGACCTGGGACAGATTCGCATACAGTTCGAGGAACTAGTACTGCACAAAAAAAGCTCAAGTTGCTGCGACGCTACTATCAGGCATTTGGCTATGAGACCCTGAAGGAAGCGCTTTCCGACAAGGGCATCCAAAAGCCTACCGCAAAAGAGATCGAAAACATCCTCGTCAAGAAATACAAGCCTCTTCAAGCAGGGATCTCGTCCGCCTCGGCTTGTCGGAACTTCTTGAGAATCCTGCAGAACCTTCGGCAAGATGGCTACAACTTGATCTACCTATTCCGGGACGCCTCTATGAACTGGCGCTTGAGGAACGAGACGGTTTCCGGAAGACAGACGCGCGAACGTATAGTAGCTCTTTTCGGTCGCTATCTAGAGGATCTCCGCCACTTTCCTTTCGTATCCACTGCTGGTGATATCCAGGCAGCTATGAGGGCTTACTTCCAACGCAAGAAGTTCCCAGGTTCGGATAGTCAGTGGTTTACTATCTGCGGATCGCATTGGCCATCGTTCTTGGAGGCACGAGCATACGCGTGGAGTATCGTGAAACCCATGTGTTTTGACACTATTAGCGACGAGGAGATACTGAGCGTCCATAACATATACACGAGACCCATGCACTACCACGTGCTTCACCCTATGGACGTCAACGGCGAGCAGATCCTGACGACTGCAATGTCACTTGAAGCCGGTAGCATCCTTGGCATCGTTGCGGCCCAGATGCGTTACGTTGAGCCAGCTCTAGCAAAGTCGCACTGGTTCCAGCTTCCGAATGGCGTCTATTGTGAACCACTTCCGGGTCCCTTCACCCTCATCTTCCGAGGACCGGATGTCTCCAACACTCACGGCAACGTTTGTCTAGTCTACGATGTCGTCAAGGATCCGTTCAGCGGGGTAGCGCCTTTTCGCTTGTTTGCTGTCACCGTGAGGTTCATTGCTCCTTTGGAGCCCCCCAGACTATGGTGATGAGACACGATGCGCAGCCTGCCGTAGTGCGGTCTATCAACGTCGAGGCATATATGCGCACTACCGAGTGGCATACTTGTATACCATATCGAGAGATAATCTAGCTCATATCCAAGCACCAAGTACGATCTGAATACAAATTGATTATGCTCCATTCGTATACAACGCCCCGTGTTAAGTCTGTTAGTGGTCTTTGATGTGATTATATGTCCGTATTTTATTGCTTCCGTGGCAAGTGCGCAAAAGGATGCTGCTCTCATAGCCTATGTGGGCATTATAGTGCCCGTAATACTAATCATGACAGCTTTATGTGTCAAAGATGGGTAGACACTGAAGTTGAGCGGTATACGCGTTATACATAGAAGTAACAGCTTGAGATGCCCGGCCTACTGTAGGTACAGAAGGAAGAGGATATGGTCGGTGACTTAGTGGGTATGGATGTGAGGGAAGATGCACACCTACTCAATAATAAATCTCAACACTGGTGACCTCACGGCTTTATTCATTCACCACCTTCGAAATTCAGAGTGGAGAATCGATACAACTATATTTGAGGGTAAAAAATCAAACTACGCGGATATATTACAGGTAAGGAGAAGGTCTAAGATGCGACCTTGATGCTATCTAAATGAGAATTAGGAAGACAATACATAACACATAAGCTTTTGGTATGACAAAGAAGAAAAGAAATACGACATGGTGAGTAGGATGGAATAGAAAATATGGCGACACGGAGGTCAAATGACCGAAGGAAGCGACGCGGTAAGATTGACGGCATTTCTGCCGGTCTTCACTCCAAACGACAGGTCTTTCCCATCTTGGAGGGTCTTCCAGACCGTAATGAGTTCTCTCGACTTTTCATCATGGCCGTTCCAGGCAGTCGGCTCAAGACTGCAGGTCTTTTGGATGTCGCCGATGTCGTGCCGAACCCAATACACGTTGTGGTCTTCTTCAACGAACTTCTCGCTCATCCCATAGTATAAGCCATTGAGGCGTAACACGAGGTCGAAGTGTAGGCCATTTTGTTGAAGCCACGGCTTCAACATCCGCAGATCGCAGGCCCAGCCGTCCAGACCCACCGACACTACTGTCGGACGCAGTCCTGCCTGATTGGCTGACTCAATATCATTGACAATGGCTTTCGTAAACTCAAAAGCTCTGTGGATGTCGGACTTCTCTCCCGCTGAGTTTCCCAGAAAGCTATTATCAATAGCGGGTGCTGGTAGATACCGAGTTGGACAGTCGTAGCAAGAATGCAGGACAGCGGACTTGCTCTCGTCCTTACTCCAGGCGACGTAGTGGTTGAGCACTTGCTGCCCAATTATCGGCAGGCCAGTTTCAAAGCTTTCTGTACCTGCCTTCCAGGCCTGTGGCCGCTTCTCTGAGCTACGATTGATGATGATGATGATGTTGGGTGGCATCTCGTCCTTGGCTGCCGCCGTGATCTCGATTCTCACTGACGTCTGTCGCTCGCCCGGCGGTTTGGCTTTACACCTCTCCTCATGCCCTGCCAGCTGGTATAGACAGGCATGGCGGACATTTCATCCTGCTACCCGGCATTGATATGGGCTCCGAAGGTCGTCCTTGTGGCTTCTTGCATGGTTGGCCATGGCAGTGCCGTTGGCACATACGACTTTACACCCATTATATGTCCCCCATGGACATTTAATGTCCGTTTGTGACGGTGCGGAGCAATCCGTCAGCTTCGCATGATGGTTCGCTTTAAAAAAGGCTCGCAGTGCGCTGCTCAACTTGAGGGGGCATCTTGTACCCCTAAAGGTAAGGGGAAGTTTTCGTATGAGCAGACCGATACAGCTGACGGCAAGAGAAGTACGGCGCGTCGCTGCGCGCGATAAGGTAGCGTGGAGAATACAGAACAAGAAAGTCTCGAGCATGAACTTGTGTATGAAAGACCAAGGCAGATACCGTCTTAGTGGGTGGTGCGTGTTATAAGAAGAGAAAGAGCGACTGACGGGTATGGCCGACCAGATCGACAAGCGCGCACGGACGCAGGCATTGAGGTGAGTTGGGAAGTCTCACTCACCTCGAGTCTTTCCTTAATAGGCAATCGCCACACCGCTGCCCTGAAGATGAGAGAGTGTGGGCACCCGGGTCCTGAAGGCACACGGAAATCATTAGGCCATCGCTTGCCTACCTAGGTATCTTTTATTCCCTCAGGAACACGAAGTCAATAATTGTGAACACGCGCTGCGGCCCTCTGTAGGATTCTAGGTCAACCAAATGCGATGATGTAGCTTGTATGGCTTCAGTGCATAATTAGGTTTCACCTGCTGCGTAAAAATAGTTCGAAGGCATTCAGGCTCTTGTAAAGACAACTTGATTGTAGTGCTGATTTGACTCTAGTCGACGCCATCCATATCGATATGCTTTAGTCTTTTCCAGATGTGAACTCATTCATGCTCTCTCTCGACACCAATCGAACACGAAAGGGGAATGGGACTTTCCAACTCAAGGTGACCCTGACGCCTGTGCGCATTTGATGTTACTCGCCCTCTTTACTTCTCGCCTCGAGCACTCACCACGGCATATCTGCAAGAGTCTGCACTGTCATGACTGATCGAATTTATTCTAATACTTCCACGTCGCCCGCCTAAACGTGCCCCTTCTTCAATCTCAAGCGCATCTCAGAACTACCCTAAGCTATGTCTATGTCAGCCGCCAAGTCCGATTTTGTCGTGAATAGACAACACCGACAGCTTCTGGTAGGGGTTCTTGACGCTTAACGACTTTTGGGGGAGTTCTCGGTCTATTCCACAAGTTCGTCAAGTCAACAGGATTGTCTACAATACGCGCAGATAAGATAGGTGTCCTTACTAGAAAACACCATTGCTGTTGGTTGGCTTTGCACTAAGTGCGTAAAGGGAAATAACGATAACTAGGAATGCATTCTGTTCGGTGGTTGTGATTGATTGTCTACGAACATAGCTGCTACGAAGGTATACCTAAGCTCTGCGCAAGATGGGCCGAAGTCGGGCCGAAGTGTCAAGCAGCCGACGTCTCTACCGATACTCACGATCCGACAATTGCCTATATTAGTGGGAACGAAAAAGATACCACTATCCTCGCAAAAGTGATGGGAGAGCCATATAAAGAGAGATTCAACGATACGACCATTACAGAAGTCATCAATCATGCCAGAATGGCAGTACAGTCCTTGAATGAATCCGCCAAAAAGCGTACCTTTTTGTAACGGTGTGAGGAGAGGAGGAGGACTGCGTTGCATTGTATAGCTATGGAGAAACTGCAGCTATATAAGTGTGTGTGATGAAAAAGTGTGGTAGCGATAGCCGTACCCAACTCTCACCCAAGTCGGTCTTGGCAAGGCCCAAACCGTTACACTTTTCACAGGACCCAAATACACATTGGCAGTATTTTGGTCACGAATTCCGTGCGTTGGCAGTCAAGGCAATACCGGTTGAGGACTTCAAACCCGCCCAGACCAAGACAGGCAGGTTATTGGTATTTCACTATCGGGACATGGTCAACAACCCTCTGTATGTGGATAGCAACTCAGAATCCGTGGAGAAGTCAGAGGTGACTTTCTTCGAAAAGGCCATACGTTTGGACTATGAAACTGTGACGGTAGATCTCTGGGACATAAGCAAAGTACGTTTTGATCACCACTATTAATTAGTACGATCTAACAATTAAAGGTGCTCTGCGAGGTACATCTAATGAATCCCACTCCAGCTACCTTTGCGGAAATGGATCTCGTTCACCGGGATCTTAAACGAGTTCCACAATTAGTGAGTCAGGTCAGAATACGCGGTGAGCTCGGGGGGGGGGGGGGGGGAGGACAGATGAAGAGAGCTTGGCCTTTGAAAACAGTGTACAGGCATTATCGGACAGCCTCCACACGTCAGTCGCACCATTCGTGGATATCATTCATGGAGATGACCGAGCACATGTCGGGATCATGATACGCGCCATGTCGATGCCCCTAGAAACCATGAAGTTACATAGGGACTGCAAGAAAAAAAATCTTACAAGGTCCAACCGATCGATGGTTATGGCTTGCCATGCGGAAGGTTGCGAATCTGGGTACTCATCTACTAACTTCCGGGATCTACATCACTAACTTCGTCAAATGGATGGGCAAACCATGGCTCGCGACACTGTTGGCGAAACAGATGCCTTCTTCCTGGACAAGAGTACAACTTTGCTCCCATTGGCAATATGGGGTGATCTACTCCACCTGTGCCCCATAGCCGCCCACACTCCCTTCGATTTTTCTGTCGACGCCAAAGAAACTTTGAGGCTAGGGAGCCTTTTCTGCGAGTTTGCGCCAGACGACTCCGAATACAATGTCATCAGATGCATGAAGCCAATCTGGTCCGTCGACTACGCTGCATGTACGAGCGATATGTACGGTCAGAGCACAAAGCATCGAGCGCCCCCATTCGACGCCCAGTATCGACGCGTGCTACCACGCTGTGTGAAAACAGATGTCACGCGCAGTACTAAAACGATCATATATGAGCTAAAAGCGAGGCACTATTCAGATGGAGGAACAGAGGGCACCTTGTATATCATAAGTACATGGTTAAACGAGTTGTATACTGCGGTACTTGATGGTAACACAGAAAAGTTCTGGGATCTGATCGATTTGGAAAAGAAATGGGAAGGAGAAGGCAGGACCACCTTAGGAGGCACAGAATAGAAGAGGATTGACGATGTTCATGCGCCCGCGCAAGAAAAGAGTCGAGTGCGAGGATTGAAGGGCTTACCCAAGAAGTGGGGAGCTGGGTGCTTGGCTGAAGAATGTTATTTTGGAGGAATATCTAGGCGATGAACCATCGCGTGGAACCGCCGACGGACCAAAGCAGTCGTCGAAAACCATAGTCATGCGTAGCATTCGTATGCACCCATGTCGCCATTATCGTGAGGCAGATGGTCCCGGAGGCAGAAATGAGTAGAAACATTCCTACTGATTATGGATTGAGGCTAGTTCATTGCCGTGATCTGCTTGGCGTAATTTACATGAAGTCCACCACCGAGCTATACACGAATCAGCCAAAGCTAGGTGCCATAGATATAATTGTATAGACCTCTCCTGCTTCGTCACATGCATATATAAACATGATTTAGTCGATGAGTCTGTCAAATCCCAACCATATTGCAAGTCTTTGTGCGGGATACCGCTTGCAGGCCCTCTCTTACCTGCTTGTACCGTTTACAGTGGAGGCTCCAGGTAATCAACATGAAAATATTGAAGATTCTTGTGAGAAACGTTGAGACTACCTTTACCTTGCTTTGAAAGCAGAGATGTCAACAAGCAAGTCAAGCTGGCTTGATTCTTATCGATTGCAGATCACAGACCATTCTCTGGGACGTGCCACTGTGCACGAGCCTCTATATTGTCTGTGATCTGCAATCGATAAGAATCAAGCCAGCTTGACTTGCTTGTTGACATCTCTGTTTGAAAGCTAATCAATACCCACTCCCTGGCTATATCACTTTCTCTGGGAGACCAACACTCGGACACTCGGTAACTTTGGTAGCCCCAACCTCCGAGATGAAGAGACACGCAGACAACTTCGATAAACAACCCCAAGGAAACAAGAAGCCTCGCCATGAAAGCGACCACATAGGAGCTTCTGTACCGGTCTTCCCGCAAATGGTGAAGGCCTTATGTCAAGTCTGTGTTACGACACGAAAGCCAGAAATGATGGAATTCATTGGTCAGATCAAGAACAAAGACATCGAAGACACTCGTAAGGGACTGTGTCTCTTAACAGACGAAGACAATATCCGCACATGGCGAAGTGGTTTCAGAGCCTTACTTGACTGTGGCGACATCGTCGAGCAAGCAAGCAAGTTCATGAAGAAGATACCCAAGAAAACTCAAAACATGTGTAAGAATGCCATGGAGAAGCATGAAAAGACCATGCACCAAGGTATGAATAAAACCCAACCATCAACCACGTTACATTAACACAGTCCAGACCGCGATGGGAGTGAGCAGGGTATCCCTTCCCTAGATCCAAAGATTTTCGTAGGGGAGACGATAATGGCCAACATGAAGCCACCAAAAGAAAACGTGAGGTGGGAACCCGGAGCGTGGGCGTTGAATTGGTCAGATTTGAACTCTACACAGGAGCAACAACTGGTAGATCAGATGAAGCTTCGACTGTCTCCGGAGGGACGCAGCATGCTCGATATCACTATGGTGAAAGACATGTGTGAGATAATCGCTCGGAACAAGACTCGGAACAAGCAGGCCAATGGCGATACGGATACTACAACACAAGATGCGGACATGGAGGCAGAGAAGGATTGAGATGATGCTGCAGACGGAGATGCCACAGGATGCGATGAAGCAAGGTGGCACGATATATGGCAATGACCATGCGAATCCCAAGGAAGTGGCAGCTGCTCGACAATGCGAGATAGCACGGCCACAGTGCGAACCAAAAGTTTTGAAATTCTGCTTCTATCGGTTGACGATTTCTTCGTAGACTAGTTTGGTTAGATCAGTGGACCCTGACAGAGAATTGAATTTGCAACCTTCCCTATACCATGATCGCTAAGACATTATCGGTCATGCCACTGAAGAATGCTAGCGAAGTCTCGAACCGTATCAACCACCACACGAGATTTCGTCAAAGCTTCGCCAGGCTGAGTCCAAGACACCCACCAGTGTTGCTTTGGTACATGGTAACCTACTTGATTGTATCTCACTAGTTCCGACCGCTGATGCCGTAGACGTAGATAGGTTGCGAGAACTTATACCAGTCTTTTTGCAGAAGTGCATCCATGGGATATATAAAGCCTTCTGCGGAGGATGTTTAGAACGAACCTAAACGCAGCGCCTTAGACCACTCGGCCATCGCTTTCCCTCCCCACTCATTGCAACACACTCACGCACGCCTACATGCAACCTACCGAGCCCCATCAAATACGAACAGACTGTCCATTTCAAACCCACCCTCTCTCGTTACGAGATGTGGAGATGAAGACCAGCAGCCCATCATGACCGAACTAGTGTTAGCGCAAAAGCCGGTTTTCTTGGCTTCTTCTGCATACCGTACATACAGTGCACCGATCAGGGGAGTGCTGTAGATCGATTTAATGCACGTGGGTGGGGTACATGGAGATTTTGAGATTGCGATTATGCATTGTAGATGATCTTTGTACTACGTGGAAGTTTAGTAAGGGGGTAGGGTGGTGGTGCTAAGGCACGCTACGAACATGTCATGTGATGCGGGATGTGTGGTTGTGGCGATATCTGGATCGAGTGGTGGTGTGATGTGGTGTATGCAGCCATGGCATTTGCGATAAGAGGGGTGTGGTATCGAATAAGAAAAGAAATTGCCTCAGAAGTCTTGTGGTGATAGACGTAAAATGGCATTGGTTCCAAGGGGTTTTCATTCTGCTCATTAGATCGTATGTAAAAATGGTATACCTGCAAGCGTTCATGACCCCAGAGCACCATTTGCCGCCCCCAAGCTTTTTTGCGCAAACCTCGCTCTCAGCGCCATAGGCATGTGTGGTATAAGTAAACGCCTTATGCAAAAACCGCGCTTGCGTTCATGACCAAAACACACCAGATATCCACAAACAAGGTCGTAACCCAACCCTTTCATACACCCCGCTATATCATTTTCTCCACCCAACTACAGCCATCCACTCATCTTCTTCGTCTGCTGTGTCCGCGCTTTCTTCCGGATTTGCCCCTCATTCTGCTGCTGAAACTCCTTGATCTCGGTGCTATACTTGTGATACTCGGCGACGCAGTATTCCACCAAGCCCTGCACATCCTCGACGAAGCCCTCGGGCCCGCGCTTGGCAACCCAGAAGCCCAGGCCGATGATGGCGCCCCAGAAAACCAGGCGGAAGGCCAGTTGCACCCAAAACATGACGGCGCGGTAGAGCATGTTCAGCATCATGAGGCTGATGTAGAAGATGGCGAGGAGCGCGAGCACGGTGGCGACATCGGGTTGTGTGACGACTTTTGTGAGGAGCGGGGTGAGATGCTCGGCGAGGGTGCGCTGGATGCCAAAGGCTGTGGTGATTATTTGGAGGAGCGGGTTCGCGAAGGATGGGGGAAGGAGCCGTGGGAGGAGGGCTGCGTAATCTATTGAAAGCCGTTAGTAATGCACATGTTCGCGTCTGTATTGAGAGTGCACACCTTGTACAAAGTCCATTTTGGGCGGTTTGCGATGGAAAAGCTGGTGCTGAGGTCGTGTGCCAGACGCGATGTGACGAGACGGGACGCGTTGCGGGGAGATGGTTCGTGTGCAGAAGGCGTCGCCACACTACCTATCAAATACTCAAACAGTCAATATGTCACAATGTGCAACAAACAAATATCAAAGCGTTTTGTTCTGTTCTTTGACTTGCAGTGCGGTGACAGCTGTCCACGTAGTCAATTCAACCACCGCGGTGAGAAGAAAGCGCGTGCCCCACAAAAACCCTTTCACCCTGCAGCTCAACCGCTACAAAGCCCACATGTCAGCTGCACGTCATGGCGGACAGAGAATGGAAAGCGCTCTCTCTTAGTCACGTGGGTAGGTACGGAAAATAAAACACACAATAACTATAGCTAACACCAAACGAAAGCAAGGGAGGAATATCCACCGACCCTGCATCGTTGTGCGAGTCGGTCTCACATGCAGCGGGGTATTCCTGGCCTGCAAATGCGGTCAACTAGCGGCACCACCGCTGTTCTGCGGCTCCCGCGCGAGGTCGCGCAATCGGCATGAATCGCGTCCCGTTCGGTTTCGATAGTCGTCCATGTGGAGTCTCGGGTGGTGGAGATTGCGGGCGAGAGAGAACGAGAGAGTTTCACATGCACATGCTGGTAACAGTATTAGAAATCCTGGGGTGAGCAACTGGCGGTGTGTGTGTCACCCACAGCACATGACGTGAACCCGTCGAGAGAGGGTCCATGCTGCAGATGGGTCCGTGTTACCATCATGGACGGTGCCTTGCAGCACGTATTGCGCAATTGGGAACACAAAGAAAGAGGGCATGATTGTCGTGGGTCAATGTTGTATTTCTTCACTATCCTATGCTAACGTCCTATGTCATGCTTCCATCCTCCATGTGTCACACACTCGTCCTCCTCGTGCATCCTTGGGCACGGAATCCTGAACAAAAAGAAAAGGCTCAAGGCCCATGTAGTGACACTAAGGTCTGGTATCATAAGTGCAAAGCTCTGCCAAACGCCCAAATATAAATCATGTGTAGTCGTAAAGTATGTATGCGAAGTGAAGGTCGCAAAAGTAAAGTGCTGACTGGTACAAGACGTGGTGCATGGTGGTACAGACACCTGTCAGACCGCACCACTCAGTTGAAGTCGAGTCAAGGTAATTAGAGCTCAGAGCCAGCGTTCGCTCTTCTGCTGTGTGCCGTACTCTGCTTCAAAGTTGAATTTAAAGGACGAAGCCTCGGATAAGGAAGGATAGTGGATCAATGGTGACCTGTGCGAGCATGTCGAACCGCGGTGGAAGTCGGTTGGTGGGGAGCTGGGAGAGTAAGGCGTGGGTGGTCGGTCTGCAATAGATGAGGACATGCTGGACTTCCTGCGTACTCGGTCCGGTACTCGTATCGAGCTGGTGGGTGACTTCATCGAGATGTTGTCTGTCAAGGATGGTGTTCGTGGAGGGAACTCGTATGTGCTGAGCTCCTTCTCAAAGTCGGTGTTGATTCTGGGGGATATGCGATCTCGTGTGAGGGCTGGCTGGGTTGGTCGGATGCCGTACTTTTCCGGTCGTTGTGCGTATTGGCTTGGTCTTCGCCATGATTCAAACTCGGCGTCGTCTAGTGGTGTGGCTGCTCGTAGGGAGAAACCCCTCATCCGTCTTTGAGATCTCTTCCAGCAAAATAGTAGGGTAACGGCAACACCGGTGACGACGAGGGTGCCTACGACGGCGCCAAGAATGGCCCAGACTTTTGTTTGTTGGTCCATGATGGGGTATTTGTAACTGTGTTTAATGTCGGCGATGGTGGATGCTGTAGTTGGCCAGTTTGTAGAGGACGAGTTCAAGGCAATATATTAAAGAAAGACGGTCCTCAAATCAAGACCATACTGGCAGCGGCTGGTGCGGCTACTTCCTCGAGTGGCGGTGGACGAAACGTTGGTCGTAGTCTTGAGTCCACTTCTGTCGGGAGTGAACCTGGAAGGGCACCACGGATAAAGTAGTTGCGAGATAAGCGGGGGGGTCATGCGTGTACCGATCCACAGCACCCGGGCAGGGAATGATGGTATGCTGCTAGCGGCACGGAAAGACAGAACAAAGAATGAGGGTTTGGTAGGGGCTACGATGGCGCAGTGAGCGAGGAGAGTGATGTGGGTTATAGATATCTCGCAAGCTTGGCCCAAGGCAACATGCAGGTACGAGGACGTGCCTAGTGGTGGGGTGCGAAGTTTACTAGTAGGGCAGAGACTTATGGAAATATCGGTGAGTTGTGCACTAAAGTCAACCCTGGTGGGCTAATTTGGACAAGCTTGGAACCACGGCCGTTGACGATGGCGCAAACTCCTAGAGAGGCAGTTCCGCCGCGGCTGGTGCAGGGGCCAGGACAGTGCCGACCATTACTGCTATGCCAGCACCAGGCCGTGGCGTCGTCAAGGTCAGCAAACTGGCCGCCTTTTTGACAGCACACGGAGGCCTTGCGACGAATGCGCGGGCAGAAGTCGCCAAAGCCCAGGGCAGACTGACACTGGAGGCTTGAACAGCGGTGCAAAAGCACGCCTCGTCCTGCACAACTGTCAGCTGTACTATCCGTTTTCTTCTTTGTTTTTCTGGTTGTCCTTGCATCAGCGAGGGTGGTCGGAAACTTGGCTTCGCTTGCAGACGGCGTCGATCCACCATCTCCAACGAGTCTCGTGACCCACCTCTGCCCACCACATGCAGGCACTGGCCAATCCCGACACGGCCTCTAGGTGCGTCCCGCAATCGCTTCCTTGAAGCTTCTGTCCCCTCGCCCGCCCAGTGCGCTTATGTGCTGCTCTGCGGTCACAAGTCCATATCTCACCCATGGTGTCGGGGGAGGAGAAGAGCACGTCTCCATAGTAGCGCCATGGTCTGGTCCGAAGAGTGCAGCAATACGAGCTACACGCCGAGCGTTCCTGACGTCCCTGACGTTCCTGACTACAGTATCGCGCAACCCTGCAGCCGAGTGTCTTGTCTTGCAGCAGACCGGACATGGCTCGCACCGACAGGTTCCATGGCTTGAACGGTTGCTTGGTCACCAGCTCGCCAGCTCACCCATTGCCCATTATCTCGGATGCCTCACCAAGGGGCCATTTTCTGTACCAGCCAATGGCGCTCCTGGAACCCTCACCGGATCCACCTGAAACACACATCATCTCTGCCTCTCAAGCTGGGCGACGACATCAAGTACCGTCCGCCGTAAGCTGAGCAACACGCCTGGGGCTTGCAATTTGCTGCACTACCACATGCGACTAGCCGTAGCCCACATAGTAGCGCATCATCTGGGCACGTCTATCCAGCTAGCTGCATGCGTCAAGAAGTCGAGAAACTCTCCGAACGTGGATACTATCGCCTTCGCCGATACTCGCATCATTATCGCATGTGGCAGACGAGCCAGAGGCTCCCAGAGACGGCCACGAGCTGAATCCCGCAGTCCAGACACGCTAAAACTGCTGCATCTTCAAAACCCCCCTTACCTGCCCAGCAACTTGTAACAATTCCAGCATGGGAAAAAATCACCGCTATGAAAACCGGGTCTTCCTTTCCGCACTCTTGATCTTCGTGCACGCCCCGTAGCCGAAATGATCACTTAGCAAGTTGATAATAGCAGGCACCATCCCTAACCAGCATGCCGCTCGCCGCTCGCCGCTCGACCTTCACTCCTGAAAGAACAAACCGGCAGGCATGTCCGAATAACATCGGCAAGGCTATACAAGGGCTCGATGACGGCTACTATTCAATCAAGTGCATTCTTGATTCCAAGAGTAGTAGTGTCGACGCGCCTTTGCCGCTCATACCGAATACGACCACGGTACCTGCATGTATGTAGCCTTCGCACTCGTTCTCCGGCTAATATGTCATGTCTGCACGTGGATGTCGAGACGACGCTATGACGGCGCATATAGCGGAGAGTTTGTAAAAGTGTCTGTGCAAACATCAAAGACTCTTTGAACGTCAAAAGACGTTTGGGTGAGCTGAGATTGTGCGTGTGGTGCGCAATAATGCAACGCTGACGTAGTGGTTACTTGCTCACATGTCCTGATCAACTGCGGGGAGGAGAGAAGGTGCGATTCAGGTGGTAACTCTCGGTCGGACCAAAGCAGAAGGTGCCAAGAAGTCGGCCTTTGAAACAATGTGCAGCGAACAATCTTTGCTCCACCAATGAGCTCCTACAAGTACCGTGTATCCACCCCCTGCCCCAGTCCTCAGCCGAAGAAAGCGGCACAGAGCCACAACTCCAGCACCATCATCGTGTCATAAACTCCTGAAATCGCTTTCGCAACGAGAGTCATCGGCCGTCCATGATGTACGCGAGCCCGGATCGAGCTCGGTGATAAACGAGATGGGGCCATGGTCATGACTGTATTGAGATGAACATGGCCGCATCACCACCTCGAACGAGTAGCAGACCCGGCACCATACAGCCTCGTCGCCCATCGCATGCCCCCTAAACGAAGAAAACCGGATATCTAAGATTAAAAACCTCCTAGAACCTGCATCGGCACTCATCATATCCGGAGTATAAGTAATTGTATGATTGTAGCACCCATGGTCTTACAATACCCTCATGCCCGGCTCAAACTACCTGTCCTCAACGGCCGGTCAGAGCTGCCGCATGGCCGTTATGTCGGTACTCTACCGTTGTCCGTCTGTATATTATAGACATGGTACTGGAAATACGATTGGCCCATGATATGCAGTTGCGAAAACTCCTTCATTCCCGTGCAGCAACGGGGTTTTCTAAACCCGGAATTTTCGGCTGCATGTACACGTGGTGGTGCACTTGGGTCAAGAAGAGCGGATGATGACGGGAGCCGGTGTTTGCAGTCACCTGAGCTTTGCCACATGGCGTTCGCATACAGCGAACCGTGGACACCACCTCACACCTCGTACAGCTTGCGTGCGGCCTCATTGGTCTCCTATTATACCCGTCTGCTGCACCTCTCCACATTCCATCATGGCACGACTCGTGAGACAAGTTGAACGTCCAACTTTGAGGGTAAATGAGTCAGATGGCAACCATGACCTTTTGTGATATTAGCTTGCGACCCTGATATTTATTTTCCTAATCATCGGTCCAAGTTGCGACCGTTGTCCCTGCTAGACTTCCCGCGCCGCGAATCCTGCCTCGTAGAATGCTTATCGTGGGGGCGCTTAGCTGTATGCAGGGTACGTCATGGTATAGTGCTTCTACTATATCTTATCCATGATGCTTAGAATAGCTCAATATAGAAAACCCTCACTTCGCTTCTGCGGGATTGCGGCAACGCCGTGCATTACATGTGCATGCTCATGATTTCTAACTGCGTGGTTTATACAATCTTTCAAATTGCTTGCTGTCGTACGTACTCTGACAATACTATATCGGTTCCAAGCCATGTTCTACGGAAAGCTGAAGTTTGGTTCCGCTTCACACAGGCCGCACGGGAGTACCCCTGGCGGGGTCCGGGGCGGCTACAAGGACGGGATCGGTCTACCTTTGCAAAAACATCTCCCCATAACCATGTAAACCCAAGTATCCCCAAAAAACCGTCCCCACCATAACACCCTCCAAACTATTGACCGATCATTAACCGGCTCCATGCCAGATACCCACCTGCTCCCGCCTATCTGACCCTCCTGGCACTTGCTTATCGTCAACCGAGCGCGCCCTGATTCGCCCCGTGACCACCTACCGCCGATAGTGACGTTATTGCCAACCACCATCAAGGTAAAAAGGTAGCTTGGAATAGGATACACAACTCAATAACCCGTCTTTTGCACATGATCCGACCTTCATGATAGTATGGAGTAGCCAACCCCGACTTTCCACCACGCCACGCCACGCCACGCCACTTGCCCACCGGCCTTGGTCACCATCTCCGCACTTGCGCGTCTACGTACGTGTGTGTGTGTGTGTGTGTGCCTGTCTGCAGCGTTGCGTTGTACTGATTAGATTTGTCAACCGAGGGACAGAGCCAAACCTACTCTACTCTGCCCCCGGGGTAAAAGTCTATTCAAGCCGCTAGCGAGACGGGGCCGATATCGTACCAAACAATGGTAGGAACTGCTGACTCTTTTGGTCGGCGGGTCATGCATGCAAGCCATTGTGCTTATCGCGTGAATGAGATTTAGGGTTTTGGTGTATGCACCGTGGTGGATGGCGTTGTTCGTCTTGCAGGTGTGGATTGCATGCGAAGCAAGCGAAGGAAGTCTAGAATGGGGACTTAATGGAGTTGCGTGCGTATGGCGTGTGTAGTTTGCGGCTGGAGAGCAACTACATGATCAGGATGGAAAGCCAAGATCAGGTACGCACGTATGCGTCGTGTTCTTGCCTCTTTGGTGCTCCGGACGACCGTCTTCGCACAAAGCGTACGCCGAACTTTGAAGTAGAGCTATAAAAATATCGTTCCCTTTCGAGCCCAACAGTACGGAGATCGTCGTCATCTGACGCGTCCCAAGAAACAGGAATTCAACATTCCCCCAAGTTCCAAGCGCCGTTTTGCCTCGTTCAGGTACACGAACTCTCCAGTTCCCTGATCTGCATCGCCGCCGCGAACTGCTTCGTACGCGACAATGTCCCAATTTAAACTTCTCACTAAGCACATCCCACCCCACCTGGGCGCCACCAACCAAAACACGCGCAGAACAGACGCCTTGACCGTCTCAAACCCGCAGTTTCTCGGGTGTCTCTGCTGTAAACAAACTTCTCGCATAAATGTATGCAGTTCACAGTTCATCACTTTTATCTTGCCTTGCTCCACCCGTAGCACAGATCTCAGCATCAACCAACCCAACCCCGAACGAAATCAGGGACGGGCTCGGTCCGTTGCCGGCGCTGATCTGCACCACAATCATGCGCTGTTTCAAAACACAAAGGCTCCAGGTGTCTAAACTACAATCCTTCTGTTTCGAGGGCCATCAAATCAGAATCAGGCAGGGAAGAGGGCATACGTACGCAGTTAGTCGGTCAGTCAGGCAGTCCATCTGTAAATCATCATCAATCATGTGACGCTCACACATACCGTATTCGTATCCATTCTATTCCTGTATACACGTCATATTGCCAACTGACTGACGATGCCTGATACTGATACGGAAAGTAAGCAATCATACCCAAGACCTGATACCTGACCAAGCATACCAATACAGTAAGTAAGCGCACTTGATACCCAACCAAGCATACCGATGCAGTAAGTATGCCCTTGCTTACCCAACTGATGGAACAACACTGACGGTCTGTCTGTCCATCACTTACCCTATCCGGCTCTGTTCGCAAGCGGGAACAAATCAAGTAATACACGTGGGACGTGCTTACTCTGCTTACTGGCAACGGAAAGGAAAATGCCGTGCCAGGCAAACACGTAAGTAATACGACCAGCGACAGACGAGGGTGATGGGTAAGCGAGGGGCTCAGCCCTACCCTTGGTTATGTGGTAGCGTGGTGGTAAAGTTTCTCCGTGTCACCGCTGGGTGGGATGGGGGTGGTGAGAGTGGAGGCTCTGTTGGTCTGTGTGGCCTACTGCTAAGTTTGCGGACACCATGCACTCTGGATGTAGACGGAGGCTGAAGAAACTTCACGATGCTGAAGAGCTTTGTTTTACATCTGATAATGTGACCGCGATTCGAAACAACCCATCACAGTAGCTATCGAAAGCTCATGAGCACAAAGGGTACTTTCCCCCGGGTTTGATAATTCCGTTCTAGCTTTTATTACATACTTAACAGACCGCATTTCTTACCTCCAAAGATGCCGAAACCAATACAACCGTGACCTAAACCAAGCTCAACTTGACCTTTCTCTTCCCAGTGCTCTCCTCCAACTCATCCGTAATCCTAACAGTAACCTTTTCGAACAACTCAATGCTCCTCTTAACATCGCCCTTGACACTAAGCACATAGTTCTCCGCATCAAAGTCGGCTTCTGGCTCAGGCGTAGCCAGATCTCTCAAGCGAATCAGACTCTCGATACCAAATCGTGGTACAAAGACCACGAAACCATTTGAGAAAATCTTCATAACAAACCCCTCTTCGTTGATATCCTTGCCCTTTAGCGCTTGGCCGACGTAGTACTCGATGGAAGCGCGACCAGCCTGCTGAGCATTGCGATGGCGCACGTTGATGTTCTTGCAGACAGCTTCAAGCTTGGCTTTGGACTGCAGACTGGGGTCTAGTTGTTCGTATTCGATTGCGGCGGCGAGCTGGCGATGGGCTTCAAGATCGGCGTAACGACGGATGGGCGATGTGAAATGTGTGTAGATTTCACTCGCGAGACCGTAATGTCTGAACTCGGGGTAGGCTTGTGTACCCGCGCAAAAGTACTCGGCGGACATCATACATCGCGTTGCCATTATTCGGACGAGAGTGTTGAAGAAGGGATTGCCGGGATCTACACACTTGTCGAGAGAGTCGGCCAAAGCCTTGGAACTATCGGTCTTGAGCTCCATTCCCTTCTTGACCTTGAGCTGGTTGTCAAGCTCTTCAAAGTTTGTCTTTGGTGGTGCGGCGTGGCGCCGCAATAGAGCGGTTTGTGGGAAGGCTTCGTAATTCTTTGCGGCGACGCTGATATTGGCGAGCAACATGAACTCTTCTACGAGCGAGTTGGTGTCGAGGTGTTTCTTGGTCTCAACATCTACTGGGTCTGAGGTTTCGGATTCAGTGCGAACCTTGACTTCTGGCGATGAAAGATTGAGGGCTCCTGCATCCATTCGTTTTTGCTTCAGCTTTTTGGAAAGCATAAGTAACGTCCGCATGCCTTTGGTAAGATCATCTTGCTGTGAGTTATCGTCTATCCGAATTTGAGCTTGTTCGTAGCTGAATGCTTCTCTTGATCGGATAACCGATTTTGTAAAGTGTGATGAAACGATGTCCGCATCTTCGGTGACCTCCCAGAGCACAGAGAAGGCATAGCGCTCGACATACGGCTTCAGCGAGCAAAGGTCTGTTCCAAGAAGCATGGGCAACATGTCTATACGCTTGTCGACAAGGTAAACAGTCGTTCCACGCTGGCTAGCTTCCTTGTCCATGGCATTATTCGGCTTGACAAAATGTGACACGTCCGCAATGTGAACGCCGACCTGGTAGTTGCCGTTCGGTAATTTGTGGGCGTGTAGAGCATCATCAATATCGACGCAGCCGACAGGGTCGATAGAGCAGACCAGAAGATCGCGAAGGTCTCGGCGTCCCTTCCATCCAGGGTCATCCATGCTAGCAGGCACTTTCCAGTCGTGGCCTTCAGCAGGTAGACAATCCAAGACTGTCTTTGGGAAAGGCTTGTACTGCACGTCCCACTCCAAAAGTAGTGCCTCAGTCTCTGCGCCTTTGGATTCAAGCTCGCCAAGTGATCGTACAAAGTGGCCAACTGGGTATCGGGAGTCGCGATCCCACGAGTCGATGGTTGCCAAGACACGCTGACCGAGAAGCTCACCAGCTTGTCGTGTCCGTATGCGAATTTTGGGGATACGCTTGTCCATGGGAACCAGGAAAACCGTCTGTTGCTGTCTGCTCGATTTGGACGAAGAGCGAACAGAATCGCGGTCGATGTGACCCACATATTGTCTCCAGTTACGCTTGATGATACCTACGACGCGAGCAGTAGGTTGAGGCCTGCCTTCTGCGCTTTGTCCATGAACCTTCTTGACCTCTTCTTGTAGTGCTTTTTGCTCCCTCTCGGGAATGACAGTCTCTCCCTCTTCGGCCTCAGCATTGTCGTTCTTGTTCACAGTCTCCTCCTCGATGATCTTGGTGGATGGTGCTTTCCACTGATCTTTAGGAAGTACTTCAACAACTACTACATCGCCAGAGACGGCGCGATTACTATTCTCGCGGCCTAGGATGAGGAGTGACTTGTCGAAAGAGGGTACATGAACGGAACCCTCGAGATAGTTGTATGGCGAGACGTTGAAAATGCCCTGATGTAAAGTACCAGCTTTTACGCCAGTCATCATCTTGGATACTGTGTAGTGTTCTGGGTAGAAGACTTGGGCCTTTTTAGATCGTACCTCTCGCTGTTCTTGCGCAGCGCTGATCATATCCAGGAGCTCATCCGATTTCTCAAGTCCAGAAACAAAGTCGGATACTGAGTGGACGTTAGTCTTGTCCAAGTGTTCTCGTCTGAACGCTTACACGTCATGCCGGGTATCTGCTCGGCCGCGGCTTTCCGTAGATTGTCCTTGTCATCTGTGATCATGACAACCGTAGGAATCCGGCTCTGCTTCTTGCTGCGTGCTGCGACCGCCTCTTGGATGTGGTGATTATACCACTCTACTGCTTTGCGCACGGCTCGATCATTCCTGTCGTTAATCGTCTCTCCGGGCTCCCGGGCGACATAGGTCTCCACTCGGAACTCGTTGAAGAATACATAAAATCGCTTTCCCTCGTTCTTGGTCAAAGATATCAAACGGTGGTAGAGCGGTAATGAGCGGTTCTTGACTTCCTCTAGGACAGTCTGCAGGACGATGACATCATGGAAGGCAGTTTCGACTTCAAACAGATCCATTCCAGTAAGAAAAGCATTCGTGTCTGGAACGAGATATTGGCCATTTGGGAAGTTGGTTGATCCTGCTGGTGTGTCGGATAGCACGAAAGGTGATACTGAATGGGGTTAGCCTTGCAGTGCACGTGAGATGATTATATCGCACCTTTTTGCGAGTAGTCGGTTGGTGCAATCTCCAGACATGACCTGCACAGATTCGACGAGCACGGAATGTCTTGTCGTAGGTATAGCTCTCTCACGATTTTCTGAACCTTGCCACTCTTTGTGGACCGCACATAGACTTTGCTGGAAAGGTTGGACTGGCCGCGATCGGCAGTCGACCGCTTGAGACTAAAGTACTCCATGTTTACACGGAGCTTGTTGGTTGACAGGGCAAGAGCGTGGCGTGTTGTGCTTGTGAAGGTCTGGCAGATGCCAAGAGGGCAAAAGTGCAAGGGTCGATTTCGAGATGGCACTAGTGAAGCTAGGACCAGATGACGGAGTTTGGGTGGGCCGCAGAGCTCCATTACCCAACATCAGAGCTACAGTACATCGACGACAACAAGGCACCGAAGCCGCCAGCCCATCGTCGCATTACCACATAGCAGAACATTCACCATGTCGTCACTAGACCCACCCACGTACCTCACCTCGATCCAGAATAACATCCGCGCTCGGCCCATATCGTGGGAAGGTGCGGTCCGGGCCAAGACCATCACCGACGAGGACCTCAGGAAGATCAAGTCGATCGACAAGGTGCGCAAGGAGCAGCGCAAGCAGACAATCGAGTCGGACGTGGGTAGCTTTGTCACGCTGCTCGTGGGTGGAAATGGGTCACAGAGCATCTTCGAGGCAGCAGCAAAGCGTCAGGACATCATTCACTACATGCTGGTCCTATTAGGGGATATGATTGACGGTAGGAACATAGGAACCTTTGTATATGCATGGTGAAGCTCACGTGTCTTCAGATATACCTGCCCTCACATCCGCTCTCGTCCAGCACCCAGCACCCTACAAGCCGTTCCTACCGCTTCTGAAAGCTTCATCCAACAATGAAGACCCCGTGCCGCTTCTCACCTCGTCTGTACTGTCCGGGCTACTGTCGCATGCCGTCACACAGACTTCCAAGAGCACTCCCGAGCTCGACGAGGCACTAGCCCAGCTCTTCACCTACCTCTCGACGCTCGCAAAGGCATCCGACGCCGGCCTTCAGGATATCGCGGTTCGCGAATACTCTGCTGTACTTCGTAATACAAAGGCAAGACGCATCTTTTGGAAGCAGAGGAAGGAGACGCTAAGCCCTCTTTTTGATATTCTGCGGGCCGCAGCGGGGTCAGCCAAGGATACCGACTCGACCCTCTACAGCGGCGGTGCCAGTATTCGCAGCACAGCCGATGGCGGGATATCTGGCGGTGTCGGCCTCCAGCTTCTGTACCATGTTCTGCTTGTTATTTGGCAGCTCAGTTTCGAGGGCGAGCTCGTTGGCGACGGCCTTCAAGAGTACGATGCCTTTCCGAGTGACTTAACCGTGCGCTAACATCATCCAGTGAGCACGACATTGTAATTCTGTACACACAGTTGCTCAAGGTGTCACCCAAGGAGAAAACCACTCGCCTCCTCCTTTCCACCCTCCGCAACCTCTTGATCACGAACCGCAGTACCTTACTTCCCACGGCAGTTCTCGCTCGCCTACCTGCCCTTCTTACAAGTCTGAAGTCGCGCCACCTGACTGATGAAGACGCTCTCGAGGACCTCCAGGCACTGACCGAGCTGCTTGAGGAATACACCAAGACGCAGACGACGTTTGATGAGTACGCTGCCGAACTTCACTCGGGTCACCTCCGCTGGTCACCACCTCATCGCAACCCTACTTTCTGGCAAGACAACGCCCGTCGCATTCTAGAAGAGAACAAGGGAGAGCTTCCCCGAAAGCTTGCCGAGATCTTGTCAAAGGACTGGGAAAACGACAAGCAGGTCTTGGCAATTGGTTGCAATGACGTAGCATGCTTAGTGAAAGAAGTGCCCGACAAGCGACAACAACTCGAAAAGCTGGGTCTCAAGGGCAGAGTCATGGAGCTGATGCAAGAAGCAGATGAGAGCGTACGGTGGGAGAGCTTGAGAGCCGTGGGCGAGTGGCTACGATACAGCTTCGAGTCGAAGAGCGAGGTGCCGATCAGGTAATAGTCATGCGATCGATCGCTTTCATCAAGCGTGTGAGTAGTGCTTCCCCTTGTTTGTATTTTCCTCGTCTTTTGTAGTCGGACTGTATCATAAAATGCTGGGCCATTTCTTGCATGCAACAAAATATACAAGTCGAAATCACGTTAGTCTCATCGGCCTTCACCGTCATTGTCGCCATTCCCCTCTTCGATCGCCGTGTCTCACATTCCTTGTACAACGCGACGAATCATCGTGACACACTTCTCGCAAGCATCTCCCTTGTTGTCCTTCCTTTGCAATCGGCCCTGATAGACTGAAAGATCTACCCCCCGCTTTTCGATGCATACTGAGAGTCTGAGACAACCTTACGCCGAACACTAATGCAAACTTGCCTCCGTACTATTGTTATTCGGCCCTGTGCCTGTCTGGATCACCATCGCCATCACTTATCACAATCTGAAAGAGTTATTATCTAGGATCAGGGGGTTTTCGTTATCACAGCTACGCAGAGGAGAAGCTAAGACTGTGCCGGGGTTGATGATTCTTTGTCGTAGGGACTGGGTTTTGTGTGTTCGGTCCGATAGCAATTTACGAAGAACGGCGAGCGGTGAAGTACGAACGGTGGGCATGTGATGTGAGGGGTGGTGAGTTCGCATCAAGGCAGTGTGGCGAGGGTATGCTTGAGGGTGTTGACTCTTTTGGCTTCGGTGGCAAAGGCATGGACATGGTAAGTAGATGGTGATGGTGATAGTCATGGTACGGTGGTATTGGGGCAGGCATTGCTTGACATGGGTGATGGACGAGGTTGTTTGCATGTGATGGGCAGAGAGTTTGCAGCGTTGTGCAGTGTAGTGTAGAGTTTGATAAGGCGGCTTGGTTGATCGGGGGATGTCTGTATCGTGTCGTACGGAATGATTTGATAGGTTATATGGCTGGGGTGGTTCTATTACTAGGTAAGTGACACGAGTGGTAGGAGTTGCAGTGTCTTTGGTGATGTATGTGTGTATTGTAGGACTCTCAAACGTGTGTCGGACAGTGACATGCACTCGAAGACATACATGAATACGCTTGGCAGCACTTCTTAGAAAAGAAAGCCAAGATAGACTTGTGTTCCTATTAGGGACATGCTTTTAGTGTTAAGCAATAAGTGCTTTGAGTTCCACTTATCGTAACCCTTGGGTATGTATTTACTGTTTTTGATAGTAGAATGGCGTCTGATTCAACCCGCTAGGTACGTAAAGACAGCCTCTATATAGCTGTGAATATACATAAGTGATATCGATGGTAAGCAGCATATTGTCACTACAGAGTAGGTGGTAGCAATGGAAAAAAGCCATTGAAATGATGCAGCTCCCTATACCTAGGGAGATACTGTTTACTTGTATTGATAATAGGAGTAGTGTTGGAAGGTCTATAGCACTAGTGCTGAAAGGAAATAACGATAACTAGGAATGCATTCTGTTCGGTGATGGTGATTGATTTATTACGAACACAGCTGCTACGAAGGTATACCTAAGCTCTGCGCAAGGTGGGCCGAAGTCGGGCCGAAGTGTCCAGCAGCCGACGTCTCTACCGATACTCACGATCCGACAAGTAGAGTAATTTTGTATCTACACTAACACTTACTCTATGCATGTGTACGACCGTAGTAACACTAAGAGCTCAAACACTCATGTGTGATATCGACGAAAAACAACGCGATACAGGGCGTGCGTCCTATATCAAACCCAATCTAAACTCTCTTACATGTGAATCGATATGCTCCCCTCACTTTTACCGACGGATAAGGTTTACATAGACCGACTTCTTTTATCTGGATGTGATATGTAGAACAAACACTGCTCGATATGAGGGAAGGGGGAAGACTAGTAAGAACATAATGTAAATGACAGTTGGTGACTGAAATATCGGTTCAGCATGTGCGAGATTGGTAGAGTTTGCTAGGGAGAGAAAGACTGAAGGGATATAGAGAGTTTGGAAAAACGGACTTCCTGCATATAGCGCGATTGGTCGAGAAGAACATATGGTCAAAGTATTTGATCTTGTAAGACTTCAGTATACATAATAAAAGGGATGCACGTTACAGTGATGAACACGTTAGAGATTGAACTTGCGGTCTCAAGACTACTGCGAGCTGAGTCCAAAGAGTGAAACGAAGCTTGAGTTGAACGCGAGACAATGGACCACGACGAGAATTGCCTACAATAAGAATGCAGTATAAACTATTTCACAGCCCACTTCATTATCATCACATCTCAACGAAGCAAACTCCAGTCCAACATCTGCCCACTCTCCCACTGCAAACACACACCCTCACCCTCAATCCGCACCACACCAACACATACCAAAACAAAACATCCGACATCAATCCCCATCTCATTCAGCCTAATTTCCCATGCCAATCCCTTTAGCTTCCCCTGTATACACGCCACTGCAAGTCTCCATCTCCCCCAACCCAACCAAAACAAAACACTGTGACCTCAAATGTCCCCTCCCATTAATCCAAGCAGTCTATCACGGACACCGGAACCAAACTTTCGAACTAACCTCGGTACTCACACAAAATAACCGAAAATAGACGGCGACATGCAGATAAGCTTGATTACTGGTCCCTGGGTGCAAGTAAACCACCAGCATAGTGCATCCGCGCTCCCACGCGAAGCTTCTATTTTTTGATCCCTCACCGTACTAAGGGTCAGTGGGTGCTATGCAGTACGGGTACCCGTATCAGGGATGCGTGTGCGTGTACCCTTCTGAGTGTGGGTGGGATCCAAGTAGTTCCACTCCTATTCGCTGGTACAGGGACCACGTAGTCCGAGGCATCGTCCAAAATCTACATGCTTTCTCGGGTTCTTTACGTGAATGGTACAAGGGAAACGACGGACGCTGGCGAACAAACAGCGTAAACTTTGGGGTTTCCCATCTGCCGGACTGCGGTGTCGTCGTGATACTTGTGAGCGCCGGATTACTGTTCGTCGGCTCGGGTAGGATAGCTTGGTAGTGAGGGTATTTGGTCTGTGGGATTGGAGGAGTAGAGTTTGGCGGGGCTTGTGCATTTGCATGAACGCTGATGGGGCGTATGTCGTCTGTGGATACCTAGCGATGATCTTTTCTCTTCCCATACTATACCGTGCGTTCGTCTTTTATGCCTGCATATCGGCAACATCGAGCGTGCACAACATGACCCCGACACAATGGCCAGCCCGACCTCCACGCGAGAAACCTTCTCGAAAACCATCGTGTATCACAGTCCAAGTTCTCGGGAGTTTTCTCTTTTTGTTTCACGTTATTTTGCTTCTCTGTATGGCCATTGAGAAAACAACTTCTTTCTCAGCCCCAAGCTGGTGATCTTTCACGCGGAAGTTTTAGAAGAAACGCCACCCTGCGTGTCCACGACCAAAATGATCATCAGAAGCTTCGACGTTTTGAAGATCATTATAGTCAACTAGACATTCAGCGTCAGCGGTACGTGGCGGTAAGGAGCGAACCATTGGCTTGGCAGCCCTACGATTTGCTTTTGCATTCCCTATCCCATTGACTTTGTCTGGTTCCAGGGAAGTATCGATTCCAGAAAGCGAGCGCCATACAGCCCTTGCTATTCGAATGGGTCATAATTCCAAGAGATGACAATGTGATCGTCATGGTGATGCTGTCCGTATCGGCTACAAACTTTACAGGGTCGATTGCTGTGAACCGTTAGCTTGGCTTGCTGTTTTCGTTTTTTTGACATTTGTGGTGTGAACACCATCGCCTACAAGTCACGATAGTCACACACACACACATACGCACGCACGCCATGCGGCTTTTCCACGCGCTAAAGCCGAGCAGAGGTCGGATCATTCTTCTGCCACAGTGGTGTGGCTTGCGCCCGATGCTCTTGACTCGTTTGCAGTGGGGATTCTGGGTAAATGGTCCGAGAGCGGGGAGCACGTGTGGCCAGAAAACACATCATCGTAAAAGGAAAACCCGATCAATCGGCCTGTATTAGTCTCGATCGTGGCGTCATGAAGGCGTCAAAATGTGGCTTGGGAATGTGGAAATCATTCTTGATGCAATCGAGTTACGATCTGCAACGACTTCACGATGGTTACACTGGAGACGGTGCACGGTCCTGCCATTGACTAGCAGCAGGGTCAAACTCTATCAGAAGGGCCGGCAAGACGGTGAGGGCGAGTCGAGCTTCTAAGATGACAGCGGCGCCAATTAGCTAGTTGCCGAAGATAAACAATCGAGAGCGCGTAGCCCAGGTTTCATCATGACACGCAAGGAAAGAGCCAAGATGAGGCTTTTCAAGATACGGCACCGCAGACATTCCTTTCCTGGTTTACTGTCAAAGGAATAGTGTTTCGAAGTTTGCAGGTCAGACGACCGTCGCACGAAACCAGACGGTTTTCAACGGTCCAGTGACTTCTGTGTTGGTAGCCGAGGGGCGCAATCGCAAAGTTGGAAGTCGACTATCGTATTCCTAGTCATCGTCATGTTAGCGAAAAATCCATGATTCCATGTGGAAAAGTCTTGGAATTGTTGGCATAGCGTCCATTTGCCCTAAAGCGGTAATAAGCGCCCGACCACACACACGATTCACCGATCTGAACACTAGCACATCATGCCAGGCATACGTACATACAGTAATATGCAGGTGAGTCACAACGCCGTTTGCTGTACGTCTGACCCACCTTTTTCTCGCTGGGTCTAGAAGGACGCAAATCCCAAATACCCAAAAAATTCCATCCTGTCCCATAGCGGTAACTTGCTCGATGCCAGGAGAGCAGCGGGTAAATCTGATGACGGGCGGCGGCGCGCGCGCTCAAAAGAAGCAAACCAACGTCATTCCGAATTGCGGGAACACATGCCAACCATACACCTCGCTCGGACTGAAGCGCAGTGAGTCTGAATGGGCGGGATTTGTTGCCGGCGCGCGGCGATTGCTTGCACATGCTTGCTCCATATCTTAGCAATAGATAATATTGTAGAACTTGACTTGTTTCCGCTGTAACTATCGGTGCAAGTTGGAAGATGAAGGGTTCAGCCACATTACACGTCGATAGCAGACTTGGGGCTACTGCCCGCTGTCGCAAGTCGGAGCCAGACTTTCGCCTTGTACCAAGCAAAAGAAACGACACCAGACTACCAGCGTTGCATAGTTAGTTATCCACCACGCTGTAACTAAACTGCAGGGGGCGGGGATACCATCGTAAACAGGCTGGCAGTTCCGACATGTCATCGTCTTGCAAAAAATGCCACGGTTGCAATCTATCAAACCAAATAGATGCAGGGAGCCTGAGGAAGGGCAATAAGTGCCGAGACACCATTCTACATGAATCTAGTCGAGATTACACTCACGCCCCAGGGGGGATGGCGCAGTGGTAGTGCGCCTGGTTGCTTCTGCTAGCTTGCTCGCAGAGGTTGAAGGTTCGAATCCTTCTCCCCTCACCGCTATAATAATTCTATTATTCTAGCTTTACCAAAAAACATCGAACGGCTCCTTTCGAAACCTGGAAAGTTTTTCACCAATACCCCGCACGCTTAACGCTAGCCGCCGCCGTACAACCGAGCCACAAAGTACCGCCGAGACGAAAATATGCCGCAACTGCCGCTATATACAACAAACGTTCAAGGTCCCATGACTTTTTCCCCTACGAGGTTTTTTTTCAGTCTTAGGAGCACGGGGTTATTATAGCAAAGGGATTGGTCACAAAGGTGGAGATAAACGGGTGTCTATTACAAGGTCTCTCTCTCTTTCCTGTATAGAAGCAAAAAACCCAAACCCCCATAGTCAAACTCGACCAAAGAAACGAAATCCTACGGGTATAGAGGGAAAAAACTAGTCAAACGGCCCTAGGCCACCGTCCTACATAGTCTCTGACTGAAAAAGGACGTTAATGGATACTACTACTACTACTACTACTACACACACGCCCCCACAACCGAATTTCCGGTGTGAAATCAGTTGAGCAAACTCGAATCAGGCCTTTTGCTCCGATACGGCCCACCGCCGTATCCCCAGCTGACACATGTGTCCAACAAACGAACCCGACTATCAGGTTTGCGCGAGTTGCGAAAGGCAACGACGATTTCTAAGCGATTCGTACGGACCCCTGAGCCGGTCTGTCCGCAGCAGTAAAGCGAGTCGAGTCAATGTGGAAAAAAGAAAACGCCAAAGCACAAACATCGGTCAAGACAAGGACGACTTTACATATTATACGGTGACTATGCTTGCCTTAGGCGCCGCGCCACGCCAGCTCGCTTGCCCTCTCTTTCGGTCTCGGAACGGGGTTTAGGATGCTAATCCCAATCCTCCAACGTTGTGGAAAACCAGAAAGAAAAAGACCAGAGCAGACACCGGAGATATAGTTCCGCTCCTGATTCGTGCACCTAGTTCTAAAATGCGTCGGAAAGATGAAAATGAAAAGTACACGGCCGAGAGTACGTTGAGCCGCACCGCGTGCCCGGACGCTCAGCACCCCGATCGCATGTCGTGTAGCCGGAAAAGAAGTACCGGGGTAGAACCGAGAGTGCGCTGACAGGACGAAGACGTCGATTTCTTTTTTCCCAGCCTTAGCATGACAAGTCGACAAAAATCCGCCAATGACATTGACATATTTCATAATTAGTTTATGAAAGCTGGTTATTGTTAATTCGTGGCAAAAAACGAATAGAGACGGCGCCACCACCAAGCGGATATCATGCATCTATACCGAAAGCTTCGCGTATAAGGTTTTCCAATCTTTGCGCGCCCGCAGTATTAGATAACCGAGACCGATACTCAGAAAAGGGCATCGCGCACCGCACCGTCGCCGTCCATCGGCTTCGTTGGTGCGTGCGTCGTGGTCCAGCCCGTCCGTCCGTCCGTCGCGCTCCCGTACCCGACCCTATTCCACACCTGCCATCTAGAGGGTAAGTAGCACGACCCATGTACCATAATCCATACCATAATCCATAGACCTAAATTTGGCGGCTTGTCCGCAATGCTTAGACTAGAGAGGAGTGGTAGCGAAGGTGCGTGGTGCTAATGTTGATCAATATGGGGTCAGGGCAGCAGATCGTACAAAGCAAAAGTCCCTTGACCGTGGTGGGTGGGTGCAAAGACTCTGGAGTGCAGATCTTGAGGACGCGCCACCGTTCCACGTTGCGGTACGGGCTTTGTTACGGACCCTTGTGCTGTCGTGCATGTCATAGCTAAGCTCAGTGATTGTATCCTTGATTTGATGAAGCGTCACTTTGAACCGACGAGAGATTGAAAGTGAGATTGGCGCAAGTGGAGTGTGATATTAACTATTGAGGATAACAGGTTTGGTAAAGGAGAAGGAGAACAATGTTTCCTGCCCCAACTATGGAGGCCCTCCTGGCGAGTAAAAAAAATCCAAACATGAACCAATTGCATGTCTCCCTCCAAAACGGCCCAAAATCCGCCTTACAGACCAGTAATCAAACGTTGCCTATCAAAATTCCAATGATGCAAAAACACACACACACACACACACAATTGTTAGGCCAGGGTTGGTAACAAACCAGAAATAGATAAACCAACAAAACACGGGGGGAATCTGGGGGAATCTTGTGCAAAGGCTACAACTAAACCACCACCACTGAATGAGATAAGGTAAAAGAGAAAGTAAGAAATGGGGAGCGATGTATCAATCTGGTCCGGGAATCAACGCCACCAACTATGCAAAGGGTAAAACTTCCAAGACTGCATTCCCATCGCCCATCTAACCGCAAAACCCATGCAAATACTATCAAGCCGCAGGAATCCTGTCGTGGTATCGGTGCGAGATGAGAACATAGCAGGGTCAACGGACCATTAACATCTCATCGATGAATGCAGTGTGCGTATCAAAGTTGCGATGGCGAAACCAACAGGCAGAACCCGTATAGTAAAAGAAGAGGAGGAGGAAGAAGAAGAAGAAGAAGAAGAAGAAGAAAAGTGCCATGGGCCCCTCTGGCCATCATGTTTTCGTGTTGTCGTGTCCGTAGTTGAGCGTGATCGTCACCATCTCGTGTTTCGTAATCTCATTGTCGACGGGTCGAGGAGCGGAGTGAGGCGCAAAATGGTATGGGCCTAGTGTATAGGATGAGACGAAAAGCAAGCTGTAGCAGGCGGCTAAAAGTTTGCGACTGTCTGATCTACGAACACTCGAGGCCCTAATGGATCTCAACCAATCAGAGCGGTACCGATGGGTCCGGAGCTGACCGGATTAGGCCTTCGGCGCCTGAGGTGTTTCTGCATTGATACTAGAGAAACGGCGAGAGGCGTTGGCTTGCCCTAGTATGATGACCATCCTCCCTGTTGTGGAGTCTGCTGCGGTGCCCAGCCTGGCATGCCGGGCTGTTGAGCTGCACCACTTTGATGCTGCATGAACTGATGAGGGCTCGGGCTAGGTTGATATGGATTCTGGCCCATTGTTTGATACCCAGCGTCGCTTCCGGGCATGGAGCCTCCCATGGCGCCCATGGTCTGGTACTGCTGCACAGGTGTGCCGTGCATCGAAACGCTGCTTTGGACCTGGTGGAGTTGCGGTGATGCATGCATGGATGAGTGCTGCGGGAGCGGCGACTGCTGCGGGGGGGCGTTGCGCATATTGTTGCATGTTGTGCTGCTGGGAAAGAGGAGATGGCTGCGGAGGTCCTTGCCACATGTGCGATGGCGGATAGCCGTGGCCGGGGCTCTGTTGAACACCAGGGAGCATACCGGGACCCATGCCCGATGCGGTCATACCTTGAGGCATTCCGATACTGGGTGGGCGGCGGTGCATCTGATCTGGGCGCAGTTGCTGCTGGGCCATTGGTGAAGGCACCATGTTGTTCTGTTGCATAGATTGCGGGCGGTAGCCTTGGCCTCCCAAGGGCTGTCCAGGTCTCTGTGGCGTTTGGGCAGACATGCCGTACTGGTTCCCGGGCATACTGACAGTCGTCGATGGGATACGCGGAGATTGCATGGCTTGCGTAACCTGTGGTGCATGGTCTCCTTCAGCAGTTCCAGGACGGTTTGGCTGCACCGGGGGCTCATGTGGTCGTGTCCAGACGTCGTTTAGGTAGTCTTTGCGATGCTTGCGCTGTTGCTCTAGCTGCTTGTTCACCTCGGCCGTCTGAGCAGCTGCGTTGAGGATTTCGCCAGATGGTGTTGGCCTGGTCAGATCCTGGTAGGGGGCGCCCTGCATCTCATGTCGTGGACGTTGAACGCCACTGTAGTCCCGGGGCTGCAGGTCAGCCGTCGTGCGCTGGTTGTATGCGTCCACATTGGAAGTTGGCATGCTTCCCGGCGCTGGGTTGAGGCCACCAAATGGCTGCATGGGATTGATGGCAGCTCCAAGGTAGTCCTGATTGTTGCCCGTGTAGGCGCCTGAGTGGGCAAATGCCATAGCGCTGGCGTGGTTCGCTTCCGCTGCAGCAGCTTCTCTTGCCTTGGCGGCGCCCGGTCTCTTTTCACCCGCTGCGTCCTCCTCGGTAAAGCCCTGCTTCCTAGCTTTGCTTTCCCAGTAGTCGTCGCGCACGCGCCGCCCGTTGACAATCAGCCTGCTGCCAAACTGTCTGAACATGGAGCGGGCAGTCACAATGGCAATCTGTCTAGACCGGTACGAGTACGGGAGGATCTCCTGGTGGATCAGATCGTCCTTTTCCGCCTGGGTGGCGATGATCTTGTACAATGACCTATTCTTGTTAAAAAGCAGATACGAGTCGCGATATCCGAGCACGCGCGCACACTCGGTTGCGAGCATGAAAAGCTTGTCGGCTCTGTTTGGCACGAAGAAGGTGCGGCAGCGGTATTCCCGTCCGTCGAGCGGGTGGCCCGTCTGTGTTACTTTTCGCTCGCCCGCCTCGTCGATTTCGCGGGGGATGTATTCGTCGCCTTCGGGGTTGAGTTGGTCGGTGGTGTGGTCGCGCACAGTGGGCAAGGCCTTGATGACGGTGGGTTTGGTGGGAGTCGACTTGGCCGAGGGCGTCACCTGAGGGGGCGAAGCGTGAGGTAGCGTCGTGGACTGCAATTGCGGAGTCTGCACGGGCGGTGCGCCGCCCGTGTGCTGCGGCGATGTTTGCGGAGGCTGAGAACCACGGTTGGGAGAGCCGGCATAGGACCTGGTTGGCTTATTAGGGCGGCCGCGGCTGCGCTTGTTGTTTGGCGTGTCATCGCCCTGCAGCTCGTAGTTGCTCTCAGGCGAGCGACTGCGCTTCAGGCCGCGCGATGGCTGCTGTTGCTGTGCGACAGGCTGTGGTGGGCCTCCGAAGACATCTGGTGGTTGTCGTTAGCAATTGCTTCGCGGGAGGCGGCGTCGGATGTAACAGACGCGCAAGCCAGTGAGATGGGCGGGGGATGGGGCGCGACTACTTACGCGACGGATCAATGGTGCCGGACGGGTCCATGATGCCGTTGCCAATGTGACCATTTGACATGATTTGGATAGGTTGTTGCACATGCACTGAGTACATCCAGGCGACGCAGGCGCAAGAGCGACCGAGCTCGAGGAAAGCTTCCGTCGAGCGTCGAGAAGCTCAGAGGGGGCCCAATGGGGAATGGGACGTTAGTTTGGGAGAGGGCACGATAGACGGCAAGAGTTGCTTGCGTGCATGCGTTGATGGGTTGATGGGTGTCGGAGTCGTAGGGCCAGGTCGACGCGGTCGAACCAAGATTGAAGTTGGGTGGGGCCAAGGCTCCGGGAGGCGCGTTCTTCGGGAATGATGGCAAACCAAGCCGTGACAGCCAGGCGACAGGAAAACGATGGCTGAGCGAGGCAAACACGACGTTTGGGTGCAGTGAGGGTACCAAAGTCGTGTGCGGATGGTGCGCAAAGACGAGGGACGGAAAAGAGCAGAACTGGTGGTACAAGCACGAGTCTATGTGCAGAAAAGCCGCGGTGCGCGACGGAGAGATTTTCGCGCGTGTTGATCGATAATCGATAGACACTACTTTTCGTGTTAGAGTTTAGTCTTGTGCTAAGATCGCGCACAGGCAGGCCGACGTGTGGTATTCAGGCCCTGGATAATAGCAGTGCACTGGGCAAAAAGTGTGTGCAAGATGCCACGTGAGATGCAACCCAAGGTGACTGCGAGCAGCCGCTGTACGAGTGACTTGCAGCTCTATGAGGGCTGGGGCCGGGTTCTAGGCGGGAAGGCGGGCAGCAGGACAGGACAGGGCAGGACAGGGCAGGGCAGGGCAGGGCAGGCAGGGCAAGCAGGGCAGGACAAGACAAGACAGGACAGGACAGGAGTCGCGAGCGAACGGTTGGGGGAAACGAACCTTGGGCGGTTTTGGCTGTCTAACCAGCTGTCGGCGAAGACCCGTGCGAGATATCTATGTGCGATTGGCGTGACGGGGGCGCGGCTAAGCTGGCTGGCCGGGCGAGGGAGAGGCTGTTGGCTGAGCGGGAGCAAAGGCCACTGGAGGAACGGTCTGGGAAGTCAGTCGGGATGTGGTGAATTACGAAATATGAGCGAGGCCCAAATCTGATATGCCCTTGTACCCCAGCAGCTGACGGCCCGCACGGCGGAGCAAGTCGTCGTCTAGTGAGCAAATGGAACGCAATGACGACTTGGACAAGCTTCAGGCCTTGACGGCGCTGCAGTGTGATAAAAAGTGGCTCTCCCGAGGCCCTGCACGAGCCGGTGGCTTTTGGCTGCTAGGCTGGGTGAAGCACTAGGCCATCCGACTAAGTAGAGAGAGCTTTTGCACCGAGCCGAACAGGACAGGATTACTCGCATCATGCTGCGAGATAGCGACCGCTAGCTTGGATCTCTAGGCTTGCCATCCATGGCCATGTCCGTCTGTCCGTGTCTTCAGCTTTAGCGGACGAGGTCTAGTCATTCCTGCGCCTGCGCCTGCGCCTGCGCCCATGCTGCTCGCTTTTGCCTCAGCAAACGGCGAACATGGTGCAGGCCACTCGCGCTCGCGACCAGTTCGCCCCGCCTCCACCACTGACATGACCGTCTGGCTGCTGATTGAGCACCTCCCCCCCCCCAGCACCCAGCAAGGCGAGCGTGTCAGCAGGCCTGCAGCCCGCCCAAGACAGAGACACCCCGGGGCCTGCATTGGCGGCCGCAGTCGTCATGCATCAAAGCAACACGCTTTCTATCAAATCCACCCGCATCGTCTGACTCCCCAGGCCCGTAGCAAACCCATCCCGTCGCTCGTGCTTGCCGCAGCAGCCGAATAAGGAAGCCCAACTTTATTGCTGTGGATCTGCTCAGGGCCCCGTAGTACCCAACTTGACACACTTTGAGCAAATGCAACTCGTATTCCCGCTACTCCCTCGTCCCCCTCTACCTACCACTACTCTCCTGTGCTGATCGGCGAGCACCACCGTACATGCGCTTTTTCATTTTCCTCTAGCATTCCCTAGCCGTCGTCTTCGCCTTAGCGCCAGCCCCCGCCTCCAGCCTATCACCGTGCTCGTACACGTACACACCAGCCTGCCTGCCCAGATGCGTCATTCCGGCTGCCTGTCCTGCCGTTTGGCCAAAGCATCCACTGACAGCGCTGGGACCTTTTGCGACTGATGCTCTCGCTCCGTGTGGACAGACCGAGCATTTACAGTTGGCGATCCGTTCCACAAACCGACCCGCGACCCGTCCAACATGACTATCCTTGGCCTGCCCGTGCTGTAACCGATCCCCACCGTCCTACCTTGCCCGTATCTCACATCCACATCCCTTCCGCAGCTCGCGCCACCGTCTCTTAGCGGGGCTAACGCCATGACTGTCCTTTCTCCACCACGTCAAGCCCTCTGCCATCTTCCAGTGCCCGTGCTCAACCACGACGGCTTGCTCTGAAACTACCCCAAACAAACATGCACCATGCTCTTGTGGGGGACCGTGTCAGCACCCAGAGACTACACAGACCTACATGACGCCGGCAACCGCCTCGGCATCGACGAGCCACGGGCGCGACAGGTCGCGTCAAGGCCCTTTGACGCGTCTCCGGGAGGCTGTGCCACAATAGTCCCATGTCTTAGACCCTGAGGCCGAAGTTTGTCATCTGCCTCTCTGCAGGGACTAGCCACTAATTTTGGGAACGTTACCATTCTTTGTCTGTTGAAGCGCTCTTGCATCCGAACTCGGTCCATGTCGGCCCTCATCGGTGGGGTCTGGAGGAAACAATATGCCAGACCATGCGGCTGTTGCTTAGCCTTCCGCTCCATAGTAGTATCAAGAACAAGAGTGCCGTCGCTTATGTCCGTCCCCTTTTTGCCATTTGGCAAATCGGGTCTACCAAACAAGTGGAATGTGCTTGCTGCTTCCTCTATGGTCGTCCACCTCCACAAATCATCTCGGTCTTCCGAGGGGGGAGGGCGAAAATGCTCAACCACCCCTGTCCCCCATCCGCCTTGTTCTTGCAACTCTTGTCCAAGTGATATCGAGTACCGTTCTACTAAACCCGCACACCGCTGTCATGACATCTGTAGTGCGCATGTGGCAAGGATGCTTGAAACATTCGATAGCAAATTCAAGTATTAGACCCCGTCGACGCCTTGGCGAGCCACTACGCTTAGGCTACGAAGGCTGATCATATGACAGCTGTACCCACTGTCTTGGATCGCGACTTCGGGACAATGCAGACAGCAAGGTGGTCCCACGTTGGGTCCCACGTTGAGTTTGAACTGTCCATGGCGGCGTCTGCTGTCGAATCGTTTTCTTTTTGAGATGCAGTTTCAAGATTCCGACCAAATGGATTGGGTACCATGACCTAGTGAACAAGTGCCCGTTCTCGCTCTCACTTACAACTTCCCCGTAGCCTAGCTGGAGTAATCGCTTCCGTTTGGGCGTCGGTATCCAAGCCGCATGTAGCGGGGTCGTACAATTTTAGCGGTGAGGCACCTATCTCGTTAATCGGCGCTCAGAGCACCCAAGTGAAAAACAAACGGCTTTGCAACACCGGGGCATACGCGCGTCCGCTTTGGGAAGTCTAGCAAGCCGCGTAACGTAACCGTACCAGACTCTACTCCTCTGAGCACAACACCCTGCTTTTCCCACTATGACTATACCCTCCAGCCTTCCAAGACAGTCCACATGGGGTTTTGAAACCAGCAGTAGCAACATCTAGCGGTTTCGGCATGTTCCTGAGGCGTCGCTGAACACTGGTTGCGCAGCCCCGACTCCTTGACGAAAACCAACCTCTCTAGATCTTCCCTCGTGCCGAGCATCTTGGTCCTATCCATGTAGTCTCGTTAGCCTGGCCATCAAGCACTGTTGAACGGTGCGGCGGTCCACTCCAGAGTGGGGAAGCGTGGAAAGACTGCAGCAACGAGTAAGGCTGTCGCAGCCAATCAGCAGACCAGATCCACCAATCTCTCTACCAAGAGGCGGTCAGGTGCTGCTGTTGCGTTCGTGAAGACCGGGGCTATAGTCGTATTTACCCATCTATACCATCAGATGATCTTGTGAGGACCTGCGGCGGCCTTTGAACGAGAACGTGATGGTTTGTCTCATCCATACCGCCTCGAGCTAGACGTCAAAAGCCGCCCTCGAATAACATGGATCTCAACAATCCCACTTGTGCCTATGTCGATACGAGTAGGGGGCAACAGGGGCTGCGGAAAGATTCGCAGAATTGTCATCTCCACTCACGATATTGAGCTCCATTGTAGTGTTGCAGACGGTGAGGCCAATGCATTCATCCCTTCCATATGCATGGCGCAAAGTGAACATCGTTCCCCTGTTCAGTGATCATGTATACACATCTGAGTAGACCATCCAGGCTAGACGAGGCGATGCAATCGTAGTTTGCAGTCATTGACTCGTTCAGATGGCAGAGTACTGGGGATTCCCAGTGAAGAGTTGCTGATTTGCATCATATCGAAGCTGCAGTTGCGAAGAAACTCATAGTCTCGTATTTTGAAAAGCAATCACTGCCACGTTGCGATGTTGATCGGTGACTTTTTCCTGACGGCTCTCCGCAAGCTTTACTGGGATCGAAGGGTCGCAGCACACCACCACTCACAGGGCAGTGTCTCTCCGAAACATCTCCTTTGTTCATAAGAAAAATACCCATGACCGACAGTCCACGAGGAGAGGCGCAGACGACAAGGTTTGATTGCTGCAGCAGCAAGTCCTTCCCGTAGTGGCCACCCGATATGCACGACAGACTTGGAAAGGAGGCAGGCTGGGCATGCGGTGAGCAAAGCAACATAGAGTGCCAGACAGGTTAACATTCCGATGGCGGCAGGCATGTTCATGTGATCATTAAGATATCATACCGTGACTGAGGCGTCCATGAAGCGCCGGTGAACAAGTGAAGAGTGCAATCGGTTAAGAATCGAAGCGAGGAAAGACGGTGAGACAGAGTTGAGGTATGTGTTGTTGACGTTAGGAGCGGACGTCATGTATGGACGACGCACAGACGCATAGCCAAATCGCGGTGGCTAGCACTTAGCAAGCGCCACGGTCTGCACGAAATCCCAGAGTGCATGGAGGTTTTACGTTGAATCGGCGTCTTTACCCGATGCACCATGCGCCAATGCTTACATTGAGCATATCGCGGTTGTTGCTTGATGAATGGATGCGTGGTTTGTCAGTGTAAAACGCCTTCGGCCATCGCAAAGTCCCAACGCAACTACGTCGCTAAGAAGGACCGAAAGAATCCTCCGCACTCCTGCCTCTCGAGTGAGAACAAGCCTGAAAATATTGATGACACTCTGCCGGACTTTCTTGGAAAATGTCAGATTCACATTGATACATTTTGAGATCGACAATTACCTACACCAAAACAAAATCCTCGTGAATCCCCGTAAATGACGTGATTTCTGTTGCTGAACGCCGGATACTCCAAAAAGACGCCTATTCCGCGTGATGATTCGTGAAGAAGACACTCGAATGACCTTGACTTGGGCTGTTGTCAACCTTATAACATCTCTCTTTGAAATGCATACGCATACACCATACCAGCTCCTAGTGTCGACCACCCGCAAGGCCAGGCACTGCGCTGAATCGTTCATCACGCTCTGTCTTGAACAAGATCTGGCACCAAAACTCCTTCGCGTCCTCGTCGAACCAGAACCAAAATTTACCCTCTCTCCTGTCGATATCGCGCGACTGTAGCTTTACCGCAACCGTTTCGTATGGTTCACCGGCAACAATCAGGTACTGGTAGTTTGGGTCTGGGTCCTCTACCCGTTGCTCGTATGCGCTCATGATCCGAACCTTTGGGGAAACACCTGGCGTGATGTCTGGATACTGGAACTGGAATAGCAGCCCGTTCTGGCGCGTATTAGGGTCGCGTACTTTGGTGATGCGGTATCCGGGCCGTCCAATCTTGATGACGTTCTTCTTGGGCAGCACGCCTGCGAGTAGACCTTGTTGGTTGGCATCGTCTCTCTTTCCCTCTCTCTGCTCTTTTGCGAAACGGCGGGCCAAGTTGGTTTGATGCTTCTTTCCCTGTGTATGCGCGAGGTAGGAACCGTCGTTTTGGTGTACCGTTGTACAGAGACGACATTCGAAGCTACCGACATGGTTCTTGAAGAAGTACGGGTCCTTGTCGAGGTCGATGGTCTCGAGGGCAAGCTTCCTCAGGCGCTCCCGTCGGTCGGCATTTGTCGCGGACTGCGAGGCGACACCACCGCCACCGAATTTGGAACCTGCGCGATTCTGCACATGTTAGTTAGCTGCCTTAGACATTTTGCGACGAGACAGACATACCTGGTAATCCATCCTCGAAAACTATAAGTGTGGTATGCGCCTATGCAAGCGAGGTTCTGCTTTTTGTAGGACGTATCGCACGCGAGCTGTTGTCACTAAGTGTAGAGTGGTGTGGTGTGTAGTAAGAAGGCGCGTTGGAACTTTATCGGAAGCGGTGATCAGGTACCACGCTAACTTTCTTAGGTATCCACATCATCACGTGCGCGGGTGCCTTCAACGCTCCCGCACACTTGCAAACGCCAACTCCGACGTCGACTTCCTCCTTGTTCTTGGAGCTGGAGTGATTAGACTTGACGCTTAGGTTAGCACGATCTTCGGTAGTCGAGTTGTATACCCAATTACCCCTTTTCTTACAAGTACACAAGCACTGGCAACCTCCTCAGCGTTGCCGCCGACATCACCATCCTTGGCTGAGGAACCGACATCCGACAGAACTATGCAACAAAGCTGAAAGCTATGTTAGCCATTGAAGGAGGACCCCGGATTATAAAGCCATAATTCAACCTGCTCGCAACACACACATTTCGAGAAAAAAGAAGGAGCACATCACCCACCACTACTCATCAAACCGCAACCATGACTACCGACATCTACATCGGCAAACGTCTCTCCTTCGCCACTCACCTGTGCACAATCCGCTACCACGGCACCCTCCCTAGTGCAACCGGCCCCTGGCTCGGCGTAGAATGGGACGAGCCGACTCGTGGTAAGCATGACGGGTCTCACAACGGCACCCGCTACTTCACCTGCCTGCACACCTCTCCAACATGCGCCTCGTTTATCCGACCCACGCGTAAACCAGACCCCACTCGTTCTTTTGTGCAAGCTCTGAAGCACAAGTATGCCTCTGAGCAGGAAGAAGAAGAATTCAAGGATCCAGATGTTCATGTTGTGTTTAATCACCAGCCCCCAAAGACGGTTTCATTCAATGGCAAGCCGGCAGAGGAGGTTGGATTTGATAAGATCAGAAAACAATTGGCACAGTTGGAGGAACTCAAGATTATTATCCTGGATGGGCTTTGCATGGTGAGGCCGGAGGCGAGGGGGTCGTTGTGGATGGATGGTGGCGGGAAAAGAGACATAGCGGACGCATGTCCAAAAGCTGTGGAACTTGATTTGAGTAGAAATCTTTTCGAGGATTGGAGGGAGGTGGCAGCTATCTGTGAACAATTGCCTGGATTAAGAAGTTTGAGGGTTGAGTAAGCCATGTTTGGATATCATTCGATGGCACGAGTTTGCTAACTAAACCAGTGGCACAAGATTCCACAACATCACACTATCCCCAGCCGAACAAACCCGCTGCTGCCACGCCTTCAAAGGCATAACCTCTCTAAAACTAGAAGACACGCTCCTCCCCTGGACCGACCTGGCCCAGCTCACCCACCTCTTCCCCTCGCTCACCACTTTCTCCGCAGCCAGCAACCTGTACACGTATCTCACACCACACGAGCCCAACCCGCAAATCACTGAACTCATCCTAGAAGACAACCTCCTAACCTCACTCTCCTCACTCTCAAGCCTAGCCAAGCTGCCAAAGCTCCAACGCTTGATCCTCAAGCAGAACAAAGTATCCGAGCTAATCACCCCGGACGCAGCGATACCAGTATTTCCGCCAACACTGCGAGAAGTAGATCTGTCTTTCAACGAGATATCAACATGGGCTTTCATCGAGCAACTCGCGCACGTCTTTCCCGGCCTCCAGAGTCTGCGCGTCTCGCACAATCCGCTGTATTCTTCGCTACAAGCACCCGACGGCCGCACGCTAACTGCCGACGATGGGTACATGCTTACCCTGGCGCGCTTGGGTAATCTCAAGACATTGAACCACAGCCCCATCAACGAGAAGGAACGGCTGAACGCTGAGACGTATTACCTATCCATGATAGCCAAGGAAGTGCAATTTGCGTCTGAGAATCTACGGGAACAGATCCTAAAAAGTCATCCGAGATATACGTGGCTGTGCGAGGAATATGGAGAACCAGATATCCAGCGGTCCGTCAATGCTGTGAATCCGAATTCGCTGTCAGCCAGATTACTCCGTGTCAAGTTCTATTCGGCGACTGAGACGTCTACGGTGTTTGAGACGGAGATTCCCATGAGTAGTACGGCGTATACGGTTCTCGGTATGGTTGGCAAGCACTTCAGCATCAAGCCCATGCAGTGCAGGCTGGTCTGGGAGACGGGTGATTGGATGTCTGTTCGTAAGTCTGCAACGGATATCGTAGACGATGATTGGGATTCTGAAGATAGCGAGGCTGAGGTGGGAATGGAGCGAATCATGAGGGAAGTGGAGATTGTGCCCGGAACAAGATCGATCGGGACATGGGTGGATGGGTCGGTAGCTACTATCCGGGTAGAAGTCAAATGAGGATTCCTACTCACCGGATGTAGGCTTCCGCGCCGTAGCTTCTTCAGCGAAACCACCAATTGACCTAGCATCCAAATCAGCACCATAGTCACACACAAATATGCATCAAAACTCACCGAAGCATTCACACCCTTGCCATGCCCCCTAACAGCATGCCACCACCCCAATGGAATAAACAAAGCATCCCCCGGTCTTAAAGTCACCTCAAAACCACTCACATCATGCATAGTAGGGTCGTTCATGTTATCCTTATCCTTACTCCAAACCAAGTCCTCCAAAAGCTCCTTCTCCTTCCCCTGCATCATTTCCACACCCCTCATACTTGCACCCCCCTTTGTCCCCCCAATCTGCGCCTTCATCCTCTCATACAGCGCATGTCCCACTTTCGGCTGCATTAACCGCACCACCTTTTTCCCAGCCAGCTGCACGAAGAAATTCGGATTCGGGTCGCGATGCAATGGCGTCACGGTAGGTGGTCTGCCCATCCAGAGACTGGAGCCGTAGGCGTCGCCTTTGGAATGAAGAGCGGCAAAGAAATCTTTGGGAGTGGGGATATCTTCTTGCAGCGGCGCTGCGAGGTCGGTGAGCGAGTGCTGCGCTAGGTAGAGCTGCGTGTTTTGTGGTTCTGTAGCCGTCATGTGTTGTAAGAGTAGACTAAGCGGTGCTTCCATGCGCTCAAACGTGTTCTGTGCAGACTTTCCGTCGTCGTTGCTGCTGACCGAACGTGTCACTTCGAGCGGCACAATCGATTCGCCATATTGACCCAGATACGCTGCGTTTAACACGGACGGATACCGAAAGCCTTCGATCTCGGGTGTGAACCACTTTGTCCTCGCTGGTATTTCGAGAAAAGCGCTTTTGAAATACCCCGGTCTGTGCCAGCTGAAGCCTTGTACCTGGAGGGCTTTCTTCAGCTTCCGCCTCTCGTTGTTGTGTTCGACTTTGGGTAAAACCTGGAAGCGCCGAGGCGGACGGTATACGTGTGGCGTCTGGGGACGACGCTTAGGATGGTGCTTCGGGTGGTAGACTCCTGGGATTGCGAGCACGGGTTGAGTGGGCCGTAGAGACATTTGTGTAGTTGTGGAGAAATTGTTTCAGGCGGGCGTCGGGACCTTGACACGCTCTCGCGTTAACTCAAGTTACGTACCCCCACACACGGCGAGCTTTCGACCCGCCCCACTTGCCACAGCCAAAAGTTACCCATCTTTCAGCAATATCCAGTTCATCACCACCACAACAGCGCAATGGCCTCGAAACAAGCACAAGGCGGACAGCCAGGCCAGAGTCCGTATTCCTCCAATCTTGCCCACAAACCAAGCTACAAACCATGACATGTACTAACTTGACCAGTCGAGATAACATCCCTCCCCGTCCCCCGCCTCCAGGAACTAAAAACCCAACTCGACGCCGAACTCACCCACCTCTCAAACTCGTTCCAATCCCTGCGGACGGCGCAATCCAAATTCCGCGACTGCCTCGCCTCCATAACCACGGGCCTCACCCCCGCAACCGTCAGCAAACCGCTGCTCGTGCCCCTAACCTCGTCGCTGTACGTACCCGGTAAACTCACGGACCACGAACACGTGCTTATAGATGTGGGCACGGGGTTTTTTGTGGAAAAGGATATTGCGAGCGCGAAAGACTTTTATGAGCGTAAAGTCAAGGATTTGGGCGAGAGTTTAAAGGATTTGGAGGGCGTCGTGCAGGGGAAGGCGCAGAATGTTAGAGTCGTGGAAGAGGTTATTAGGCTCAAGGTCATGAATGCGCAGGAGGGGAAAGAGGAGGAGCATGGGAGTTGAAAGGGCTGATGGGTGTATGGGATGCACATTTCGAAAGCACACGACTACTGGTCGTACGGCGCACGAATGCAGGCACAGACTGGCGATACAAGCATGTCCTCAATTTTCATAGAGCAACTATGTGTGGAAATCTGATACCAGCTCACATCGAGACTATAGTACAGGGGGTGGCATGTTTGCCCATTGCTCATTCAAGCACACTGAGTGACATCGAGCTGTTCAACTTGAAGCATGTAGAAAATGCACCAACGGATTCCATTACCGTTCAACGTCTTCGTTGTGCATAACCATGGCCTATGCCTCTCAGATGGTGACCCTTCCCGCGTTGCCTGCTACCGAGCTGACCATGGTAGACAGTTGGAGCAGCTTGTCCGTGAGAATGCGGATACCATCACGAGCTCCAGGACTAAGTTCAAGGCTGCCCATACCAAGTTCTTCGCCTTCGCCGTTTTCGTCGTCTTCATCAGCAGTAGAGTGACAGGACTGACCATCTTGCGGCAGAAATGCGCCGATCGTGTCCCCCCAACAAACCTTGTTGCCCATTGTAAGACGCTCCAGTTGGGCGAGATGGGTAGCCCACTTCAAGTGACGAACACAGAGACCCCAAGCCAGCTGGTCTCCAGGGTACCACATGCCGGTAATCTCGACCTTGTATGAAGTTTTCTTGATACCGAACGTGTATATGATTTCCGAGCGAGATGTGGCCAGACACTTCTTGATGGTCGGTGTAGCATCGCACACAACAAAGGCTTCGTGGGATGAGATGTCGTATCTATCTTTCATCCGTACACTGCGAGCGAAAACTTTCAAAACTGGTGACACTGTCGCCGCAGGCACAGGAACCAAAGATTCGAGAGCGAAGTGCCACCCCCGGCTCTCGCCAAGCTCTAAGAGGTTGATGTCCATGTTTACTTTGGGCCCGTTTATACCCTGTTCTGTTCGATAATACCTGGGACCGCCTTTTTCGTAAAGACCTCCTTCATCGTCAGTCCAGTCGACTTGGACTATGACGAGTGGAGTCTGTGTCGTGTTGCTTGTGCTGGATCGTCCACCAACTACGCTGGGATCGTGAAACACCCACGTCCCTCTGAACATTGGTTGGGTCGCTTTTAGAGAATCTGGCATGCGTCCATAGTATCCAGCAGGTTTGGTGGGTTCCAGGAAGTGATCAGCCGACATAAGTGCCCTCAAGATCTGAGTGCCCATAGTGTCACTAGCGAGCCACCTCTTCACCTCAAGCTGGAATATACCTTCTATGCCTCTCTGGAAATTTTCCTTCTCGACTGTAGTACCAGGCGTGATTCCTGCGGCCCTCTTTGAACTCAGAGCGAGGCAGCCAAGGCGGATGGCCATGTCGTACGAGCCTTTCCTATAGCGAACTGCTTCTAGGGACGCTTTGAAGGAGCTCTGTAGCTTCTCTAGTTGAGTATAGTGTAGAAAGTCCTGTCGAAATGCTCCAGGTATGTCCATCAAGGGATGGGGAAGCAACCTGGGGACACGTGGGACAAGTCGGTCGTGGCGTTTCGGCCACCAAGGCTCAGCTTCTTCGAGGATGATTGTGAGCCCCTCTCGATCGTCAAGAATGATGTTGAAAGTATGCTGAAATCCTGCAGCGTCGGTTTGTATCTTCTCGATGACGGTTTGCACTTGCGCTTCGGCGGTTACGACCTTGTCTATATCCTCGCCGAGTATCTCGATCTCCCAAACCTTACCCGGGCCAGGTGAGAGAATAATATAAACATCGTTGTTTGTTCTGATAGCGTCCAGAGCTTCGAGCTTGTTCTTGAAGATGTCCCTGGGGTTGATCTCCTGGTCGAGAAGAGCCACCGGCCAAGGAATAGTGACCTGATACTAGTTAGGCTCTTATAAGCGGTCAAGAACTTTGGCATACTTGCTTTAGAAAGATGCGATGTATCTTCGGGAACAGGTTCTTTGAATTGTTGCTTGCGCTCACGCTCACGCTGCTCGGCTTCTTCGTAATGCCAATTGCCACTGTGGAAAGCAGGCATCTTCGCCCATGCTGACGACTCTGCTGATCTCGTGTTTCCCTTGGATATCCACTCGTTGATGTATCTGACAGCCTTGTCCAAGCCAGCACCGGACCCTACGATGCCAAATTCCTGTATGCGTCCGTTATCCCATTGCGGAATCACTTCGCATCCGGTGGCGGTCTTGACATCATTGACGATTATGTCGCGCTCTCTGAGCTGCGAGCGACGACGGAACTCTATGGGGACGGGAATGACTTTGTTGGGCCTCTTGAGCTTAGGTACATTTTGGTCAGTCCCAGATATGGGGGCAGCAGTGCTCCAGCCGTCCATGACTATGGGTAGTGTAGTAACGGTGTTGGAGAAGGAGAGTGTCAAACAAGTTGGGGTTCAAAGTTTGGTGAGCCCATACGTTGCTGTGGGGAGCAAACTTTCGAGGTGAGAGTGGATTGGAGATTAGAAGGAGCAAACAGGCAGTGACAATGCTTGGCATCGTACCACAACGTGCACGTGCAAGCGCATTACAAAAGCTGTGCAGGCCTCATCAGGCTTGTGTGATGGTATTCGGAAGCTTATCGTGATAGCATAGCCGTCTAGTCATGCAATTGAAGTCTCCAAAGAGCGCTTTTAGCCCTATTTCGGACACTTGAAGCGCGTATGTATCCTGACGAAGAGGTGAAAGCTACAGGGAAAACTATGAACAACTATAACAATTACATGTATGTATTTGTAAGACAGGAAAGAAAAAGGCAGGCAAGATAGTCAAATTGTTGATATAGTGAAATACATTGCAACTTATCCTGTTTGCAGGTGAGAGACGGTTGAGATTGCAAGAGAAAAAATTGGTAGAGAGATACAGAAACAAGAGCAAGCGAAGTTCTCAGTTCTCCGCTGGAAACAGTAAGATCGGGATGGAAGCCGGTTGCGTTGACCATGTGCTGTGCTAGAAGGATGGGGTTGTGATAAGTTACTAGGCGGGGACGAAGGTGCACGGACGCGGAGGTGAGCGATGGGCCTCCGATGGATTTTCTGGACATTCAGGACCAACCGCCATTGAACTTTGAATACAAGACATCGTCGCGCGCATTGCTCGTTCCGACATGCAATATAGCAATCACCTATCAATGAGCACTTGATTGGCCTCCATTAAGAAACCAAGTCCCGCACCCTCGTTGGGACTCTCCGCTATGGACGCCGTACCCATCACCAAGAAGTTGATCGCCTTTGGCAGCAAGAAGATCTACCTGTAAGCGGCCCTCCATACACCATCATTGCTGAAATTAACCTGATGCAGTCCCAAATTCACAGTCGCCCTCGTACGGACACCCAAATTTTCACCATACCACGCCCGCTTTCTAGTCCCACTCGACTTCTCAAAATACGACCTCCGTGACTACCTCTACCACGCCTACAACGTCAAATGCTTCAACATCCGATCATATGTAAAACAAATGCCAGTACGGGATACGCGCGAACAGCCACGGCATTGGTTCAGACCCGAGTCGCAGAAATACATGACGGTCGAGCTGGAAAAGCCTTTTGTGTGGCCCGAAACCCCTGACCTAAAACCGTGGGGTCAAGAAGAGAGGCAAAAAGAACTCAAGGACGCAGAGACTGCTAATGGAGCCGGGGGCCCAAGCGAGGCAAGGAAGGCTGCGAGGACATTACGAGAGCAAGTGAAAAAGCTACTGAACAAGGACGTGGTGCAGCCAGATCCTGAAATCGCAAAGAAACTGGCAGAAAGCTCACCACTCACTCTAGAGGAGCAAGAGAAAGAGGCGCTCAGGAAGCAGAAGATGGAAGAGTTGGAGCGTATGACAAGAGTAGAGGTGTGGGAAAAGCAGAGGACGGGAAAGGTGGTGGAGGGCGACGACCGCAACAAGTACGCGATCAAGGCATGATGTCGGCCGTGAGCTATGTATATATGACTGTATTGGATGCATTGGGATGGATATCAATGACCGGTCGGCTTGTTCAAATGTATGAAATTAAGCTTCTCACGATATGTGATGACAGACCGGAACCTGCAGAGTCATGACATGAATAGTAGGAGCAGGCAGTCACAGGAGTTAATTCGATCCTTCTAGTTATACGTATTCGTCAGGAACTTTCCTCAGGTGCTTGGCTCCATCTAATCATCATAGTAATAGGCTATGAAATGCGTTGCTTACTCTTCAGATATCATGATTGACGTAGCAACATGCTACGAAACATTGCTCAAATCATTTGTTGGGAGCTCTTTCGAGCCCTCCCCATGCCTCTTTCTGTTCACTGGTGGAACCTACTTGCGTGAGCAAATTACATCCCTCGCTGCTTACATGTCTGGTTCATGTAGATGGAAGGGGGAGAGACCTATCGCCTTGGCGCACGTATAACTCCGCTCAGCACCCTGTGATTTCTCTGCATCTTTGTTACGAATACAGTATTCCAACTCAATCACTTGTGTCTCTTACAAACACAGTATCCCCACTCAATCACTTGTATCTCTTACAGCATCGATGGCACTCGCAACTATGAACAATCGACATGCTACGAGGAGATACCATCTCGACGCGATGATTATGGAGGAGAAACTCAAAGGGGTAGCCTACGGTATATTCTTTTCCGCGCATGCTCTGCTTCTTCCCTGCTATCCCATGTTTTGCATTACTGACAATGAGACAGTACATTCAGAATCTCTATGGCTGGGAAGATTCAGATGATTACGGCTTCGCTCTGCTTGTTTGCCTCTACTCGCTCAATATCTATGTCATCCGCGCAATTCAATACACGGAGCCTGGACAAAAGGCATGGAAAATTGTGGCGGAAACCCGCAGGCCCATCTCTGGCATCAATGCTGCCCTGCAAGGATTCACGAATGACTTGGAACGCCAGATGGAAGACAAGACGAATGACCTCAGTGTATCGGGGCGGAGTCACTTTAACGGGATGCCATCAGTTGGTACAGCAGCATCCGCACTCAAAAGGCCATGTCTTATTGTTATCTTGATCGTTTTTTTACTTCTAACATACTGTTGTGTTAAGCCAGATCGGACGCTCCAAGCCAGATTGGACGCTCCTGCATAGCTAGTGTGATGGTACATGCATATCCGTCGGGAAATTAGTTGATCAGTGATACAGATACGGTACCTAGGCGAGGCTTACGTTCGGCCGACAGTAGCGTCTTTCCCGCATACACGTTTTTTCCTCACCTCATCTGTCTCTCTTTTTATCCCTCCTAATTGCTTCTTGATGTGACAATTCAGCAGTTTCAATTGATTCTGGACGTTCAATCAGTACCTGACACCTCTTAAGGTTGCTCGAACGACAATGACTGCATATCATATGCTTGTCCGAGGTAACCAAGACCGATCTTGCATCACAACAGATGAGACACCAGGTAATGCAGTAGTGATCATCCAGAATTCAGACTAGGATCAGTGCGAGGATCTACCCGTGCGCGGGGGGAACAGCTCGTGACGAGTCATGTCTAATAAGATGTTCATGGTTAGAAGGGTTCTATGGGTTTGCTAGGCTGGCGCTGGCAGCTAAAACTCGGCTACGGCTACACTACCTGAATGGCGTACCTCTGGGAGCCAATCAGCCACAAGCAGGATTCTGATGGTCCCAACAGTGCACATTCTTGAGCAATGATATGATCTTGTAGGATTGTTAGTCTACGCTAGTAAATGACGTTATCGGCAGACCTTTCGGCGCAATATCAACACAAGGGAAAGTGCCAGAACATAAGCGAGCCCCCAACGAGCAAAAATCCCTACACATTGACTTGCTCCACGAACGTGGCGATCCAACGTACTTATGGGGACTGCCCTGTAATAAATAAGACGCCAATCATCTGTCAATTGCGCTTTGAACTTTTCCATCTGCCCCCCAACGAAAATTCCAGATAATGTCTGTCATCGACACCACAAAGGACCTGTCGGCACTCTTTACAAAACAGGTCCAAGCTACCCCGGATCTGATTGCCTTAGAGGACGACAAGCATACATATACGTACCAGGAACTCCACGACAAGGTCGCTGCCCTCGTCGACCGGCTGCGGGGTCATGGGGTCGGCCGTGATAGCTTGGTTGGGGTCCTATTGCCGCGATCCGCCGACTATGTAATCGCTTGTTTAGCAGCTCTACGCGCAGGTGGTGCATTCTTGGTTCTGGAACTAGCATACCCTCCCGATCTTCTCGCAGATGTACTCGAAGATGCCCAGCCTACAGTTGTCGTTACCATTAGCGCCGAGGTTGGCAAGATCAAGGGAAACACCCCGCTTGTTGTTTTGGACGAAGCAAGCTCAGCCAGCAACGGTCACGTCGAAGAATCTCAATTAAAACCATTCCCCGAAGACACCGACTTGGATCGCCTGGCGTTTGTTGCCTACTCCAGTGGAACAACCGGCAAGCCCAAAGGTATCGCCAACCCCCACAGAGCGCCTGTTCTCTCATATGATCTTCGATTTGGTCTCTCCGACATACAGCCGGGCGACCGAGTAGCCTGCAATGTCTTCTTCGTATGGGAAATCTTACGCCCATTGCTACGAGGAGCGACTGTTGTTGCCGTTCCTGACGAAGCAAGCTATGACCCACGTATGCTGGTCGACTTGCTCGCCTCAAAGAAGATCACCGAAACACTGTTCACGCCAACCCTTTTCTCTGCTGTCCTTGCTCGCCACCAAGCATTAGAGACCCGCTTGCCGAACCTGAAGACTATTTGGCTCAATGGAGAAGTCGTGACAACAGACCTCGCACGCCGCGGTATCAAGGCACTTCCAAACACTCGTCTACTCAATGTGTATAGCGCATGTGAGACACATGAGATCGCTTGTGGCGACATTAAAGATATGCTCGAGAAGCTCGACAAGGATGCACCGTATTGTCCAGTAGGACCGCCACTCATCGACAAGAAGTACATCTACATCCTAGACGAGAGTGGCCAGAAGGTCGACGAGGGCGAAAACGGTGAGCTCTACGTGGGTGGCCATTTGCTTGCACGAGGATACCTCAACCGTCCTGAGACGACGGCCGAAGCGTTCATTCGTAACCCGTTCAGCTCAAAAGCTGGTGCTCGTATGTACAGGACCGGCGACAAGGCGCGTCTCCTTCCAAACGGGCTGCTCGAGATCACCGGACGTGTCGGTGCTATGATCAAGATTCGTGGATACTCGGTGGTCCCAGGTAAGGTTGAGAGCGCAATTCTCAACCATTTGGCAGTTAGCCATTGCGCTGTCGTACCCTTTGGTGAGGGCATAGACAGACAACTGGTGGCGTACATCGTGCGGGACAAGGAGACATCGGCAGAACGCCCAGAAGTCGAAATCGACAGAACAGGCCGCAGTTCGACTGCGAGACGTATGCTCATGTCATACCTGGCCCATTACATGATACCTGCGCTTTGGGTCGAGATGGATAATCTGCCCACCAGCGATGTGTCTGGCAAAGTCAACTTGAAGGCGCTTCCTCCGCCGAGACCAGCATCCCCATCGGGTAGTGCACGAAAGTATGAGCAGAGCCCAATCACTATTGAGCAGATTACCCAAATCTGGGCATCTATCCTGGGCGTAAGCGCAAGCTCAATCACTCCCGAATACAATTTCTTCGACCTTGGAGGTCACTCGCTCCTCCTAGCTGACCTTGCTGCACGCTTGTCGAATACTTTTGGATTCAGAGTACCGGTTGCACGCTTAGCCACTCCAGCAACGCTTAATGGGCACCTGGATACCGTTCGTGCCATTCGCGACGGGCATACCGCCGAGGTGCAAGATAACCTTCCTGCTGTCCTACGTGCAGACTCGGTTCTTGATAAGGATATCCAGCCGAAAGACGCCAAGATTTCTGCGCTCAAGGACGCAAAGACCGTACTTCTTACTGGTGTCACCGGTTTCTTGGGTGCTTTTCTTCTCCGGGATCTGCTCGAGGGCACGTCTGCACAAATCATCTGTATGGTTCGATTTTCCGACTCTTCGCAAGACGACATCCCTGCCGGCATTGCCAGGATACGCAGGAACTTGCTGGACTTTGGACTTTGGAGCGACAATATCATGGAGCGTGTAGAGATTCTCCCCGGAAACTTGTCTCGCAAGCGCTTCGGCCTCGCACCTGACACATTCAAAGCACTAGCAGAGCGTCTTGATGTGATTGTACATGCCGCTGCTACTGTCAACTTGGTTTATCCGTACGCTGCTCTACAAAAGCCAAACGTTGGCGGTACGAGGGAGGTTCTTCGCCTGGCCGCTCAGGGCGGTGCCACTGTACAATACATATCTACCAACGGAGTACTCCTTCCAGCAAAAGGCCGAGAAGGATGGTCAGAAGATGCCATGCTTGAGATTGATGACGTTATCAAGCTTGCGGACGGTTACGGTCAGACCAAGTGGGTCGCTGAGCAGCTTGCCCTCGAGGCTGGTCGGAGAGGTCTCCCCATCAAGATACATCGCCTCGGTACTATCAGCGGTCACAGTGAGACGGGTGCAGCCAATGCATGGGATCTCCTGACAGCCATGATTGTTGAGTCTATCAGGATCGGGCACTACCCCGACGTGAAGGGTTGGCGTGCCGAGATGACACCCGTCGATTTCGTCAGCAAGGCTATCGTTCATCTCAGCAACCAGACCGAGACTGAGCAGACAGTCTTCCATATCGGAGACCCAGACCCCGTAGATATAAGTCAGGTCTTCGATGACCTCCGCATTCTTGGTTACCCGACTGAGCCGATGGAGTTCGATAAGTGGACAGCCCTATGGGACGATAAGCGAGGTGCTGCCAAGGGTGGTGATGGTGCTTTCACAGTAGATATTCTTCGAAGCGGTATGCCCAGCATCGAGTTCTTGAGAGATGTCGTGGTGCTTGACAATGCAAAGACAAGGCCACTACGTCTGGCTGTAGAGCGCCCGAAGGTCGACCAAGTACTCCTCGAAACATACACACGTCACTGGTACGCCCGAGGCTGGCTTCCAAAGCCCCCTATCCACCAAGCCGCTGCGGGTGGCTCCGCTAGACTTCCCAGAAGAGGCCCTCTATTCGGGAAGGTCGCCGTCGTCATGGGTGCATCCTCTGGTATTGGCGCCGCTACCGCCGCAGCACTCGCCCGAGAAGGCTGCCACGTCGCGCTCGCAGCCCGTCGCATCGACGCCCTCGAAGACCTGAAAAAGCGCCTCGCAGTCCGCGAGGGCAAGATCATCACGCAAAAGACAGACGTCACCAACAAGACCCAAGTCGAAGAGCTCGTCGCCGCAGCAGAGAAGCAGCTCGGCCCCATCGACATCTTCGTCAACATCTCGGGCGTCATGTACTTCACCATGATGGCGAACTCGTACACCGACCAATGGAACCAAACTGTCGATGTGAACTGCAAGGGTATCCTCAACGTCATCTCTTCCATCGTCCCCACCATGCTCAAGCGCGGAAAAGGCCACCTCCTCGCCATCTCCTCAGACGCAGGACGCAAGGTTTTCCCTGGCCTGGGCGTCTACTCCGCATCCAAGTTCTTCGTCGAAGCCACACTGCAGAGTCTGAGGCTCGAGACTGCTGGCACAGGCCTGAGGGTTACTTCCGTGCAGCCTGGTAACGTGGCCACGGACCTCTTGGGCATGAGCACAGATGCTGAGGCGCTGAAGAAGTTTGGTGAGCCGAGTGGGGCTAAGGTGCTGGATCCGGAGAATGTAGCAGAGTGTATCGTATACGCTCTTAAGCAGCCCGAGCATGTTAGTGTTAACGAGGTGCTTATCGAGCCAAGAGATGAGCCTATTTAGATGGGTGGTGATGTGTCATCTGAGCAGGTCAGGGCTGTCATGGTGTTTATGAAGCCACAAAAATAGAGCATAAGATAGAAGATAGAGCTATAGGTTGACAGAATTACAGACAACTTCATCATGCGGGTATATTACCCTTCCACTTCAAAACAGAACGCATGGAGTGTGTACAACGTATGATGTCATGCACATGAGTTTGCCTGGTATGCTGAATGACATTTGATAAATTCGATAGCCCTGAAGTCTTTCAACTAACATATAGCTATCTAAACCTAGACCATACTAAGGACCTGTTACAGTGAGTCCAAGATCAAGTCTGCTTTAAACTATCTCTTAACACAAACAAAGCGTGGCATGATGACGATGATATTACGATGTTTTCTTGGAATCATCGTTTACTTTGGTACTGAAAAGAGAGATGTAGAGCATTGATTGTCTAAATCCATAGCTGTAGAAGCGATTCATCTGTGTCCGTTGTCTCATGCTTTCTCTTCTCCTTCTATTTCTGTTGTGGTGACTTTCTCCTCTCCATCTGTATCCGTAGTGATAGTACCTTCTGCTCCTTTTGTTTCCGTTCTGAAAGCCTCATCTTCTCCTTCTTTATCTGTTTTGCTGACCTTGTCTTCTCCATCCGTATCCGTCGTAGCAGTCTGCAATCCTTCCGTATCTGTCATGCTAGCCTTCTCTTATCCGTCTCTATCTGTTATGACAACCTCTTCCTCTCCTTCCATTTTCGTAGAGATAGCGTTCTTCAGCTCTTCTTGCTTTTTCTGTTCCTGTATTAGAAAAAATCGAGGTATACAGGTATTGATGTCCTCCTCACGCCAATTATTGTACAGCTTCTCGAGATCGAGCGGGCCTCCGAGACCCAGGTTGAGCGTACTAACGGTCTTTGGACATTCTATAAACATTTAAGATATACAGAAATCATCCCACCATTCACGTTCGCCATACTTGAAACCTACGTTCTCGCAGAGGAGATTGGTGATGTCTTCCTGGATGATGGACCATGCCTGTTTCAGCGGAGCGAGGGTTATACCAAGTGCTACAGAGGTCACGATATCCAAGGACCAAGCGCCGGGCTCCGCCTTGAGCCTTTGAGGGTCGATAGCCACCTTACAGTGGGGCGGAATATCCACCTCAGTGACGATTCTTGCCCACATGTCGCTACACATATCCTGCCAGTGAGGCTAGCGAGAGCGGAAATCAATATCATTCTTTTCCATTTTCTTCGTAAGATCCTATATATATATATATTGTTGGTTGGCTTTGCACTAAGTGCGTAAAGGGAAATAACGATAACTAGGAATGCATTCTGTTCGGTGGTTCTAATTGATATCTACGAACATAGGTGCTACGAAGGTATACCTAAGCTCTTGCGCAAGGTGGGCCGAAGTCGGGCCGAAGTGTCCAGCAGCCGACGTCTCTACCGATACTCACGATCCGACACTGGAAGTCTTTTCTTTCTGGATAGCTAGTAACTCTGCTTGTATCGGTAGTGACAGTGTATAGCATTAAACATCAAAGCTTGTTGGCCTCTGCACCCATCCATCTACTCGGACTGTCAGCTTATTGCCGTCAATAAAGCGTTCAAGAGCGCGGTTTGGCGATGCCTTCGTGAAGGCGTCTGCAGGATTGTCTTCGCCATTGATCCAGCGGATCTCCGTGATCTCGCGACGCTCATATGATTGGCGCAGCGCCATAATATCGATCATGAGGCGCTTCTCCTTCGTTGTCCCAAGCTTTACTAGGCACTCGTACAAGGAGTACGAGTCTGTACAGATAACCAAGGGAATTGCAGGTAGTCCAAGTCGTTCTGTAACTATCCTTAGCGTGGTTGCAACCGCGATGCCTATGTCAAAGCCGTTGACCATGCCGTAGATCTCTGAGGCCAGTACGCTCCGTGTGATGCGCTTGCACTTTGTAGAGCTGTAGTGGATCACGTTGCCTTGTATTGTGAAGGTGTTGGCGCCAATGGACTCGTTGACGAGCATGAGGACAAAGCCTAGCTGTGAGCTGAGGTCCTTGTTGTTGGCAAAGGAGCCGTCTACAAAGACTATCAACTTAGCCTCCGTAAGGTTGACAGTGACGTAGCGTAGGCCACGAGTGAGATTCTCCATCTGCCATTTCAGGCGCTTGTTGAGTGCCTTAATGTCCTCGTCTGATGGTTGCTGCGCTTGAGCAGCTACGGACAGATCAAATGATGCCTCTGGTTGGCATGTTGATGCGATGTACGCTCCGCGGGCGCGTTGCTCGGTGTACTGTTGCGCGCGGTCGGGTGCCCTAATATCAACAAGCCTGATCCTTCCTCCTTGTCCTTTCTGCCTGAGGATTAAGACTCTGCTGGCGTCCATCGTAAGTGTACATCCATTAAAGTCTAACTGCACCTCTGGTGTCAGCATAGCCTTTGGTTTTGATCTAAACTGCGCCTTCTGGATCTTTTTCTCTTCGCGTGATAAGAACGCGGTCGTTCCGAGCATGAGGGTGTCGTCTGTCTGCATACCGACGATGCCGAAGACGTCTGCGTCGTCGCTGTTCGTGATCAACAGGCATGGGTCGTACGTAGATGTTGACATATCTAGTTCCTTGCAGTGGTGTCCGTGATATGTTGTCCACCAGTGGACTCCTGCCTCCGCGATCCCATATAGTGGCTTGATCACGTGGAGTATCGTGCCTTCTGGATATCGATGTACCAGCTCGGTAGGGAGGTGTGCGAGTATCGTCCTCTTCAGTGTTGTCTGAGCCTGTGGGTATGCCTGCGTAATATCACGTAGCTCAACGCTCATGCCGCTTTGTACTAGCCCAGGCGCCAGCGACATAATCAGGCGCTGGCTACATCGCTGGATGGTTGGCGACTGCGTTAAGATAGCCTCCTTGCCATAGTCTTGGTAGCCTTGGATAACCAGACGGGATTTCTCATAAGGCTTAGTTGTCTTTCCCTTGACCTCACGTACTAGGCGTGACTTAAAGATCCGGATCTTGCTGTGTAGCCTCTCGTCGTATTGCTCAAACTTGAAGACTCCACGACCTACTAGGTCGCTGATCTCTTGGTCATCAGACGCTTCAAAGGGGGCGCCTGAGGTTGTGATCACGCCATCGTTCCGTAGCTTGATAGCTAGCTCAAGATCGTCCTGCTCCTTCTTGGTGATGTACGCGTGCGCCTTCCGCTTGTTCTTTGACCCTGGAGGGCGGCCTCTTCTACGTGGTTGCGCTGCCGGAGGTACTGCTATCGGCTCGTGCGGCTCATTCGGCTCATTCGGCGCGTGTGGCGCATCAGGGTCGCTCCACAGGTGGTCTGGTCTGTAGTATGGCTTAACGACAGTTGATCTGAATGTCGCTGGACCATTAACCATGTCGACAGTGATGTTGTGGCCATCTGTACTGGCGATCTTGTACGGGCCATTCCAGCCATCACTCTCTCTCCATACTAAGACTTCGCTCTGGAGTGGGAGCGCGAGCATGTCTGCAGTGGCTGGTCCATTGCGGGTGTTCAAGGCGTCTGCAACTTGGCGCTCTGCAGTGAGCTTGCGCAGGGCTTTCGTCGCCTTTTGAATAGCCTCGCTGCGTTTGACCATTGATGGTGATGGCGGTGACTCTGCAGTCATTCGTGGGTACGCTCCAAAGACTAGTAACGTCGGGACTAGTCCATCAGGGCCAGCAGTATCGTTAACAGCCTTCACAGCCATCTGGAGAATCGCGTCGTCGGACATAGTGTCAGTGAGTTCTGCATGGAGTATGTCCCATGCCCGGCGTAGAGGGGCATGGTACCTCTCAGTTTTGCCGATAGACCAGTGCGCCTCCGTAGGTACTTGCTTGCATGTGACTCCCATGATCTTTGCTTCTGCGCGGAACTCTGCGCTCGCGAAGTTAGTACCTGCATCATGCGTGATGATGTCGGGTGGTCCCTGGTAGGTGTCGATCCATAGTATCCGCAGTGCTTGCCATGTTTCTTTAGCTGAGATAGCGCTGAGGAACCTCGCGCCTTGAAACGCTGTTGAGGAATCGACCACATGCAGTACAGGTTTGTTGCTTAGGTACATTACGTCCACCAGGATCTCATAGTTGAAGTGGTGATCATCCTTAAGAGTGAATTTGAATCGGCGCGGCGCGGAGCTGTGGAGCTGGCAGTGGTGGCAGAACTTAGTGACTTCTTCTAGGGTTCTTTCTTCGAAGTCGTTATGGCCAGCATCCTTTAAGAGTTTGACTAGTCGCGTAACAGCTGGGTGTCCAAACCGTCGATGGAGCCGTCGCAATTCTGTCTCCGTTAGGAACATAGTTGCTCTCTCTCTCTTGTTTAGATGGAACCAAGGATGTCCCCATTTGCGAATCACCGGGATGTGTACGTCATCCTGAACCAGCTCGTCTGTCGTATTGTTGAAGTATACCTTTAAGCGGTCCATGTCTGCAAGGCATAGCAAGAACGGCGTAGGCGCCTCGAGCACTTCGAAGTTGATTTTTCCGATCTCCGTAGAGACCTGCACGGTGCCAATCGACGCTGTAGCCTCGCCTTTTCCGAATTTAATAGACGCTTTCCCTGCTGTAGATGTGTCTAACTTAACCGTCGGATCTTCTCTCGTAAGTGCGAGGTATTGCTCCTTGCCGACCGTGGATACGTTTGCAGCGCCTGTATCTGGTAGGATTCCTTGGTACACAGATCGTGTGTAGCGGTCCTCAAGCAGGAACTGCGATGCTGGTGCTGACGGCGCGTCTCGGCTGTATATGTCGTCGCCCGAGATATGATGCAAGAACGCCTGGTCTGCAAGGCATTGCTCCTTGAAGAACTGGTGTTCAGAATGTGCTTCCGCGACGTCGTCATCCTCGTCATCCTCGCAGTCTTCCTCCTCTCTCCAGCCTCTCTGATTGTACTGGCTGGTGTGCTCGATCCCTTCGTATTCTGCAAGATGTACGGAGAAGTCCTCAGGGGGCTGTGCACCTGTAAAGTATAGCGTAGAGAAGAACTGCGCACGGGCATCTTTGCGCTCTTTATCTGTGTGGTTGGTAGACCAGCATCCTTCCTTCCGGCAAACAAAGCATTTCTTCCTCCAACGTGGCTTGAATCCTCGTCCGTTGTCGTCGCGCTGCTCGCCTCCTCGGTATGCTCCTCTGGATCCGCCTCTGAATCCTCCTCCACCTCGAGATCCACCTCGGATCCTTCCATTGCCGTTGTATCGGCGGTCTAGGTAGTATTGATCTTCTGGGGCCAACTGGGCGGTGTGTTGCCGTGCTAGGTGTGTTTCCACTGCGGATCGTAGATCTGAGAAGAGTCCTTCACAGATTGTGGCTGGCTTGAACAGTGCCATCTCAAGTTCTGGTACTCCTCGGCAGGCATTGATGACCGTAGTGCGGAGGGCATCCTCACCCTCAAAGTTCTTGCCAAGGGCACGCTGGCATAGCTGCAGCTTGTCAAGCAGGATCTGCAGAACCTCGTGTAGTCCCTTATCAGGGTTCTCTGCGCGGGTGCGAGCGAAGGTTGTAGTCGTCCAGTCTGTGTAGTAGTGCTGGTGATGGACGTCATGGTCGAAGTGGTTTTTGATTGCCATGTACGCATCAGCAAAGCTATCATCTCTCTCTACAACCTGTATGTAGAACGTCTCTGCACGCCCGGTAAGGATACGGGGAAACACTGCGTGAAACTGCTCCTCCTGGATATCTACCTGCCAGCAGATGCTGAAGAAGATCTTAATCTTATCGTCTAGGAGATCGTACGCATTCCCTGTATACTTGTTGCTATTGTCCCATAGCTTAGAGAACTGCGTGATCGTATTGGCTTCGAGCCGATCGTTGCGAGACCATCGCGGCGGTAGCGTCTTGTACGGGTCATGTGGTAGGCCAAGGGGTCTGTCAGGTACTCGGTTTGTAGGTTGCTGAGGGAAAGGTGTCACCTCGCGGTATGCGGTCGCTGGGGGTCGTGTCTGTGTCTGCGGGTACCATTGTTGTGGTTGCATAGCCTGCTCCGTTTGTCGAGGCTGTGGTCCTGCATAGGCATTGATCGCGTAGGGCGGTTGTTGTAGCTCTTGATATTGCGGGTGGCTTCGAACGCCTTGTCTCACTCTATACTGCTCGCCCTGTGACGGACGTTGTGGCTGCGGCTGTAGCGGTTCCAGTGGCTGCGTCTGTTGCAGTGGCTGCTGCGCTTGTCTATCTATAGGGGCTGCTAGATGTGCGTTCTGCTGACGCTGGTACGCCTCAGAACGTTCGTCAAACTTCTCGGCCTTGAACTCTGCAGGGTCCCATTCGGGAGCGTTTTCTCCTCCTAGTAAGTTGAAGAGGGAATCAGCTACTCTAGCCCGAAATTTGCCTGTATAGACTCCCCTATACCGGAGCACAGTCTTCAGAGATCTTAGCGTAGTGCGCTCAACCTTCTGGAATAGCTCTCGTGTCCATCCTTCAAAGTCCCATTGGTAGTCGAAGTATAGTCTCTCATCCCATTCCATTCCTACATGGTAGTCGTGGATAGCCTTCGCGACCCAGGTTGTTGCGTGCGTCTCGTCTGCATCCTCTGGTGCGGGTACACCCCAGAGAGATGGGTTGATATAGTCAAACGTGACTGTGTATGGACAGTGTCGCATAAGGTGTTCAGCAGTAAACTTCGCTCCTGGGGATATAGTTTCTGCGCGCTTGCTTGTATTGCGTTCGGATGGATAGTTGAGTAGTTGCTCTTGAACATCAGCGTCTGTATCGCCAGAGTTGCTCTGGCTGCCTGCCATCGTGCCGGTGTATATTGACGCGTTGCCTTGTCTTGTCTAGCTGGTTGGTCGGTTCCAGCGCTTGTGGTTGTACGTGATAGGATCGTCCGGGGACGCTCGTACGGAATCGCTACGCGTTGCTGACGCACTATAGTCGTCCCGAGACTTCTCGCGTCGGGATATCAATAGTCTGTCGCTCTGCGCTGCTGACGTGCTGTAGTCGTCCCAAGACTTCTCGCGTCGGGATTTCAACAGTGTGTCTTTGTGCGTTGCTGACGCGCTGTAATCGAGCTTCGGCCTGGATTAGCAGCTTAGAGGGAGGTTTTGATCGCTATGCGTTATCTCTGCCTCGCTCTGTTCTTAGCACAGAATCTTCTCTCAGGAGTATAACGTCGTGCGTTAGGGAGGCTGTCAAAGATGCGGTCTGTCTCTTCTTCCTTGCTGTCTGTGATCGCCTCAAGCAATCACTGATCAGTGTTGGTTGGCTTTGCACTAAGTGCGTAAAGGGAAATAACGATAACTAGGAATGCATTCTGTTCGGTGGTTCTAATTGATATCTACGAACATAGGTGCTACGAAGGTATACCTAAGCTCTTGCGCAAGGTGGGCCGAAGTCGGGCCGAAGTGTCCAGCAGCCGACGTCTCTACCGATACTCACGATCCGACATATATATATCCGCGTGCATCGACAATGGGCTCGAAAGGCGGGACTTGTCCATTGGGTAGATTGGACTGGAGTCCTTACTGAGTCCAGGTTTCCGGGGAGGAAATATAATTCAGCAGTTTCGTTGTATATGTGACACGGTCTTCGGGGTGGAACCGATTTGGCTCCATACGTTTTGCGAGCAAGTCGCACAGTACGCTGGATTCTCGGAATGTCCGCCTGGTATGGTGCTTGCATGCGTAACGTCTGTTATGGGCCGACTCTACCGGATCCCTTCCAATTTCCAGCGCAAGTTTGGTTCCGGCTTCTGCTAATGTTACTGGCGCGGCGCCATAGAATACGTGTTCGTATCCTTGAAGGGCCAGGATAAATTCCATGTCTGGCCAGACTGGATCTTCGGGATATAGCAGCCGGTCAGCTACATACAAATGACCCAGCATGCATGAGTTTTCCAACTTCTGTTCGTGCCGATACCACATCGGTGAGATGAGAACATCAATTGATAATCCGTTATTCCGCACAAAAAGGGCTGAAAATCAGCCAATGTATATGCTCGATCCTCGCTCAGCGGCAAAACTAAGGCTCGGAAAGCATCAGAGCCATGCGACCGCGCAACACTTGCATTGAACCCACCACCCATCTAGTGACTAACCTCATCGATAATCTTGTTCCACGGCTCGTATACTTCGGCTATCTCTTCCCTCTGGATAAAAAGATCTCGAACCCGGTCATCGAAAGATTTCCGCCACGACATACCCGAAATTATAGCCCTATACAGTTGGTCAAAGGGCAGTGGGTGCGTATTCGGCTCTTTGAGAGTATGCAATGCGTCCAGGAGGGTATGTATACCGAAAGCGACCCAGATAGGAATTTCTTTATTCTGCTCCATGACTTGGATTCTGGCGACTTCGTCAAACGTAATTTTGTTGTTTGAATAACAAAGGAACGCGTCGCGTTGACAAGTTCCAGAGTTTGCCGGTACGCTGGTGGGAAACCCATCTCTGAAAACTGCGCTGGGCACAGGAAAGGATTGCAGTTTTTGGACTTATGAACCGCACAATATTGGTTTATACAGCAAGCAAAATAATTCTGCAATGCGGAATAAACAGGCCATTGACAGAATCGAGCGAAGGGACTTCCCAATCTTGCAGCCTCCATAGTGTCGCCTTAAGCAAGACACAGTCCTCGATGGGAAGATGATGGATATCCTCATGCATCACATGATTAAGTACTGCCGGCAGAGACCAGGCAGGAAATCTCGAGGCAGGATATTTCGCTGTATGTTCCAGAAGCAGACCAAATCTACACTCAGCCTGACGAACAAGCTCAATAGCAGTATTGGTAACCATGGAGGCAACAACGAAGTTCTGGTCATCTTTTGCACGTTCCCTCTAGATATCGAGGATTGTGTCGCCAATCTCCTGAATCTCGACAAGAAACGTCATGATCTCAAAGTAAACCTCTACTTCTAGTTCACGTTTGTCTCTTTTGATATGAACACGTGGTAGGCCAAAGAAAGTATAGCCATTTTCTTCGACACTTTCTTCTGCGTTATCATCTTCCGCAACAGTAGGCTTCGTCCTTTGCTGCGATTTCACTGTCTCGTTGATGGTGTGATTTGAGAGATTATCCTGGAGTATGTGTGTATGAGCGTGGAAGTCTTCCGCAGTTGCTTCGGTAGCCTTCTTCCGACGATTCGTTTTGATGAAGGGGCGCAATATGTCGAGTGTCTTGTCGAGAATTTCTTTGAAAGCCGCATGTTGTTCAGTGATCTGAATGTCCTCCTGACCGCAGTCACGGAACCAGTTGGTGACCCTCTTACGTATATTCAGCATACGTTGGAATACCCCGCAATAGATGCTGGAATCCTAGTTCCCATCATATTCTTCGTGGTGCATTTGGCCATGGGCTCAAAGTCTTTCATGCGAATGGTCAACGTGGCCTTACTTCTGATACCTCCCGTGTTTGTTTTGCCTGCTTGATTTCTGGCCTTGCCTATCGAACTAGTAGCAAGCCCTCTAGGGCCTGCAGCAGGTAGCGACATAGTTAGCCGATAACCAGCCTGCCGTGCCGTGTCCGCCAGCCATGACAACACAAAATTCGTATCCTGTTTGTATTGACGATGGATAGAGCGAAAATTCGTGTCTGAGATTGGAGATGTCATGTCGAGCTTCTACGTTCATTGGAATAAGAGTATAGATAGGCAACAGGAAAACTCCCCAAGGACCGTATAAGATAGTGGATTAGGACGAAGAGTATACTAAAGAGTCGTGATGAAATTCCATTACCAAGATCCTAGATTGGAATAGGACCAACTTGACAAAGATCTTACGGCAACTGGAGGGGCCAAATCAGTACCTAGGTGTAATGTCTACCGGCATGTTTTCTTTTTCTCTTATCATCCCGTCTTCGAGGTTAACTGACAACGCATCTACACAAGCCATGGACAAGGACCGAGAGAAGAAAGACAGTTGAATATAAATATACACGTAAAGCATATGAATTCGAAGCCATGAAATAGTACCTAGTTCCAACCCTCGAGCCTTGGAAGGTGGTTACCTGCTGGTAGTATGTAGGCCGTTGGACAGAAACAGACTAGCGTCTTGGCAGTCGTCAATGCAGCATTTCGTAGAACGGGCTACTGCTCTCTCACGTAACAACAATACAGTATGGCCAACACGATAAAGGTCGACGGGGACGAACATGCCCCCAAATCGCCTGGCAATGCCGATAAGGAGCTCTCCCACAATGTTCACGTTTCAACAAACGACGAAGCAGAAGAGGCAACAACCGCCATGACCGCGAACGAAGCAACAGCGCAAGTTGTGCCCTCACCTCAAGATGCCGCTGGAGAAACCGCCGTTACTGCAACTACAAATCTCGACGTCAAAGCCGCTCTCCAAGCGCGAATGGCGCGCTTCAAGGCCCTCCAGGCACAGAAAGTAAACGGCCGCAAAGCCACAGAGCGCGAAGTCCGCGACGCAGAAGACCGCTCCAGCCGTCTCGCGCAAATTTCCAAACTGAGCGCCGCCCACGAGAAAGCATCCTACAAACTACTCAAATCAGAAGACCCAGACTTTGAGCGCAAAAGGAATTGGGACTACACTGTCGAGGAGAGTGAGAGCTGGGACAAACGGCTGAAGAAGAAGGCAAAGAACAGAGAGGGAGTCGCATTTGCAGACTACAGGAACGAGGCGAATAAGGTGTACAAGAGACAGATTGGGCAGATGAGTAAGGTGGATATGGAGGCGTATGCGGAGGAGAAGGCAAGGAAACTCCAGTCGCAAGTGTCCTCCGGGCTCTTGCAACTAGTTGAAACGGACGCCGGGGAGATTTACACGGTGGACAGTAATGGGCGCATAAACACTCCCGTCGACGAAGCGTATAGCCACGACCACAAGCCCTCGAAGGAAGCCCTCGATAGATTGGTTGCAGATCTGGACAAGGGCGAGCGCGCACGAATGAAGGCGCGCGCTGCAAGAGGCATACGCGACGAGCAGGATGTGGGTGATGTCACGTACATTAATCAGAAGAACAAGCAGTTCAACGATAAGCTCTCGCGGTTCTACAACAAATACACGAGCGAGATACGGGATAGCTTTGAACGAGGTACGGCGATTTAGGGGGCAGGGAGGAGAAACCGTTTATACCCTGGCATACGATATGCAGGTTGGCGTTGTGGGCTGAATGGCATTACATGGGCTCGGGTTGGCGTCATTGAACTTTACTGAAGCGCATGAGATATTGTTATGTGCATTAGCGTAGTATCACTCGAACAAGGTGCACTCTATTGGAATCTTGAACATCACTCGTCTGCCTAGATATCGTACCTTACATCACACTGCTGAGCACCTTGTTGACATCTTGACCTGGTTCAGGTTTCCTAAGTGCCTTGCTCGTCGTGGTATGCTGTGAGAACTCCAGCCTCCCTTTCCTCCTCTTTGGTTTACCCTCCGTCTCCTGTACCGCTTCGGCAGTTTCATTGGCGCCATCAACATCCTCCCCTCTCTTCCTCCTCGTCGCCTCAATTCCGCTGACTATCTTTCCTCTCTCCACATTCTCCAAGAATGCCTTGTTTTCCTTCTTGCCCTGAGCAATCTCAAACCTAAGTCTTGCCGCGCGCTCTGCATTTTCATTTTGAATCTGCTCCACTAGATTACCCCATTTCACTCCACTTAGGTATCGGATATTCCAGACTTCATCATGCCATCTCCCTCTCTTCTTGCCGCCCATTGTCTGCGCATTTAGATTTTCCGCTACAAATTTCGCGTCGCGCTTGTGTAGAAATTCAACCCAGCCGTCGAGGAAGAGTTTTCGTCGTGTTCCGCCGTTGCGTAGACGCTGGGTTCGGGCTGTGGAGTCTTCGGGTGTTAAGAAGATGCGGCCTACGTCGCCATATGGTGTTAAGAGAGAGCGAAGGACGGCAGGTTTCATGAAAGGTGGGACACGCGATAGATATATGACGCCAGATTTATCCTTTTTGAGCGAGGATTGGGGAAGGGCTTTTCCAAGTTTCGTAGACTGTAGTCTGAACTCAGCGGGGAGAGACGCGGCGAGCTTTTCGAGGTGCGCGAGCTCAGCGTTTTTAGAGGCAAAACTTTTGTGTATGCGATCTTCATCATTCTCTGCGTCTTCGGCGTCGTCATGTTCAAAGTCCTCGTCACCGGTGTCCAATTCCTGGTCCTCCTCTGCTTCTGAGTCCTGGTTTACTTTCTGTCGTTTCGATGCTGGTAGCATGCGCGCTCTGCTCTCTTCTTCCGAGTCATAGCCTTTCTCGTCCTCGTCGCTCTCCTCCACGTCTAAATATTCGTTTCGTTTTCGCGTCGCCATGTCTTTAGACTGATCGTTGTACGATTCGACCTGACTCAGAGCAATTTCCAGGCGTAGGGACCGTTTTTTTCGTAATTTCTTGTTGTTGTACAATGAATCGGGTGCATTCGATTCACCCCGGAGACCCGTCAACTGTAAACTTTTGCGGAGAAGACGCGGAGGTGAACTTTTGGGTGGGGCATATCACTAGCGTCTTGGCGTTTATGGCGCAACCTTCCTTCCCTCCAGGCTGTCACAGTCCTTCCAGTTGCAACCACCAACAACCAACGTAACAGCCAACTACTACCCATATACCATCCTAAACCACCGCAATGGGAGGCGATCTCAACCTGAAGAAAAGCTGGCATCCGCACTTGCGCAAGGTACGTCGCTATCTTACTCATCCTTTGCAAACCTACTAACACGTCTTAGAACCAAGAGAGAGTATGGAAAGAAGAAAAGTCTGCTCTCGAGGAGCGCAAACAGATCGAAAAGCTTCGCAAAGAACGTGAAGAAGAGCGGGCCATTGAAGAACTACAAAAGCTACAGGCTGAAAAAGGCGGCAAGGTCGTCACGAAACGCGTCGACTGGATGTATGCCGGCCCTAGTGGCGACGGCGGAGTTACCGAGGAGCGCGAGGCGTACCTCCTTGGTAAGCGCAGAATCGATAATCTTTTGAAGTCGCAGGATACGCAGAGTCTGCAGAAAGGCGCCCCAGTCGGCATCGATGCCGTGGCTGCTGATACTGGCGCGAATACGGCTCGCGACACCCAAAAAAAAGTACTCCAAGACCCTCTACTCATGATACAGAAGCAAAAAATGGAGATGCAGATGAAGGCAATGAAGAACGCACATAAGGAAGCCCAGTATGCTGAGAAGCGCGAAAAAGAGAAGAAGGAGCGAGAGAGGAAGCACCGGCACAGGGACCGGAGCAGAGATCCGGAACACAAGCATCGCAGCCGGCGAGATAGAGAACGGTCGCGGTCGCGGTCACCGCGCAGGAGCGAAGAGCGTGCGCACCATCGTCGCGATCGTGAAAGCCACCGAAGACGATCAAGGTCGCGGTCGCGGTCACCATACCGTAATCACAACAGCCGACGACATCGATCACGAACGCCGCGCGGAAGGGACGACCGTGATAGAACCGACCGTCGTGATGTCTTCCAGCGCGACAACTACAAGCGACGCGATCGCACACCTCCTCGGACACAGCCTGATGACACAAAAGCTAGTCAGAGCGCTGCGGACCGCCTCGCCAGCATGCAAGCAGAGGCGACGTCGCTAGAAGAACAGCGAGCCGAGCGTGTCCGGCAACAGGAAATTAAAGATGCAGAGGAAGAAGAGAGAGTCAAAAAGGGTATGGAAGGTGGGCGTCGCTTCATCTCGAATGTGCGAGCCCAGGCGGCGAACACGAACCTGGGTGACGCGATTGCTCGCGGACGACCCAACCTGAAGGCAGAACTTGACGCTTGAGTCATGCTTTTCTGGAATGCCACATAGTGCTTATATTTTCACAGAACAAATAGATACCCCATTATTGCTTCTAGTACGCTGCCCAGTTACGCTCGGATAGCTACTTATAGCCATCGCTTCTGACCTTCATTGCGCATTGCGTATAGATCGCCACGACATATATGACAAGACTCCACTCCTGCATGAAGGAATACATCTTTGTGTCAGCTGGGATGGACAGTACATCTTGTATGATGTGATGTGGTAGTGATGCGCCCAGATTACAAGCGTCATCTTACCCTTTATAAGCCAGCTGACGTCTGGCGTCTGTCGTACACTTCACATCCATAGGAACTGCCTGGTGGCCTTGTTTTGCACTGTAACATTAATACCATGGACTCCGACCTCAAATCGCTCTCAATTCCTCGCCTTGGCCATCTTTTGCAATTTCACCACCATTCTGCATTGCGACCAGCGCTATTCGACGGGCAGACATTGAACCTGAATTACCGTCCGTTGTTCCACCCTGCATCTGGCGCAAAGAGTTCGTCCATGCTGTCACCGCCACTTTTCCCAGTCCTCGAATCTTCAACGCTGTAGGATCTGGTTACAGCAATTTGACGGCTCGACTTCTTGTCAGCTGCCTGATTGTGCGCAGCTGTTTCTGCTTCTGGGCTCTGCAACTCATATTCCTTCTCAGTTCCACGTTTTACCAACATCCTGAATTTGCGGATCATAGAACGATCCCCGCTCCCACTCTTGCTCGATAGGGACAGTATCCAGGGCATATACTGCTGTATGAACGGTTTCAGAAGCGCCACACATGCGCAAATCACACCGCCGTTGAGCTCGACTGTGGAGAAGATGCATGCCTTGGCTACGTTGTAAGTCGAGTCGGGGTTGCTGATCATGCTGTAAACATAGATGATGCGAACAGTAGAAATCACGACAACACTATCGAGCTGTCAGTACCTGGCGGGGAAAGCTGTGCAGTCATTCATACCCAGACCCAAGCGCGAATACGAGTCCTAGTAAGACCTTTTGCTTCAACGGCAGTTGTAGAGCGCGCAACATTGGTATCGGCAAGCAGAGAATCAGGAAGTCTGTGATGATGTTGATACACGCCATGAACAGGTTCAAGTCTGTCAGACACTTCTGATCTGTATGGGTTTGTGGATTGCAAGGACCAGCAGCAACAACTGTAATCGAAAGAGAATATCCAAAGACCAGGCCCGCTAATCCGTAGATGCACATTCGAATGGTCCGGTCCGGATTGAGGCGGTAGTAGAGGGCCAATAGTGACAGCTTTGCCAAAGCGGGCGTCCAAACGTACACAACCATGATACCAACAAGTATCTTTGTGTAGGCCATTACCTGTTCAGGAGTGACGTTCCACAGATGTTGACCGAAGCCGTATTGGAACGCTGTGCTATGGTCAGCCGCGCAACGTTGACGACAGCGATAGACTGTACCTTCGAAACATATTACCAGCCACGCGACGCAACCCATCCAACTACACAGTACAAGTGCATCGTCCAACCCGGTTGTGTGGCGAATACAGATACGAGTATACAGTCGCAAAGCGAGCACAATGGTGGAGATGACCGTCATCACCACATATACCACGATGATCCTATTCTGGAGGTCGGTCCTATCGCCACTGAAATCTGGTTGCATACCATGAGGCGGCGGTATAACGCCAATTTTCTGCGCATTCGTAGTCATTTTTTCGGGGAGCTCTTGGCGAAAGAGGGCGAAGGATTCGAAAGCTGGATTGCTCCTAGCACGATGCCGGACTTGCAGCGACCTTATCACTGGGTAGCAGCATCGTGTAACGTTGCCAACACTTGACATGGGGAAGCATGGCTGATCGCCTCTCCTGTATAACCTCGCCTCTTCAACTGTGGAACCATAAGACGCAAACGCTTGCTCATAGCGCTTACGAATGTGCGATTTCTCGGAACGGCTAGCTTAGATCCTGTGAAAAGGGCAGAGGGATATCTAATAACAAAAGGTGAATCTCTTTGGCATGTTCATGGCAGCAAAGAGGGCACGCCTGACCCCTGTCTCGGCTAAGTCATTATACATTCCTGTCCTGAAATGGTCAGTGTCAGCCTCAGGAAAAGCTGGTATACGTGCCGAAGTGACACAAAGTACTACAATCAATAACGTGGCGTTCGGACAATTCATGCACCATCGTCTCTCCCTTTCGTTGGGAACCAAACAACGTCGGACCGCTAGAAAACATCACAATATCACAGCTGGAAGTCTAACTTAGCATGACTTCGATCCGAGCCACTAGTCGCCTATGTGTGATGGTGTGCGACTAAATACTACAAGCGCGAACGTACGTTAGTCTAATCCTTGCAAGCCACTCATCAACGGATGCAGCAGGCTTCCTATTCCAGCAATACCAGCAAATCCTATATTTCGAGAGTTTCCGAGGCATTTTGAAGGACCAAGTGCAGCTAAAGATTGGATGTCTTCAGCTGGTGGTGTTGCCAATCGGGTCTCTGTACATGCTGCCACAAGTGCGACTGTCACCTTCCAAAGATCGGGGAACAAACACGTCGCACTTTCCTTCTCCCACGTTTCGTGCTCGCAGTAACACCTTCCACGGCAATTACCAAACGCAGCAACTGATTGTATGCACTCACAACTGGTAGGCCCATTGCAAGTATCCACGGGCCGCTGAAACAGCTAATGGGATTTAATAAGGGGAAATTTGTGAGTTGAGCTGCAAAGGAGGCACTATTGTCGACGAACATCACCCTAACATCAGCAACACAGCGTCTATCCGGGAAGGAGCTATGGAATCTGTACCCATCGCCGTCTTTGTGTTTGCACCATTATCGGCAGTCGTACTGCACGAATTGATTCTGCGTCGAGTGGAAGTCGACCATCTAACCCTATCGATACTTGGGCTTGCGTCTATTGTGTTCTGGGTCCTCGCATATTACACTGGTTTCATTGCTGCAACACTGGTAACCAGCGCCTTCTGGGTGCCGCTGTGGCTTTACATCGGAGTCTACCGCGCCTTCTTTCATCCACTCAGGCACTTCCCAGGTCCCCGGGCAGCGAAGTTATCACGATGGTGGACAATCAAACAGACGTGGGACAGTAATCTACACTATCATCGAGTACTCCAGAGCTTACAATACAGCTACGGTGATTACGTAAGGACAGGTCTGTCATGCTTGGTACCTCTTACCGAATTCAGTACTGACTAGTACAGGACCACGTGAGCTCACCGTGTTCGATGCAGCTGCGATCCAGCCAATCCTGGGAGTTCATTCCAAGACTACCAAGGGCCCATTCTTCGATGTCATGGAAAGATCCCTGCATCTCAATCGCGACAAGACTTTTCATCGACAGCGACGCCGGGTTTGGGATAATGCATTCAAAGCATCACTCTCTGACTACGCTCCTCAAATCGAGCATTTCACGGATCAGTTACTCATAAGACTCCGCAATGAAGAAGGACAGCCCATTCCTCTCCTTGAATATACCACCTACTACAGCTACGATGTCATGGCAGCTCTGGCTTTTGGAAAGCCTATGGGCTTCATCAAGGGTGAACAAAGCGATGTCGCAGCAAGCATCCTCGCCACTTTCACCAACAGTGTCCAAGCCTTGGGCTACATGTACCACATGCCATGGCTGATGAACGCAATCGGAGTCCTCACATCAATCGCCGGCCCCATGAAAGAATGGCGAGACTGGAGTGTCAGTCAAATGCGAATCCGAATGAAGGTACGTACTCTAGTTTACATGTCTCAGATACCCCCGTCCAACTAGATCCACCTACAGGTCCGAGACGCGAAACCAGACCTCATCTCCCACCTGATTACCTCGACGCCCAAAACCCACGAAGGCCGCGAACTCCTCTTCGGCGAGTCCCGCCTCATCATCTCCGCTGGTAGTGAAACTACTTCCACAGCCCTAACCTTCATCTTCATGCAACTCGCCACACACCCTCACTATATGACCGCCGTACGCAACGAGTTCCTAGCCAAACACCCCTCACACACATGCCAAAACGCCCTCCCCTTTCTCGAAGCAGTCATCCAAGAGTCCATGCGCATGTGGCCCTCCGTCTTCTTCGGCTCCCAACGCGTAACCCCACCCCAAGGTGTCGAGATCTCGGGCCACTTGATCCCCGGAAACATTATCGTACACATCCCTCTTTTCCCGCTGTTCCGCGACCCCAGGAATTTCGTCTGTCCCGATGAGTTTATACCTGAGCGGTGGACGACTAGACCAGAGTTGGTGCGGAATAGAGCGGCGTATATACCGTTTTCTACGGGTGCGCATAGTTGTGCGGGGAAGAAATTGAGTCTCATGGAGTTGAGGAGTGTGGTGGGCAGGGTGATCAGTGAGTTTGATGTCGTGCTTGAAGAGGGCACGGATGTGGGGGCGTTTTGGGAGGGGGTTAAGGATCATTTTACCGCGGGCCCGCCGAGGATGATGGTGAGGTTTGTTAAAGGCGGCTGATTGCGAAGGTGTCGTGGTTGAGATGTGTCATGATTGAACGTATGACTTTAAGTTTTCATGAGTACTTGGACTGAGAGGGAAGGCTAAGAATTCATGGCACGCAGGATTTAGCAATGTTATGATGAATACAATGTCTTATCTTCGATATACTCAAATCTGACATTACTATCTATTAAACCAACCAAAAATGGCTACATTCTACAAAACACACTCTACTAGTCATACAAAGCATCGCCCAATAATACTAACTATCCTCACCCCACCTAAAAATCCAATAAACTCGCCCCCCTAGCAGGAACACCCAAAACCGGCGGCACAGCAACGACAGCAGCACCTCCTCCCTCCTTCACGGCCTCAACTTTTGGCACACTAAACCCATACTCTGCCTCCCAATCATCCTCATAATCGCTGTCGTCCTCAGAATCCCAGTCACTATCTTCACTCCCATCCTCATAATCTTGCTCACTCCAATCACTCTCCTCGTCATCTTCATCTTCCCACTCCCCATCCTCTTCCTCATCATCATCCTCCCCATGTTCAAAGTCCTTGGTAGCAACCTCCACGCCCACGACGCCTGTAATCTTCTCCCCCAGCGCAGAAACGTCTAGATCATGCAAGTCGCCGGTGAGGAGGTGGGTCCCGGTTGTGTGACACTCGCCTGTCGTGCCCTCACATATCGGCTCCCCACGCACGAGAGTAAGCTGCACGACTTCGTGCTCCTGCCACGCGTTTACGTGGTCGAGACGGATGGCTTGCAGGGTCTTGCATAGTGATAGGGGGTTGGGTGTTGTGAGAGACTTGAGTATCCTAGCGGGCGCATGGTGCGCACCATAGGCGTACAAGACTTCTAGCCCCGAGAGCGCTTTAAGCAGCGTTCCAAGACCGTCGCTATCCTCCGTTGTTGCACCCGCATTCAGGGTGTTTTCAGAGTACTTGAGGTACCTGACGTGAGACGCGTAAATGGGGTTTGACGTTACACTGCGCAGGAAAAGGGAGTAGCGTGTGCAGGCGGCGGTAAGACTGATGTTTGTAGCGATGTGGGTGGAGGAGATGCGGTTGAGGCAGTGCGCGGTGAGGGATAGGTTGATGATGGAGCGGTAGAGTGTGGGTTGTTGGCCGTGTATGGTTTCGTTCACGGTTGGTCGGTCGGGCGTGAGGTAGATACAGATTAGGTGTAGGATTGGGTCTGGAAGTGATGGGAGGGTTATGAGAGACATTTTAGGTAGGGAATGGCAGTCGTAAATGTAATTTTGTTATTACGACAAGGTCTAAATCGCGCCAGGCGTAGAAATTTTGGTGTTGGGATTGATGATGCTGGAGGGTTGGGTACGAAGGGAAGACGCGTTTTCGATGATGTAGTCGCGCCGGTTTTACGCTAATTTTACGTTAGTCTGGCGCGTCGCCTCAGCCTCGTCTCACACAGCGAGAAAGGGGTTTACACGAGGAACTAAGAAAACTAGTTATTCTTAGTGTTTGAATCGTTCTTAGTATTTGAAATCGCTTTTAGCGATTTGAAAGAAAATCCTTGTATTGCCATGACCATGCGAAAATGCACCTGAATTGGCACCCACTTAACCAAGAAATCCCAATGCGATATCGTCCCGCCACGATAACCAAAACGCCGCGCTATGCACATAGACCCTAGACTCATAATCCCTTAATTCAAAGCTTAATCTTCTTGACGGGCTTTTGCTCAGAATCATCCTTCTTCCGCTTGAAAATGCTCTGACTCTTCATTTGTCCCAAGCCAGGCTTACCCGTCGGCGCAGCCTTTGTTTTGAGTCCAAAGCTCAACTTGGCGGGTGCCTTTGGTTCCTCGCCATCTTTCTTTTCTTCGTCTTGTTTCTGGCCATCAATAGGTGATTCTGTCTGTTTGTCGTCCGCTGATGTTTTGTCTGTTGGCGAAGATTCTTCGGCGGGTGGTGTGACTTGTTGTGTTGCTGGTTGCATCGACGCCTGGGCAGCTGCTCGCTTTGCTTCGATAGCCTTCTTGGCATCTGCTTCTTCTTGTGCACGCTTCGCCATTTTCTTCAGCATTTTGTCTTCACCTGCACCGCTGCGAGCCTCGGCGGCTTCGAGCTCAGCGATTTCGTTGCGCCGTGTTACGGCAGCAGCGGATGTGTCTCTCCAAGCGATCATCAGCCCGTCTTTTTCGTCTTCCTTGACGTTAACTATGCCCTCTCGCCCGAGATGTTTGGTGAATTCTGTGAGGGAGCTCCATTTTGTCGCATTCATGTGGACGTGCTCCTTATCCCGAATGTATTCGTTGTAGAACCGGTTAACGGAGATCCACTTCTCATTATGCGCCGTGCGAAGCAAGTTGACAAAGTCTCTTTGGAAATCATTGCTGAAGCCGTTGATGTACTTTTTGGGATCCTCGCCTACGACCTGAAGGTTGCGCACATGCGATTCTGAAGTAACATGGCATTTGAATCTGGAAGATATCGTCAGTAAAGCACGCCAGGAGATTCGCCGAAACGTGAGGTAGATAACTCACCCGTTGGCATCGCGACACTGCTTTTGACACGGCTCGCACCACCAGCGCAGCCGCTGCAGACCCTTTGACTTCATCTTGTTGGCGACCCATTTCGTGCTTCCGGCTTCCGCTTTGCCCATGTTGGATGTTGTGTATTGGCGAGAGCGTATGTGTATGCGTATATGTGTTGAATTCAGGGACGATCGTTATTACACAGGTTGCGTGAATCGTGGGGTCGTGGGTGAGGCTTGTGTCTGGGTAGTAGATGGGGATGCAGTTGGGATCACGAAACTCACAGGGCTGACTAAGTGTCGCCACCCGCGGGCGCTAGTACTAGGCGACTTTTTCCAGGGTCCTCTCACATGTGCATGACTCCACTTTGAGGGCTACGACTGGGTTGGGTAGTCTTGTGAGCCGATGAAGCTGTAATCGCGAACCTTGCGTTGTCTCTTAAATGTTAATGGTAATGTAATTTATTAGCGTCAACTCCCTATTGGTCACTCTTGACTGACTGGTCGCATCATTACCAACAAAGACGAATTTCGACGGAGACGACTTGACTGTATTATGATATCAGTACTTTAAGCACAGAGTATAACTATATAAAAAGCGCGTAGGATCTTGATTCGAAGAGTGATACCCCTATTATATCCCCTTCAAGCCCCCCGAGAACTTCGCTATCCTGGCCAGAGTAGGCCACGAACCACACATCTCAACACTTACAACACCCCCACCTAAAACCCTCACCTAAAAACCCCACCAATCAACCCAACCTCAGCCTCCCATCCAAAACTCCCTCCCACTCCCTCTTCCCAAATCTCTCATACCCTTTACCCTCTCTCGGCAACCAATACACGACATCCCCCCCACTCACCTTCCCCGGTTCCACCCCCTCCCTCTTCAACCTCCCCTTCACCATCTTCAACGTCCCTGTGACCTCCAACTCTCTCGTCAATCTCAAAAACAGCGGTACCGCATACCCCGGCAACACCTTTCTCGCATGCCTCGCCAGACCCTCAAAGTCAAACGTCGCCTCCGTAACGCCATCAGCCATGACGATTGATGCGGCGCCCGCGCGACCTTCGTAGCCTGGTATGCGCACGCCGTATACGTTTGTGGCGGCGATGTGGGTGAATTTCCCGAAAAGGTCGGATACTTCGGCTGTGGAGACGTTTTCGGATTTCCAGCGGAATGTGTCGCCCAGGCGGTCGACGAAGTAGATACGGCCGTCAGCGTCTTGGCGGAAGAGATCGCCAGACTGAATCCATCTGGTGGGTTGTGTGTGGTTAGTGTTCGTTGCATTGTTGGACGACTTCCTCACACATGCAATGGTTGAACTTACGTGTCACCTTTCTCGAATACGTCGTGGATTCTCCTGCTTTGTGTAGCATCGTCGTTTCTGTAGTATTGCGGTGCTATGGCTGCTATCATGGGTGTCACTTTATGTAAGACTTGGCCTGGCTCATTGATGCCACTGCGTATTGCAAACCCTCTTTGATCTCGCAGGATTTCCTCAGTGTCTACATCCATTTTGACTCTTGCTTCGAATTTGCTATATATGTGGTTCACAAGTAGACCGCGTAGACCGATACAGTTAGCGGTGAAAGGACCGGCGTTGGGATTTAGCATAGCCCCTAGTCCATCGGTAGAACCGTAGACCTCGTGGATGATTGGGATGTCGAATCGCTCACGGAATCGTTCCCAGACATCGGGACGCATGCCGTTGCCCCATGCTTTCTGGACCTTGTGTTGTCTTTCGTACGGGTTTGGCGGACTGTTTACTAGGTAGCGGCACATTTCGCCAACATATTGGATGATGTTGGCTTCAGAAGTCGCAACCTCAGGCCAGAAGGTCTTGTGTGAGAATTTCCTGCCGAGCACAATGGTACTGCCAGCGTGGATTGTGGGCGTTGTGCATAGTCCATGTGCAGAAGTGTGGTAGAGAGGCATACATGTATACATCCTGTCCCCTTGCTTGAGTTTGAGATACCTTTTGATCGAGTTTGCGGTTCCAAGTTCGCGTCCGGTGCTGACGACTACACACTTTGGGAGTCCGGTAGTTCCGGATGTGAATATGAGGCTACGGAGAGATTCCATGGTAATACCATCATGACGGGAGCTAGGTACTGGTGTTATATTGGAGAGCGAGGCTAGGAACTTCGGATTGTAGTAATGAATCGTAGTCCCCATGTTTTCCAGCTCGGCACGGCACGGTTCGACATTGTCTTTGATATCGTCATCTGTAATCAGCAACCTAGTATTCGATATCTACCCGATGTGTTAGCACTCTTCTTTATCCAGCAAATCACAACGTACCCTGAATGAATGTAACAGCCCTTCGCCAGTTATATTACAGTTCAAAAAACTGGTCACCGCGCCAATCGCATCCAACGCAAACCAAAGCATCAAATACTCTGGGCTGTTACCTCCGTTAATCGCTACTACCTCATCTATCTGTATGTTCAGGTCGTCGATCAGCCAATTCGCAACGCGCGTGAACGCCGTGAAGAACTCCTTGTATGACCATGTCCTGCCTTCAAAGATGAGGAAGGCAGAGTCGGGCTGTTTGCGGACTTGGGCTTCAAAGAAGTGATACATGAGGATGCGCTTGCGCTCGACGCAATCATCAAAGAAGGCAGTGGAGTGTGATGTCCGCAAGGCGCGGATAGTGTTAAGGTCGTGGGCTATATGGTATTTGGCGTTGAGGTAGGCGGCGAGGGCGGCGGTACCGGCTACTTTGGCAATGATGGGTACTTGAGATTGTTAGGGGTTTTGGTTTGTTTACAACGTTTGAGAGCTTACACGCCATATTCTAGACTTGTTATTGCGCTTGCGCTATGATCGAGTATGCAAAAGGAAGGGGTCTTATGCTGTAGGCTCAACCCCAATCGACTCCTGAAACATGGCGGATGCTGCGAAACCTACGAAGACGGCCCATTGCCAACGGAAAGTTCCCCTCCGGATGACAAGGGCAGTCGCGCCGAGGTTTGTTGTTGGATGGTTGTCAGCAATTCCGGGTTCGTGCATAATCCGGGGTACATCCCCGCGTTACGTTAACCATGTCTAAGACTTATCTCCGACACATCCGTAGTAGTCATAATCATAGTACTCCGTGTTCTAATCGCCATATATATCAAACTAGATGTCTTCTTGCTGTATATGTTCATCAAAAACCCACATTAACTAGCACGCATGTCCTCCACTATGCCACTTGACCAGCAGCGCGCTCGCCACCCTCCATCTCTCTTTTTTCGTCATGTCCCAAATTTACATCAAGATCCAGTTTGCTCTCTCCAATGCGTCCCTTCAACAGCGCAAGCACATACATCCCATACATAACCTTACCTTTTTCCGCCCCACGCGCCGGACTGTTCTTTTTCGCTGCCCTTACCGGCTTCCCAATCCAAACATTGCCTAGTAAGACCGATGCGCCAAGTGACAAGCCCACAAAAGGCAGCACAGCAACGAACGACCACATGACGGCTTTGGCAGCAGCGTTCTGAATGTCTTGTTTGACCGCTTCAGGGAGCTTATCGAGGAGCTCAAGAGAAGGTATTCCGGTAGCAGGTAGAGCTGTCCCATATGTACGGGCATTGACCTGTGCGAGGAAAGTGGCGAGTTTGTTGGAAAATACAGAGCCCATCAGCGAGATACCGATTGTTTCTCCGAGCGGAATCATGAAGGATAGTAGTGATTGCATACTGGATATGCACGTGGACCAGATACCTGCCCCGTGGAGTACGACGGGCATGAAGCGAAGGCCTGTACCAGCCCCTGCCACGGCTAGGAAAATCTTGACCATTATCGTGTTGCGGATATAGACCGAGTATGTGAGCAAGGTGAGCCCCAGACATTCAACGATGGAACCCAGGAGTAGCGGCGAATAAGTCTGACGAGGCCATTTGTTGCAAAGAAGCGTCGCACTATGAACCCCCAAGCCGAGACCGGGAAGATAGAATAACAGCTGGACACCTGCTTTACTGGAAGAGTAGCCCTCTGCGAACTGCCAGTAATATGAGATGAAGTAGAACGCCGAGACTATAGATATGCCAGTGGAGAAGTTTATGATCATGAGTAGAATGGCGTCTGCCTTGCGAAAAAGTGTCGAGGGGATCATGGGCCGCTGTTGAGGGAAGAGCCGGGCTACAGCACGACCGGGTCCAAGAAGATATTCGTAAACGAAGAAGGATATGCAAAGTATCCCACCCACGACGAACGGTGCGACGACTTGGGCTGAGCTCCAGGCATATTGTGTTCCGCCCCATTGGATCGCGAGAATGATGCATCCTACCCCCAAGATGAACATGACCAGACCAGGCCAGTCGATTATGGCAAGTCCGGTAATATAGCCAAGGCGTCGTGATCCACCTGCTTCCGTGGCACTGCCTTGTACAAGCTCTTTTCGCATTACGAAGAAGATCACCAGCATGGCGAGGATCGATACACCAATTGGGAGGATGAAAATGTAATGCCAACTTGCATCAACAAGTCGGCCACCGATGACAGGACCGATAGAATAACTTAGAGGCTATTAGTATGGTATACACACTCAAGCCCATGGAGGAATATATTGCTTACCTCACGCCACTGATGAGTGACAAGAGTGAGTTATTCCATGCATTCTCCGCTAGTGTCGCTCCATCAGAGAGTATGATACGGCTAAGACTCATGATACCCGCAGCACCCAAACCCTGTAGTGCCCGACCCAAGAGCAGCATGCTCCAAGATTGAGCAGCAGCACATAGCACACTGCCTATCATGATCCAAAACATCTCGAATTGGAGTGCGAAGTGGCGACCGTAGATGTCGGCCAGCTGCCCGGACGCTGGGACAAATGTGGTAAACGTCAAGGTGTAAGCTGCCACTATCCAGTTGAAACTTTCAGATAGGCGATCTTGGGAACTGTCAGTATTTTGTGGTACGAGTATAGAAAGGGGACCTACTAAAATGTGAAGATAGAAGTGGTATCGCAGGAGCCACAATAGTGACGTCCATAGCAGCCAGAAAATTGGGTAGCAAAAGTCCAAGGATCAACTTCCATTGTCGAATCTTTCTCCGACGGATTTCTGCTTTCTGTTGTGCTGCTTCTTCGGGAGTGAGATAGTTGATATGACTTCCTGGTACTGCAGCTTCTGAGCCTGCGTGTTCATTACGGTTTAATGTTCTCTGGCTTTTGTTGTATGTGTGTTTCTCGGGTACTAGATGGGAGTCATCTGTCGTGGGAATGGCCTTGCGAGCCTGGCATTCTCTGAGCTTTCTACGTATGAATTGGAACAGGAAGATTGCCATGATTGACAAGCAGCAAGATAGGAAAGAAGAACTGAAGTAGAAGATGAAACGATAGGGATCTCTAACTAATCCTTATAAACGCTGAAGACTTATATCCTGCCTCAAGCTTATGGTTGCGCACAGCAAGCCCAAATAGGACTGGGCCATGAATGTCCACCATTGTGGCTTTGTACGCAGTATCGGAGTTTCATTCAGCCACGTTAGGCAATCTTTTTCTTATCCTGATATGCGATTCGATCGCTACAGACAACGAGAGAAAAGCTGTTTGCCGTTGAGGAGCGCATGCATAGGGCTGCGACTAGGCCAAGTTGGGCGAGCATTGCGGACCAATCGCAACTCCGCAACTTTGGACCGGTGCATAAGGCCAAATAAGGCCACAGCGAGGAGCGTTGCGATTGGCACGAAGCCCAGTCCGACGGCTGACTATGCACGTTGGATGAGACGGCTGCCACTTGCCCACTTAATTTTCAGGCATCCTGCAGAAGGAGCTGAAAAGGGGCCAAGCAAGACCAAGCTTTTTGTAGCAAAAGGTGGACTAGAATTTTGTATAACTCTCGGTTGCTGCACCCGGATGCTGTGCACGTGGTCCTATTAATGCGCTTGGTGTACGCCCGCGATTGTTAATAAGCGTGTCAAGCAACCGCGATATCAGTAGAAGAGCATGCTGTTTATTCAGATAGGGCATACTAGTTATGCCAGTGATTTACGGGCTAGGAGACGCTGGTATTCCATGTTTAGTTCAACTCAAGAAGCATAGAAATACATTGCTGGGATATGCAAATGTTTTCGTTGATTGTCAGGGCTGAGCTCACATGGTGACATGGCCGCCCTAAACTCAGTTATGACGTACCCCACGCGACGCGGAAACGCTCATCTTCTCGGGCTACATTCCTGTGCCAGTGCACGCAAACTTCGCACACCCAGTCATGAAGGCCATAATAGCCGTCCCCGCGACCGCTGCGCTAGTATACCGGGCATATTCGCGCAAATCACTCACGCCCGTCGGTATTCTCACATCTATCGCAACAGCAATTGCACATGCGGTGCATCCTTGGAGTGTGTTCTTCGCGCTGCTTGCCGTCTTCTTTCTGTCTGGGAGCACCGTGACGAAAGTATGTTTGGTATCAGATGTTTCTCTGCCATGGCTGACATGATGTAGGTCAAACACGAAATCAAAGCAAAGCTTACGCAGTCTGCGATAGGCGCCAGCGGTGGTGAGGGGACGCGGAACCATGTTCAAGTCCTCGCGAACTCTGGTATAGCTTCGGTGCTAATACTGCTACACCTTTGGCAACTGCGAAAAGAAGGGAGATATGATGACAAACATCTATGTTGGAACAGAGGCAGCGATGCGCTGGTCGTCGGTATTGTTGCGTAAGCCAACCGGCCTTCCTCGTACTGTCGTATAGCACTGACATGCTATAGCAACTATGCTGCTGTCGCTGCAGACACCTTCTCCTCGGAACTCGGTATTCTGTCCAAGACGAAACCCCGTCTCATAACAGCTCCATGGCGCGTGGTCCCCCCGGGCACAAATGGAGGGGTAACGGCGACTGGGCTTGGTGCAGGCTTACTCGGATCATTCATACTGTCAGCCACGTCCACGCTGCTCGTACCATTTTGCAAAGATTGGACCTTGACTTCGAAGGTTAACTACACCCTCGCTCTTACAATTGCCGGCTTCTGCGGAACACTCCTGGACTCTCTTCTGGGCGCACTCTTTCAGGCCAGCGTGGTAGACGTTCACTCGGGAAAGATTGTAGAAGGCGAGGGAGGCAGGAGAGTTCTTGTACACAGCAGCAACCCAGTGCATGTCTCTAAAACAGCTCAGGTGCGCAGTAAGATTAGTAGTCGGGCAGAAGGTAAAGACGGTATTCCGAAAACAAGTGGGATAGATACAGCAACTTCACTCAAAGCTTCAGAGACGATGATGAAGGCGGGGGCAAGTGGGAATGCGGTCGCTGATGCTCAACATGAGAGCAGAAAGATCGAGGTTGGAAGTGATTTGTTGGATAATAACGCCGTCAATGTCCTCATGGCGGGCTTGGTAAGTATGGGTGCAATGGTGACGGCTTGTTTTGTGTGGGACCTGCCATTGAGCAGCATGGTTGGAATGTAGGCATGCACATCTAAATAGAAAGCACTGCAACTTGGGTAATACCAACCAGTGAGGAATTTCAAATTCCATGTTGCGACCAGCTCTGGTGTATGCGGACCTTGTGCCAAGACGCTAGTGGGGCGCGTCACTCAGGTAGCCTGGAGCTTCATCGATAGCAACAGTTGGACATGCCGCCTTCCAACACCACCAAGCAACTCCCATCACTCTCCCAGTTGGCCGAATCGGACACGTGAATCAACGGAGCTGACTTTAGCGATCAACTTTACAACCTCCGAGTAGTCAATCCGCACCTCGAATCAAAATGGTAGGCTCTCCTCTCAAGCTGTACATGGGTGAATAGCGAACTCACACTGTCCAAGTCTCTCCGCTTCGTACCCAACAAAGCGCACCCGACGCAGACGACACTCGAGACGTCAGCGCCTTCAGCCCCCGGTGTCCATGATACTCTGCGATCCCGCCTCGCTCAGACTTGCACAGCACCCACGGCCACGTCATCATCAACAGCGCCTGTGGTTCTTCAGTCGGCTCACCCGCTCGAGGCCCGCCTCGTCCAATGGCGTGACACTCAGGACCGTCTGAAGATGGAGATGCTGAGGCGGCAGTTTGGAATTGCAGAGCCGGTGCGTAGGGGTATGGAGCTCAAGATTGCTGAAGCGGGCGAATGGAGGCCAGCAGCGCTGGGTGGCAGCAGTGGTCTTCACCGAGACATTCTGCAGGGACGGGACTGCGAGATTGGTTGGGAGGACGTCTTCACCGGTAACGAGCTGAGGCAGGTGCCGGACTTCCACACTGAGATGGAGAACAAGATGAAGATGAACTGGTAGAGGCTTGTTTACAAGGCCTGTTCGCTAGACGAATGGGTATGCATCAGCATGTGGCACAGTTGGTCTACAAGTAGCTCGATGCAAGCTCTAAGCAGATGATATGGACGGACAATAGTGGGTCAGAATCAAGATTGAGGAATGAATTGATGATGCACTCTCTTTGGGACCTTACAGACATGCTCGACCAGGGTGTGTTGCACCGTCGTGTGCATGTGACATGTTGCGTGGCTCTCACTCTTCTGGCGGCTGACGACTGGATAGGGCTCGCACTCGGAGTAAGATCCGAGAAGACTGGCACCTGGCACCTGCACTATGATTTCCATGGGCGTGGCTGGTGGCACACATGTTATCAAGTCACTCTACCAGGCTCGGCCAATTACGGGCGTGGGGGAATGGGATGCAGGGGCACACGCTTAAACTTGACCCAAACCTGGCGCGTTGCGGGTCTCGCGAGGCCTGTCAGCTCTAGAGTGTGGCTAAGTAGAGCAGCAGAGACGGATTCTTCGTCAACAGACGTGAGCTAGCAAAGCTTGGGGACTCGCTGCATAGCATCTGGTCTTGTCGGCTGCGTAGTGGGCTCTTAGTGGAGACGACGGATCATTGTTGCCGCATTCGCGAATGGTGCATGTGGATGTGAATGGATGGTGGATGGTGGATTGCGGAGAAGGGGAGAACGAGGCGTGCGGCAACGGCAACACCTCCCAATCGTGCACGGCCGGCCGACCTTCTCATCACCCACGCTTGAGCGCCCGAGACAAACTCAGAAGCCCAAGACACTATTTTTGCTGTTTCCCAAGCCTCTTCGCGACGTCAACGACTGACGTGCCATCTCTTCCCAGTCTGCGCCTTTGTCATTCATTCGTTTCGTCCTTCGCACAAGCCTCTTTGGCCGCTTTGCATCGCGACTGACTGAAGCCGGCCAACCATGGCGTCTACAGCGGATCAGCACCCCACGGCAACACAGAGTACTCCACAACCAGCCGCCTCGTCGTCGCGACCCCAGAGCAGCAACGATGCCCTATCGTCGAGCCCCGTAGAGATGAGGACTCTCCATGCTTCAGGCGCAGGGGCAGCAGCGCCCGCAAACACGGCCACCCATGCCGCCGACGGTCCTTCTCAAGCTGCGATAGCGACACCCGCACCGCCAACTGCTGAGGCCAGCGCCCTGGAGAATGCGCCTGCTGCTCCCTCGTCGTCTGCGAAGCCTGCGCCCCCTACTGCCTTGAATCGCGCAGAGACCGAGGCCATTGGTCCCTCCACAGACACACCAGCCGCAAATCCCGACAACACAAACGGACCGGTGCTGGTCATTATGCTGCTCCTCACTAACGGCGCGAGACATCCGTACAAGATTGAAGAAAAGTACCTCAAGAAGCGCAACATCAGTGTCGAGAACATGGACCCCTACAACATTAGTGTCTACACGCTCAAGGAGCTGATATGGCGAGACTGGCGAGAAGGTAGGCATTGCATGATTTCTGAGACAGCATACCTTGTGTTGCATTACACAGACATCATATTATCCACGCTTCATTTCACCTCCCGACTTCACCCAATACAAGGCTAATTCCATCACACAGAATGGGAGGCCCGACCCGTTTCCCCAGGCTCAATACGATTAATTCATTTCGGTCGAATGCTGGACGACAAATCTCCCATCAAAGGTAAGCACCTCACCTACCAACCAAGTCAAAGCCTCTTGGCGCGCCTTCTTCCATTGTACGGCGCAGTCACTCAATCAAGGCCATGCGCCGAGACGCGCAGCGTTGCATGAACAAATACATCAGTCTGCCTCGCACATGTGCTGACCGTGCCTAGACTGCCGTTTCCAAACAGACACTCCAAACGTGGTTCACATGACGGTCAAGCCGCAAGAAGTGGTCGAGGATGAAGAAAATGCCAAGACTGGCAAGGCCGGGAGCCGGAGAGAGAACGACGACGAACCCACAGCTGGCTGCCGCTGCGTCATCTTATAGACGTGACCCCTGTTTGCGCAAACAATTCGACCGGCTTGTCATCTTCTGACGACACTCTGGACAGTCGTCGAGTACGTACTGCGAGTACTGCACAAGTCTAGACGGAGCCTAATGGACCATTACCGCGTCGACAGCACTTCTTGTGTATTTCCTGGTCATCATAATCAGCCGTTAGGAGCGGCCGGAGAGCGGCGTTCAGGAGCGGAATCGGCATTTCTCTCACTCCACGCATTCTTTTCTTCCTCCGCTCGTGTGCATATGAGAGTTTTAGCAGTCTCGTAGCATGTTCCTTTTATCAGTTATTGTACAAGTACGTACGCTTTCCGTGGCGCAACATACTACTAAGCATGGGAGATTCACGGGTATAGACGGTTTCTGAATAATTAAATACTTGGTCTTGTCATGTCTCGCAATGTGAATATAAGACTACAGTCAAGTGTTTGTCATGGTGGAGTATGACTTGGGAGCTTAGGCGCGTGGACGTGATCCCGAGGTACGTTTCTATGCCGTCATCGCTTAAGCTTCCCCCAAGCTCCGATCCGTCTTCCTGTCTGGGTAAGTGGTACCACCCGCATCACTTCGCACCCAACCCACACGACAAGCCATTGCGAATTGCCCAGAATGGTACTCGAAGATGTCGAGAATACGGCGCCAGAGAGCTTCGGAGATGACCCACAACCCTCCTTAAATGACGCATATTCATCAACGCCCACTTCCAGACCCAACGGCCACCGCTTCGATGCGAGCACCCTCCCACGGCCGCTGCCAGTTATAGGCTCCTTTATGGGTTTTTCCAGTGCCGCAGTGCGCTTCAAAACCGAAACAACACTCAAATTCGCCGAGCAGAAGGTGGGACGTCAATTGAACCCAGAAGAAGCGCAGGCGCTCGCATTCCACATTTACAAACTCGAGCAAACAAAAAGCTATTTCGCCGCTACTGGTGCTATGGCCGGGACATGGCAGTGGTACCGGACCTGGGACAAGATGAAGTATCCCTTCTATCAGCCGAAAGTGGAGGATATTGACAAGAACAAGTTTGGTCCCTTCACTGGCGTACGGGCGCAATTTGCGCGACACGCATGGCGATGGGCACTATACGTAGTCGTCGCAGGACAAATGGGTAGCATTATTGGCCAGCTCATCGCGCAACCGCTTGCTGCCGTCAATACATCTAATGACCCCAAATTGGTCCAGTTCGGCGTCGAGTTAAAGGCCTCATCACATGCTGATCGAAAGAAGAATGAACAAATGGGACGTGAGATTGGGGACAAGCGAAGACAGTTTGAAGAGCAAGTCAAGAATCGTTCCGGTGGTGGTCCGTCGCCGCAACCAAGTTGGGGCAAGCATCCCAAAGCTCAGAATGATGATGACATGAGTCCGACTGCTGGCAACGAAAGCTGGGGGTCTGACGCAGACAGTTGGGAGTCTTTCTCGGAGGAAAAGCCGCAACCAAAACCGCGAACACAAGGACCGCCACCACCAAGCCAAGCCTGGAACCGTCAACCACCCTCACAACGTCAACCAGAGTCTTCATCATCTCTGCCTTTTGACGATGACTCTCCCACTGGTGGCCTCTTCCAGGATGAAGTCAATAACCCTAAACCAGAGTCTCAAGCGCAATCAGGGTCATCATGGGATCGCCTAAGGCGTGGTGATGCGCCAGTACCGCTCCAGACTCCTCGTCGTCAACCTTATCCATCAAGGGCAGTGCCTGAACGCAAGGAGCAACGAGAGGGGTCTACATTGGGAGACTCGTTTTCTTTTGTAGAGGGTGATGAAGAAAGGAGCAGGGAGCGGGAGCGCGCACAGCAAGAGTTTGACGCTAGGATAGAGAAGGAGCGACAAGGGCGCGACTTTAATAGCGACGAGGGGAAGAAGTGGTAAAGAAGATATTGATGAAGGCAAATTCCAAAAAATGCTAGTAAAAGGGTCGTCCCGCACGTGATCATTCTCGAGCTCCATCGTACATAGTCTAGTGAGTCCGTTATTGTGAGTCCGTGAGGCATTTGCTCGTAACGAACTATACTTACGAGTGGGCTGACAATTGGACCAATCATCATGCACATGTGTTTTAGTCCGGCAGTCAATGATGTATACTAGTACAATGTCACCATACCGTTCCATGGTACACTGTCGCCAGGGGCCTTGAGCGAGCTCTTCTCAAAATATCTTCGTTAGGCGAGGCAGTACCATGGATCTTGACAGGCTCTTGTGTATACAAAATCAGTCTTCCTACCTCCTCATTCTCACTTTCTCACTTACACTCACGCTCACCGGCTCTGGACCCTGACAATTCACGAGCCCGCTTCGACCTACCCTCGCGTCCGCTTCCTATTCGCCACTAAATGGTGAATTTACCTGTGTGCAAACGCGCCAAAATAATCTTCCGTGTAAATTAAATGTCAGAGTATGCTCCCCCCTCCAGCTAACCTCTTGTTACTCAACCCACCGCTTGTCGCCGATGTTTGCGACTCGAACCTTGCCCACGCCAGCCGACCTTGCACTTGCACGACAGTTCTATTACTGGTGCCACTGATACAGAGCTAACTTGTGTTGCATCAGATATTCAAATAGGCGGGACCGACAACTAGATTTCAGGAGCTTTAACCTCATCAGCCTTCACCTCTTGAGCCGTCAGCTCTCGAGGACACACCCACGGCACCATTCCACAACGAAGTCCTCTTCTTCTTTCTTGGAAATAACTTCACCCGAGGCCCCAGAGGACACAATATTCCCCTCGCACCAAACCATGGATTGCAACGCCACCCCCAACTACTTCCCGAAATTCCTCACCCTCCCTCTCGAAATCCGCGAGCTCATCTACAGCTTTGCCCTCCGCGCCGATAGACCAATCGCGCCACTCCTCTGCCATACCTCCAACGGCAATCATGTAAAGTTTCACCATAACGACCCTCTGCCCGCTAATCATGGCTCTATCGGCGCCCTCTTCGGCGTCACACGCGCCAGTAAGAAACTGCGTGCCGAATCCTTCGACATCTTCTACACCGCAAATACCTTTTTCGTCGATAGGGAAACCATGACGTATTTCTCGCGGCTGGAATATCTGGGGCGGTTCCACTTGGTGAGGCATGTGCAGTTCAATATGGACCGCTTGAAGGTACATAGGGTTCCGGGGATGCTGAGGTGCATGAATACGTTTCTCAAAGAAGCAGATGTGTATGAAAGGCAGTTGGGAGAGGGCAGACATGTGGGGGAGTCTGCAGAGACCTTGAGGGCGCATCCGCAGTGGAAGTTTTGTGGAGTGGCGCGTTTGAATCCGCTTATCACGTTGAGGAAGTTGGCCGAGTTGAGAGAGGAGAATACGACTACGACTACGGCTTCGACGACCACAACTCCAAACCTCCGAGTCGTCCTTCCGCTGCCCTCCTCCGCCCTGAAGACCCACCCAAACCTAACCTACTTCCCCCTCATCCTCTCCAGCCTCGGAATCTCCCTCCACACAGTCTCTAACCCCTCTCTCCCCGACCCTAAGCCTACCCCCTTCTACGCAACCTACATGCACAATCCCCCTTGCCCCATCCACACCTATACCTGGCACCAGTTCTACCAAAAGAAGGATTTCGCCCCATCGACAATACCGTACGTCAGCCCATTAGGTCCAGACGGCCAGACAGTCGCGTATAGGAGTGCGTTGGCGTTGAATCCGCAGCTCGAGCAGGAGAGTAGACCCAGAAAGTGTATTTTCAGCAGGTCGAGGTGTGGAGGGGGCTTGTTGGAATGGGTGGACGTATGGACGGAGGGTGGGGGTATTATGGGGGATGCGTGGTTTTGAGGCTACTACGCGACATGGCGTTATGAATGGCGGTATATTTGAGCTCTTGAGCATGAGCCTGAGGGTATGGTGGGTGGATGCGCTTTCGAATTACCAGTCGGCATACGATAATGGATACGGCGGATGAACACGAGAGCTACTGAGCTCACAGACAGCTCTCTTCTTCTTTCTTTCTTCTTTTCTTGCTTTCTTTCCCTTCCCCCCCGACGAAATGAAACGCTCACACTGGCTGTTACTGCTGAGTTTAGCCATGGACATCACGAAGTAGATGTGGAGGCTTTCCCTGTTTCTTCTCCTAAAAAGACATGTATATTAGTACTGCGTCGAGTTACGGACCTTTCTTACGATTCCCGCGATAAGGGGACGGGTATGACTAAGGATTGAGCAGTTGATTTCTTGAATAAATGAATGGTGGAATTTGGTTGATGTACATGTCAGTCCTTGAGGATGTGAGTGTGGTCGAAACAAACAAGTGCAGATAAAAGTCACACTCAGACACACTCGGAAACATTTACAAATACACATCTCATTCCCCATCCAACATTACCATATACACATGCCCCATCCTATTCCTTCATGTCCTATCATACCACACCACCACCACCATCTATGCTAGCTATCTACCGCCAAAATACAAGAGAGAGGAGATGGTATAATCATGCAAATCCAGGGTATTGTTACAGCACGGAAAAAGACCACCAGACACCGCCTGCGTTTTCTATGCACACAAAGAACCATACCGCAGGATCCAAAAAATGACACCATCAGTCCGATTCCCATGTTTCGAATAGCCCAAACCCCGATTGAAAGCTAGGGTGTATACGCACCACCTGAGTCTAACAAAATTCCTGTCCCACATTCATCATCGTGGTAGTCGTCATTAATGAATGCAGAGAACACCGTAGACCCAACCGGTCGTCGCCGACCCGGCCTTCTGAATGTTTCACGAGATTAGACAGAGAACCCTAGATGTAACAAACGCCGACGCTGATAATGAAGAGGAAAACCAAGAAACCTGTATAAAAGCACGGCCAGAGCCAGAAACGAAAATAATTGATTGCCCAGCCAGACACACACAATCAGAGCAAATATGCTCCAAACGTGGCGCGGGGGCGGTGTTTGAGAAGATTTTTTTGTTCGGGTTCGGCCGTGGCAGTTGAAATCGCGTTGAAAAAGACAAAGTTGTATCATTGGTGCAGCACGAGGGGTGGTGCGTCAACGAGGAAGAAGAGAAAAATGGTCCGTTGCTTTAGGCAACAACCTCAGGTACAGCGGTGCGACCTCCACCAACAAGCTCAAGGATCTTGCCGGCAACAGCTGCAGGGTAGCCACGAGACAGACCCTCGTTGACGACAGCCATAGCTGCAGTGCGGTCCTCGACAGCCATGTAGGCGCGCGTCATAGCCTCGTAGGTGCTAGGCTCGCGCCTGCTCTCCGGTACAGAGTCGTAGATAGCCTTTGCCTTTTCAATATCGTGAGCAAGGGCCCAACCATGAATGAGCGAGTTGGCAATGTAAGGTGTCATCTCGACGCCACGAGCACGCATATCGCTGAGAACGGCCTCGGTATCGGCGATCTGGTGGTTGGCGACCATGGCTTCGAAGAGTGCTTGGTAGAGACAGGCCTGAGGACGGATATGGTTATCGGCGAGGACGGTGTCGAAGAGGCGGCGCGCACCTTCCATGTCGTGCATGACGCAACCCTTGGCGTGAATCAGGGAAGAGTAGTGGACAGCTTCAGGCACGGCACCGGCGCTGCGAACTTGCTCAAGTACCTTTTCAGCAGCTTCCATGTCTACAGGCTCGAGAGTGGCGTAGGTGTCAATCAGAAGCTTGTAGGTGTGGGTAGTAGGTTCGATACGCTTGGCACGCATGCGCTCATAGTAGCCAAGAACCTTGCTGCGGTCGCGCTTGGTGGTCAGGAAGAACTGCATCATGCTGTGGTAGGGAGCAGGGCGAGGCTTATAGTTGGGCATGCTCTCCATCTCCTCAAACAGTTCTTCGGCAAACTTCTCGTCACTGACACGGCACAGAGCGTTGACAATGGTACCGTATGTTACAGATGTAGGGCGGATACCAAGGTTGCGCATTTCGGAGAAGTAGAACAGACAGTCATCGATGCGACGGGCCTTACCAAGCTTGCCAATCAGAGCGTTGTAGAGGAAAGAGGAAGGCTCGACACCTTCAGACTTGGCACGAAGGAAGATCTTGACAGCTTCTGTAGCCTCATCAAAGGTCTTGGTAGACTCCTTGAGGGTGGTAATGTAGAGACCGAAGGTGTTGGCAGTAGGAGCGGCGCCCATCTCAAGCAAATCCTGGTGGTACCTTCCAGCGAGGTCACGCTGGTTGCAGGTAAGGCAAGCGGCGACCATGGCGTCCAAGATGGTGACCCAGCCATATCGTACAATGCGGTACTGGGGCAAGAGAGGAACATCTTGCTTGGCGAGGTTGAGGATGTCGTGAGCCAAAGTCAGGCGGTCTTCCTTTGCAGCGGCGGTGATCAGCTTAGCGTAGGTAAAGAATCGAGGATGGTGGCCAGCCCGGCGCATGTTCCTAAACTTCATCAGAGCCTCGTTGAGGTGAGACGATGATCGGCCGTGCGTCTTCTCAAGCAGCTCAGTGATCGCAACAGAGCCCTTGTTGTCCGTCGACGCAGCATAAGGGTCGTATTGGTCCTCAAAGGTAGGAGCTGCTGGTGTAGTTGGTGCTTGGACAGGGTAGGAAGCAAACGGTGCTGGAGAGTACAAAGCCTCTGAAGCGGGATGCTTGTAGGCATACCACCGGTGCTGAAGATCCCCCCTGTCGAGCTTGGCAAGAGCCTGTTCAACGAGCCCTGAAGTGGTCTTGTTGACTGGTGTGCCAGTTGCGGCGATGACTTCGAGAAGATGAGCGAAACGTGCAACGTGGGCAACGTCAAATTCGGCCTCCTGGAGTAGAATTCCAGATTGAACCTGCATCAGAAGCGTGATGTCGTCGAAATTGAGTTGAACAATGGCCTCAGGTCCCATTCCAGCAAGTAGGTGGTGAGCAACTGGGGTGACTAGGCCGCCGTTTTCAATCATCGTCCACATCAGTTCCATGCTGGCCCGCGGCGGAAGGAAGATGCCACGCTTCATCATAAACTGACCCATAACCTCGATAGCTTCGTCAATGTGCTCTACGATCTCCATCTTGGCTTGAGTAGAGCCAGACTGAGAGTCCCGTATGCGAGCAAACATTTGACGACCCTGACGAAGCCCGCGCTCCGCATGCCCGCTGCCAATCAGTGCAATAGTATGCATGGCGGTAGGTTCGATGAAGTCAGGCTTCGTCGGCGAGAGTTCGAGCATCCTCCAAAAGACCTCGGCAGCTTCAATGTTTCCAGTGCGGATGTGCATAGCGCCCATCGCCATAGCTGGCCTAGACAGGTCAACCTCAGCCGGGAGGTCGTCAAAAGCTTGAGTGGCGACATCGACCGCGTCCCGGTCAGCCGCCTTGATACAGATGGCGGCCATGGCGATCTGGCGTGCTTGAGGGCTGAGGTACTCGGTAGCGTGTAGATAGGCTTCATCAAAGGCGCCATTCTTCAACCACTCGGGGAGGAAAGCCTTGAGACCTACGATATCACGAACCGAGGTGACGTCCTCTGGTGTAGCGAGAGCGCTCTCAATCTTTGATACGAATTTCTGGGCTCCTTCGATGCGGTTGCACACTGCATACGCCTTGACGAGGGCCGCGTATACATCGTTGTCTTTGCGTGCAATGTCCACCTCACCGTTGTCGTTTGAGATGGCAAGAGCCTTGTACTCATCGTAGCACTCAACCGCACTCTTGAGGTCACCGGACTTGCCGAAAGCATGGATCATCGGAACGAACATCTCAGCAGCCGGAGTCACACTGCGAGATTCCATGTGCGAGTAAATTCGCACCATGTCCTCTACGCGGTCGCTCTCTGCGCATGCAGTGACAAGTAGTCGGTAGGTCTTCTCAGAGAATGTGCGGCCATATTCGACACTGACAGCAGCATCGAATAACTTAACAGCTACTGATAGTGATCCATCCTCGGCCAAGATAGCGTAGTCAGTCTCGTGAGACTGGAGCATGAATCTACCCTCCTCTTCCATTCCGCCATACCGCAGTCGCCTGTCCTCAAAACTCTGCTTCAAGGATACAACTTCCAGTGATCGAACAGAGAGGAGCTCAAGTAGGGTGGTGTATGTGGCCGTGTCAGGAACGACTCGTCGACGGAGCATATCTGAGTAGACATCTAGAGCCTTGGGAACGACTTGGTGCTGAGCCCGGGGTAGGTGTATCGCCGCGGATAGGAGAGCGTTGTATGCAGCAACCGATGGCTTGACATCAGAACGAAGCATTTCCTCGAAAACGGCCGGTACTTCTGCATAGTTGCGGTTGATTGCGAGTTTCTGAAGTTGCACTGTGTACTCATCATGCGCTTCGATCGGACTTGTAGCTATCGTTGACTCGGTGCGGCTCAATATCGATGAATTCACAAGAGTGTCCGCAACGGTAGCGGGCGACTCTGACCTGGCCTCTTCAATCGCAGAAAGTTCTTCCTCAGCAGCTTGAACAGGTTCGCCATCAGCCTTGTGCTTTGCCACCTCTTGTGCGATTGCCTCGTCTACCTGTGCCAAAGCGATCTTTTCCGCCTCTTCACCCCCGACGGCCTTCTTGAAATCCTCCACCTGGCTAGTACTGTATGCGCGGTTGACAACGGCACGCGCCGGGACCGGCTCGGCCGTCTCTTCAATCGCGACACTGCTCTCCTTCGCTTCAGCCGCGCTCTTTGAGCTGGCCGGGTCCCATTCGATGAGTTTGCGGAACTGAAACTGCGACCACTCCTTGTCCTCGGTCCGCTGCTGCTGATGCTTCTGCCATGCGGTATAGTACGCGGCTAGACCGGAGTCTTGGTGGTCGTGTTGTCCCGCGGCGAGCGCCTTGAGGGCACTCGTCGTAGACGTCGAGGCAAAGGCATGTTGGTTCTTGAGGCCTTTTCGGAACCGGTCGTGTTGGAGGGATGCGAGGGGGTTGTTCTGGCTGACACCAGCAACTACTGATTGAGCATAACCGTGAGTAAAGCCCTTGGCAAGACTCTGGCGCGCGAGGTGAAAGCTCTTAAAGACCATTTAGGAATTTGAGGAGCCCTTCAGATGGGAAGGGTGAGACTGGGGATGGTCAGTACGATTGTCCCCGGTGGCAATGTTCCTTGAGGCGATGCGCGTGTACAATTGCTTATCTAACGACCGGATTTGGGTGTTTAGGCAGCAGGTTGATATGTCGCATGCGCAATTCACGGACGCCGAGATAATTGTTGTCGGACAAAAAAATTATGAATGGAGGATACGTACTATTCTCGAGATCCCTACGCGATGGTGCAGGTTCATTTGACGATGACCGTCAAACAAACGCGCTTTACAAGTGTAAGGACTGGTGTTGTCGTGGTGGGGAAATTGAAGGTGGTTAGTAACCTAGTATTTCTCCCGTCGCGAGTGCTTGCAGACTTGGCAGTTCTATGACAGGTTGAAGGAGATATAGGAAGACAAAAGCAAGGCACACTGTGGCCTAGAAGGAGATATTCTCAGCCTCGAAGGCAACTTGATTAGCGAGAGTCGAAAAGAAGATTCGAGTGCCCATTTCGTAGTCGTCATGAAAACATAGGCCCGATGTCGATGAACGCTAAGTTTGCCGAAAAATTATCGTTGTCGCGCTGAACCGTGTTTAGTCAAGCGCTCGCACACGCGATACCCGTTCAACGTGTCCTCCCGGGGAGAGCAATATGTTTCCGACCCAATGAGACCAGCTCGGTCATCTCGTAATCCGTAATACGTCTGTGCCAGGCAACCATCGATGACTCTATCAATCGGCACCGGGCAGATTTTGGCACCGCGCCGTCTAGGACGTCTGGATGAGTCAAGTAGAACGACGAGAACAACTCGGCTGCACCCCGCATGGGTCTACCTTGATGCAGGATTTGACCTGCAGCTGATGGACTAAGTCCGCAGCTCCGGGAGTCGGCTCCGAGGGCAACAGAGGCGAATCGCAGTGGGCTGTGCATGGGCTATGCGTGAATTGCAATGCACTTTCGCTGCACGTGATTTCAAGCATCATCGTGATATTGCCAGATACTAGCCGTGATTGGACTTTCTGAAAATTCGGTGTATCGACGGCATCTGCAAGAGTTCGTGGCAGACGCGACCCACAAGCGCGTGCTGTTGTTCATCCATCTAGGGTTCATTCCGCACACCCCGCAAGACCGCCATCTTCCAGCCCCCTTCACCATTGCGCGATTATTGTTGCCTGGAAGAAAAAACAGCTACATTACGAATCCAACCCGACCAATTTTTCCCGCTCCCCGTTACCACACCAACAGCTCCACTACCAGCCATGTCTTCCTCGGACGTGCCGTTGGGTCCGACTGCCGTTTCTTGCCCGGCAAAGGTGCTAGTTGCGGGTGGCTACCTCGTGCTCGACCGGGAATACACAGGCCTGGTCTTCGGCTTAGACGCGAGGATACACACCGTTGTCGAGCCTATCAAGACTAGAGCAGGTGTGACGATCAACGAAATATTGGTCACGAGCCCTCAGTTTCGCGAAGCCATCTGGGAGTATGGTTACCGATCACAGAGCGAAGATGGAGGCATTGCCGTCACTCAGCTGAGCGTGTAAGTACATTGCATTGCGTCTCAACGTCGCCACCTTATCTGTTACACCCCTGCGCCTTCGTACTCCATTGGCTGTCTTTGCTTTTGGTGTGCAACCTGTCCAGAAGTCTCTCACACCTCTCCTCGGTCGGGCAAAGCATTCTGTTTCGGCCGTACCCCATCATGAGCGACGTTGATGGGAGAGAGCCTCCTCAGACGTGTCTGCAAATATGCTTCAGCAACAAGCCTCATAACGCAGTTGCATGGTCGCACACTCAGTCTTGTTGGTAAAGAATTCATGCATACAATCTTGTCACGCAAGAGTTTGGTCACGTGCATGTTCAGGTTTGGGATCAATACATGTAGTTCTGGACCATCATTTTGCAGCTGGAGTGCTCAGCCAAGAGACATCTTCAACAAGACTCATCAAACAACCTACTGACTACTTTCAGTGGCCACGAACAATCCATAACGGCGACCCGTAACCCCTTCATAGAAACTGCCCTCACCTACGCCCTAACCTACATCCATGCACTCCTCCCCAAAACCCTCATCCAACCCTCCAGCATCCGTATCCTAGCAGACCAAGCCTACTACTCCAATACTGGCACCCCACGCTCCTCAAACATCATTTCCCAACCCCACAAAGTATCCCGTTTTCAAGACTTCAACGTCAGCCTAAGAGAGGCCCACAAAACAGGCTTAGGAAGCAGTGCAGCACTCGTAACAAGTTTCACAGCAGCGATACTAAGTTTCTACCTGCCCAAAAAGCTCTTCGACGTCCAAACCGAGCGAGGGCAAACTATCCTACACAATCTCGCTCAAGCTAGCCACTCGCAGGCTCAAGGCAAAGTAGGCTCTGGCTTTGACATTGCAAGCGCAGTCTTTGGATCCTGTCTTTACAAGCGTTTCTCGCCCAACCTCCTTAACAGCCTCCCACAGCCCGGCAATCCCGGGTTTGCGACTGACCTGCGTTCGCTCGTCGAAGGCCCAACATGGGATACCGAAATCCAGAAAGCGGCTATCAAGATGCCCAAGGGCCTGCGCCTCGTCATGTGTGATGTGGACTGTGGAAGTGAAACGCCGGGTATGGTAAAGAAGGTGCTGGCGTGGCGAGCGTCGAGGCCTGAGGAGGCAGATCAGATCTGGAAGGAGTTACAGGCTGGGAATGAAGCTATGGCTGCTGAACTTACGCGATTGGCTACTGAGGAACACAGTGAGGGTATGGCAAAGTATGAGACGCTACGCCAGATCATTGCGAAGAACCGCGCACTCATTCGCGCCATGGGTGAGAAGTCCGATGTGCCAGTCGAGCCGCCGCAGCAGACGCGGCTCCTGGATTATTGCTCCAAGCTCGATGGCGTCGTTGGCGGCGTTGTGCCTGGTGCTGGCGGCTTCGATGCCATCGTTCTGCTCGTGGAAGACAAAGAGGACATCATTGAATCACTCAGGGCATCTCTAGCGCAGTACAAAGACCAAGAAGCCATTGGCAAAGTGGGTGTGATAGGCGTTAGAGAGGAGATGGTGGGCGTGAAGCAAGAAGAGTTGAGTCTGTACAAAGAGTGGGAGGCGAAGCACTGAACATGTCAACGGCCTGGACTTCCAATCTGAAAGTATAGGGCTTAAGTAATCTTGTCAGTACTAGCGTAGAAGTTTGTTCAGACAGCGAGTATAGTCAACTAGGTTGCAATCCCATCTCACACATGTACAACCTACTATTCGACATGAAGAGCTTAGGCCATCTCATCAGACGTCCCCAAACATGCATACGAGCTAATAAAAACTGGTGAATTGCCCTTCACAAATCATGAGGTATCATTTCCGTGCTTGTCTGAACTTTTTATTCATAGATCTTGACATGGACGCCAACCCATTTCCGTTAAAGATCGCCCTGTCCGTCCATTCCCACCTGCTACACCACCTTCCTCGTCCCTTTCGAGTTATGGTACTAAGGGTACACTGGTGATTCGCTAGCTGGAAAAGCCCTGGCAATGCAATGCTTCATGAGAGACAAAGGAAGAAAAGAGAAACACCTTCGCAAAAGCACGCTTATGCCTTGACGGCGTACTTTCGCTGGGGGAAGTGTGTCAGCCTCTTCTTCTGCTTCTCGGTGACGAGCGAAGCCTCGTGCTTGGTGAGTCTTCGGCGGATGGCGCGGGTCTGCTTGGGGCGGAGGTCGAGAGGAGTGTACCTGGGCATTGTTAGATAGGGGTCCCAATGCATCTTCTGCGGCTTAAACGCACTTCTTTCCCTTGTAGAAAAGCCTGAGCTGGGCCCTCTGGTTGGCGTTGATGACGGTGAGAACCTTGGCGATACCCTTGCGGACGTCATGAATGCGGGTGAGCTTGGTGTTGGAACCTCCGGTGACCTTGGCAGTCCTGAGCTGGATCAACTCCCTTCACTGCCGTCAGCATTCCATTGTTGTTTCCATTGATCGAAATGGGCGACGCACGACTTGAGGTCGGTGAGCTGGGCCGCGAGGTCATCCTTGGACTTGTTCCACAGCTGGGCGGTCTTCTGTAGAGGGTGTGAGTATGGAATCGATCGGTATGAGTTGAGCGGACATAAAGTCACGTACGATCTTAGGGGCAGACTGTAGACACCGATGTCAGCATATTTTCTCTCGATCATGAAATCTCGAATCTTGCGCAGCACCGCTAGCGGAGGTCGCAGCTGCCTGCCCCTCTACCATCGCGGCCATCCGACAGCTGCGCGACGCAATCCTTTTCCAAAACGTGTAATTGAGAGCGCGTACGTACCATTTTGACTGTGTGTTAGTAGGACCTGGTGATGTGGATGGGGTCTCGCGTGTCGTCAACGAGGAACTTTTGGTGTTGGTCGAATTCGAATGTGTCAACCGGAGGCTCGCTAAACTATTCGCCGATCACCAAGGCGGACTAGCGTCTTGGCTAGCATTGCGTAGCCTGCGACAGGGCAGGTGTACGAGCCTCATGATGCCAGCACTCCAAGATTTATTGCTGCTGCCTTGATCTGCGAAGATATCACTGCTTCCGCCATGTCCTCAACTGGTGGTGGATGGGCGCAACTGCGCCAGCAAGCGCGCACTCTCGAACAGCAAGTAGGTGACATTCACTGCCACGACGGACTTAGTCGGCTTTCCTTGCGCTGGAGCCCTGCTAATGATGCTTGTAGACAGAGACGCTATTCCATACCTACTCGCAGTTCGGATCAACACCTAATATCCCTGCCAAACCATCAGAAGAAGAGCTGCGGGTGGAGACTAGACTCCAAGAAGTCCTCGAGCAAAGAGATGGCCTTGTTGGCCAGCTGTCACGGCTTCTTGACTCGGAATCAACACACGGCATTTCAGCAGTGAAGCAGAACAACCTTGCCAGGCATCGTGAAGTACTCTCGGATCACCGTCGTGAACTCGCTCGTTTGAAGTCCACCTTGAACGACGCCCGCAATAGAGCCAACCTCCTCTCGAACGTACGATCAGACATCGATGCATATCGATCCGCAAATCCAGAGCAAGCGGAAGCAGATTACATGCTTGACGAACGAAATCGCATCGACAACTCCCACAACGTAGCCGACTCGGTCCTCAGCCAGGCGTATGCGGTCCAAGAAAACTTCAGTCTACAAAGAGAAACCATAGCGAACATCAACCGGAGGATCGTGGGTGCTGCAAGCCAAGTGCCTGGTATCAACAGTCTGATTGGAAGGATCGGGTCGAAGAAGAGGAGAGATGGCATCATATTGGGTACCTTCATCGCATTCTGCTTTTTGATGTTGCTATGGTTCAGGTGATATTCTTATTTGGGTATCTTATATTCGGCGTTTTGAGCGGGCGGTATATCCCCATGACATCCTATGAGTTGGTTTTCGTACAAGGCAACTGAGATGCCATCATGTACAAATATGTTACAATGCTTTCTCCAGGTGATGTGCTACTGCGCTTCGGCAATCATCTTCGCAAACCCTTTGTTCATGTCCTCCATCTCTGTCCCCTCCGCATCTCCACTTCCCACCCATCGAATCTTACAGTCTTGGTCGACCAGGTATACATACCCAACCCGTCCATTTAACAACCCAATCGTCTCCCGTATCCTTTCACTGACTCCCCTTCTAACCACAAAGTACCTCGCCCACTCCTCTTTGGGTTTGGAGGCCTTTAATCGCCACCGGAACAGCGCTATTATCCAAGCCTTCATTGTGTTTTCCTCGATATTGACGTCCACCATCTGGGCGACACCAGGATTCTGGGCCAATATCTGTTGAAGTTCTGGGTTTTGAAACTTTCCAGTGAAGGTCTCAGCTTGGGTCAATCCCCACTGTGAACTGTATACCTTCACTATACTGACCTTTCCAGTCAGTGTATTTGTAGTATTCATCCCCTTGGCTTCTAGTGTATCTCCATGGAAATTGGGAAAGTACAACGCTAGGTCCTTCTTGAATATGCGGGGATTGGCAATAAAGGTCTTGCCAGATCTATATTTCCGGATATTCTTGAAGTCACGGAAATAGTTTGTCCCCCATTTTTCTACCAAATCTTTGCGCTTCTCGAGGTTTCGTTGTGACCAGGTCATGCCAGAGTAGTCTTTTTTGGTCTTGGATAAGCCGGTGTTTTCGCCCGGTTGTGGAGGTTGTTTGAAACCGATGGGACGGCCGAGAGGCTTGGGTATGAAGATATCTTCATCTTTCGGGTCGGGGGTGGGGGTGGACTCGGTAGGTTTGCGGTCTGTCTGTGGTCGACGGAGGGTGCGCGCAGAGGTAAAAGCTCGAACGAGAGGTTGCTGCGCACTTGACGGAATTGCTAGTCGGGTCTGGCATCTTAGACATATAGAAGTAGTATTGAGGAATATACGCCGCAGTGATGTTCCTAACCGTGGTTGCAACATTGTGTATGTGGTGTGATTTACTGTCTCGCCAAAGTCCAGCAAATGATGACAGTGAATTCAGAGCTAGTCCAGAAGCGGACAAAGCCCCACGTGCTCACGCGTTGGTAAGAACCTTGTACCCGCTGTTGCCTCCCGCATTCCACACTTTCACCGCGACTGTCAGCCAGAACCCTTTTGACTAACAGTGACGCACGGAGGACCTATGGCGCTGCATTACCCACCCAAGTATTTAAGCTCCCATGTCTTAGCAATACTGCACCCTCCACCATTAAACGGATGAAACGCAACCAGTGCACTTGGATCGACACAAGTTTTTGGATACAACGACTATCTTGGATTGTGTATTTCTCCTCCGATATTCAGTACTTTAGTATACAATGTCGGAGTGCAAGCTCGCAGCCAAGGAGGCCTACTTCGATGAACATGCACTCTTAAATCTCGAAGACGACGACGACGACGACGTCCCCAACAAAAGCCTACAGAATCTCCAAAATGCTCTAGAGGAAACACGACCCAAGGTTCGCAAACCGACGGGCAGTTTCCTAGGGCCAACCCCCAAGGAACAGCAAGCAGAGTTCGAGGCGTATGCAAAGAGACAAGCGGGGTGGGAGGCGTTTACAAAGAAGAGACGCGGCACTAAACGTCAAACAAGTCAAGATCCTGTACTCCCATCGACAGCGCCTGAACCTGAACTTGCGAAAAGCTTCCCAGCCACCAAGCCGCGAAGTGGACTGGCAGCCAAAGGCAAGGGCAAGTTAAAGAGAGCCTCGTCACTAACCGAAGTACCATTCTGGAAGCAAGTTGGAGTTGTTCCTCGAGAGCTCAAGCATAGAAAGGCGAAACCAGCGCAAGATATCGAGCTGTACCCTCCCCACAAGCAGCTTTTCAAGGATAAGATTGTATACTTTTATCCCAACGACGACATATCAGTGGCGCGACGAAGACGTATACATAAGGTCATACAACTTGGAGCGGCTTGGGTGACATCATGGAGAGACGATATCACACACATCATTATAGATGACGCAACCTATAAGTGCAAGTACATGATGGAGCGCTTGAATCGAACGTACATTCCGGAACATATCGTCTTGGTCATCTTCGACCCCTATGTACCAGACAGTATACAGTTCGGTAAACTCCAGGATTCGAAGGCGCAGCGATTCATGATCGACGATGCGCCTCCTAGGCACGATCCTAGTGACGTCACTGAACCATCACAGACATCGACTGCATCACGGACATCGTTAAGGGTCAAACCGTCAACACGTCAACTCGCTGCTCAGGACTCGCAACAGACTGGCTCACATCCAACAGAAGAGAGCATTCCCTCTACTCTCCCTGTACTACAGGCATCCTCAAATATCTTTGAGGATACAGTCTTGGATAGTTTCATCATGCCTTCCCCTGCACAGACAAAGGCCCCCAGACCAAAGGTAGCAGAAGTCGCCTTTACTCAGACTATACAGGAAGCCAAGGCTCTTGCTCATCTTCCTCTTGATGAAGATGAGGATGCAGATTCCCTTTTAGCCAGCGGAATCGATGATGCAGAGGACTCCGGTACTGACGAAGAGCCCCTTGTGGCTCTCAAGCCTACAAAATTGTCAAACATTCTTTCTAGATCATCGGCATTGCGTGACAAGAAGGTCATCAATATGAATACATTCCAGTGCATGGACCCAGGCGCCAATGGATACAACTCTCAGAACCCGAACGCGAGGACTATCCAGATATTAGAGGAAATGTGCAAGCACTATGATCAGATGCAGGATCATTGGCGAACTCTGAGCTATCGCAAGTGCATCAACACATTGAAAAAGCAAACAGTTAAAATCACCACAGCAGAGCAAGCCATAGCACTACCCTTCATCGGCACTCGACTTGCTGATAAGATTGAGGAGATTGTACTCACAGTCCGTCTTCGTCGATTAGATAGTACGCGCGATGACCCTTTGGACAAGATCTTGCGTCTATTCCTCGGTATCTACGGTGCTGGCCTCTCTCAAGCAAACAAGTGGATACAAACAGGCTACCGCACCCTCTCCGATCTTGAGACCAAGGCAAAGCTCACACCAAGCCAAAAAGTTGGCTTGGAACACTATACTGACTTCAACTCGCGGATTCCACGCGCTGAAGTGGAAGTCCATGGAGCTGTCGTCATCGCTGCACTCAAGAAGATTGACCCAAAATTCAAAGCCACTATTATGGGCAGTTACCGCCGCGGCGCAAAGGATTCTGGTGACATAGATATGATAATCACATGTCCCGACACGCCACTTGCTGCTATGCGCACCACTGTCTTTGAGGTCCTGGTCCCACATCTCTACAAGACTGGGTTTCTGAAAGCCTCACTGGCAACATCCCGCTCCAACGACCCTGCAGGTTCAAAATGGCACGGCGCATCTTGTCTGCCCGAGTTGACTGTGTGGCGTAGGATGGATCTCTTGCTTGTTCCCGAGGAGGAAATGGGTGCTGCACTCATCTACTTCACAGGAAACGACATTTTCAATAGGAGCATGAGGCTTTTGGCAAGGAAAATGAATATGAGGCTGAACCAGAGGGGCTTGTATAAGGATGTAAAGAGGGAAGCACGGGGCGAGAAGTTGAATGAGGGAGTGCTCGTGGAAGGTCGCAATGAGAAGAAGATCTTCGAGACTCTTGGAGTACCTTGGAGGGAGCCACATGAGAGGATTTGTTAGTTGTTGCGAAGCAGTCACTGGTGTGTACCTTGGTGTCAACTGTTCAAACGTGCTTTCTTCCGACTCGCTGGAGAGTCATGATTGTAATGTAGAATTTCCTAGCTGAGCAAATCAATGAGTTTCATGAAGCCTCTCTGCATGTAATTCGTATTTAACCTTTGTAACATACACAAGGCCCACCAATATAATGAGACTACACCGTGAAATAGCACACCACTATGGGGCAACATTTCATTACAAACACAAGTGCGACTTCCAGCTGAAGATAACACACAGAAGAGCGAATAGCATGATGCAAAAGATGAGGCAAATATGTAAATGGCGCTCAGACATGGCAGCTGGTGACAAGAAGTTCAGGGCTGTGACAGGTACAAGGTGGTGTGGTGACGCGGCGCGTAGCCAAAACCTGACGTCACACCCTGAGTCGCGAAACACAGAACCACGATCACATAGCCAAAATGAGGCTATACGCGGACCCCAAAGATGCAAAACCCGATATAAAGCCCCAAAACACGGGAAATGCATGTCCTGGCTACCTATCAGGGCGATGTCGGTTGGTGATACAAACCCCCACCATGCGGGGGTACGAACAAGTCAGAAGCTTGAGTTAGCGGCAGCTCCGATATATCCTGGTTCATGATTCATCGTGAATTCACACACTGTTCATTGATTGACAGCGGGTGTCTTTGATCTACAGGATACCGCCCGCCGCCCGGGTATTGTCGATCGCCCCTGTAGTGTAGTCCCCTCCCTTTGTATGGGGCAGTATCGACGCCACAACACGTAGTCAGAGGACTACCAGCCAGCCGTCAGCCTGTTAGGCTCTTATCTCTCTCTCCCCAAACGCCACTACTGTGGATGCCCTCGGACTGTACATCATTATGCGTATCTAGTAGCATCGGCGCGTGTCTTGTTTCGGATAAGGAAGGCACCATGCACGGGGCCGCGGCTCGACCCTGTGCATGACCAGGAGCTTGACCAAAGCTTGACGGGAAGCTTGGAAAGCTTGGTCGAGAGCAATTACAGGCATGCTACGGGTACGCGCCGATCTGGCCCCATGCCATCGTCATGGGCGAGTGATTGGGGGAATGTGAGGTTGGCGACTAGGTTTGCTTTTTACGGATGAGGCAGCTGCAACTGCCTTGGTAGAAGGGACGCAATATGTATATTTAGGTGCTCCTGCTGCTGCTGAAGGCTCTGTTCATCAACCTCATCTTTTCTGCCTCAATCCTATCCCAAATCCTCTTGATAGCCCTCTCACATACCCATCACCATCGAATTAGCAACTTCACACACAACAAAACATCATGGCTTCCCTCAAGCGTCTCGCTGTTCAGCGTAGCCCAGCCTACAAGGCTGTTGGCACCAAGAGCTACTGCTATGCCATGACCAAATACGGCTTCAACCCTACCAAGCCCGGTCCATACTTTCAAGCTAAAGTGATGACACAGCAAGGAAAGTTTGGTGGAGTCGGCGGCCGCATGCGTACACACTATGTCCTCCGAAAGCACAAGCATCACCATCACCATCACCATGGTTCCTCACCACCTGGCAGTACTCCCAGCCAACCCGCCCCTAGCGACCCTACACCCAGCGAACCTGCACTATCTGATGGAGGTGACGTGGACGGCGAGGTCCCAGCCGAAGACATCCAGAACGACTCCTTGTATCTTTGCGAGATTGGTCTCGGTACACCAGAGCAGAAGCTTTACCTAGACTTCGATACTGGATCCTCAGACTTGTGGGTATGGTCTACCGAGCTTCCCAAGAACATCCTTAGCTCCGCCAACCCTGCAATCCAACAAGTCGCTTTCGATCCATCAAAATCGTCTACCTTCAAGAAGTTGGACGGAGAGAAATGGAAGATCTCCTACGGCGACTCGTCGTCCGCAAGCGGCGATGTAGGTACCGATGTCATCAACCTGGGTGGTCTCAAGGTTGAAAACCAAGCCATCGAGTTGGCCAAGAAGCTGTCGCAGCAATTTGCACAAGGCAATGGAAGCGGTCTTCTCGGCCTTGCTTTCGACACCATCAACACTGTGACCCCAACCCAGCAGAAAACTCTAGTGGACAACATCATCAGCCAAAACCCAGGAAAGGCACAGTTGTTCACTGCTTACCTGGGTAGCTGGCGTGATACAAACGAGGCTGACAAGGGAGAGGTAAGTCATCCTCGTGATACACGCACTTATCATCATCTTTCTAACATTTTATCAGAGCTTCTACACCTTTGGGTTCATCGACCAAGACACCCTAAAAGCCGCGGGTGCCACAGAGCCCAACTACGCTACCATCGACAGTCGCCAAGGTTTCTGGCAACTCGAGTCCACATCCGCCACCATCAACGGCACAACCATCAGTCGCTCTGGTAACACTTCCATCATGGACACCGGCACGACTCTATGCCTGGTTGACGACGCCCTCGTTGAGGCAGTCTACAAGGCCATTCCCGGCTCAAAGTACGACCGGACTCAACAAGGCTACGTATTCCCTGCATCGACTTCTGCAGATGATCTGCCCGAGGTTAAACTCGCGATTGGAGAAGACATGGTTGTCTTCCAGAAGGAGGACTTGGGCTTTGCTGATGCAGGTGATGGCATGGTGTATGGAAGCATTCAGAGTAGGGGTTCCATGGACATGGACATTTACGGTGATGCTGTGTTGAAGGCCATGTATGCGGTACGTTTTGCACATTTTGCATATTTTGCATTTTTATACCAATGCTAACACAGAGAATTAGATCTTTGACATGAACAATGGTTCTCCGAGGTTTGGTTGGGTGCAGAGGAAAGAGGCTACCCAGAACACGGCTGTGCCACCGCAGTAAATGGAGATGATGACTACGGGGGCATGATGGAACGGATGGATTAATGTGCATATCGTTATTCGATAGTCACACGAACACCCCTACTGTTCTTGGTCATAGGAATGAACATGTCATGATCATATGTCACATCCTCTACCGTCGTATTAGTCAGGCGCATATGCGGTATGACACGCAAGACCAAGGCAGCAAGACATAGATAAATCTCACACAAAGCAAGGCTAGAAATCAGTCAGTTTGCTTAACCTCGAATGAACCCAAACCGCAAAACTTACTTCATGCCCAAGCAAGACCGACTTCCTTTCGAGAACGCCAGCATGCTCTTATCCACGTCTTTCCTCCGCAGATCGTTCTCGTCCAGCCACCGCTCCGGCGCAAACTTATACGAGTCTGGAAAAGTGCGTTCGTTATGATGGGTGACGTAGGCTGACATGCCCACGGCATAGCCCTTTGGAATTACGTACTCCACACCGCGTTTCTGCCACTCGCCGCGGTAGATCAGATCCTCGCCCGTTGCCACTCTCGCCGTGCGACTCGATACGCCATACGACAATCTGAGGCCCTCCTGTATCACAGCACCCAGATATGGCAGCGTTTCCAGAACAAGCCATCCAGGGAGATTTTTTGGATCGTCAACAACAGAGTTCAGTTCCTTTGTCAATTTCTCCAGAATAGCAGGTTGGGTCAGAATGTGAAACGTCATGACCGCCAACGCCCAACTCGTCGTCTCGGTACCTGCACCCACCACAGCAGCTGCCTCATCAGCCAGACGCTGAGGTTCTTTATCCAAGAGCTCCAGATCGGAGGCTAACAGCGAAGCGAAGATGGTAGGCCTGTCATACGTAATCCCATCATCCAGGTCCTTCTTCGCCTTGAGAACCTGTGCTGGCATGTCAATCTGCAGTGTCTTAACCATGAGCGCAACATCATGCGGCAGATATCCCAGTAGCGGCTTCGCCAATGCCGCACTCAACTTGGTAACCGGAAAGAACCGAAATACAAACACCGGCTTCAACATGGCAGCCGTGGGTTCGCGGAAATTCGGGTACCACCCGTCTTGCTCGAGAAAGCCGAAGCTCGTGCCGAAACTGTATGAAGAGATGGTGTCAGAGGTGAAGCAGCTGTAGGCCATGGTTACGTCGAAGGCATCGCGGGATCCAGAGTGCAGGAGGAGTTTGTCGCAAAGCTTGTGGACGAGGACGTGGATTTCGGGCTCAAGGCGTGATATCATTGCTCTGCTGAAGAACTTGGAGACGGGAATACGGCGGAGACGGTGGATGTCGTGGTCTATGGTACCAAAGCCGGAATCGCCGATGCTGTGGGTGGGGGTTAGTCGTGGTAACTCTTGGCATAGAGGAGGTATCATGAGACACAGGAATGAATTGGAAGGGGTTTTTTCTCTTGCTTACACTGAGCCATTGATTTGATGTTGTGGTTTATCTCTCTTCCTCCCCCCGACGGCGTAGATTTCATCCGCAAAGGAGATATCATTGCAGTGAACTTCGTGCGGGTTAATGCGTACAATAGGTCCTAAACACCAAGGCGTAAGTAGAAGATCTCTTATGAACCTTGTCTCTCACAAAACAGGTATCAACTTCTGTGCTACACTATTGAGTAACTTACCATAAACCTGATACAGCCTCGCAATCTCCTTTGTATAACACCCATACTTGACAACATCGTACCAAAACTCAGGCAGATACGTTGCAGCAGCCAACTTAGGTCCAGGGATCTTGCTCAGTGGGTGGAATGGCGAGACATAGTAAATCGCCTGTATGACCTTGTACAGCACCCAAGTGCCCAGACAGGCCAATATGTAATGTTCCTGGAAAAACATTGCCCCTGGCGAAAGTGGTGCTCGAATATCCTGCATATCACGCAAGCAAATCGCCGTGCGAGTATCGTGTGTAATGCACAAGAAAGAAGTTGGTAGCTAAGTACGCAGGTACTAGCAATCACTCAAGCAACAACCCACAGACCACACACTACAAACACACTACCCTCTCTTGCATACTATTGGGGGCGAGAAAAAAAACTAAAAAAGGAAATCCTTCTACTTGGCCTACTGTCCTCGCTCACCCATGGAAATAACTGCAGGGTCCCGTCCCGAGGGTTGGCTTCATGTGCCAGGTGCAGAACCTGCTTGTGGTAGCTGGCTAGCCTGCATAGTCGGCCACCCGTGTACCGGTAGACCGCGTGCATGGGTCACATGCAATCAAGTACGGGTTCATGGCAATGCAGAAACGGAGTTTTGGCGGAATACGGCTACGACATGAGGACAGGAGTTGCTACACTAGGGTGCCGTGGCCGAAAGGATTGCATTCTGCGTTTGTGATCAAGTAGTGGCTTAGGTGGGGTAGGGTTACGAGTCAGTGATGGTGGGAGGGGCCACTGAAGCTTAGTTAGGAGAGAACTAAAACTAGGGGATCTAAGGTTGCGGTAGGGGGTCTAGACCACGTCGAAGTTTTTGGTTTGGGTGGAAGTATTTGGGAGAGATGGAAGGGACCTTAGCGAAGCATGATGAATGGGAGCTGCAGATAAAGGATCTCGGTTGTCATGACATGGATTTGTACGTATCTCTGTCCGGGTACCGCGATAGAGGCTGATATCAGGCGAATTTAACGTACATATTCACTGATATATCTTGGACGCGTTCCTCATTTCAATCATGCTCGTCTCGAGAGCCATTGACCCAAGGATGATCCCATTGATGTACGATACGTCCTTCTATATGATTCTCTACCTCACTCTTGGCACAACCATTCTTCCCCTTGCTGCCAACATGATCCAGCCTCCAATGAGACATAGCCCACCAATTGGCGTGACCGGCCCCAAAGACTTAAATTTCTTTGGGTCCAACACAAGCAGATATATACTTCCCGAGAACATGGTCATTCCAGCGGTGAAGAGGCCCATTGCGAGCTTGTTTTGCGGTGCGACGACCGAAGTAAAAGTGAGGACGGCCGAGTGGATGAGCTATTGAGGGTTGAGTGTTAGCTGGGTTCGATGTCACGATATCAATGTATATTTGTCTAAAACATTGAGTGGGGAAGAAGAGGTGGGGTATCATGTACTTGGTACTGAGCCGCGGTGCCCCAATTCGTGATGCGCGCGGGGTCAGAGATGCGTTGCTTGAGTCCGTGTGCACCAAAGGCACCGAGCGCGACGCTCGAAGCGCCGAAGAGGGTGCCGATTGCCCAGAAAGGTGACATTGAACTGTATGTGGTCCCGTATGAAGACACGTACGGGGAGTCGGGCGTTGACCTGGATTTGCGGGACGACGAGGATGATGATTTCTTGTTTGAAGACATTACAGCAGGCGTGATGTGGGTTGGTGGAGGTGGGATGGTAGGTTTGACACAGCCGCGGCTTGCGGAGTTTCGGAGGTGTGAGTTGTCTGATTGGTCTGTGCACACAACAGAGAGATATTTGAGTGCAATGTTTGAATTTGATGGTATCGTAGATGCTGTGTATGCACCCCCCTGGTTTTCAACGCCATTACGCCGTCCTGATGCAAATATGACAAGGTGCCCTGCACATGCTACACCCGCTCAAGCCCTCAGAACTACCCTAATCATCGCTGCCCGAACCCGAATCAATTTCCATGACATCTCCGTTTGTCTGTCCTGCAGTTTGTGTCCTCAGTGCAATCGTTTTCCTGGCCCTCTTTTGCGCCGCGTTGGCCTTTATCTCTTCCTCGGAAATCAGAGAGCCATCAATACGCAAGAAACCCTTGCCTTTTCCCTTTCCGTCCATTCTGCCGTCGACATCGCGTATCCGTACCCGCAAATCACCCTCCACCTTATCACCAAAATCGTTGACCCACCAGCCGCCCTCATCTGATAACCGGCCATCCCATGCCCTCTTCATTTTGCCCGTCTCCTGCGAATGCCATGACCAGTCTGAGGGCATGCATGATGCCAATATGCTGACGGGAAACGTGTTGAGATATGCGAGCGTAATGTGTGTTTTCGCTTGGTCCGTAACATGAGCGTGTACGTAAGCATTCTGGACTGGGCGCCATACAAGGAAAGAGGCCGTGGCCCAGACGAAAGGCGCAGCATATTCATCGACATGTCTTAGAAGTAGCGGTTCTGCGGGCTCTGCCTTGTCGGAGCGAGACTCGTTTCGCGCACGCTTTGAACGTGATTTAGATGCTGTTTCTGGCACACTTGGAGGTGTACTGCTCAACTCAACATCGTCGTAGGCGAGTATAACTCCTTTCGCAGGTGGGAAGTATGTGAGTAGTAGCGGTGATAGTACGGTCGCGCATACAGCTGAGAAAGGATCTGAAAGGCATGACGCTGGGATGCAAACGTATTGCGATATGCGTTCGCTATGAAATAGAGAAGCCTCTTCGCTCTGTTCTGGAGCCATTCTTGGTAAAGTCAGAAGAGGCAGGGCTGTGCAATGTGATTTGCGATCGCGTCGTCGCGAAAGTGCTGAGCTCAGAAAAAAAGTTGGAGATGTCGGCATTCACAGTTACCGATGTGTGGGGCTAACGCTAGTTAACGCTTCAGCGATTAGTCAGCATCTCTTCTGAACCTGACAGGTTAAACGCCGAAAGTCGACAGCGACTGCCTCCCTGGAAGCCGCTCAGCGAAACTCCCATCGGAAATTTTTCTCTAATACACATGAAAAAAGATATTTTTGCGCCTACGAATACGGAATCCAGCAAAAGCATTCTGGAGTTGATGGGGGTTTGTTCGTCACGTGTGCGGAGGATGCACGCACGTGCGGGCGGAGGAGGCGCGAAGGAGTTGGCAAGGAAGTAGACGTTGCGTTGACTGTTCGCTTATAACGCCTCTCCGTTCCCCTTATCACATTCTCCAACCAACAACCCAATCCCCCCGACTCATCCAAATCGAGATAAGTTCCGACAACGCTGCGACAACTGGGCTACGTTTGCCCTCATCTACTACCGAGCATATAACTTAGTACACTTGAGTCCGCAACACAGAACATACCCTTTTGACTTCCTTCGGACACGCCCATGGAGGCACTGGAGACCCAGAGGTGGGGGCTTGTCAATGCTGCGATCGAGAAGAATGAGCCGGCGCTACTGGACCAGACCACCCAGATTAACGCCCGAAATACCGTCGAGAGATTTCAGTGCCGAGTTCGCGACCTTGCAATAAGGAAGAATTCGATACCGATTCTGAGCCACCTTATTAAGCACGGCATGAGCGTAAAACATCTCGAACCTCGGGACGTCACAAAAAAGGGAGAGGTTTCAATCCCAACTCTCGAGTTCCTACTTGCGAATGGTTGGGATATCAACTGGCCTAGGAACAGTACAACACGCAAGCCCTTTATGTGGTATTGTATCAATGATCGAGCCAAGCTCGTGTGGTGCCTGAGAAATGGTGCCAAGCTTAAGATGCCCAAGAACTCAGACTGTAGGGGCAGGCGATCCCCGCCAATTCTTGAGATCGTCGCGAGAGAAGGCGACATAGCGACATTTGAGTTCCTGCGCTCGAAGGGTGCACCTCTGCAGCCATTCCCGCATCAGAATAGAGTACTGCATGCAGCCGTCTATCGTGGTGCTGTTTATCGACGTGATGGCTCAGGTGACCCGGCAAACGAGACGGAAGAGCACCGAAAAGAGAGAGCAGAACATACTCAGTGCATAGCTATGGTGCGTTACTTAATTGATGTCGTTGGTTTTGACGCCAATATCCTCGACCAGCTACCAGAGTGCCGAAGAGGTCAATCGGGCGCAATGGGAACGCCTCTCGAATACGCACAAGACCTTTGGTCAGATAGACTGGATACGCGCGAGTTGACGTGGCTTTTGCTCGACCGGGGCGCAGATCTAACGCCCGCGCTAAAGAATGCAAGGTGGGGTGAGGACCCTACGAAATGGCATCATCATTTCATAAAGAATGTCGAGGAATGGGAGGAACAAGGGGGTCCTGAAAGGCTGAGAGAGTATCAGGAACTCAAGCGGCTTGAAGAGCAGAAAAAGAAAGAGCAGAAGTGTTGTGTCCAGTAAACATTGACTTCGTGCGTTGGGATATTGTATATTAATTAACACAACCAGAGTACTTTAGTATTGGACTCACCATTGTTGAGCAAATCGATATTACCCACATGAACTGTGTCAATAGCAACGCTACACCACTGAAAACTCTGAGTAAAACGTGCTGGTATAACAACTGTTCCTAGTGTCCTTGAATGTAGAGTTAAAAAGCACGTATCAGAAGATAAACGTAGAGGGAGTAAAGGGCTGTGTGGCGATGATGTGGTAGCCATGGAAACACAGAGGTTGGTGTCGACAGAGTTAGAGCAAAAGAAACTGAAGACAAATAAACTATGTGATTATATACAGTAGACCAAAATACCAAGGTGTTGGTAGGCCTTGTAGCACTAGTGCTGAAAGTGAAATAACTATAACTGCATTGTATTCGATTGATCTATTTCCCTACCTAAGGGTGCTATGGAGGTGTATATGATCTGATGCGAGTACGGCCGAAGTAGGATCGAGTCGGCTGTTGGGGCATCATTAGGCGGCCGACGTACCTGCTGGTACGCATGATCCGACACAAGGGCTAATATGCTGATGCGGCATCGTAAAGTCCCAGTCCTTCAGATACGACAGCTTGCAAGCAGCTGCCAATAATCATCACAGTCCTTCCCTAGTTTCCCACAGTTGTTGACCGACGCGCCCTTGCAGTTCTTCGCCAGGTTATCCACTGGCCGGAAGTAATCTATCTTGATTCCTTTATTGCAAGTGAGTGTGCCGGCGATGAGACCCGAGTTGTGATCAGATGCATAATTGGCTCCCTTGAAAACGCAGCCGTCAACTAGCACTTTTCCATCGCTCCATGTGATAGAGAAAGGCTGACCGGCTCCACCGTCGCCGGCCACGGCTTCGGTTCCGACGTCAGTAATCTCAGACCCGGCGTCAACCGTCTCGGAGCTCACGAGTTTGCCGTCGCCACAAGGATCTGACACTCGACCGGCTGGGGTCTGAAGCGCGATGTTGGCAGCCTCTTTCTTGTTGACATTATTCCGCCAAATGTCAATCTGCAGGTACGGCCAGAACTGGGTCATGGCTACATGGGACTGGAGATAGACCTTGATGAAGGCAGAACCCCTTGGCAAACCGTTGCCAGGGAATCTTCGCTGAGCCGGGTCGAAGCGAATTGCTGCTTTCCCCCATGAACCAGTCTTTATAACCTCGTCGTTGTAGGTTCGGGTATAGGCAAAGACAGTTACACTTCCATCATTCACATAAGTTTCCAGGATAGTCTTGATCTCGTTGATCTTGGCCGGGTATTGCGGTCCAGCTGGGTCCGATCGATCGAGCGTCAAGATGTTCTGAGGAGCAGTACCATACGTACCTACTCTCGAACCAGACATGATGTAAAACTTTGTCGAAGGACCAAGGTACTCTCAGCTGATGTCCAAGTTCACGTTGAAATTTTCTTTACGGAGATGTTAGTCAAAAGTTCATTCAGAAAAACATGCATGTGTGTGGTAGACCTACTTCAGTGGACCAATGACATCTCGATCGAATTCAGCCTGCCCTTTTTTGAGAGTCTCACTCTCCCAGATGTGTGCGAAAAAGGCACCTAGCCGTGATACCGCAATGACAACTGCACCTGCGTGAACAAAGTCAGTGTTTCGCATTTCTAACAATGCGTGATTTGTACTTACAGCCAGTCAAATGATCTACTAGTATATTCTGGGGCCCATTACCCCATTTCACCCGAACCCAGGAGGTTTCCGTGCCTCCGGTCATATCGTTGTTGTTGATTTTGATTGTGTTGGCATCTTCCCTGAGATCGTTATACCAATCGGTCCAGTCACCGCTTCCATCGTCGGGAATGTGGCGTTTTGCGATAGTAGTGTTGGATAGGTCGAATAACATGTCGATGTTGCCTGAGCTGTCAAGCTGCGGAACAGCTGTAGGCATAACCCCCCTGTTCCTTTCGGCGGCCTTGCACGCACGGCCACAGCTAGTCGGTGCGCACAAATTCTCAATAGTAGTGGCTGTTTGCGTAGTTGTCGTGTATGTTGTTGCGGAACCGGTACAGGCAGTTATGGTGTAACATGTGGTGCTGGTGCTCGCGGACGTAGCCGTCGAGTCCTGGTCAGGGTAAACGGACTTGGTCACGATGTACTTTGCTGTGCAAGTCTCGTACTTGCTGCTCGTGGAGCACTCTTCTGGATCTTTTCCGTCGTCAGGCTGATATCGGAGGGTTGGTTAGCATCTGTTCATACAAGTAATGTGGATGTAAAATTAGACAAGAGATACTTACGGCCTTTCCTCCTCCGCCGGTTGATCCTCCAAATGGCGTGCAGAAAGATTCTGCACAAGTGCCACTGAAGCAGCCCAAGCCGTTACACGAGCGTTGCGAACAGTTGATTCCAAGACAAATGCCACCAGGTCCACAGTCTGGCCCTGAACAGTCAAGACTGATGCAATTGAGTCCAAAGAAATGCCCGCTACCGCCGCTACCGCCGCTGCCACCACCACCGCCCTCGCAGTCTGAGCCAAAACAACCGCCATTCAGGCAGCCTAGACCCTTGCATACACCGTTTTCACAGTTGGGACCCAGGTACCCGAACGGGATGCAATCAGTACCTGTGCAGAGGCCATCAAAACAGTCTTTACCGGAGCACCCAAATCTTGCACAGAGAATTCCTGAATCCAATCAGTATCTATGGAGCGTCGGCTACAAGGGCATCGATGTGAGAAATCATTAGTGGAGGTTGCTGTTGGAGACGACAAAGATGCGTCAAAACCCCACGAGGGTGTAAGAGAGTTAGAATGGAATGACATACCTGTGCATTTTCCGTCGTGACAGTCAGGTCCGGTACAATGGCCGTTCGTCGAAGTGGGGACCTCGGTGTTGGTTGATGTACCAGAAGATGTTGCTGTTCCACCGATAATTGTAGTAGTGCCATTGATAACAGTCGTGAAAAGTCCACCGGCGCCAATGACTGTAGTGGTACCGCCTATAACCGTCGTGATGGCACCGGTACTAGGAGAAGAGGTGGTAATACCTCCAACAACTGTCGTTTTTCCGCCGATGACGGTGGTTGACCCATCGAAGCGTGTCGAGGTTGTGCCGCCATTCGCTGTCGTCTTGCCGTTGATGACTGTTGTCTTCCCGCCGACTACCGCGGTAATCGTGTTAGTGGTGGTCGAAGTGGTCCCGCCAACAACAGACGTAACGCCTCCGATCGCCGTCGTGCCACCGCCTCCTGGAGCGGGTGAGTCGCATCCAGACTGGCAACCGACGCCACAATATGCTTCTGAGCTATCGCAGAAACCAGAAGCGCTACAGCAGCCACCTTGGGGCCAGGACCCGCAGGTTTTGTCCTTGTACTTGGAACCGTAAGTTCTATCTGTTGTCCTGCTACTATTGTTATAGTCTCCTGACTGACATCCACTGCCACAGTACGCTGCGTCAGTGCCGCACCAACCGCTGCTATAGTACGAGAGAAGCGATTAGTGAGGACTCTAATTGCAATGCTTCAGAAAATGATGTGATGAACTTACCTGGAGCAGCAACTCCCGGTTGACCAAGATCCGCAGACGGTGTTACCGTTCATATTACCACAGGTTCCGTCTGTGGTGTTGATGGGTCCCAGGCCCCTTGAAATGAATTAGCGGAGTGAATGAATATAGTAACGGGGCTAGAGGCTATCATACCTTCCGATGCCTGAATTGAAGTCGACACTCCAAGCCATGGTTCCACCAAAACATTGGTTGTCCACCCAGGCTTTATTCTGTTTGATAGTCTCTGCATCATCGTATCCAATCCACTGATCCTCTCACGTAATCTCCTTCATCATGACATCAGGCAGATACCTAGGAGACTATTCGGTAAGTAAAGTGGTTTAGATGCGCATAACGGCAGCAGATGAACTTACTTGGGCGTTAGTCCTTTTGTCTTGATCAGATCTTGAATCTCTGCCAAACCCATTGCTCCGGCTGAGTTAGTGCAGACGCCAGGATTACTAGGGCCGGAGAAAGCACATCCAACGCTGTTGCAGCTAGGGTTAGCCACAGTGTAGCCGCGTCCGTATAGAGCAACACCAAAATTGATCTTGGAAGCGTCAAGCTCATCGAACCATAGAAGCAGTGTGTCGTTCCCGATCTCCCGGATGTCGGCTTGACCACGAACGACAGGCTGGATCGTCTTCTGGTTTATGTCCCAGGGACCGTGTAGATCTAGAGTAGAAATTTGTTAGCCATGGAACCAAGTAATGGGGAAGGTTTTTGTATGGGAAATAACATCGCGAATCCACTTACCGTAAGCCATGAATCCGAAAAAGTCAACTGAGCTCTCCATGCTCTTGGCATCAAAGTAGCGCAGGTACCAGTAATCAGGTGCAAGCGTCAAGCTGATTTCATACTTGCTACCAAAGGCTACACGCATCTCTTTGACCAGGAGTACCAGATTCTGTGTCTTCTGGGACTCCTCCGCGATCAGGCGAGACAGGATATTCCTAGTCGAGGTCTACGCCCTGGAAGCCATATTTGGGCATGAAGTCCAAAAGTGAATTGATGAAAGCTGCACGATTGCTGGACGTCGAAAAAAGCTGGCTCCTAGTGGTAATATCTTCAGTATATTGTCACACAGCTTTCCCTTGAGACGCTTGAGTACGTACCATGTCTGATGTGTTGCTCTTTCGGGATCGCTGAAGTCGAAGCCACCTACTGCTATCCATCTAGGTTGGAAAAAACTTTCAGCTTTTGTTCCTAATCAATGCGAGAGCGCTCGGGAGATACATAAGTTTTGATTGCTTTCTTCTGGAGTGCAGTGAACTGGGTGTAGAGTGCAATGTCGCCAGGGTCCGCATTGGTGACCGCAAATGAAGATGGATTGATGGATGCAAAAGCATAGTAGAGATGGGTATAGCCTGCAGTGGCGATGTCATTGGGGTAAATATGGTTGCATAAGCGATCGCGAGTGTTGCTTCCTTGGTAGTATCCAATCGTTCGGCCGCCAGTGCTGCCGCTTCCGACGCCGCAGGTACGACCTGACTTGACTTGGCAAGAGTCAAAGCCAGCCTGGCATGGCAGTGTCAACCCCTTTGGATCACCATTAACACAGCAAAGATCGGTTGTCTAGAGCTGGCGAGTTAGGTCTTGTTACATGTTATTGATGAGAGGAAAGATAACTTACGCCACACCAGCCGGTGGCAGAGCAGCAAAGGTTCATGCCACACTTCTCCTTGCCGCCTTTGCTATATTTGCCGCACATGGCAGTTGCATCGCAACTGGAGGTACACTACCACAATTGAAACACGTCAGCTGATGCACATGTCCAACAGAATGAAACTGCCAACAGTGCTTGTACCGCAAGGCTGAAGAAGGGGCGATACTCACGTTGCCTTTGCCACAGTTCTCCGGGCCATAGCCACAAGTTCCCCTAGTGTTGCAGCAACTGATCAACGAACCCGTCAGCGCGTGTCGTGGATAAATGACTGAGAGGTTCAAGGATTTCCGACACTCATGAATGGTTATTGGGAGTTGGTTAGTGACTTACCTTCCATCTGCACAAGTGCCGTCTGGGAGACACAGAGTCGTATCTCGACGGACGAGACTTGACGCCCCTGAATGCATGGCAGCATCTACAGCAAATTGTATCTCTAATACTTTGGGCGAGAGACTTTGAGGATGTTGGTGTGTCGGATCCTTGAATGGCTTCACTTGAGAGCCATTGTTTGGTGTGGTAGGCAAAGCACGTATCCCATTGGGACTGGAAGACTGTAGCATATGTCTTTGAGCCGTTCTGACCAGTGGATTCACCAGCAGAAGGCCATAGATAACATCCAACAGCGTTGGTAAAATCATCTTCGTTACGAAGAAAGAAAGGTGTTTGTGTGTAACGAGCTGAGATGTGATATCAAGATACTTTTATTCTCCCTCTCGGCATTTTTTGGCAATCCTATTCCTAGATGTGCCGATTGATTTGCAACAGAAGAAATCTAGTCCCAGCAAAAACTACCACGGGCGTAACAAGTGGAGTAAAACAGACGATATTTTCTATCGACAACCCCATGATTGAGTAGGAAATGGTACAGAAGCGCCGATTGTCTCGGCGAAATACTGGAGACTCAATCTAGCTCTCTTACATGGTGTTCTGCTGTGCCGTAAAACAGTTCCAGGAGTCACCGGAGAAGTACAGCTTACGACATAGCGTAGTGATTGAAGGCTTGGATATTGAGAAGGTCCGATATCCAACTCTTGCTAGTATGTGACGGTGATGAATCTAACCTGAATGTGGAAGTGCCAGACCCGTGGGGCGTATTTCTGTTTGAATGACTTTTACATTAGCGCTGGGGGCCTTGGGTAATAGCGTACATTATTTGGGTGCATCGACTGCAGTCGAAAACTGGAGACTGCCACTCTTCTCGATGGATTCCAACGAAGGTTTTGTGCAGGTATCTGTACACAATCTCAGCATCAGTAACACACCCAATCACACATGTTCGTGTTCAATTTTACGTAGGACAGCATATTGCTGCACCTAATCGGTACCTATGCCGTTCAGACATAGCTTTCCTGTGCCTCTCAATTGCTCTACCCGAGAATGCGAATTTTCTCCGCTGCTGGGCGTAATTGCATAACTTGAGGTCATTCGTAGCTTGATCTTTCGCGGGTAGACTAAAGCCCACAGCCCACGCGCATCTGGACTCTGAGGGCGGAGATAAACGAGGCTCGGATACCTAGTACCTGGTGGGCATTCCGACCGTGTTAAGCCTTGCCGTTCTATGCTTGTCACGCCTAAGCGTAGCATAGGCCTCCCGCTCACGAGGAAGTGAGTAAGGATGGTAGCGCTTACAAGAACGCCCCGCGAGGCGGATACCATCATGGCCCCGTTAAGAGGATAATTGAGCCGTTCAGTTCATCGTTTCCCACCAATAGTCGGAGAATACTATGAGTAGCGCATTTTCTCCTTGAGGTGGCGTAGATACTATGTATATGACCCGTCTACCTCAGGGTTGTAGTTCGCGTAGCCTCTGCAGGGTCCTTCCTAATCGGGAGGTCATTTCCCCATCAAAGATTCTAAGTAGATAAGCGGGCCATGCCGCCAGGGACCGGGAAGGAGCCGTGGGGGCCAAGACTGAATGATGCACAATTCCTGCACCCACCCGTCCCTTAGATGTGACTGAGAATCTCAGACTAGAAACCAGCTCATCGTCCTTCTTAAGGAAAAACGTTCTTTTTGACATAGGCGTTATATGAATTCGGGTTCATGTGATATTTTACAATCTAGGTTTTCCATGTGCTTTATGCATCCCATAATTAATCGTCATTTTAATAATCATGGGCATGGCCCTCGGAAAAGTATACACTGTATTCCTACCATAACATTAGAAAATCCCCTAGCCTATCTTCGGCCACCCTTCTCAGCCTCCTTCCGCTGAACCTTGGTGACCACGCGCTGCAGAGCCGTCTTGATTTCGCCCTTTTTAAACTGCGACAGATCGTAGTAGTTTGGTGAGATATCCTGATAGCAATCAAATGAGTATTTTGCATTTTTCTAGAGCATAAGCGGAATAAACTTACTATTAGCCACTCTGGCTTGACCGATGTCACAGTTCGGATGTAGTTCTTGGTCGTAAGGACGAATTCGTTGTAGATGACCCACTCGCTATCCTCTGCAAGGACTGTACTGGGATGTAGCAGAACCTGCTGTTCGTCCTTGACAGTGATGTAGCTCTTGCCGTTGCCGTCGCGCTTAGCGACTTGCATGAAGAAGCCGGCTACAAGTGCGCGCTGGATGTTTTCGTAGTACTTCTTGTTCTCAAAGGGGGTTGACATGAGCTCAAGCTCCTCTCGCTCCATTATGCGCTTGAGCTGCATACGGACGTTGTCGGCTTGTTGTAGTGCTCGGTATGATAGGAAGTGGTCGTGGCACCATTGCTTTGGATTGGCTTGTGCCTCTTCACTCTTGAAGGCGTGGTAGACATTAAGCATAGTCAGCTGGTCGCCCTTGGGGTGTGCAAAAAGCTCCTTCATCTCATCTGCGCGCTTGCGGTTGTTGGCCGGGCGGACAAAGATCTGGGGGACGGAGAGTAATGCGGTAAGCGATAGAATCTCGTTTGAACAGTAGAACTCGGGCGATGTGATGAGCATGACGGCCAACGCGGGGTCCAGAGGGAACTGCGAGGCGAGCCCTCCAAGGGTAGTCAGTTCACCCTCGTCGTCCAGACAGGCCAGATAGTTGAGCTCCTCCAACGCGCGCATCAACGTCTCTGGTGCTGGGGGATCCATCAAGTCGAAATGTACCAGATCATCGACACCAAGCTTCTTCAACTCTAGGACTGTGCTCGCCAGGTTGGATCGCAGAATCTCAGGATAGGTCTGTTCGATGAGCTCCTTCTTAAAGGCAGACTCGGTGTACAGACGGAAGCATTTTCCCGGTCGGGTACGTCCAGCACGTCCAGCGCGCTGTTGTGCAGACGCTTTTGATATAGGCGATACCAACAGAGACTCAACACGGATACGGGGGTTGTAAACCTTTTGCTTGCTGAAACCTGGGTCGACGACGTAGACAATACCGTCAATGGTAAGAGAAGTCTCGGCAATGTTTGTGGAAACAATGCATTTGCGACCGGGTCGACCGCCGGGTGTTGCTGGTGGAGGCGCGGGATTGAAGATCTTCTGCTGCTGTGCAGGTGGCAGAGTTCCGTAGAGTGGGTACACGACAAGCGGTCCAGCACCACCCTCCCGGCTGAGGTCTTGAGCCTCTAGATTTATCTTCCTACATGCATCTTCAATCTCCTCCTCACCAGTCAGGAACAACAGAATGTCGCCCTCGGGCTCAGTGGCGTGAATTTGGAGGACAGTTCGTAGAGCAGCCTCAACGTAGTCGCGCTCGGGCGCAGGCGTGTAAAATACCTCGACGGGGTGGGTTCGACCAGGTACGGCGAGCAGCGGGGCGTTGTGGAAGTACTTTTGGAACTTTGTGGCATCGAGAGTAGCACTCATGATGATGAGCTTGAGGTCAGGCCGCCTCAGAACTACCTCCTTCAGCAGACCCATTAGGATATCGGTAGCCAGCGTCCTCTCGTGGGCTTCGTCGAGGATGATGGTGCTATAGCGGGTAAGATTGTGGTCGTTCATGGCCTCGCGCAGCAACATTCCGTCCGTCATGTACTTGAGGATGGTGTTTGGACCCGTCTTGTCCTCGAAACGAATGCTGTATCCGACCTCCTCTCCCAGCTCGACGTCCATCTCCTCTGCCACACGCTGCGCCACCGACATGGCGGCGACACGACGTGGCTGCGTGCACGCCACCATCTTCGCATTTTGCTGGGGGAGGTCGTCGAAAAGCACAAACTGTGGAATCTGTGTTGTCTTTCCGGAACCAGTCTCACCAACAAAGACGAGAATCTGCGACTCTTGGTAGAGCTTGAGGAACTCATCGCGCTGCTGGTGCACGGGCAGGTCTCGTCGCTTCTTGAGGATGCTCATATACTTGCTCGAGAGCGGGCGGCCGGTGAAGGCGTTGTTGGGGCCATCTTCGGCTGCATTGGCCTGCGCAGTCGTCGTCGCATGGCGCTTGAAGCCCTGCAATCCGCTTCCCGAACCGCTATACTCGCTCTTGACCGGCTTCTCGTCCCAGTGCGCCAGGTAAGGATTCGCCGCTACGTCCATGTTGGCCTCGCCGTTGGATCCCGTCTTTGCACGCTTGACGCGAGCGCTATCTTGGTCATCATATTCGCGTTTGGGCATGGCCGTCATGGTTGTTTGCTGAGGGGTGGAGTCGGTGTTTGCGTTTGCGCGCGTGAATGTCGGCCTCAGTCGCTGTCCCAGAAAAAGTTATGCGCGAGCCAGGGCAGCTCCACATGCCGCCATTTCTCAAGCTTGGCGCGAACCACGACAGGCTGCAAGGCACCACTGGAATATCCACACACACCAACCATGTAGTTGAATATACACCTACCCCACCTGGGGATACTCTGAACATTTCACTCTCTTCGTGCTACCGTGACCGGCCTTGATAATACCTGTTGCTCGCTGTACCATTGCTTCCGCGCCCTTGCTAACCCCGCGGCGGTCCGGACGCACTCACATCTTTTCCACAGCAACAGCGCAATTTCTACCAGCGTCTGCCGAGACAAGTCCAAATAGTCTTATCTTGATATGGACTACTCGGAAGGCATGGATCATCACGCGTCCGTCTTTTACATCGGACAGCATGAATCAAAGCGGAGTTTGGATGTATCGCCAGAATTGGTCCAACATGCCCAAGACCTTGGAGTGAGTACAGTTGAAAAGGCATGCGACTCACAATACTGACCTATTCTAGTATGACATGATCACGAGCCCGATCACGAACGACAACTTCCATACCCGCGTTCTCGGCCTTCTCAACGCATATACTCAAACCCTCGCCGAGTCACAGTCGCAGCCACTACCCTTGATACCTGCACTGGACAACCTAGACACACCCCTCGGCCCGACAGATACCATTGGTCAGCTCGTCACTTTCTCTAGCTCGTGGATCGATCTATCCTCTCCAGACCCACTCATTGCGCATCTCTCGCGACAAGTCTTCCACCTTGAAGTCGCATACGCAGGTTTCTGTGGTGTCACCAACCTCGTTGTACCTGGACCAAGGCTTGCTCATGGGCAGGCAGGTGTGTCTCAGTATGCTCGATCGATCAAGGAGGCTCTTCAAACAGGATCCTACATCCAGATCCACGTCCAACTACCCATGGACGGCAGACAGCCAAGCTCTAGTGAGGATGATCTGGGGGATCTAGCACGCTTTGCGAGGCCTGAGTTTGAGCCGAGCAGCCAGGCGAAGACTCTTGATTCTTGGAGCTCATGGGACGCTTGGAACACTATTAGATCTATCTGCAAGTACCACAATAGATTGTCAATCAGTAAGGATACACAGTTTCAATCTACGAGTTCCTAACAACTAACTCGGGGTTTCAGTGCTCGATCTTCCTCGCCGACTTCCATCTTTGGCTATCCAGTCACGATGGTTCTCAGAGCCTGTTAGACTGCTTAACCTTTTGGCATCTTCCTTCCTTGTGAATGCTCGCCAATCCTATGTCCTCTCAAAAGCACACCAAGTCTTCATCTTTCGCTGCTTCCGTCTACAGCGTGGCCCCTGGTTACTCATTTCCGACACTGGCCCACTCCCAGGTATTGATGATCCGGACATGATCATGTCATACTCAACTGGACACCTTTCCCCTCGCACAGTAGAGGATGCGCCGAGCGACGCGTCTTCCTCGCGTGCGCCAACTCCAGCTGAAGCTGCACAGTTGACACAAAAAGTGCCAAAGAAGAGCAGCAGCAGTAACGACCCCACACCACATTTGAGTTATATGCGATATCTGCAACGTAATCAGCCAACGAAGAGCCAGATTGAACGTTTCGGTGGAGGATTTCAAGACTACTTGCAAAGCCCACTACAACCACTGACAGACAATCTGGAATCGATCACTTATGAGGTATTCGAGAAGGACCCGATCAAGTACGCTTGGTATGAGCGGGCCATTGCACAGGCCTTGAAAGACTGGCATACAGAGAGAAGATCGACTAGTTCCGAAAATGGCGCCGTCGTTATTGCTGTCGTAGGCTCTGGTCGAGGCCCACTTGTAACGCGAGCTTTGAATGCAAGCGCCAGCTCGGGAGTACCAGTGAAAGTCTATGCAATCGAGAAGAACCCCAACGCCTATGTCCTTCTAAAGCGACACAACGTGGAAACCTGGGGTGGCCGAGTCACAGTCGTCAAGACAGACATGCGAGCCTGGAAAGGTCCTGTACAAGCCGATGGTACATTAGGCAATGTCGACATTCTCGTCAGCGAGCTCCTAGGCTCCTTTGCTGACAACGAACTGTCCCCCGAGTGTCTCGATGGAGTCCAACATGTCCTCAACCCAGATCACGGCATCTCCATTCCTTCCAGCTACACCGCCCACTTCACACCTATCTCCACCCCCAAACTATGGGCAGACCTATACAACCGAAGCACAAACATCGATCCAAACGCCTTCGATATCCCCTGGGTTGTCATGCTCACCCAATTCGACTACCTCTCCGCAGAAGAAACACAAAACACAATCGCCTCCCAACAGCTCACGAACGGAACAAAGATGCAAAACTTCAACCTCGAGCCCCCTCTCGAGCCAAATGTACAAACTGCATGGGAATTCACTCACCCTCTTCCCCCATCCGTCCTGGCACAGTCTTCACTGCGTAAAGGTGGATCCGCAGTCGGTGGCGGCGGTGGCTTCGTTGGCGGCGACGGCGCAAACGAACACAATCTCCGCTACTGCAGGATTGCCTTCCCCATCAAGGAACCTGGTGTCTGCCATGGTTTAGGCGCATACTTTGAAACCGTGCTGTACAGTGGATCTGAAGGCCCCGTAGAGTTGAGCACGAATCCTGTTACTATGGAGCAGAAGAGCAAGGATATGATATCTTGGTTTCCCATTTTGTTCCCGCTAAAGGTACATTTGTCCCCGCTTTCTTTTGCCAGTGGAAATAAAGAAGTAATCTGACTGACTGGATATAGGTCCCTATGACTCTTCCTGCAAACTCGGAAGTGGAAGTTAGTTTCTGGAGGCAGACGGATGATCGCAAGGTGTGGTATGAATGGTTGGTTGAGAGCTACATGGTAGTCAATGGGCAGAGGATACGGTTGGGTGTTTCGGATTTGCATTCTAGCAAGTCAAATGGGTGTATGATGTAAGTCGAGCTTCATGGACGGGGCTGAGGGCATAGTTGTGTGTAGATACCACAACTTCCACTTTTTTTTTTTAGACAAAAGCAAGATCATGACGAACATCATGGAGTAGTTGTCTTCGAGTTATCAGCTACTCTTTTCGTGCTCTTTCGTCCATACCTCGGAACCACAACCGAGAATTAACCTACTCGACAAAAATACGTAACTCGTGGTATCCCATTACGAAACTGAACATCCTTGCGCCGTTTCTACCAACACAACTTTCCTTCCTTCCAAACCCCTACCCACACCATATTTCCCACTCTACAGATACTCCTTCTTCCTCCCCGTCCTTGTATACTGGTTCAAATGCCACTCAACATCGCCCTCCTTATTCTCCAGCGTGCCCGCGCGAATCTCAAAAAGTCTCATACTCATCCTGGGCCCGACCTCCGCCAGCTCCACACTCTGAAACCCAGTCTTCACAAAAACATGATGCCGTACTTCAATTGTATCCTCTATATTCTTAAACGTGACAACGCGGTTTCCCACTTTAGCAGTGGCTTCGCGGGGTGGGAAGAGGTGTTTGAGGATTTGTACGCAGCGGGTGCCGAGCGGCGTGGTGAAGCCATCGAAGATGAGGTGGGGGTACGATTCGGATACCGTGCCGCGCGAGGCGTTGGGGATATCAGCGCGGAGGATGACGTTGTGGAGGCTGAAGCTTGCAGTGGGGCCGTGGGGGAAATGCGATATTGTGAGGGCGGTTGGAGTACCGCGGTGTTCGTGTAGGAGAACAATATCACTTAAACCGCCGGATTTCGCGCTAGAAACGAGGTTGGGGAGGACCATGTTTCCTCTGTTTAGTCGGATGGCGGTGGGGAGCAGGAGCCGGATTTCTTTGGCAAAGGTTCCCAGGCGCGAGGAGGGGTCGCGGGAAGTTGTTACGAGGATTCGGGGATCTACGACGCCTGATAGTTGGGCGTATTCGTCATCGAGACCTAGCTCTTCTTCTGCGGTTCGTTCGGCGCGGCTTTCGTCGTATTTGTAGTCGGTGCGGAGTGTCGTGTCGTCAGCTACGTCTTTGGAGAGCGGTTTGCCGCTTGCGAGCGAGGCTTTGAGGGAGGCACGCTTGGAGGCGAGTTCAGCATCGCGGAGGGTTAATGCGCGCCGGTATAGGTAGTCGCGGCGCTCTCGCGCTTGTTTCCTGATCATCGTGGTGGCGGTTTGTGGGTTTCCGTCTTTCTGGGTGGTTGTATGACGATTATGATACTTCTTTTAGTTCGCGATCGATTCTGGAGCTAACCAGGCCCACGTCGGTTAAACGGGTGGAGGTGTTGAGAACGAAGTTCAGCAAACACCGAGGAAGTTGGTGGTTCGCGAAGGGAAATTTCTTATCTTATCGGCGCGCCCCACATGGCTGAATCGGGCCAATACGACCACTTCGGACCTCCGACTTCTTCTCTTCATTGTCGAGCAAGAGCAAAGAAAGTCCTGGGACCTGGATACAGTCTTCTATAGAACCACAGAGTGATTAATAATCCAGCACGCTACCACAAGAACGTGAGCTTTTGTGCGAGCCCGTAGTAGCGATGAGAGAGGTAGCATAGAGTATGGAGAAACTTTTATATTATAACCATAAAGACGATCCACTCTAGAAAAGGTATATTTGCAACCTGCGATACTATATTTTCAAAAATCGATCAACCCTAAACACGAAACTACTGTATGCTACACACCCCTAGGATGACTGGTCCAGAGGGTATCGTCATCGTAGTCGAAGAATAAGCATTCATAAGATTCCGGCAGGACAGCGGATCCAATCTACCGATGTCAGGCTCGTAAAGTTTTATATATGAGATAGGAGCATAGAGACCAGGCTCGCTATAAGAAAAGTTAGTAGCACATTCTTGAAAAGTGCCTGAAACAAGCTAGTAGAATATACTCACAGTCCGATATTGCAGATACAGTGCTCCGACGCTTGGCAAGCCATAGGACGATATGCTTTACCATGAACTTCAAAGCATTGCCTGCCCTGCATCTCCAAGGGTTGGATTGCACCAGCCGATGACGTGACAACTCTGCAAGCACCCTACAGGACAGTGGGAGTATTGCGTGCTTCTACCGCAGGGGCAGCTCGTTCCTCGGGTTTAGTGTTCCAGCACTCGTAGAATGCGGCCCACTCGGTGCTGTCGAAAACGGCCTCTGCAGGTCCAGTGAATTGACCGATGAGGTAACCGACGCCACGAGTTGCTTCGCTATAGAATTTGCAGGTATGATCTGATGCTACATGGTAGCTGGTTGGTCGGATGTAGTAGTCGTTCTTCCTGTCGGAAGTGATGATACGAATGCTGTTGGTTTCGGTATTGGGGAGTTGGTAGACTTGTCCATCGGGACCGGTGACGTGGGCGGCTTCTCTAGTGTAGATGTTAGTGCTTTGCGCGCAGAATTGGTCGGTAATATCTTGAACCCGCCGTTTAACATTTTGCGATCTGGAGACTTCGAGTTGGATACGACGCTGCTACTACTTACTGGACACAAGACTCAGATGTCTGAACAGGAGCAGCGAACGTAGACGTGATAACGCAACTGCCAATTAGTAGTGTGGAGAGGTACATTGTTGTTGTGAGTCGCAGGATCTGAACCAAGTTCTCTGTAAAGACAAAAGTCTGCAGTTGCGTTTGTATGATTTCAAGAGCAAGAAGTATAGCTTTTGTACCTGGGTAGTGTGGAAAGGTGCGGCTGATTATGTCGAGAGCGAACTATGCAGGTGGTTGCAAGTGCGCCCGCCAACGCTTTTAGTTCACCACCCGGCTATTCGGCATTCACTAGAGTGTAGTTTCCTGCATTCAAACGCTGCTTCCAAAGAGAGTGACACGGTACTAGCTTTGTTTTCATGGTACTGTGTAACGCTGTACAAGAAGCGATCGGGTATTTATCCCGGATTCGGGGTTTTTTGTTCGCGAACATGAGTGCTTTTGCCATCGAGATCGAAATGGTAGACAGCGCTTGTGCACTTCCTACGATAGCTTCGAAAGCGTTGAGGTCCAGCCTTGTAGCTGAAAAGAAAAATCATCAAAAAGATTTCAGCACTGCTCTGTTAGGACCTTCTTAGTCAACGCCACATACCCAACAGATCGGCTGGATCTGTCAATCTCGATGTCGCCAAGAGCTTGTGAGGATAGGTTGCAGAAGCGGGGATGCAGAAGATCGGAAGATCGTGAGGGGAAGGAACTAGTGGAGCTGTTTGGTAGAAAGAGCGATTCCGGCACTTGTTGGAAAAGTAAAGAAGACCCTACTGTTGATCTTTGCTGAACGGGACTGCAATGGCGGACTATTACGGAAGGTGCAGTGGATTGCTCTGGCCGTACAAGATACGGTACCTGGTACTAACAACGCAGGGACCACGAACCATGGGCCCTAAGTGGCAACATCAAGTTTGATGACGTTTGCAATAATCACGCAATCTATACATCGTTCAATTAGGAGCGATACCTGATCTTGTAGAGAGTTGAAGAATTGTAAGAGAAACACACAGACCCGGAGACGGGTAGAGATCAATGCTGAAATCAGATATCATATTGTTAGATAGATTATGATCGTAAGCTTGCCAATGATATGCTCAAGGTATAGCTGCTGCTGATGGTCATAGCCTCCGAAAGACTTGATAAACCAAAGAAAAAGAGGGTATTTCGACTCTTAGGATCAAAATCGATCAAGTACCAAACCAGAAACTTTTCATCCCTCACCCAGCCTTTGAACTCCCATGCCTTGGCTCGGAATAGACTCGAATTTGCCGATCACCATAACCATAGATCGCTAACTTTTGAAGGAATCTAACTGCCAAAGACTTTTTGAAGAGTCGCAAAGTATTACCAGAAAATGCAAGGAAAGTAGACACTAAAGTCGATAAGGGCCGCCGTGATGACCATCATACTCAACCAGTCCGAGCGCAAGTGTACCACTTGGGCTTAGGCTCCTCGAAGCAAGGCTCCTGGCCGGGCTCACCAGGTGTCGGGCCCTCGTAGGACTGACGAGTCGCAGCCTCAGCACACTGAGTGTCGCTCCTGCACACGGTCAGTATCAGTAGAACGTTGAGTTCATAATGGTGTTTGGCACCTACACGTAGAAATTGCAGCGACATCCTCCGAATACACTATAGGCGTAGGCATCTTGATATCCTGGGATGGACTCGTTGTAGTAGATGGGAGTACAGGATGAATATGCGGAGAGGCCAGCGAAGACGCTGCTCTTGGGCTTGGTGAGGACGTAGCCGCATTGGTATGGGTCGTCGTAGCGGGCCTGGATGCCGGTTGCAGGTGCGGAGAGGGTAATAGGGAGGGCCGAGAGGAGAGTGGCAAGGATGTTGGTGAAATACATCTTGGATACAGGTGGTGATGTTTCAGTCAGAGAATAAACAGGCTTGAATTGGCTGTGGAGCTGGTGCTGTTACGAGAGTTTGATGGATGACAGGTAACGTTGAAGTGTACTAGAAGTATTCAAGTGTTGTTGTGAGGTGCGTAGTAATCCTTTGGATGTTTGATTGTGATGTTTGAAAGAGAAGGCTGAGGAGCAGATTGAAGTTTATATATCATAGTGGAGCTCGTCCTGCCATGGGCTTATACTCTCACCCGATCCTACCTGATCTCGTGCCCTCATGCCCTCTCTCACCTGAACCCACCTCACCTGGCCTATATCACCTGCCAGTTGTAACCAAGCTGTCAAAATGCAAGTACCCGTCCTCGGCGTGGCTATGGTACCTCCGTTCCTTCCAATGGCAGACGTTGGAAGTCGCACAACGTTACTGACTCGATGTCACCTTCGCCATCCTGAGAAGTGCACTTGCGGCAACATCCTATCAAGTTAAAGAGCTGCGGTCAGGAGCCATCTACTCATAAGTCGGTCAGGATGGCTTGACGTGTCTAGAGGTAAAAGAGCCTTGACCGCTCGAATGCGCATACTTGGTACTACGTATGAATGTATTCGAGACGTTAGCAACTGCGGCATGGCGCGAACTCTACGTCTATAGAATAGCATTAGCATACTTGGCGTGGTTTGCTGCTTCTTCTCTACTTGAGCGCGCAGACCGATTGGCTAGCCATGGCGGTGAGTGGTGTAGGTGCTACTGTAACCGTATGACGAAAATACTGGAGAATTGTAGCGTCCAGAGTTGTGGTACTGGACCCAGTCATACGAACGTATTTTGGGAATCTAGGCACAGGCACAGTTGAGGGCACTGCCCTGTTTGACGATACAAGCAATGCAGTGTTTGAGAAACATAGGAGATGGCGTCGACTGAATAGACCAAGTGCAATTGAGCTTGATCTCAATGGGGTTTCCGAAGAAGAGACAGAAATAGAGAGGCAGACACGACACTTGGAGGAGTTGTGTGTGGACGGAAGTGGCGCAAGACCAGTCGCCTTGCGCAATGTTCTCCAGTAGTATTGAGATGCATGTGCTCGACTCGATGAAGTAAGGGGCTGGTGGCGTTTCGTCGCCGTCATCCTTACACTGCCGATGGAAATAGTCAACAATCATAAAACTGGTTCTTCGGTGACAAAAAAAGCTTGTGATGTAGTGGAAGTCCCAGGCCAGGATTGACACTAACAACATCGAAAGCCATGCTCACACTAGTCAAGAACAGGTCTAGCGTCCACGTGAGAACGTGACGGAGATGCCATACGCACGCGCCAGAAACACCAACCAAATCACATATCTCCCACCAAACATCGAATCCCGGAATACCAACCAAAATGAGTCGCGCAAACATCGAACAAGCCCTCACAGGTCTCGTCCCTGCACTCAGCGGGCCCCTACCACCCGAACTCATCGAACTAGCCCTATCGCTACTCACTCGCTCCCGCAGTGTCGCAACCTCCATGAAACCCGACGAAGAAATTGCCCGCCCATACGCCTGCGCCCAACTAGCCTGCGAACGACTCAAGAAACGACTCAATCTCCCTGCCATCACATCCCGCCCACCGTGTCCCCCACGCATCTACAAGAAACTCTACAACTACCTCAGCAGCGCACTCCCAGACGCCACAAGTAGCACACGATCAGACCCTCAGACACCGCGTAAAGCCACCACCTCTGCCCCTGCATCCGCGCGCAATACGCCCAAGACACCATTGAGTGGGAAAAAGACACCGCGTACGGCGCTGAAAGCCAGCGAGACCAATGGCGAGGCGCCAGAGTGGGTTGGGCCCATGATAAGAGCTCTCGCCAAATCTTTCAATTATCCGGCCTCAATCCCACACGTATACACAGGCGTAGAATCGATATATCCACTACTAGCGCGCATGGCAGCTGCAGCATCGGAAACACCAAGTAAACGGCCGCGACGTAGTACGACCAACAACTACGGGGATGTAAGCAATACGCGGACGTTTAGTCTCGTGGTCGTGGTTTTCCTGCTCGTCTTCTCGCGCATGAGAGATGTAGATGTCACACCGGAGCAGTATAATGTTTGGGTGAATAAGGCGGTGGGTACGGTGTTGACGCTGCCAGAGGCAAAGGGAAGTGTGAAAGAAGACGTGGTGCCGGTAGTTGAGGAGACCATGGGTATGGCGAGGGAGGAGGGGTGGTTGCAGATGCAGTGGTTTGAGAGCGTGACACCGCAGGGTGAAGGGGATGAGATGGAGGGGGTGGAGACGACTGAGAGTGTAGGTAACAGTGGGAAAAATAAGGGTGTTCGGTCTGGTGGGAGCGATTATATTGGTTTAGGCACTATGATGCAGGACGCGACTGATTATCTGGGTGAGCGACAGCAGGAAGATTATATGGTTTGGAAAGAAAATATCCTGGCGCGTGTGCAGGAGATGGAGGCAGGGGCATAGTTCAATTGCATAATGATCTCTCCAATAATGTGCGCTAGTAATCATTCGTTGACCATTCGTACATTTGGGTGCGACAGCTCTACCTGTCCCTCACTGTGTGAACCCGGGCGATATCCTTCTCATTGCTCATCCCGCTGAGATCCCTCTCCACATAACGCTTGACAGCTTCAGAATTGTCTGGGTCACTAATGTCGTCCTGAGGGACATCTTCAATCGTAAAGAATATGTGCATACGTGTTCCGATCCTCCTGTTCTTACGAGGAGAAATATTGTTCTTAACGATAATCACTCTAGTGATCCACTTGACGCCCAACTCCGCTTTATGCGTCACAAGCATATGTGCAGCGGTGGCGCCAATGGGTGACCCTATAGAAGAGAAGAAAGTCAGTACACGTCCTCCATGTCATTCCCTCATTCCTCGGACAGGGGCAAAACGCTATACATACCGATCAAAGCTCTAAACCCATCCGTCCCATACGCAAACTCGACACCGGGCCAAGCCTCCAGCGCACTCTTCCCCATATCCCTCATTGCGCGCGTCACAAGCAAGACAGTGTCATCGTTGACGACATCCTTCGCACCATAGACACGGAGTTTTTTGACATTGGGGTTATCGCGCACCCAATAGGCCCATAGGACATCAGAACAGTACTGCAACTCAGGTAGCTCGTCGGGAGCTGCTGGATGGTCCCAGTATCCAAGATCGGTGACAGCGGAACGCGGGTTCATGATGTCTCTTGCGAAGATCAACCCACCTGGGTGATTGATGGCGAATTCGTAGTGTCCGCCTGTGGCCTGGGGTAGATGTTAATGATGTGATTACTAGGTGAGTAATTTGGTTGCAGCATAAACGCATAGAGAGCATCTAGGTCCTGTGGAAATTTCGCGCGTCCTTACAGTGTACTCTTTCCCATTGACCGTATACTTCTGGTCCTTGATCTCCTCATCACTTTGGCCGTCATAGTGATGGATATTCCAGCAATTGTTGTCGCCGATCGGAACGCCGTTTTCGTCGTGCAAAGGCAGCGAATTAAGTTCCAAGCCATCGAAAGCGGTCTTCAGTCCTGCGGCCTCGAAGTCGCAGTCCCAGTCTACTTCGATGTAGGCTTCGTGCCAGTACCACATCTCCAGCTCGTCTTTTGGGAGGAAAGAAATTTTGTCAGTGGAACCAATGTGACAGGTGGGATGGGGGGGGGGGGGAGTTTATCAATACACACTCCTAATATCTCCGATCCATCTGCTTGCTGCAGAAGGCGGGTTGCGGGGGTCTTTTTCGAGATATCCGGCGGCTCTGTCGGATGCGGCCATGAGGCAGAGTAGGCGTTCGCCTTTCCTGATGTACTTGTCCCATGTTGCTTGATCGGCCCATCTCGAAGGGTCGAAGTCTCCGCGTCTATCCAGTTTGAGAGCGTGAGGAGTATCCGGAAACCACGTTGTCAGTGATGTAATATTGATCCTCCCCCTGATAACGAGGGCAGCAAGGGTAAGGATTACGCCTAAGGCGGCTTGGAGCCTCATGTCCAGTTGCGAGTGACAAGTGGTGTGATCGCCAGAAAATGCGTATTCGAAGTGGTTATACCGATGGGCGAGCGCGCTAGGTGCTAGGCGCCAGCTTCATGGCTGCACGTGGTAGTGAAGCGTAGTGAAAGAGAAGAGCAAACGGCAGGGTCCCTATATGTAATTGGAGAGTACGACTGAAGAAAATGACACCGGAAATAAATTTTCGTACGACATTGCAATTTGGGGACCAATAGCAAGTGACTGAAAGTTGATAACAATGGTGATGCGAAAGAGCCCCGAAATTACAGATAACAATCTAGGCGTGAGAAACAGAGACTCATGGAGATATTGAGTAGGGTTTTATATGCACTCAATCTACGAAGATTAATGACTTCACCAACGCAACACAAACTATCAACAAGCCTACTCCCATTCCACTTCTCGATACCTCCCCCACTTACTCCTTATAAAACCCCCCTGTCCTTCTCTCCCCCTCCCCCAATACCGCCCTCACCAACTCCCCGTCCCCTCTCTTGCTCACCCTGACACTGAAATCCCGCGGAATAGCCACTAGCGCACTCTTAATCGCATTATAATCCACATAATCCGTATTCGGCGGATGTCTCTCACTCGCCTCGATCTTATACAGACTGAGCAGCCGAAACAAAGCTGCGTAGATGAGTTTACTGGCGATGAGGGCGCCGGGGCAGGACCGCGAGCCTGCACCGAATGAAAGATGAGGCGGATTCGCTGTCTTGTTGGTGGGGGTGTAGGAGTTTGATGAGGAGGAGGGGGTTGGCGGGTTGAGCCAGCGTTCTGGGTTGAATGTTGCGGCTGTAGGGCCCCAGTAGTCTGTGTCTGTAGAGGATCAGCTAAGTACGTATGCTGGGCATGGTGTAGATTTAGTCGGTATAGCTTACCGTGGTTTCCAGCTTGCGCGTTGATCAAAACCATTGTTCCTTTTGGTATTATGGCATCGCCCCACTGTATATCGCTAGCCGTCTTACGTGGCAGACTCATGTTACTGACGGTATAGTAGCGACCTGCTTCTTTTACAATAGCGTTCAAATAGTGTACGTCTTCTTTCTCGAAATCATTTGCCCATGCTTCTCTCAGTGCCTCATCGGTTGGATACATTTTGCGGATCTCTTGGTACGCGCGGTCTTGATATATCTGCCCTTCTGGTGTAGATAAGGAGCCAATGCAAGACATAAGTGTGCCGGGGATAGTCTCAAAGCCGCCAGATACAAGGGAGAGACATATCGAGCTTACTTCCACGCCTGTAAGACGCGTTTCCTCGTCCTTGAGGATAGCCGCACTGATGCAGGGTTTCTCGGTACCCTTCTTGATCATATCACGAACCTTTTCTAGAAGAGAGTTGAGATATTTGTCGCGTCTCTCACGCAACTCTTTCGACCTCCGGTTCTTCTCATTGTTGGGAAGATATCGTAGAATAGGAATATAGTCTTGATAATTTTCAGACGCTGAGCGGAGAAGTGAGATTGCAGATCCAACTTCGAGTATCTCGCGAAGCAGATCGTCGTAGACGGCATCCATACGAATACCGTAGCAGAGCGTAAGTGTGGTATTAAGAGCGTATCGTTGAATATATGGACGGATGCTGACTTCTACATCCCCACCTTTGCTGTCACGATCGAGATCTTTGATGATGCAGTAGGACTCCAAATCAAACATGTTGTAATAATTCTTCATCATGCCTTTGCTCAGTGTAGTCGACACAGCCTTGCGCTTATTGCGGCAACTCTCGTCCCACGGCGAGCTTCCAATTGTGAATCCCTGTGTTGATGATATGAGTCCATGGAAAGTATACAACTTTGGCCGATCGATCAGTCCTTGTGCGTTTGACACGAGAATCTTCTTGCAGTCCTCAAAAGAGCTGACGACGACTGCACGTGTGTTTCCTAGCCGAATCTGAAAGACAGAATTGCCATAATGGCGCCACCACTTTTCGCATACGGTTGCATGGTCAGCTCCAAGCTGGGTGAGATGGCCGGTGATTGGAAGCGCTCCTGGGATTTCTGGGATACCTTTGATGTATGCAATATCGGTACGAGTGAGCAGCTGTGCGTATTAGTTGGTGTATCAATAGGAATCAATGCCAGAATTACCTGGTAGAATAAGAAAGCCAATCCCGCAGCAATAGCGACTGCGGCGACATGACCGGGAGGCATGTACCTCACATGTGGTAGTAAATCCGGCGAGAAATCCATCTTAGACTCGGTAAAGCATAGGGCAGATGAATCAATTAGATAAACAGGCAGCTGGGGCAGCAAGCCTAGGATATGTACTTATACCTGCCATATCAGGCGTCCTAAGATAGAAGATGCTCTTTCCGATCACGCATGCTCGTGAGGGGTCTTGTCGGAACGTTCCGAAGATAACGGAACCTGCTTATCAGCAATTTCTCCCACCTTCGAGCTGCGCGAAACACTATCAACACTGTCGACAGCTGATACTGATCCATCTTTCTGACAGAAGCTATAAGAGGTGCAGTGTGATCCTTTCACATAGAGTTACTGTATCGAACTAGTATAAGGGAAGCATAATGTGAATACCCATCACTGAGATAATTACGTAGCCATAGAAGACCTTCAAGTACGTCTCACCACCCGAATCTACCCCGCTCTCCAAAAAAAGCCCCACTAGTCTCTACACTAGGCCAAACCATAACCCCTCAAATATCTAAAAGCATTCCATGTCTAATATCCACCTCTTCAACACACTCCCTGATCCTCGCATACTCCCCAAACCCCTCCGTCTTGCCGAACTCAACATGTTGCTCCACACTCTTCCAAGGACAAATCAATACAAACTCGTCCTTTCCTCCTTCACCATCGACTCTCCAGCCCCCACCAATGTTCCCCTCTGTAACGAAATCTTGCAGATAACCTTTCTTGGTATCAAAATGACCTTGAAACCGGTGTTTCTCATCAGCCTTGATCACGTGACGAATGAGACTCCAAACGCGCTGTCCATTGACCGCAGCTTCCACTTCCGCTTCCGCTTGCGTTACCGGTAGTGGAAGGTCAGAGAGCGGGGTTTCAATGTGCCATAGCCACTCCACGGTAAGTAGACCTTGCAAACTCTGAAGTAAATTCTGGTTGGCCGGGCTAGGTATGAAGTCTTCCATGTGAGAGGCCAGAGATTCCCATTCTGTGATTATGTAGATGTAGGATGGATCCTCGATCTGTTGCAGGTAGTAGACTGGGCGGCTCGTGTGCTGTCGCATGACGGTCGCTGCGTGTGCGAGTTTCGACCGGAGGTCTGGGGTGACAAGTGAGGTGGTTGGGTAAAGACGGAGGAGCGCTATCTCGGTGATGGTCATTTTGGCTGTGGGATCTGGAGGTTACTTAATGCGTGGTTAATGTGTGATTGAGACTGATACGAGTATTTTATACAACGACGCTGAATCGACATCGAAGCTCGTTAGGCAGAAATGTTTTTGCAATTATTCCAGGCAACTTGCTGGTTACGTATGTAGGCAGGAAGGATTCGCATGCCTACGTATAGGAGGCCTGAACGATCTTAGTAAGCCACAGTGGAGTCTGTTCCTCCGACCTCTCATTAGCAGAAGCGATCGTCTCCTGCGAAATTTGGGGGATCACGCTAAATTCGATCGACAACAAAAGTCTTATTGAAAACGAGCGCATCTTCGTATAACATTTCCAGAACCAAGCATTCGGGCAGTATTTTCTACTTTACGTATGCACATATTTATGCGATTTGATTCACGATGACAATTAGCACACTTAATTATGAAGTGGAGCATTCATAGGATGTTGAAAACAGTAAAGATTGTTTCTAAACGCTCTCCATCGTAAATGATATCATTCGCATGGCTTCTAACAAGTTACTTCTCAATCAACATGGATAGTCCATCTTGAATGATCTCATGCACATCGCTTCTGGCAAGGTACTCTTCAACTCCCGATGCTGCCCTGCAGTGTCCAGCTATGCATCGAGCATCCCCCACTTCAGGTCATTGGTAGCTGTCTCTATAGCGACCAGTACATCCCTTTTCTTGAAACGCTCTCGCTAGCTGCTTACCCATTCAGGACATTGCCTTCCCATCTCCTCAATAAAGAGGTAGCGAAGACGGGTCAGCTCGTATGCCTGGAGCTTCTCTTCATAAAATTTCATGGAAGAGTACGCTTGGATGTTAGGCGGTTGGAACCCTCGGGGAACGAGAACGTGGCCGTCGAGAAACTGTGGCATCTGACACGAGCACCAGAATGGGACTACAACAGTGCATTCCCAGTCTACAATTCCGACGTGATCGCCCGACTGAGAAACGAGTATGTTGTTGAGAGATACGTCGCCATTGTACAGCAGAATACAGTCGAACCTATTGCTCGATGTAACCACTATCCTCATGTTGACAGGCACACGTACGACCATGATTACGAACCACATAAGTCTTTCTTACAGGGCAGTAGAATGAATTAGCGTAGAATGTGCTACAAGGGTATCGGATCAGTCAAGTCAACCACAGACAGGAGGAATCAACTGCATCAACCTGTGGCAGTGATCAATGAGACGCTCCAGAAGAGCTGCATTGAGTTCGGAGCTACCTCGGAGCGGTCCTAGTCTAGCTTGATTAGACGCCCAGGCGGTTTGTTTTTCATCAGCATGGATAAACGTTGTATACCCCGGATGTGATTTTTGGTAGTACACGACTACACTCGGGTTAGCGGTATCAAGAGTTACGAGTTACGGGTAGATCAAGTAGAATCAGACCAGGGCTTGGCTATCTAGTCTAGATGCCTTGCATTGAGTGTGCCCCCAGTGTTACTCGAATCAAACGGGCAGTGTCGGAAGCCCTAAGGCGAGAGACACCAAACATGTTGAAGCATTACAAATCATAACAGATACTCTAGATGTAAAAGTGGAACTTTAGGCAGAAGAAAGATAAGAGAAGCACAGAAGATTTTGGATAAGTAAGATGGGATGGATGTGAAGAATGTATTGATATCATAAGGGGCTAGGTTGTCTGACTGCAAAGCTAGAAAAAGGTGAAGAACCAAAGATAATGTACGCACCGCGCATACACTACGTGGGCTGTTGCCCAGGCAAAGATCAATCGCAGTCTCAAACAAGTCGTCTTCTGGGCGTGTTTGATGAGGCTGACGGCATAGTAGGATGCTGCACAGAAGGATGGCGGGCGATGCTTGCTGGCTGATAGACTGTGACGTAGAGAAACCCTAGTGCAGCATTAGTCGAGGTTTGGTCTTGGCATGCCTTTGCGGTAGTTAGCATACGCGGCAGGCAGTGTGGTAGCGCAAAATATACCAAAGCTACTTTGTTGGCGAAAGGTAAAGAGGTGACACAGGGCCTCGCTGGGCAGATCTGTCTGGGGCGCAAGAGGATCGGCAGCAAAGTTCAGGAGCGGGCCGTTGATTAGTCCGGAGTGGGCAAAGCTCGAGACACAACGGGCGCGAGGCTTAGCGTGAAATGGTAGGAGAGCTTCAGTCCCAAGCGGACAGAATTTCTTCTCCAGGCCTTGACGAGCCGTCTGCGAACTGCTGTCAACTAGTCATGATACTGTACTTACGTCAACATGGCAACGCATAAAGGAGTGAAGGTGGACAGGCGGTGGGACATTTGGCCAGGTACCCGGAGTCGCATGAAGTAAACAGAGGCGTAGCAGTGCTAAGGCCAAGGTTGGAGGCGTCGGCAGCCCCACAGGACCTTGTTCCAAACACCTCCACAGGTCGCGCAGACGTGCGTGAGACAAATTCGCCGTCATGCGCTGCAACAGTGCGAGCAGAAGACGAGCCTGGCGAGAGAGCAGCACATTTGGATTGACAGGCCCGATAGAAACAGAGGGCAGTGGATTCGTCAGTCGTGTAGATGACATGAAAAAAGTCAGCGCTATACCGAACTGGGGTACATGCACGCCAGCTGTACGTATGTACATGTGCAGTACAGTGCCGTCGAGTCTCTCGGTCTGGGGCTGCAGCACAGCGTACCACATCTTTTAGATTGACCATGGCCGACTTGAGTGGCAGCGCACGCGTTACCTGCTACGACATGTTGAGATGTCACGAGGTCGGGCGCAAGCTGAGACGAAAAGCATCGGAGAGATATTCTGGGCCAGTTTTAGAGATAATTAGGCCAGGTACTCATTTCCGGCCGGCAGGGTCAGCCCAATCAAACAACAGGTCCATGCTTGGGGATCCTGGTCAGGTGGCCGGGGTGCTAGCCGCACGCAGCCTCCTCCTCCTTCGCGTGCTGCTCCCCCAATCGTGCCTTCCTCTCCTGCGGCCGTCGCAGCTCCCCTACCCACTACGCTCTTTTTTTTTGCCAGTTGCGACCCAGCACCCGCGTCTTTTTCTTCTTCGACCCGTCCACTCTCCACTGGACACGGTCACTATTTTCTAATCATCTTGGCCGACCTCTTCATAGATACACTAAACCAGGCGCCCCCATCTATCTGCCGCGAATGGACAAGTGAAGCTGCGCGTCTCTGACTGGCCCAAGACGTCGATAGCCTTAGTCCCCACCGGTCTCGCCCCAGACACGACATCTATCGACAAGCCAAACAGCTTCTACACGTGCCAAATATACCCACGATGCGCCCATGCCTGCGCCAACATGACGATGCGAGTCCTACATGCCTGCCCGGAGATTGCCCAAGACGTGGTCGTGCCTCTTGTCGCCACAAGGAATCCCGCGCTGGTGTGAAAAGGATTGCCGTCCTCGCCATTCTCGCCGCCGTTGTACCGTCAACAATGGCCCAGCGCACCTGCGTCTCGCTCCAAGGCTCGACCGCCTGCCCGGCCTTTACGTCGGCCTCTGTCGATACGAATCTGACGGGCAACTTGTATGTCCGACCTTTTTCTGGCATGCCAATTGTGTACTGACATGTTTTCCCCCCAGTCCCTTCCTCAAATACGTATCCGACACAAGGTCTTTCGATGACCGTATACGAGACTATATTGGGACTCAATACGCCCAGCGACAGTCAGTCTAGTCCCTGCAATGGCTCTTAATCGCCCTGCTAACATGTCACAGATATGAGGACATCTTAGGCTGCTCGAGCGTTAACCTAACCAACACCACTAACCTCTATGCCCGCTATACAACAACCGTCCTGTGCAATGCCATAATCCAGGCTTCCAAGACGTCGTGCCGCCTCAGCGACAGGGCCGCGACACCGCTATGTGCTGGCGCTTGTGTATGTGGACGCTACACCCTGTACTTATCGCAGTGCTGATCAATTCCAGGCCGATTTTGCTATAAGTGAGCAGGTAATCGTATCAAGCCCAGAGCTATGCGGAAGGCCAGGCAACAATGCTGTTCCACAGATCCGCTCAGACTTCGCTCGCTGTTCGAATCCCGCCGACTCGCTCAGTAACACGTGCATCGATGCAGTAAAGAACGAACCCGAAGAGTGTGGATATCAAGGTAACCTTCAGGGGCTCTGCGGTTTTTGCGCCGGTAGCACCGCAAACTCGACAGACACCTGCTGTGTCAATGCCAAGGTCGAACAGCGATGTGCAGGCGTCAATCTCCCTACGACCATCTCAATGCCTCCCGTCTTCCCTACCAGCACTGCATCTGGATCCCCCGGTTCTACGGCTGGCGCAGGAAATGGTGGAAAGAAGACTGAAACTGGTTTGTCTGGAGGAGCTATTGCGGGTATCGTTATTGGATCGCTCATTGGCGCTGCCCTCATCATCGCAGGTGTAATCTTCTGCTGCATGGCCATGCGGAAACGCAAGCACACTCAAATCGACAGCGTCTTCAACACGCCTTCTCCATCACGGCGGCCCTCTCCAAAAGCAAATGCTCTGCCGCCAATGAGCTACGGAGGTGATGCACACACGCCTGCCACCATTCTCCCTGGCGCCCGTGTTCAGCGCATGGCAGCTCTGGAGGGGTCCACCACGTCGGCCGGCAACAGCGAACGGGGTGGTCGCCTGACTACGTACGGTGGTTCTCAAATCGGTGTCTACGACTCACCGGAATCGATACGTGGACATCTAGCCGGAAATCTTCCAAAACGAGGAGGTTCACTTTCAAGCCACTCCGCCCTGGGCTCCGCCTCCTCGCCCTTGTCCGGATCTGACCAGGCACGCAACTTCTCTAGTCCAGATGGCGTCGCTTCTGGACAGTCCGAGCAGCTTCAGTTTTTCAAGGATTACTATTCTCAGGACGACATCCATCCGAACGATACCGTTGCCACCCTGTGGGCATACCAACCCCGCGCTGGTGATGAATTTGAACTTGAAAGAGGAGATATGCTCAAGGTTGTTGGTATCTGGGATGATGGTTGGGCGACTGGTGTAAGACTGTCAGAGTCTGCAGAGCAGTGGGAGGCACGTAAAGCCGAGCAGCGCGACTCAGGCGTAAGCAACGGAAGCAAACGTTCGTACGTCGAGTCCGATAGCGAAATCAAGGCTTTCCCCTTGGTATGCGTGTGCCTGCCGCAGCACTGGCGAAAAACTATTGAGGGAGACAGCACGGCGGACATTGGAGGGCAAGGGAGTGGAGGTGATCGAATGCCTCCTCCAAGCCCCTATTAATGCCCTCCGTGACTTGTCTGTTAACGTACCCTAGATGCTTCTCCGTCTCCCACTCCGAGTCACTCGACTCATCAACGGCGAGGCGATAGCAAGAGCAAACGCCGTGTCGTATCCGCACCACCATCGTCGGTCACATGGCCGCTACTTGCGAGGACGCCAGATGCTCACTCCCCCGGCTCTAGTACGCTTATCGACTCTGTGCACAGATAGTAATGTCGCCACGATCATGTTTTTTACGCGTTGTCCCATTCCCCGTTGTTCAATTTCGATTCTTGATCCCCAATCATCTCCGGCCGTCTGTATATCTATCGCGGGTTCCTTTTCTCGACCCTGGATTCCGCGCCGCCTCCGACGTCACACTCACACACCAATACATCAAGCCGCCTCTGCACATCACGGCCAACCCACACACCATTTCATTACTTTTGTTCTTGTCCTTTTCTGACGATCTCGGCGAACGACAGACTGCTCGCAGCCTAGTGTCTAATTACACTCCTTTGCCCGCCCATTCGCCATCGCACATTGTATCTACTCTCGACGTTGGATACTACAAACGAGACGCGAATCCTCCTTCTTCAAATTCTCCTCCCCTCTCCGGCTGGCTGACGTTTTTCCGTTCTATACCCCACCCTCCGGTCGTATATTTTACAATCTGCGACCGACCTGCCTTCTTTGTCTTTTCTTCGTCTTCTCTGGCAGGCTCTTGTTTTCGTTGTTATACCGAGTGAGAGAGAAGGAGCCAGCAAAAAGCTGCAGACCTTGGATAAGGGAAACAAGATAGTTTTGTATATAAAAAAGGAAGCTTTTTTGTCCTCCTTCCCCCACGTCTACGGCTTTACTCTTTGAGGGAATGGGTTCATGGGTGCTTGGCTCTTTTTGGCTTTTGTCTTTTTTTGCGCTTTACACTTGATTATAACGTTTTTTCTTCTTCTATGATATCCAGATATCCCTTGCCTGCTCTTGTAAATTGGTGCCTTATTCTTATTAGAGAGGTAAGAGGTACCTCTAGATTGGCAGTTTTGTTTCATTGTCGTTGCTGGTGTTGTGCAGCGTCGGGGGCCTAGAGTGTTTGTGGCGTCGAGATGGTGCAAGTGAGAGGGGTGTATAGGGCAAATAATCCAATGCAGAAAGTCACGGTTATACCGGTATCACGTGTCCTCGTGTCTCTCCCAACGACATCACTGTCATAGCAACATCTCGTATCGGTGTCTGTGCAGCGCATATGTAGGCGTTTCAGGTGGGAAATGAAATGCGGGTATATCCAGCGGGCATCCAGCGGAAATTTTGCACGAGCACTCTCTTGATCAAAGTGGGATTCTGGTCTCTTGTTGGTTGCAGATCGCAATCTTCCTTTTGGTGGCTGCAAGGTGGACGTGGACGTGGTGGTGATCTCGGTACTATGGTGTGTTTAGGGTAATTCGGGAGTGTTATCTTTGACTGACTACCGTACCCCTGGTAACATGATCGGCAGTCATGTGCGCAGTGTGCGGCTACATGGGAAAGCAATAGTCTTGTATATAATTGAGTTTGCAATGGTGCTCATGCGTCGTCGGGCCCCGAAGGGCTGATGGGCTTCATATTTCTATACCTGTTTGTAGGCTTTCGTATTTGCCGTTCTTGCTTGGCGTCTCCTTCAGGAAGACGAGAGAAGAACAGCAACTAAAAAGGCAGCTCAATACATTTCTGGTGATTATCATCCCTGTCGTAATTCAAGTACTCTCATACACCACCATTTCACGCTCTACTTTTCCTCCTCCCAGTCTTCCCCTTGCCCTCGTCCACATTCCTCTTATGCCAATCGTCAATCTCACGCCGTACACCTTCGCGATACGATTTATACTCTATGCTGTCGTCGACGAGTAGTTCGGGACAATGACCTGAACGACGTAGGTGGCGTTTTAAGTTTTCCCAGCGGCAGTCCGGTTTGAAAGTGCAGTTAGGGTGGGGGCAGCGGTAGGGACGTAGTGTCTGTTCTCCGTTAGTATCCTGTGTCGTGCCATGTGTGAACCTTGAGACGTGACATACCTGATGCGTTCTTTCATGTTTACTCAGGTTACTTGAATCTGCGCAGGTGAAACTGCAGAAGCGGCATTTGTGCGGCTTCTTACCCTCATGTAGAGCACTGATGTGTGTTTGCAATTGTGTATGCGTTGTCGTTGTGTAACCGCAACGTTCACACATGTATGGTCGTTCCCCAGTATGCGTCCGCTCATGGTTGTCCTTGGCTTGGTTAGTGGCAAAGGTCTTATCGCAGCCTTCGATGCTGCAGGCATATGGTCGATAGCCTGCGTGGCCGAGGAGGTGACGCGAGAGCTTCGATCGCTGCTTAAAGTCTTTGGTTGACGCATCGCAACCTTCCCACTGACAGGTACAGTGAGTGCAGTTGTCGACGTGGGCTGTCTTGATGTGTTTGTGAAGGGCAGAGGGACTGTCGAAGATGGCAAGACAGAGGAGGCCAGGAGCATGTTGCCTGTGAAGAGGGTTAGCCGTTCGGTTTGGAGACAAATTCACAGTGTTATGAGATTGTTTGACATGGTGTATTGACCTGTGTCTAAGTACATACCATTTGCAGACACATGTTTGTGCGTCCGATGATCCAAGACCAAGCATAGACCCTGAGCCGACAGAGGTCGTCGTGTCTGGACGCAAGAGGTCGTTTTGAATTGCCGAAGCGAGGAAATCGAGTTTGTTGGCCCCGCCAAATGCGCCTTCAGGCTGCAAGGTATGGGGAAACGCCAATTCCGGCAGCATCCAAGATTCGTTGAAGGAGTTATCGTTGAAACCCGATATGGAGTTGTCAAGGTTGTAGTGATTCGAATGTATCGATTTCCGGTCTGCTGACATGGGGCTTGTCGGCAGACTTGGGTTGAAGCCAAAGTTCATAAAGTTGTTTGCCAGTCCATTTCCTGATGCTATTGACGAGTTCCACAGATCTAGTTGCTGTTGTGTGGCTGATGGAGCATCCGCACACCGTCGGCCTGGTCCGTGGCAACACGAGTTATCGATATGACAGTGATCCCCAGAGACATTCAGAAAGCAATATGGCGAATATGCGGTCTGACCAGGTGCTGGAGAAGGTTCCATGGTGAAATTACTCTCTAAAGAGGTGTAGTTACTGTGCGACAGTGCTGGCGTTGGAGCACTTGAAGTTGCAGTGGTCAGGTCGTCGGCAACAGTGTTGTACCCATGGGTCTGGGAAAAGCAAGGATATGTCTCGAAGGAAGATAGGTCATTGTCGTGTCCATGGAGACCATGTTGAAAGTGACAAGGCGCGGTGTCGTAACAGTACACGGTACCGACGGGAGTCGGGGCCGAATGTGCGAAATGGCACTCGCTGTTCGGGTCACCTAGAGGACAAGGTTTCGCGTTACACTTTTGACAGAAACATGACTCCTCTGGGTAAGTAGCCTTTGTGCATCCAGGATCTACACAGTCGTCTGTACAGTGGCCCTTTCCTTGGGTGCATCGAGGATCGAAACAGGTGTCGTCTCTGGGACAGTCGTTGGCAGGACAGGGCAGGGAGCAGTCAGAAGGACAAGGTGGGTCGACGATGCATTCCTGACAGAACTTCTCGAAACAATCGTCTGGGAAGGGACAATCTGGTTCAATGTGCTCATGTAACTCGGTGGCGGGGTGGTGGTGGTATTCTCCGACCTTGTGTACCGAAGCCTTCCGTTTCGCCGGACGCATGTCGTAGGCGTCTGGGCAGGGTTCCGGACATCGTTTACAGCACGTCTGTGAATCAAGGTGCTCTCTGCCGGGACCCGTAGTTTTGATCGGCTTTTGGGCGTCATCTCCCAATTCACAAGCCTCTCGCTTTGTCCCTGCTACCGGATGGGGTGAAAGCATAGGGTCGATGGTACCAAAGTCGTCGTCGTCGCCAAAAGCCGAATCGTGATCGCAGTCTACATAGTTGTTAGCCATGGTTGGCATGTATCGGTCCTCTGGTTGGAGGGGCAGAGTTGTAGGCTCATCGGTTGACATTATGGCAGTGTTCCAGGCGTGGACATCAAGGTGCGCAATGTAAAGTTTCCATTTTGCAAGGTTGCGTGGATATAGGGTAAGAGCGACTTAAGGGTCCAGCAAACAGAACAGTCACGTCATATGAAAGACTCGGACGATTTTTACTTACAATTAAAAATGAGGTCTGTAAACCTCAGTGAATGAAAGCATCGGAGAAGGTGAGTCGTGAATTCGTACTAGCGTGCCTGATGCAAGAAGCCGTCCGCCTATCACGTGCGAATTACCCGCTTCGTTGCGAATGCTGTCATTGGTCGTTTATCCCACCACCAAAATGGCAGGAGCGACGTGCATGCACACCAGATAGCCAACAAGCGCATAACATGACGCCTGGCCGGCTTGCTATATTCCTGCGCCATCGTTTTGTTATCTTCCAAAAGCACGCGGAGCCATTTTGGCGCCGGGAGAATGGCGTGCGACAGCGAGTGAGTGCTCGTCGCAAAGAGGGACAAAGACTGGGTGCGGCATGTTAGATTGTACTACGACTTAGTGTACCCACCACGTGTGCCTAGGAGTTTGTGACGGGTCCGAGGTTGTCATTTCCACCTGTCACAAACACAGTGGAAAGGCCTTGTGATGGAGGAGATTGAAACAAGTCTTATGCTCGCCTCAATCCATGTCGTCAGGGCCCGGGAAACGGGTACTTGGCGCCAAACCCACGCGTCGCAACTGCACCTTCCCCGCCACGAGGAGGCAGCCTCCTCCTGGGACCTTCTTGCTCGTAGCACAGCCACACTAACCACGACGCCATATATCAAAGCTCCCACGCACGCGTTTGAACTTCCCTAGCTTTCACTCATCCATTGTAACCACAGATGGGTAACCTTTGTGGGAAGCAGTCCAAAGACAACTTTGAAGGGCAGGGGCGCACACTGGGGTCTGCGCCTGAACCTGCGACAAGAGCATCAATACCCAGCAATGTCACGGCGAAGCCAAAGGTTGGAGGACCGCCGCGGACTTTAGGAGACAGCAACCGGGCAGATGACCCCAAGGCTGCCGCTGCCGCTGCAGCAGAAGTACGTTATCTACAGTCTTATCGCACAGAGAAAGAGCAAGGGAGGCGCGGCGCTTTCACGGCGATCAGCGCGTGGACCTTGGTGAAAGCTGCAGTCGTCTAAGAGCACATGACACCAGAGCCCGTATAGAGTTCCATCACCACTAACATGCTCAGGCCCGCGCAAACAAGTCCACATCCGGCGATCTCCAGAAGAGGCTTGATGCCCAGAAGCGACAGACCAACAACCAGACATTGCAACAGGCCGCCGACGAGAACCGCAGAGCACGAGAGGCGGACCAAGCTACCGAAACGAGGAACTACAACTAGCAGGACTGCATAGGCGTGCAATCTGGAAGCAGACGTCGTGGCTGCTGGGGCGGAAGAGGACAGACATCTTACCCTGTAAAGGATCATCCGTCCTGTGTTATGACTTATGACATGAGTGTTTTGGAGAGGTAGCTTGGAGCTTTTGATACCGCATGAGCAAGGCGTTGGCAAAGATTAGTACTTCACGTTGAACCTTCTGAACACATCAGAGGTGCTTTATATATATATAAATACATATCCTTCAGCTTCGAACATGTCTGTAATGTGTATGACTTGGGTATCATTGTGCTCCATACTCGACCGTATATCAAGGCCTCCTCAAAAGAACTTGACACCCTCCCCTTCCCCTCCACTCCCAAACACCTGGGCCTTCCCCCTCTTCACGCAAACTCCCAAGCTCTTTTGCAACAACTCCAAATCCATGCCATAAAACTCCTCCCTCCTCGACACGTCCCCCTCTGCAATCTCATATAGCGTAAGCACCGTTCCCTTCTGTCCCGTTCTCTCAACCCACTCCTCCAGCGCCGCAGCCCATTCTTCCGGTCTCCGCCAGTATATCCACGCCTTGCCTCCTTCGCCTTCTTCTCCCGCTTTCGCACCCTTTTTGTTGTTCGTGCTTATGAACTCGGCCCGGTTTCCACCTTCTGGCGATGCCATGTACATGAGGATTGCTTTTGCGTCGCGGAGAGACAGGCTACGGCGGAGAGTGGTGTTGTTGAAGAGCGGGGTATTGAGCGCGTCAATGAGCGATATGGTGAAGATGCGGTTGTGTCGGCAATAAGACTGTATTAGGGACGACCACGATGCAAGCTGCGAACTGCGTGTGCTGGCGACGGGCTGTAGGGTGAAGAAGGGGGGGAAGGAGTAGTGGGGTGGAAAGGAGAAGGAGGTGTTGTGGGCTGTTGTCGATGGAGGCGTCGGAGTGGGGTTGGAGGACGAATAGGGGCATGTTGTGGCCATGGCTAGAACTTCGGGACGGAATGTCGTCGTCTTGCTCGAGTGCAGTTGCGTGACCCAAAGAAACTTACAGGTTGGGAGCTCGAGGTAACTTTAGGTGCGTAGGAGGTCTGCGGGGACTTTGCGACGTCATTGGTTGCTTGGCCTTTGCACCGAGGCCTTCTGTTTTTAGCAACACTCATCTATTATCACATTATTTTCATTGATGATCAAGTTGGTTTGTATTCTACTCATTCACCATTCGTTCTAGAATGACCAAACAAGTACATTTTCTAATTACAACTGTCTGCGTTACTTATGCCAACCATAAGACGAACTCCTTGTACCGTTTCAAGAACGCGCTCACGCACTCTACAAACCTTTCCAGCTCCTCCCATGGCGTTCCAAATATGACGGCCAAAGTACCCCGCTGGGTAATCCAAAAACCAGCCTCCATCATCTCGAGCCAAAACAGCATACTCAAATCACCATCTTCATCACGATCTCTCCAGTTCCTGAGCTCTTTTCTGCCATCACGCAAAAAGTGGACCGCCATGATTGTTCCCAATCCCGTAACGGCCATTTTTGTGCCGGGGCAAAGATCTTGAAGACGCTGGCGTAGCTGATCGCCCATCGCATTGAAGTCGCGACATGCTTCGGGTGTATACACATGCGCAAGACCCGTGTAACCCGCTGTCATTCCTAGCGTGTTGTTGTTGAAAGTACCCGAGTGGCCTAGTGAGTTTTTCTCTCGTGGGTCATAAACTCGCATCATGTCCTCTCGTCCTCCAAAGGCGCCGAACGTAATGCCGCCTCCGAGGAACTTTCCAAGTGTCGTAAGATCTGGTTTCAGTCCTTCCGTCTCTTGCAATCCACCTGGTGCCAAGCGGCTTGTTTGTACTTCATCCAAGATGAAGACTGCACCAACTTTCTTCGCCGACTCTTGGACTTGATGGAGGAATTCATGAGTACCAACAAGACATGATCCCCTTCCCTGCATACCCTCTACGAGTACCGCGGCCACATCCGATGACTCCTCAATCTTTCGCCTTGTGTCTTTGATATCGTTAAACTCCGCGATGATCCAGTCGTTTAGATCCACACAGTTTTCCGCAGGTTGATCGCCTGGAAATGTGTAGCATCCTCCATGATAACCACCACTAAAGACGACGACCTTCCTTTTGCCAGTGAACTTCTTCGCGCCTTGGATTGCATGCAGATTCGCCTCGGTGCCTGAGTTGCAGAATCGGACATGGTCCAACTTGTATCGTGAACAAATCAGGTCTGCATGTCTCATCTCCAGTGTTGTTGTGCCACCCAGGCTTAGCCCGACGTTGCTGATTGTGTCAATCAGCGTCGCTTGGATGCGAGGCTGTGAGTGGCCGTAGAGAGCGGCAGTAAATTCGCCAACAAGATCCGTATATGTATGGCCATCTTCCGAAGTGACTTGGTACCCCTTTCCGCACTTCAAGTATACTGGGAACGGTGCAGTATGGAGCACACTTCTTGTGTTCCCACCAGGTAACCTTTTGCTCGCTTCTTTGTGTAACCTCAAACTCTCAATGTTCTTCTTTGCAAAGCGTTGTTTGGCTGCGTCAACTGCCTCGTTGACGCCGGAGTATGTGCCCTTCGTTTCGTCGGTTGAAACGGACATCGGGGTGACTGCTGAAGGTGGCGTTGTATTTATCAGAACAAGCGCTGCGGGGAAACACTGTGGGGAAGTGATGCCTATCATCAACTAACCCAGATCGTTACAAGATCAATTCCAGCCGATTAGCTAATCAGTCTTCGTAAAGCGTCTCCTAAGCGAAACAGCTGGCAGAGGCCTAGGATATTTTTTATCTAATGAATTTGTGATACGTGACTCCCAAGCCAGCTTCTTCGTGTAGGTGAAAAAAGAAGTCATCATCAATACTTTCCAGGCAGTCTTATCTTGCTGACATCCACAAGTTGCCCGTCAGTTGCCCGTCAGTTGCCCGTCGTCGGGAAACTGCTGCATGCTTCACCGTGAAGACAGCAGCGCGCTTACCCGATAACTATCTCGACAACACAGAATGACATTTGTCATGGATGCTAAGGCCATGGACACGATGAAAGAGAGATGAAATCTAGAGGTCAGTCCAAACTCATGGCTCACGCCTCTCAATGCCTTAACGAAAGTGAGAATGAATTCCAAATTCCCAACTGGAACGACAAAGAGTCAGAATGGCGTGTTCACAATACAACTGACCGAATACAACATTCGGTATTGATCTAGGAGGCCGTCGTATAGTAGCTCCGGAGGCGCCGATACAGAAGGGATGGCCCTAGTAGCACTGACTACGCCACAATGCTATTCCGAGCAATTCCGACCATTCCGATTGCCGACTACTGTAGGGCGTTGGTTAGGTTGCCCACTTGCAACAAAACGAAGGAAGGTAAGGATCTCATCTGGGGGTTTCCAAACTACCAGCGACCCTGACAGATGTAAGATCGTGGAAGGAAAGTGGTTGGTCAGCCTGTCCCTGCATCCTCAATACGTCATCAAGCCTTGCAACTTACCGTGTACAAGCGATCGATGGCATATTTTCCGATCATGCGCCTTGTATTGTGCAGGAGAAGCTTGCCGGATAAAGCAACTACTTCATTCTGTATAAGGAAAACTCCCTAATAAAACTTCAGCTGAAGAACAACATGATGGGCGAAGCGCATCTAGGCCGTTGGTATGTACGATGAGCGCACAGATGGTACAGCACTCCAAGCAACAGTAGGCCGGTAACTCGATTGTATATCGCATATGATGTCAACAAATATTACCATTGGAAAGGAACGACGTATTCAGCCTTGCGATCAGAGTGAGGGGTATATGTACATATTCCTTCAACCAGCCCACCCTAAATTCCATGCGTAAACCATAATCGCAATCTCGATTTCCCCATGGCACCCCCATTAGAGCTCCAGCCCTACGAGATCTCCATCCCAGATGCCGCAATCGACAAGCTCAAGAGAAAGCTCTCCGATGCCGATTTCCCCGATGAGCTCGACGCGCCCGACCAATGGCCCTACGGCTCGCCCCTCGCCGACATCCAGCGTCTAGCCAAACACTGGGAAACAAACTTCAACTGGCGAGAAGCCGAATCCGCAATCAATAAGCTACCCAACTACCGCACCACCATCACAGTGGACAACTTTGGCGCCCTCGACATCCATTTCGTGTACCAAAAGTCGTCTAATCCGAATGCCATACCCCTCCTCTTCTGCCATGGCTGGCCCGGCTCCTTCCTCGAAGTTAGTAAACTACTTCCACGCCTGGCAGCCGGCGAAAAGGAAGGAAAACCAGCGTTTCATGTCGTCGCTCCCTCGCTGCCCAATTTCGGTTTCAGCCAGAGCATCCGCAAGCCTGGCTTCGCGCTATCGCAGTATGCCGAGACGTGCCATCGACTGATGCTCGAGCTGGGCTACTCTAAATATGTGACGCAGGGCGGTGACTGGGGCTTTTACATCACAAGATGCATGGGTGTGCTGTACCCCGATCACGTCGTAGCAAGCCATATCAACATGGTGCGCGCACATGCGCCGAAATTTTCTTCGCAGCCAGTTCTCGCGCTCCAACATGCTGTGACGCCGTACACGGCTGCCGAAGCAAACGGCCTGAAGCGCTCAGAGTGGTTTGTCAACGATGGCCAGGCGTACCGTCAATTGCATGCTACGAAGCCCCAGACACTGTCCTATGCTTTTGCGGACAGTCCCGTTGCCCTACTGGCATGGATCTACGAGAAGCTCGTCGACTGGACCGACGGCTACGATTGGACAGACGACGAGATATTAATCTGGGTAAGTATATACTGGTTTAGCTCCGCGGGGCCCAATGCCCACATCAGGATCTACTACGAAGCACAACACCACCCCACTGATAAGATACCCGATAGAGAGCGCGCGAGTCAGTGGGTTGCTCGCGTCAAGCTGGGTGTTGCGCATTTCCCAAGGGAGATTACTGTTGTTCCTAGGCTTTGGGCGAAGACGCTGGGTAAGGTTTCTCTTCGGACGTTTGAGCGTTATTGTTGTTGTCTAACACTCGCCACGTATAGGACCGCTCGTGTATGAGAGCGTCAACGATAAAGGTGGCCACTTTGCTGCGCACGAAAGACCGGATGTAATCGTCGATGATCTGCAAAAGATGTTTGGCAAAACCGGGCCGTGCTACGAAATAGTCCCTGGCATGGCCGGGTACTAGAACCATGGTAGTTTTACGGAAAAACACTTCGTCATTTGATCTGGGGAGGGTGTTTGCCTCATGTCGATCTGTTCGTCACATTTCGACGTCACATTTTTATTTTAATCTTTGAAAGAAAATAAATTCATTGAACTTTTTATTTTGCATTATGACCTATTTACGTGCTATCATAGCTTCGCACGTGCGGGTCTGACCAAAGACGATGTCGAATGCATCGCACTCTCGCATAAGAAGTCCATGGCGCTGATTAGCGTATCTTGCGACCCATCTGTCCCTCTTGTAATGCTTATTCTTGGCCCCCCCGAACCGTTTGATTGAGACGGAGCTCTGCTCGGTATGGGACTCAGCGAGTCCTTACTGGAGCTCAGCATAGAACGCGACAGCTCTCCCTCTGTCGCCTCCTCCGAGCTACAACTACTCGTCAACCAATGTATGATCACCGCATCCCAACATGCTGCTATGTGTCAGTTTTCATGAAGCGAAAGTTTATATAGAGGTCTGGAACTTACCATCCACAAGACATATCGTCAAACTAATCATACCTAGCTCTTCTCCCCGAGTGACGGCAAACTGAATCATGTTCGCAGCCGTCGGTATCTCAACCAATAGCGATCCGACCACACTCTTCCAGATCAGATTTCTGATGTTCTTTCGTACCATCGTGTCGCTTCCACCATGGCCGGTGACAGTGTCTGTATCCGATCCTCCTAGTGCGGTGGAAAACCCGGCGGAAACCGGCTTTTGTGAAACTGGGCGAAGTAAATAAAAGAATACGGCCGTTAGAATTCCATTCGTGGTGAAGTTGACGACAGTAAAGGGTATCGATCCAATGCCGCGGATGCCAAAGTGGCAGCGTCCGTCCGAGGCACGTAGTTCGGTGACATGGTTGACCCAGGTGTTGGCGGCGACAATACTGTACGTTACTATGATCATGGCCATGCATCCAAGGTAGATTCTGTCGTTTTTTCTGTTGACGAAAGGTGCGCGGACAACGTGAATGCGCTCAACAAGGAAGACATATCTAGACCAAGTCAGCATACAACCCAATGGCAGGATTCCAGTACACTCACATGATGCCTTTGATAGAAGTGTAGAAGATTAAACATGTCCATGTGCCAGCAACGCAGAGTGCGCGAGTGTAGAGTCCTTGTCCTATTACTAGAATAGCAGAAGACATGATGAACATGAGCACCAGTATGTATAGGATCAGAACGAGTGTCGACATGAGGCTGCGCTTCAACATGATACTCCGTCTCAACTTGCCAGACCTCGAACCTGTGATGGCTATTAGAGAATGATCATGGTAAGAGAGTGATTGCGCCTACCTAGCAAAAACGCTACCATCATCATACAGGCCATGGATATGACGGTGAATATGGATCTGTCGCGCGGCTGTTCGCCCTTGTTTGTTTGCCCATTCCCCCCTTCCCGTATGGATGTGAGGCCTTGCAAAGGTGCTGCTCTTGCGACAAACGAATGCATCAACAGCACGCAAAGAAGCGACGTCATCTCAGGCAAGATTCCAGAGATCCGGGGTCGTCGCGTGTACCGAGCCGAGCGCGCGGGCGCAAGTAAGAAGAATGAGGTCGATAATGGTACTATGGGGACCTCTGCGACCTTAACTGAACCCTCGTTCTCTACATGACATATGCCAGTTCCACAAATCGAAGTTTTTCTTTTGCCAACGTAAAGTGTGTCCATCAGCTTGATTGATCAGATGGCTAGAATCCCGGGGGCGTAGTGGGAGACGATCGTTGGGTTAGGCAGTTTGGGTTTGCGCTAGGGGCGTGGACATGGCTAGGTGGGTCCGGCTGAACTGCCAATTCCCCGAATGCGAGCCTTCCTTGAAGCATTCCCTGATATTCCCTGGAGCGAATCCACGTGCACGACACCCTACCTGTTCCTGGCAGGTTTTGGCAGTTTTGCGCCACCCTGATTGCTGAGTACCGCCGTCAGGGACAGGCACGGCATTCGAAGCCGAGTGTGCGTTGCTTTTGTTCACCCTCCGACTCGTCGACTGGCCAGAACGCTTTACACCTTCACTGACTTACACTTCCTTACCATGTTGGAAATCATGATAGCAATCCTTGGCAACTATCATTACATCCTGTATGTTTGAATTGGCCATGGTTTTCTGGTCTCGATACGAATGTGGTTGCGTGGCAACAACGCACCGGCCAAGGCGCACCATTCCCTTGTCCTTGTGACGGATTACCGGTTCTGGACTGTCCTCAGCTAAGCTTTGGCAATATCAGGTCTCTATCCTCCTAATTCATGCAGATATGCGAAGGAGATGCTTAGCAAGGCCTTGGGCATCGTATCTCGGCCGACGCGACACAATCCGCCAGAGTTCACTCCACGATGACGGTTCTGCCAGCGCGTCCTCGCCGACTGAACCTAGGCCTTGGACGAGGCCAGCCACAATACAGAACGCCAACGCCCTGAGGAACTCGTTGTGCTAGCAGGCGCTGTACTAGTCCTCGGCAAACCATATACAAGAACGACGATGCAGAAGTATGTTGTGTGGGACTTGGGCAAGAGCCATTACTACAGACCCGTTCCGGCATCGTCAATCTCCACCGAAATGTCCAAGTATCGAGGGATCAGCTCGTATGCCTACCTCTCTGGTATTTACTCTTGAGTCTTACATGATATGACGATATCGAATGGTGTCTGGTTGAAGTACAAGATAGCGTCGTTTCGGATTGAACAGGGGCAAGGCGTTGGCTTGGGCTTCAGTTTGTCCATGTTACACTCGCAGTTGATGCCCGGGCGAGTAGGGCCATGGCGCAAGTGCAAGCGCGAGCGGGTGGCAGACTCATGGTTCCTGAGATCCACATGCCTAGAGGGTTGAAGAAGTCCCAATGCTACGCCACATGATCCTTCGCATGCTATTGCGTGGTGAAGACTTGGCCTCGGGGAGAGAACCGCTGATATCCGCGGACCCGTTGGGTCCGTCCAACACTCCCTTCACGGGCCGTTCTGCCTTCTGGCGCTGCTTAAGGCCCCTCTTATAGCTCTGCAGAGCTAGCAAGCGAAAGTATTTGACTTCGTTGTTGGGACGCCATTTTGTCCACACATCGTTCTTTGTACCCACCCGTGGTGATAATCATGAAACCCACTGACAGCAGCTTTTCGGTCAGAAAAGAGAGTTAGCCAAGAGCCAGGATGAAAGAGGCGGCGATTCCACGACCTGGAAGAATACAGCCTCCTTTCAATCACACCTGCTCCTTCGGCAAAACCCGAGCGAAAATGTGGGCAGGCATGAACCGGAACTGGAGGTCCTAGGGCTGGAGATTGGATGACTCGTATCCTGGTACGTCCATGGTCGACAAAGTGTAGTCAGGAAGTATGAGGTTGGAGGTCTCAGGACTCAGGCCTCAGCCGCCTAAGCCGCGGCTTATCACCCCACCCCCACTTGCGTAACCACCCCACGATGCCACTGAACCTTAAATCACGACCAAAACGTCCACCACACATGAAAACGTCGTGATAAACTTCACGACATCATGGCGCCCCTGAACATCGACCCACCCGTCCTGAACTCTTCAAACCCATGGTGCACAACCTTGGAACAGCTCCAGGAACTCTACAACTGCCCGCACACAGGCGCCATCACGACTCGCACGTCACTCCTCCATGGCTTCCCCCACGACCCTTCACACCACCAATTCGCCTTTTTTAACCCCGTGACACTCTCCGCCTCTCCCCCAAACACGGACAACACCACCGCCGCCATCGACGCCACCAAAACCTCCAGCCTAAACACTCTCGGCTACTCGCCCCTCCCCCTAAAGCACTACCTCGACTACGTCCAGCAAATCAGCGATGCCCTCAAAACGCAACCCCGGGGCTCTAACAGTCTCAGCAACAAGAACCCAACACCTAAACCCATTATAATATCCGTAACGGGGTCCGCGGAGGAAATAACACAATGCCACCGCCTCATCACAGCACTCCAACCAAAAGTCGTCATGCCCCTCGCCTTGGAAATCAATCTCTCGTGTCCAAACATCCCCGGCGCACCGCCACCAGCTTACAACGCCGAAGCCCTGGGGGTCTATCTCTCGGCGCTAAATGAGGGGCTGGCTAGTTTGTCGTCGGATGCTGATGCCATTGCCGTTGGTATCAAGACGCCTCCGTACACGTACTCGGAACAGTATGATGCGCTGGCCACCGCGTTGAAGGCTAGTCTCGTCCCGAAGAGGGAGCCTGGTAGTGAGAAGATAGGGAAGCAACGGTGTCCCATATCGTTTATCACAGCAACAAATACGTTGGGTTCATCTCTTTTGCTCGATCCTGCGGGGCCTACGCCACAGGATGCGGCGTTCAAGCATACACTGCTTTCGGCGGCCGGATCGGGTGTTGGTGGTCTAGCTGGTGCGCCATTGCATCCCCTTGCGCTGGGTAATGTGTACACGATTAAAAAGCTGTTGTTGCAGAACGAAGCGTTGCTTAGTGTGCAAATTATTGGCACAGGTGGCGTCGAAGATAACGCGGGGTATTCAAGGATGAGGGCTGTGGGGGCGAGTGCGGTGGGTGTGGGGACGGCGTTTGGGAGGAAGGGGTTGAAGGTTTTTAAGGAAATTGGGAAGGACGGATGGTGAGTGTTGGATGCATGCATGCATGTGTGGAGTTTTGGGCTGTATGGGCTGTTGGATGTTTTTGGGAACTGGGGAAACAGACCATGTTTTCAACCAACGGTCAATGATGGAGTTGAAATGATTTATGGGAATCATGACGACGACGATGATGATGATTATGCCGATTATGAGCATTTTAGAGTTTCTAAAATTCAGCATAAAGTTGTTTGAAAAGTTAGGATGGGAACCTCACAAGCTCCATAATTTCTCACTAAAGTCATCGATGTATGTATAAACATTAGATTTTTCTGCATTACACACAGCACATCAAAAAGGAAAATATCTGGGTATCAACAAACGACAAAGAAAACTTGTCCCCCCAACAAACACAAACACAAACTCATCCCCTCTCATTCCTCGACCCCTACACTCCAAGCCAACCCTCCTCGGCCGCCCCCCTCGCAACACCCCACTCCCCATCACGTTTCCCTATCATCACACGCACATTGACCTCCCAAGCCCTCCAAACCGCCTCCTCTACAACCCCCCTAAATTCCATATCACCCGCCCTCTCCCCAATCACCATGATTCTCCCTGGTGGTTTGCCGCCCGCACCTACAACATCAACGATAGCGGATTGGATTCTTTTCCAGAAAAGGGCGCGTGGAGTGGAGAAGACGGGGAGGTTGTACCAGCCGAGGTTTGAGGAGGCTGCGTAGCTGAGATGGGTGTAGTGGGGGGAAGACGATGGGGAAGAGCAGGCCCGCGCTACCATACTCGCAGTAAACGACGTATTGTCAAAACTCAAGAACAGAACATGCTGGTCCAACCGCTTCATCTGCTGTCTTCGTCTCTGCTGTCTTTGCCGTTGCGTTTGCACATCCCCACACCCCACCGCCCCTCCACTGCATCTAGGCCGCTCGTCTTCGTATTCCGAGCCGGGCTTGAAACAAGGGGGGGCCGCGCGTTCTAGGCCAGCGAGCGCCGCGTCGCTCGCTTTCAGCAGCGCTACGGCATCAGCATCAGTCAAGGAAGCGGGTCTAGGCAGGACGAGGCCGGAGTTTAAGAGTGCGGTGCGGAAAATAGCGGAGTGGATAGTGGTGAGAGGGAAGATTGCGGGGGTGATGTGGGTGATGGGTCCGTGGGATTGTTCAAAGGTCGTTATTGCTGTATAGAGTTTTGAGAGGAAGGGGGTGAGGATATTGGTGGTGTTACTGGTGGTGGGTTCGGTGTTGTGGGGTGGTGCTGGTGATGATGGTGATGGCGATTGTGCGTGTGTCCCCGCTTCCTCTGCATACGCATCCATCCAATTCGACAATAACATCGTGTATTCTGCATCCGCCGACATCTTGAATAAATCCGTTGTCGTGCCGTTGATAAAGTGTGCAGAGGCCATGGCGTACGAGGTGGTAAAGTGGAGACCGATACTAGGTGCGCTGATCATTTCTATGCCGTTGTCGTTGCTGTTCGTGTTCGTGTTTGTTTTCTCTCCCAGCAGAGGGATCTGTAGTTGGAATTGGTAGGGCCCGAGTCCGAAGGATACAGGTCGCGCACCCGCTGTGCATAGGATGAAGAGGAGGCTGAGGAGTCGCATGTTGGATGATGGTGTGGGTTGTGTAGTCCCGATTCGAGGGGATGGTCGACCCGAAGTGTAGACAAAACAAACAATAAGAAAGATGAAGGTGGAATGACTTCTGGAAGCTTAAAGATAGTACCCAAGATAATGATAGTAAAATAATTCTTTAGACCCCGGTCCGAAAAAGTGAGTGACTATTAATCCATATGTGATCGTGTGTAGGTAAGCAAAGCAAAGTAACCATCCAATCCAATCTTTCTTTCCTGTCAAATAAGGCAGGCAAGAAAGAAAAACAAGATACGCAACCACAATCGCATGACGCCCCTGCTTACTACCTTATAATCCATCTCGTATACTTACTCCGCCTCCTCCTGATACCTGCATAGACTCCAGTCCAGTCCAGACACAGGCAGACACCACCACACACACACCATCAGCACATCCGATCGTACCGGGCGCGGGCGCGCGACTGGCCTGGGAGCAGCCCCGCTGGCGGTGGTCATATGTACGAGGCCTAGTACACGCTATGAAGGGTACTAGCGCCAAAGTCTGTCGGCTCGTGAAGGAGCTTCGTCGAGCACGCTGCTTTCGTTCCGCTCAGGCAGCCAGCCAGGAAAGGAGGAAGGAGAAGCGGGTGAGACGGTAAGATTTCCACGTCAGGCCCGGACTGTCGCAGTTCTCGTGTCCGTCAGCGGCCCAAGGAGGAGGTCTGGGTGGCCTCGTATCTCATTCTCGAATGGATTTGGACGATCGATAATTGCGGGGTAAAGAAAGCTGACCCAAAGCCAAGCCCACCAGCCCACCAGCCCACTTGGTTCAGGGGGTACGCGACACGCGAGCGACACCATTCCGTCTTCGCCGGAATCTTTCTATTTCAGGCTACAGTTTTCAATAATCCCAGGTCAGTCAGGTACCCGAGAGTGCCTGACTTTCGTGCGTAAAAACCAGGTACCGGGTTCATTCATTTACTGAGTACGGACGTGTCTCTCACGTGAACAAGCAAACGGGATATTGCGCCGGTTTCCTCGGCATATTCATATGTTCAAAATGTACTGGGAATTTGATTCAATGCCTTTTCTAATCATAGTTTTGTACAGAATTAATTACTAAACAGGAAAGTGGCTGATGGTTTTCCCCGCCCGCAAAAATAATGCCTGCGCCGAAGTTACATGCTTGCATTAATACCGGAAAGTTTTAAAGCACAATTTCAATACCTTTGTCTTTCCGTGAAACGCCAAAACGCCATGCTACGCGAGTGTGAACGCCGAAGAACCGTATAATAGGTGGAATTGCAACCAACATCCCTGCCGCTTTCGTGTTGGTCAACGTTCAGAAACTGACGTAGCCCGTGTCTTCGCCCCCGGCAGCGTCTTGCCAGCCCGCTCCAACGTCGCCTAGTCCCGGGCCGTGATGATGGCTCCGGGCCATGCCCTCGCCTTCACCACGCTCAACCCATTCCTCATGAATATCGTTCCAAATACGCTGAAAGTAGAGGCGCAGAGTTCGTAGACCACGAAGATAGCCCCGATCGATGCCGTCTGGATTTTGCGGTGGACAGGGCAGATCGTCAGGTAGAGGATCTTCCGCAGTAACACAGTTGGCAAAGTCGACAATCTTGAGCTTGATCTCTGGCTGACTCGGTGCCGACTTCCCATTCGACACTAGCCCGGGTGATGCGAGTCCGGACGACGTGGCTGAGGCGTCTTCACCATTAGGAGCATCCTTCTCTTTTGACTCTCCGTCCCCACGATCATAGAGCATCAATAGGCTGCTGGCATAGAATCTGTATCCAGGCAGCTTTCTAATCATGCGCTCCAATTGGCTGATCTTGTCCAATATCACTGGTATGTGCTTGCTGGCAGCCTTGTAGCTTGTACCATCCCAGAAGAAGCGCTTCAGTGCATCCTGAAACTCCTTGCCGGCTTTTAGATCGCGACCAAAGTATTTGTCCTCGAAGATGTAGCTCTGAGTCTTGACGTTCCAGATCTGCATTCCACAAACGCGTACGCCAAGCTCTTTGCTGGTTGTCATCTGACACTTGCGCCGTTGCGAGCGCTGCTTCTTCTCGTTTGCTTCTACACCATACTGGCGTGTTCCCATCTTCAAATCCAGCACACAAGGCCTGGACATGCCTGCCGTCAAGTCTTCCAGAAGGATGAAATGCTGGACACGCTCATCAGGCTGTTGCTGCGCCTGTTCCGGGTTAGAAGGCTCTTCAATTACTGGTATGCCTTGGCCGTTCGGCATGGGAGCAGCAGGTAACATGGTTCCTTCCGACGGGGGTTGAGTGTCAGGTATGTTTGTAGCCTTGGGGCTGTGCAATGGGCGACCTCTGTCCCGATCATCCGCTTCGGGCTTGGATTTATGATCTTCGTCCATAGCAAAGACTTCTTCTTCCGCATCACCGCCGTAACCATCCTCTTCATAGTACTCTAGGTTGTGTCTCTGGACCGTGTCTATGCCCAAAGGCCTCCTAGTTAGCCCACTTCCAGAATGACGGCGTCGAGGGATGTTGTTCGGCGGGGGCCTCAATGGCTCTGTGTTGGCCTGCGACCCATCAACTGAACTAGAGACGGCTGAAATGGGATTTCCTCCTGAAGCATGACGACGGGCTTCTGACTTTAGAACTTGCTTTCGTGTACATTCTTCTGGAAGTGGTGGATGCAATGCCGATACATCTGTGCTGTTCCTTCTAATGGTAGGTGCCGAACCAACCGTGGACTGTGGCACATCTCCCATTTTACGAGAAGGGATGCCATGGTGATGATGATGTCGCGGGCGATGGTGAATGGTCGGAGGTGCAAAAACCTGGCGAAGTACCTCTTCTTGAAGCTTTCTGTTGATCGTCGTTACGCCCCAGCTGCTGGTATGCGGTAACTGGGGACGCGTGGGGCTTGTAGAAGTGTTAGTATAATCGCTCTGGTATCGTCGATGTTGTTGTGAGGAGAGCGCAGGATTTCTCATCCAGGGATCTGGAGTAGTGGATCGCGGCGGTACCCTGAACAAGTTATCCGGGATAATGTGTCGGTTGTTTTCGAAAATGACCTGTGGAACGGGCATAATCTGCTGCGAATGGCTGACCACGCGGGTAGTCTCTGGCTTCCTCGAATCTTCAGGAGCTGCAGAAGCTTGTCTTGAAGCAGTCTCCGATTGAGTCGTAGAAGTAGTAGGAGGGGCATCCTGTTTGGCTTTGTCCTTGGACGTCTTCTTTTTCTTGGGTGCTTTGCGATAAGTCACATTCAAGACACCAATATACCTACACGACAATTAAACGTCAGCAAAAAGCCCTACACGTACTGAATGGCAATATGTTTCTTCGCTGAAGTCTCAGCTTGGATCCATAATGGTGGTGGATAATCCGTACCTTGGTAAGAAGTCCAGGAGTTCTGGATGCTGCCTCTCGACCGTTTCGTAGAACTCGTTTTCTCGATTATTGAGCTGTTTGCATACAGCCCTTCGCGAAAATCGGTAGACAGTAGAATGACCGCCCACTTGGTGATCGTACGGCTTCAGTTCAACAGCACCCAATGGTGCCGGTGGCTGAGCGGCTAGAGCTGTGGCGACCTTGGGCTCCTGTTTGTGTTTTGTCGCAGTGGGCGTAGTGCCTAGATCATCAGTCGCACTGGATTCATAGCCAAGAAGTGAATGAGTAGACTCGGCGAGGGACTCGGGTTCAGATTCAGCTGAAAGCGTATCGACAACCGAGGACGTCAGTGGCTGATCTTTATCTTTCTTTACGGAAGTTGCCGTGGAGATGTCACCATGCAGGCATTGATTTGTATCTTGGGACTGTAGAGAGATTTCTACTTCTTGCGGGGTCTGAACTTCCTTATCCGCGGCCCATCCTCTGGGCCCTGCGCTCTCATGAAACGAGGCCCTCTTGTCAACATCAATTACCTCTCGATCTCGGGGCTTTGGTTCTACAGGGGCCTGATCGCCTGCCTTGAGACGACGATGAGGAAAGTAAAGAGCTGATGAGATCTGTTCCTTTTCCGATTCGTCTTCTTCTTCTGAGCCTGGCGTACGCTCGGCGTTGCTCCTGTCCTTGGCCTGGAAGTAGTCGGGTGGCTCCTCATAATGCACTGCCCCGTTTGTTGATGCGTGTGCATGCACTTTTTCGACTGCTGAAGTAGGCAGACTATGCGAGTAGAAAGACCCGGGACTCAGATTTCCAAAGCCACGAATGTCTTCCAAGAGCCGCCGCGGGAGCTCCCGCTTCTCTGCGTTGCTTTGTTCTAATCGTAGGCTTGGCTGGGTGGGGGGCGTAGAGCCAGTATTTGGTTCGGTACGTGAAGCTGGCTTAGTGTCGAAGTAGGAGTCGGCTGGGCCAGTCAAAGGGGACTGCACAATTGGTGAAGCAAGCGACGATCGACGTAGTTGCTGAGTAAGGGCACTGGCACTAGTCTCAGGTGTGTTGGGTCCCGCTGACACTTCCTCTGACAGCGTAGAGAGTGGGCGATCGGCAGAGGCGCGTTCTTTGGGCTTACCCTCTCTCTTCTTGGGCTCTTCGGTAGGATCGCCATCCTTGAAAACGCGCAGATAGTGGCTTGCTTTCCGACTGCGTGCCGATGTTGGCTGCTCGGTCTTGGCGAGGGTGGCTTCAATTTTCTTTTCCATGTCCACGCCCATGACAGGGTTGTCGAGAATGATGTTACCCTTGAACGGGACGGGCTTGCCCTCTCGCCATTCTCTGTTTCGGCGCCTCTCCTCGCTCTCTAGCAGCGCTTCGTGCAACACGGGCTGGAGCTCAGAGCGCTGTGGTGTGGTTGGCCGCTGCAGAGGGGAGTCGACAGGACTCATGTAGGGAGGGGGGCTGTGGCGGGTGACCTCGAGACCCATACCGGCTGCAATGGCGGCACGGGGGTTGAAGGGCGTGGTCAGAAGGGCGTGATGGTCGATGGAGGCTGTGGTTGGGAGAGTAGGCGGGAGGGTAGAGTGCTTCCTGCGTATAATGGGCGGGTCTTTCAATCGCGCCGTGGGAGGAGTTGGGGCAGCCAATTCGGACAAGCTGTGTTCGGGTTCATCGTGTGCGAAGTCAGTCTGGCGAGCAGCGGCGCGGGGGGAGGAGATGGGGCTGTCCGAGGCGAGGTAGGTAGTCGCGAAGATGCTGTCGCGCTCGTCAAGCTGGGGCCGGTCAATTGACGACTTCCACAGATGATTTTCGTGCACAATGGGCGCCGTACGTGAACGGCCCGTCTGGGCGAGGCTCTTCGGGGTCACGGCTTCGCGGTCTGGCTGGGGCGTGGGCGCATCATTTGGGGCATTCAACCTCACCTGTGCGGGGGGTGAGGTATTTCCGTGGGCGTCGGGCGTGGGTGACATGGGCTCGACATTGATTCGACCGTCTAAAGGGCACCTCGTGGCGGGATGGGTGGCAGATATGGCCAGACGGGCGTTGCTGATGTTGGCCAGGATGCGGTCGTTGGGCGCGGCGGAGACACAGCGGAGGGCCAGCAGGGGCGGGTCTGGGAGATTAGCGTGCAGAGCAGCGGCGCTGGCGGATGGCAAGGGCTGCAGGCCGAGGGGGAGGGCTGCAGCTGGCGGCTCCGGGGGTGGTGCTGGATTCAGCGAGTGAGAGGTGTCGTCGGACCACGTTCTAAATGTCTGTGGTTTGGCGTGAATGCGAGAGTGGCGCAAAGATTGTCGCAAGCGAGCGGCCCAATGACGTCTGCCTGACCGCGTAGGACAAAGCGCGTCGCAGCGAGATCGGGCGTGTGGAATCTCAGTCTCAGAGCGATATACCCACGAAGGCCAGAGAGTAATTGAACAGAGTAAACACTGGCCAACTCTACATTGCCTCTTTCAGCATTGGGCAACATGGTTCAGGAACGCAATTTGTTTTAGCACCTGCTGCGCTGGCAACTTCCTGGTGGCTGCCCCCGGCCAAGTGTCATTCGTCATGGGTACCTTTTGCTGCCAAAGGGGGAAGCTGCGTCCGTGCACACGAGGCTATGTATGTACTTGAATTGATATTTGATGCTCACGACGGACCTACTACAACAACAGCAACAACACACTACACACACGAGCCCTGACATGTCCATGGCATGGGCTACCGGGCAACATGCATGTAGCTGCTTCACTGCCTCACTCTGTTCTGCCGCCTTCCTCCATGTGACGCAAACTAGGCGTGGTCCCGTCTCCGCGCCTTCGTCCCCAGCTTCCGCTGGCTGTGCAAAAGGCCGCGCACCCAGTTTCTGCGGCATCGGCTATACCAACCCATCCTGCCTCTTCTCATCGTTGTCTATCCGTGCTTTACGCATCCCATTCCGCGTGCAGCTACCATGCATGGCTGCTGTCTCGCAAGGCCGCCACGACCAATCACCTGGGAACGTGGCCTCTCACCGCCTGCTGCATGTTACTTGGCTACTGCTGCACGTTACTGTGATGCCGGTACAGAACTGCTCTCTGTCATGGCATAGATCATGTGCCACGGTACTGGGAGGCCCTTCGTACGACGCACAATGCCGTTGTTCCCGACACGACTGGCGGTCTGCATCGGCATGGGTATATGATTCTCCCCTTCTTGCAAGTCCATCTGTAGATCATGGCATCCAAGTGTCATCTACATTACGTAGAAAGCTGTCTGTAAAGTGCAAATTTCCGTTGGCGCCGAAGCTATCCAGCGAGCCTTCAACATCCAACGGGGGACATCCGTCCTTTGTCATACGTCTTGACTTGTCTCCCAACGATCCTTGCGAGCCCTGCGATGCTTTTTCGCTGACGAAGCTCCAAAGGGACGTGGTCGTGTTCTTATCCTTTAGTGGGATGCGATCAATGGACGGCGTGGGGCTCTTATCTGCATTACTGGCTTGGCATATCACATCGCCCGGGCTTTGAGCAAACCTCAGATTGCTCCCGTGACCTCCTTGCGTCGGCTTCTTCACCGTGCTAAAGGCAAATGGAGATGCTGCACCGAAGAGATCCTGCGTGCTGATGGGTGGCCCATGTGTCATGCTTTCGTTGAGAAGCGGTCCGTCCCGCTGGACGGTAAAGGCAGAAAAGGGTGTTGTCACTGCATTGCATACAGCCCCTATCGGACGAGGTGTGTCAATTGAAGTTTGTGACCCGGCCCGGAGAAGATTGGACGACATGGATGGGAAAGTGCTTTGCTGGAATTCGAGTTGAGCTCGTAACATGGCGGCCTGCGTAGACCAGTCCGAGTCTCGACTTTTCTGTAGCTCTTGGTCATCTTTCTGTTTCGCTGTGGCGTCTCCTTGGACCACATCGTCTTGAGGTGCATTATTGTCGTTTTCAAGTACGGTCTGGGGGCGTGGCTTTGGCGCTGCCGGAACCTTTTCTGGTGATGAATCAAAGTTGACTGCCCTTGGCCTTTTACGTGGTTTGCGTGTTGTGAACGAGACGGGCTTTTGGGACCCGTGCGTGTCTTGACTGCCCATGGATGAAGTGACAATGGGTACAGTCCGCTGCGAGCGTTGCGCCGGTTCCTTGCTGTGGGTGGTCTCTTGTGTGATTGCAGCGGTGGCTGTATGGACCGCTTCTATTGTGTATGATGGTTCTTCTGCTGCTGTCGAAGTAGACTGTGCTTCGGCATTGGTCAGCTGCCTTGGGGTGTCATCGTCTTTTACGGGTGACGAGATATCCATGGAAGCTGAGGCGCTGGACTTGTACGCATCTGGCAGTGCAGACCTGCGTGGAGTGCTCTGAGCCCGGATTGGTGCCTTTGGGAGGCTGAGTTGAACTTCTCCTTTTGCGCTCATCTGCGAGTCCACTTGGCGTGACCGCGACCTTGATGGCGACGTATCGGTGTTCCCATGGCGAGCTCTGCGCATGTCCACCTTTGCTGAACCAGGCCGCCGCAACCAGAACGGGTTTGTCATGGGTGATGGGGTTTGTATTCGTCTGGCGGTGCCGACACTCGAGAGACGTGTTGCGGTGCATGCGCCGTCGTCATCTGGCAAGGGCTCTGTCGCGGGTGGGACTTGGATTTCTTCGAGGCTGGTGTCGTGCTCGCACGTGTCCATGTCATCTCTCGCAGCCCTAGACGTCTCCGGCGATGCTTTCAGGGGGACCGAAGCTTGTTCGGCCACATATTTTCCAGCTCCATTGCTCCTTCCAAGCTTCGCGCTTACCCGATGTCTAACTGCGTCTTTCCGGCTGGCCGTGGCCTTCTTGCTGTGACGGTTCCGAGGTTCCGACGCCCTTTCGTGCTTGCCCAATGTCCGCCTCTTGTCTTGTGTTGGTCGGGCCCACGGGTTCTTCCACCCGTTGTTGAATGGCCCGCGCAAGCCAGCCGTGATGATGACAGGCGGCCGGCCGCGCAAATACTGCGATGCAATGGCCTCGATCCTCCGCCGCTTAGCTGCCCGTTCCTCAGGGTCTTTGGTCTCAGCGGGCGCTTCTTCGATGACGTCGTCAGGATGAATGTAAAAGTCATCAAAGTCGAAGCCCCGTCTAAGGTGCGGATGCAGACTGGATGGCATCGTCCTCGTCCTCGTTACGTCGGTCTGGATACGTCGGCCAATGCGACCGTTTCACGTGTGTGGTAGGCGCAGTAGTACAGCAACAGGCGGGCGGCCAGGGCGCAATCGCATGTTCGGTCGGGCGGTGTCGTGCGTCGTGGGCGTCGCAAACAGCGAGTTAGGATGGCCCAAGTCAACTTCTCGGCACTCCCACGCCTTGCCTTTGCTTGTTCAACTGATCCAAGCGCTCGCTCAG